TCGTTCGCGTCGAGTTCTTTCTTCGACATGTCATACCGCCACCTGGGTCGCTTGGGGCACGTCAGAGGGGGTGCGCCCTCGAGAGGGTCCCAGTGCTCCTGCAAGACAGCGGCATCGGTCGAAATCGGTCGGCCGAGGGGCAGGGTGGATGCGAGGACGCGGGTGTGCTCGAGGAAGGGAGTAGGAAGCTTGACGAAAGAGGACTGAAGCCGGCGAGAAGAGCCGGCAGCGCGGGTGGATTTCTTCGTGCCTTTGCGAGCACGGCCGGGGTCGTGGGGGTCGGGTGCGAGCTCAGTGTCGCCGCGCTTTTGTGCGCGCTTGCCCAGGATCTGGTCCCTCTTTTTCTTTGGGGAAAATGGAATGCGACGAGGCATGGAAGAGGTGTGTGTGCAATATGCGTGTGAGGGTATGAGGATGAGGCGAATTTGATATGCGAGGTAGAGACGATCTGTATCTCGCCAGAGCTCGGCCGGGCTGTCGGGAATCGCGCCTCTGATCTCGATCGCCCTCGACCCCGCGTGTGGCTGCGCGCGACGCTGTGGCTCCCAATCATGTTATCCTGTCAGCATGCGACTGCGCGCTGCCATCGCTCTCACACCCTCATCGTGTCCTTCCAGTCTTTGTCCCTGCGCGGACCCATCCCGCTGCAAGCGCCAGAGGATGGTTCCCCACACGGTGACTATCTGGCCGGCTCCGTGCGTCAATGAATTCCAGCTTCCATGCCCGGCTTTATTTGGGACAAACGCACGGCCGCTCCGGAGGCATCACCATTAACGTGATCCGATCGACTGGGCAAGATCCGGCTCAGATGCTTGTCCTCCCCCCGTCATGCGCCTCCTCCCACCCTCCTCTCCCTCTCCCTCGTCCTCCCATGTCCTACTCGTCCTCCCCCAACCCCCGCCGCCAGAGCTACTCATACGCCCCCCACCAAGACTACCCCTTCAGCGACTACAAAAAGACCGTCTCCAGGGAGAACAAATTCATCGTCCAGTATGGCTCCCGTCTTCATAGTTACGGCAGGGACAAGGCACCCTATCCCGTCAGCTATAACCGCGAAGATCTAGAGCTGTACATACCTATCCCCACTTGGCCTCTACCGTGCATCGCTGACGGCGCGCAGTTGGAATTTAGATTACGAGCTCCTCCGCCACACCAGACAAGGCGTCGGCTCCTTTGTCAACTTCAAGGGAAAGCATCCTAAACGATGTCTCGACATTGGCACCGGAGTGGGTTGCACTGCTTCTCCGTCCCCTCCTGCTACCAAACACACTACGCTTAGCTAGGCACCTGGATCATCGATGCTGCCAGAGAATGGCCGGAATGCACATTTGTGAGTCTTGTAATGCCGGCCCCGTCGCGACATACATTCCGACCGCGGTGACAGGTCGGCTACGACCTGATGAATGTCCAGCTCCCAAAACGCTTTCTCCCCGCGGACGTAGCAGACCGCATAGATTGGGTGCACGGAAACCTGTGCGTACAGATCCGCTTTCATAAAATGGGCGTCCCGCCTAATCACCGCCTGTCAGCTTGCGGACCAAACTACCTTTTGAAGAGGAGGAATTCGATCACATTCATATCGGCGGCCTGGCATTTGGCGTGCCTGAAAATAAGGTGCGACCGCGCCCCGCGCCCCGCGCTAATAGCCGGCATATATGGGTGTTCGCTGATTGGCTGAGTTTTTTGCAGTGGACTTCGCTATATGAGGTGCGTGCTAACGACCATGGAGGTACTCGTGTTGAAATTCACATGCGCGTAGGAAATTCGGCGGGTCATGCGGACAGGCGGAACGATTGAGCAGATTGAAGAGGGTACGTCCGCGAATAATTTCACAAGGCGAGCGGGTCTGTGACCTGTGTGTAGATGCAATATTTCCTGTGCTGCCACGGTGGTTCACGGAACCATTGCATTCGCACACACGAGGGCCCTACGCGCATTTCCCTGGAGGGTCAGCCGAAAAGCACGCGGAGCCGGACCCCGACCAGGATCCGCACGAGCACGCGCTGCTCGAGTCTCTGTTTCGCGACGTGTTCGACCACCGTTTCATCAACCCGACACCAACATGTGAGTGACGTTTCCAGTGAGGCCGTGGCTCAGCTCACCCGCGCGGCAGCATGTCTACTCTCATATTTCTCCACGACCTTCGGGCATGTCATCTCACCACCGGTCCTCGCCCGCCCCATGCCACCCCTCGCCCCACTCGCCCCCCTCCCCTCCGAACTTCGCCCGCCGGAGCCCGTGCGGCCGCCATCGCCAAGCCCGCCCAGCTCAGAGTCACACGGAACTGACGGGCACACGTCTCTCCCGGCCGCGCCCGGCGGCAGCACGCCGGACCTCGCGCTCACGCTCCCCACCGCGTCCGCGTCGACGCTCGCCTCGACGGTGTCTGCGGGCTACAGCACCGCGCCGTCGTCGCTCTCGCTGTCCCCCTCTCGCGCGCCGTCGAGCGACTCGGACGTGGTCGCGCCGCTGCCGCGCACGCCCGTGCCCGCGGCGGACCTGCGGCGCGACAGCACGTCGATGGGCGTCGGGATGAACGCGGGGGGCGCGGGCGCGGGCGGCGGCGGCGGGGTGGAGCTGTTCCCGATGGAGAGCCTGCTCGCGCTGGAGGAGCACTCGCTGAACATGGCGCTGTTCCGCGCGCTGGGGCTCGTGCTCGCGGTGAAGGAGGCGATGTGGGAGGAGCTGCTAGGACGCGTCGCGCGCGGGGACCGGCAGCTTGTGCGCTATGGGTGGGGGAAGAACGACTACTCGGAGGGCGCGAGCCGCGTGCTGTTTGACGGGCTCGTGGAGCAGTACCGCAAGTGCGTGTGTGCTGGACTTCGGTGTCGACGTGTGAGGGGGATGATGCTGATCGTGCTGGTGGTTTGTCTTCCAGGGACGTGCGGGCGCGCGTCGCGCTGTGGCACTCGATGGTGCTCAGTGGGTGGGCGTACCCGCGGCAAGACCCGCTCACGAAGGCGGAGCTGATGGAGGAGGAGCGGCTGCGGCAGGACATCCTGGAGGCGCGGCGGAACGCAAAAGAGGAGGACCTGGAGGGGGCCAGCCGCTTCATACGGCTCATGGTCGGGGTGAAGATGCCGGATGCGGGGAGCATGACCTGATCGTGGGCGGGCGCGGCGGTGCAGGACTAGGCGGGTGCGTGCTTGGGAGGGGGTTTGGCTATCATTATACGTATATTTTTCTGTACATTTTGTATGCTTTGTGTGATACCATGATCAATACGACGCGGATGGAATATTTCCTGTGGGTTTGCCTAGTGTAGTGGACATACCCGACGATGCATGTTGCGAGAAAGTCTGCACGTCGAGTTAGGATGGGAGCGAAGAGGCCAAGAGCGTTTGTGAACAGAGGGTCTTCGATGCCGACGTTGGTTGGGCGAGAGTACCGAGGGAACATATTATATTGGTGATAGATTACTTATGTACGTGAAGGAATCCGAACAATCCCGACTCGGTAAGAACGGTTATGGCTACGCGAGATAGCGATCTTGGCAGGAACAAGCGGGGAGTACTTATCAGGTGCAGATTGAGATACGCGTGACGTCACGCGTCGATGGGTCGCTGTCCGCCCGCGTTGCTCTGTCTCCCCACATGCACTCGATCCTGATCCTCGGTTCGCATGTTTGCAATCTACGCATGCGCCTGCTGCTACTGGAGTCGGTTTTGTCCATTTTTAAAGTCGACCTCTGTGCTTGCTGCTTGTGCAATGTAAAGTCAACGAGGCTCCTGTCTTCCGCGTAATCAAGTCCTAATGATTAAGTCGTGGCGAGCGCACGTTCAGTGTACTTATGCTAGTATATTGGCATTTACAGGCTACTATGATATAAAAATACCTTGCAAAGACGACATGGAAGCCATCTATGAGTACGACATGCTGGAAGCTACCTGTGAGTACTCGTCAGCCGCGGTACCAGTTCGGACTGCCGTCAGCCTCAGCCCACCTGCTTCGTGAGCCATCTGCGTGCGCTGTTAAAAGAAGCTGGCACTTCGTCCTGTCCTTGCTCTGCTGTCCTGCTACCTGGATTTCACCTCGCCGCCGTAATGGCGATATTCTCACCCCCGCCTCTCGCCAAGGGACACTCCAGCAGAGCTGGCTACGAGTCCCACCCAAATCCCGAGTCTGCCGCGGACGGAGGTGCATCCGGTCCCTCCGGCCCCTATGACCAGCGCCCGACGCCGCACCCGGCCAAGTTCTCCGGCAGCGACGGGTATTTTGACGGGTACGAGCTTGGTGTGCCCGCCGGCAACCGTGCGCGGGACGTGATGTCACAGAGTTGGCCCCAGGGCCTCGCTCCGGACCAGAACCAGCCAGGGACTGACTACGACCAAACGCGCCCACAGCTCTCGCCGTGGTCGTCACCCGTCGCGCTCAGCCCCGCCGCTGCTCCCTCCAGCGCACCACAGGAAAAGCAAGAACGCACGCCGCGCGAGGGGGGCATCGTCTCCACCTTGCTCAACCTCTCCCTGCCGCGGCGTGCACGCAGGCCGCAGGCCTCTGCGCGCAGAGAGTCGGCGGGGTCCGATAATAGCGTCTTCTCGGACACTGGAAGATCTATGAGACGCGACTCGTCAGTCGCATCCGAGAGCGAGGGCGACATCGAGAAGGGCCATTCGAAGCACAGCTATCGAGACAAGGTCATGCTCAGGCGGGGCCGGAAGCGTCGTGAGATCGTCCGGCACGTCGAATGTGAGTGCCTGCGACTTGTCCTGCGCGCAATTTGTTGCTGAGTGCACCCACAGCGTATGTTCGGAGGCAGAAGTTCATCCTGAAGCTCGCGAAGACCCTGCTCACGTTCGGCGCGCCCTCGCACCGCATCGAATCTCAGCTTGAGTCTGCCTCTGCCATCCTCAAAATGGAGGCGCGTTTCGTCCACTTTCCTAACCTGATCATCGTGACGTTTCTCGACTCTGAGACGCGCACGTCTGAGGTGACCTTCGTCCGCGCCGGCGGGCGCGTCGCGCTCACGGCGCTGAACAATATTCACGTCATCTACCGGGACGTGCTGCACGACAAGCTCAGCGCGAGCGAGGGCACAGAGGAGCTCAACAAGCTCCTCCGGTCGCGCCCGCTGTATAACATCTACGTGCGGTGCCTATTTGCATTCACCTGCGCGTCGATCATCTGCGTGCTTGCGTTCGGCGGCTCGTTGCTGGACATGTTCATCAGCGGGGCTAGCGCCTCTGTCCTGCAGTACCTCGGCTTGAGGGCGGCGGCGAAGAGCTCGATATATGCGAATGTCTACGAGTGTGTATTCCATTTCGTGCATGATCACTGCTGACCCATACCCTGACTAAAAGGATCTCGGTATCGATCATTGTCTCCTTCCTTGCTCGAGTTCTGGGCTCGGTGCCAGGCGAGATTTTCTGCTATAGCTCCATCTCGTCTGCAGGAGTGGTTCTTATCCTGCCGGGCTTCACCATTCGTAAGCTCGTCGCTGACTCCTCCATACCTGTCGCACTCTGATAGCCCTTCGAATCCAGTCACCAGCGCTTTGGAGCTGGCCTCAAGGAACATCATGTGCGGTTCCGTGAGGATGGTTTATGCCATTATCTACACGCTCTTCCTGGTATGTGGCCCATTGCACTGCAGAATTTCTCCCGTTGTGTACAATGCGTTCAGGGGTTTGGTCTGACCATCGGTTCGGATTTCTACCTCCTCTTCAATCCTGAGGCTCGCCACGTCCAAGCTGCCACAGATAGATTGGAAGCGCACACATACCACGGGGCCATCATTGGCAATAACGACTCACTGCCGTTGGCGCAGCTCTCTGGTACCTTCTCGTTCACCGACGTCGGTCAAACAGCAAGTCATGTCATAAAGGGTGAGTCGTTGACCACAAAGTCAGTATATTCCCGGCCAAACAGACCTCTGCAACAGGATGTTATCGTGACCCCCAGTGGCCCTGGTGGCGGCAGCCATTCCCCTGGTGGACGGCGCTTTTCCTGGTACCGCTCTACTCCCTCTGTTCGTCGCTGGCCAACCTCCAGGCCGTGCGCAGCATCCAACTGCCGATTATGGTCGCATTCTCGTGTGCTGCTTATGCAGCGAACAGAGGGGCCAACGTGCTCATCTCCGACCGACCGGACATCGTGTCAGCGTTTGGTGCGGTCATCATCGGGCTATGTGGCAACATCTACTCCCGTATTGTCGGCGGAACAGCGTTCACGTCCATGGTCACCGGAGTTCTGTTCTTGGTCCCAGTAAGTTCATCAGCGTTTGGATGATGCACCTCTGATATCCCTGCACTATCTAGTCCGCCATTGGTAATGGAGGTGGTCTCATCCAGAGCTACAACACATCATCGCAGCAGTACTCAAACAGTTTCGACCTTGGCATTCGTATGATCGAGGTGGCTATCGGGGTCACTATCGGTCTATTTGCCGCTCAGATGACTGTCTATTCCATGGGACGAAGGAAGAATGCTGGCCATTTCGCCTTCTGAAGTCTCTGCACAAGACAAACCACAATGTCATTAACCAGAATACAAATGGTGTCTTGGTCATACGAGGATAGCAGAGCAGAGAGCGCGCGACAGCTGATTACAAGATCGTTAGTGAAGTTCTACGATACAAGTGCATGCTACAGAGGTAAATGACTCTAGAAAATAACATAATTCATACTTTACGGCAATTAGTTCCTGAAGAGTTGGTTCAATTCCTCCAAACGGCGCGCATGCATCTCGGCCTTGCTCATATTCGAGCCCAGCGTCATGTTCGCAAGTTCAGTCTTCTTTTTCTGAACCTCGAGTAAGCGTGCTTCGATCGAATTCTCGATGATCAGCTTCACTGTCGTCACTGGGCGCGTCTGTCCGAGTCGATGCTGTGGCAAAGCGTCAGCTATCAGTACGCGATTCGGAACGATAGACATACGATGCGGTCTACTGCTTGGTTCTCAACCGCAGGATTCCTAGCTACCAGTCAGTATCGAAATGAATGCACGACAAGCGTAAGACCTCGCACCAATATGGATCCATGAGATATACACGTTGTGCAGCAGTGAGGTTGAGTCCCACTCCGCCAGCCTTTAGACTGACGAGTAGGACTTCACAGCCCGGATCGTGCTTCAACGCATCCATTGCTCTTGTTCTGTCATCACGTTTCATCGTCCCATCGAGTCGGTCATATCGTATGCCAGCTATTTCTAGGGCATCTTCAATTCTGCGGAGACAAGTCAGATCTATGACAAGCATATACGGCACGAAAACCTACTTGTCCAGCATGGTGGTCCATTGCGAACTACATGAAGGATGTTAGTGAGAGTCGGATCACACGGGGAAGGAAACTTACAAAACAACAGTCTTGACGATGCCATCATCCAAAGAATTCCCCTCTCCGTCAACCATTTGAACTTCGATAGAGGTGGGATCATAGTTCACGGAATGCGGATTCGCCTTGGAAAATTGTACCAAGTCGTTCAATAGCGCCCTGACCTTGGTAGATGGGTGGAAATCCTCCATGGCGATGACGCCCTTCTGTCTCTTCTCCCGCTTCAAGGGCTTCCTCTTAGAAGCCAGCTCCAAAGACGGAGAGTCGGTGACAACTTCTACAGCATCTGTCGGGGTCAGAGCCGTCTGACATACCGAGCAGCAGCGGCTATGTTCGAATGAGACATTTGGCCAACTGGGCGAGATGCAATTGCGGAAACAGCCGATACAGAAGAGATGCTGGCATCGAGTCATGATGATGTGGGGAGCCGCTGGGCTGTTCTGTCGAGTCGAGGCGCGAGAAGCCGGGGTCTTCCCCTTCCGGCCTCCTCGCTTTGGCGTTCCCGTACCAGAGTCGCCATCTCCCAAAACACCCTCGCCCGGTATGCCGTCGAGCGGACTCGCAAGTTCGGCGCCGCATTCCACACATTGAGTGATACCTGCCTCCTTGAGCAAACTGAAGATCATGCCGGCTCTGTGCCCGTTGATCCCCTCTCTGGCAACAAGAGCCATGAGATCCTCGACGGATACTGCGGCATCCTGCGACTGTATGTCTCCTATGAGTCCGAGACCCTTGTTCTGCACTAGCTCGAAATGGTCACAGATCTGCCGCAACCGCAAAATCTTCTGGAGGATGCCGACATAATTCTTCATGACCTCATTCTTGTTCGAGAGCTCGTGGAACTCGGCCTTGGATTCGGTGAAGAACTGGTCATAGATCGCTTGCTCCTGCTCGTCGAACTTCAAGTACCGGAGTTCGTCTCTGCGGGGAGGAAGAGACAGGATATTGCGGCCGTCTTCCGCCTTCGACTCCTTGGTGCGACGTAACGTGATGCACTTCATGATCGTCTGCAAACGCGCTACTCCAAGCGGCTGGCCGTACTTCACGGGCGTGCCAATGAACTCAGTCCACACCGCCTTGTCGTCGAGAGGCTCTATCCGTAGAAACTTGATGAGCGCATAAACATCGTCCAACTTGTTTTGCACTGGTGTACCGGTGAGACAAAGTCGTCGATCGGCGACGAGGTCGCAAGATGCGCGGCAGCCGACGGTGGAGGTCTCCTTGATTGAACTATAGCGCATGAGCATTTTGAGACACACACCTGAAGAGCCGTGACGTACTGGGCTTCATCGAGGACGACCCTGAACCAATGCACGCTCTGCAGTGCACTGGTCGCCTCCAGGCTGCCATTAGCCTTCCCACAGAGCTTCTTCCGCTTCTTCGCGCCGGCCTTCTTCGGCCTCGGAAGCCTGAGAATCTGGTTACCCCTCTCGTCTACCTCGAGGCCGCCTTCGTCGACGTCACTCTCGTCCTCATCTTCATCCTCAACACTTGCCGTACTCTTCACCTGCTTCGAGTACTCCGAAGCAAGCGTGGAGTACGTAGTAATCACCGCGTCAAAATCGGCGAGGAAGACTGGATCCGGCCGGCGCGCATTGCCATGATATACATACACGCGTAATGGCGGTCCTTCGCGTATTCGACCAACTGGTATCTTGATGTCGACAGTGGCGTCGCCTTGTGAGCTCTGCGGAGACGATGGGAAGGCGTGCAATGACGACAAGCCACTGCCAAGCAGAGGAGTACTCGGCGCGGGGGCGCTGCCACCTGCGCCGCCAACAACCTGAACCTCACCGCGCCAGTGCTCCCGAAATTGGTCCTCCCAATTCACGACAGTAGACAGCGGGCAGATGATGAGTGTTGCGCGGCTCCTCACTTTGATACGGCAGGCCCGAGCATACAGTGCCTGCTCACGATCGTGTTCTCGCGCAGCCTTTGCTTGTTTTCTCGATGAAGTCGCCTCTGGAGCAACCGGCATTCCCCACACACTACCAGCAAAATGCGCAGAGGAAAGTGCAGACTCCAGCGAATCGGGAGGAGATGCAGGTGGGACAAGGGGAACCGTCGCAAACTCACGCGCGGAGCGCAATGTCGCCGCTATCAATGAGACACAAGTGATGGTCTTCCCTAGCCCCATCTAGACACAGGATTGAATTTCATGCGCTTATTATTTGTACGACTGATACACGTACATCATCAGCCAGAATTGCCCCTTTCGTTTCTTCGGGCTGTTGCGGTATTTCTCTCTGGGTTACGATGTGGAGCCATGAGCACTGCCCTGAGATGGGATTGAAACGCTCCTGCCATAGCGAGGAATATCTCCTGTTGGGACCATACTCGCGCTCCCTCTCGAGTAAGAAAGTCAGCGCTTTCTTCTGATGGGGATAAAGCGTTGTTGCGACCTCCGGTGCTGCGCAAGCGACAGAATGAGTATGGGACTCAAGATGTTAAGGGTAGAAACATACGCGAGTCAGCCTCCACGAGCTCGTCTCCGTCCCGTAGGCTTTTGAAGAGCTCATCAACCTGGCTCCGCTGCACCTCCACGCTCTTTCCAGATACCATTGGCGCATTCCAACGCCCTACGTTACTTCCGCCGGGGCCCGAGTATCCTATGCGGCCATTCTGACCCACCATCGCTCTCGCAAATCCGCCCGGTGGTGGATTATGTGGATTAAAGTAGTACCCTTTGAGGAGTCGTTGCACGTCCGAAGCTAGAGTTGGATGATCTAGGAACAGACCCTGCTGATGCAAATAATTCGCGACGACTGGTATGTTCCCTTTAGGCGTCCAAATGATCAACTGGAGCGGAAGTATTGGGATCTTGGGAGTTTCAGACGATAAGATCATCAACTAGAGCTTTGATGCGAACTAGGGACTCACGTTCGGCATGCCTCTTCTGACCTTTGCATCTATCCGAATCAAACCTTTCCCCAGCATCGGACCAACCACGGTGGCGACCTTCTGTTCCACGACTGCGAAGTTCTCCTCCTGCACGGGTTCGCCTGTCGATAGACGACGAGAGGGGGCCTTTATGTGGACCGTCTCCTTGTTTGGTGTCTGTTCATGCTGCAGACGCACCACAGCCCAATCGGCGTCGCCACCGCCCTGAGATGGCTCTTTGGCAATAAGATAGGTAATGGGATAGAGCACGAGAGCCGTGACCGAAAGCTGGCCAATACAAACCGGTGTCCTGGGAGGTAGGTCACTAGGCAAGTTACCTTGTGTCGACTGTGCCGATACACAGGCGGTGGGAGGAGGCGTAGGGGAGTTCGTGAGATCAATGACTTGACGATCGTTCGTGTTGAAGTTAAGTGGGTTGGGGGCAGCGCGAGGGATAGGAGGAGGTAGCTCTGGTCGAGGGGGATGCATGAACGCGGGCCTCGGTCGAGGCTGGAAAAAGGCCGAGGAGTCCGAAGGGCCTGTAAACGGTGGCGGCCGTATGGTGTTTGGTATGGGAGGTACCGGACCACCATTATAATGCTGGCTTCCCCAATATGGCGGCGGTGGTGGCAGTGGGCTCGAAGCAGACATAGCGGGGGAAAGACCTGAGGACGGCGGACGGGATGTTCGGTCCTCACCGTGACTATCGACGCTTGCCGCGTCGAAATTGCGGCCCAGTGAGCAGGGGCGCTTGCATCTGCGGTCAGAGTAGCTGTCGGAGAAGTCGTCTTCGTCGTCGTCGTCCAGTGTAAGATCAATCGGGTTGGACTGAGAGTAAGATCGGAAGGGTAGCACCATATTGCTAGTAGAGGCCGACGGCTGGGCAGCAGTGCTAGACGATGCTTGGAATGACATCGGATATGGGCGTCAGGTGTGTAGGGATGTAAAGGTAAGTCGCGGTTGGGGGGCCGCAGGGACTCGTCGACGCAGGATGTCGAGAAGAGGTAGAGAGCAGTACAGTCCTAGCGCGCTAAAACCGGTCCAGTTGCTTACAATACACGTGACTCAGAATATGAGCAGAGCTTGGGAAAACATATCTTGCTGCCTACGGTCTTCACAGGTTGCGCTGTATAGTGCGGTCTCAGGCTGTAACTGTGGTCAACACTTCTTGGTCGACATATAGCGCAACTGGACGGAGGTGTACCGGTCCTTAGTCATCTCCGAGTCTGACGGGTGATTTCAACTATGTGCGTCGGAGGAAAGCGACCACACTCAGCCGGCTGGCACCTGTGTCTCCGTTGCTTTGTCATGTATCTGTCATCTTCCCGCTGCTTGGGCCGTTCTCGGTGGCCGGGCGGACCTCTCGAGTCGACGGCGGCGGCGGCGTTATTATGTCCCATCTCCGTGCTCACTGCCTTCAGAGGACCAGAGCTTTACGACCAACGAAGCTGCGTTGTTGGAACCCCGAGCTAGGAACCCGGTTCGGCAGCTTCTCCTGACACGATGAAGTCTATCTCCCAGATTCGAATGCGAGATGCGGGAAGCCGCGTTTGATGGAACGTGGTATAGTGTGTATTTCCCGCTCTCTCAGTCAGTGACGTTGATGTGATGACAGGAGCTGACCACGGTGCCGGTACTGCGTGTTGGTTACAAGCGCGCATTTGTATCAGCGCACCGTCCAAACGGTTCTCAGTAAAGCAACAGGATACAGCGTGTTAGGACGACATTCATGGTTGACCATGATCTCCAGAAACGTGGATATCGCACTGTATGCATATTGTTTTCTCGTGGCTCATGTCCGGCGACCATGTCCAATATAGGGGGCACGGTGGAAGATCAACTGCCCGTTGGACGCAGCGTCCTCGAATGGGAGACTAGGGCACGTATACACGTGTAGACTACTTACCGGCGTCGAGCACAGCAAATATCATTCTCCGTCATTGTATTGAAGCTTGGTATTCGAAATAGTTGCCGAGGTAGCATTCATTTAATCATTTCGGAGCCAGGGTAGCTCGAAGTCGGGCGTCTCAGCATTCTACCCAATTCCCAGTATCACAGATTGCTCGCAACGATACGAGTCCATGAATGAGTTAATAGACTCGGAAAGGTCAGCAAACACAAAGCGCACTCTATGTAAATGAGGGACGGGCGCTGTTACAACAAGTAAACGGACGAGAGCAGGACTATGAGCTACACCAAGAAAGTATGAAAGCATACACGAGTAGAGACGAGTACTATCAAGAAAGTAGCACACAAGAGAGCCTTTGGAGTATTTTTGTTTGACGGCAACCCGTTGACCAGAAAACAGTCGTGTGCGCTGATCAGGATGCTGGCAGGACGCAGTAGCAGTGATTTCGCTTCGCGTCGGCATATATCTTGTTGCTGAGACTGTTGGCTGGCGAAGAGTCGGCAGTGGCCTGCGTTTTGCTTGACTCACCTAGTTTGGACCGTTGCATACTAGCATTGATAACGAATATGGATAAACAATCCATACTTATAATCCATGTCTCGAATCAGGGTCTTCACGCTCGGTAGCGCGAAGACGATGTCCGAGAATGCTAGTCTGAAACGATACAAATTACTGAGACATAGAGACTTGTCACCTATCAGCACGGGCTACTAGAACACTGGCACTAGTCGTCACGATACAATTACATGATCAGGCACCTAGTAAAGTGTCGTCAGCCATACGTCCATCATACAGTTAACTGCTATACTTACGCGGAGCCCAACCCATGGCATAATAGGCTTGTCTAGCCGCTTCTTCCTTGGCGAGCTGCTTGCTAGCACCGGATCCTTCACCTTTGGGAATGCCGTTGACTGTTGCTGGGTGTCACAACGGGAAAACACGATAATTGCCATGTTACGTACCAACACATTGTACGGTCCAGCGGCCTGCGTGAGCCGGGCCTGAGAATTGCGCCGGGTACTCCACAGCCAGCCTGCGCTGATTCGCAGTCTGGTTGAAGAGTGGCAAAAAGGCCGCCTGAGGCTGCGCAGGCGCCAACGGATTCGTTGGGAGCGGTGGGGGAGCATTCATGGGCTGAGGTGGAATTGGCATGATCGGGGGTGGGGTAGGGGAGCCCATAGACTCCGTCTTAACCCTCTTGATAGCGGCATCCATGTCGCCGTCAGGCTCGACATGCATGGGGGGATCAAAGTCGGGGTCAACGAGCTGCCCAATCCACCTCTGCACCATCTCCATCCCGTTCTGAGCAAAGACGGCGCCGACATACGAACAGAATAGCAAACGTGCCTCCTGATAAAGGGTTAGGACGACGAACCATAATAGTACACATTGGTGAGGCGACCGATACCTTGGGTTCCGACAGAGTGGTGACAACATCAGGGCTGCAGCGCAGCTTCTCCCTGAACTTGTAGGCAATGATCCAGGATTCTATATTGGCCTCGGATAACACCTCTCGTCTTTGTGCCTGGTGAGATCGCGGAAGATCAGTACATCAGTACACATCGAGACTCATGTGGCGCACCTCGATATCTTCCGCCTTCAACATCGGCCTCTTGGAAAAGAGAGAGAATGTTACCGCGGTCTCCAAGACTTTCTCACCGAGCACAGACAAGCGTTCGTTATCGCCATATTCAGAGTCCTCGTTGGTGGGAGCACCCGGGAAGCGAAGGGATTTGTGGGTGAAGACCTCGAGGATGATGTCGCCACGCAACTTAGGGGGAGGGGGAGGGGGATAGCTATCCATAGCGTTGGCAGGAGAGCGTGGGCGCTTCAAACTGGTCGGTGTCGGTGTAGACACCACGGGTACAGCTGAAGAGGGCCACGTGCCGTCTAGAAAGCCAATGGGGGATTGAGTTTAGCTCAACAGCCTGCAGGCAGCGCAGCACGGGTGCCGGTGATATCTGGAACTCACCTGCAGAAGATGCGGACCACTGATGAGATTCGGACTGCATGCTGAAGCCCTTGACTCCTGCCTTCACCATCAACGATTTAGTGAAGTGGCGATTATACGTTAGACCGATTGCAGAGCTAGGTCAGAAGGAAGGAGTAAGACCTCTTTATGTAAATTGGTTGGGTGTTCTTGATGAGCGTTTCTGAGAGGCACCGTGTGCGGACTCGGTCCTCTAAATACTCCTCCGCGTGACGGGCCACATCCGCGCGCCTCGTGGCACTCGCGGGCTTTAACCTTCGCCACACCCAGACAACAATGCAACGCTTGAAAATTTACGCCGTTCCGCAGCCGCGGTGACAATCTATAGATTTTGATCGTATATATCAAAACTATCCACTATATAGGATATACGTGCTAAGCAACGTGAAAAACAATGCAAATTACAGCACAAGTAATACAGTATACAAAAGTACAGCAACGGCTATCACTTGCTTAAGTCTATTACTCCAGGGCCTGACGTAGCTAGCGCACGTCTCTGTTGCTTGGTGTAGATTTTGGTCAAGATGCGGATAGTGGCTTCATGTGCGGAATCGCCTGCGAGGCGATCAATAGCCATCTTCACCCTTTGAAGAAATCAGTCAATGTCATGTTGTTGCGTCAACCAACATACGCTTTGGGGCCCTCCATTACTAAGGGGCAATCCTTCACTAGATGATGAGGAGATTGGCCACACACTACACACACGGGATCATTATCGTTTATTTTCTTCTTCTTGGTCGGTAAGTTTGCGGATGGCGACACGGGACGCTTAGATGAGCTAGCAGTAGGATTCGATGCTGACGTCTTGTACAAATTCTGAGCATTGTCGGCCACAGGAAATGCCGGAGAAGGTATGCCTTGCGGTCGCAGCAGTGGCGCTGCAGTCATTTTGGAGCCTCCTGCCTGTGCACTTCCCGGCCGTCCATTAGTTTTGCGTACAGTCGAAAGGGATAGCGAAGACCCGTTCGATCCTTCTTGCTTGGACCTTTTCCGAGGTGGAGGATCCTGGTCTTTGGGAGGATGTTCAACGAGATGGAGAGGTTGACCGTAGATGAGGTGTATCATGCCCCGTTTGTATAACGCCTCATCAATAGCTTGAATCGCGGCACGCTGTCACAAAACACGTTGCGTTAGATAACTAACGACGATCATGAGTAGGAACCAGAAACAAAGCGTACACGATCTTCCAACGGCTCATCCCCGGCATGTAAGATCAGCATCAAGCGGTACTCGGCAAGGTTCTCAGGGCTATTTGTCATGTAGCATTGTTCACCCCCGTGCTGGCCACCACAAAGCCCGCATGGTGGATCTACCGTGTTGAGAATAGGAGAAAAAGGCTGAGGGAGGTTCTTCAAAGTATTTGCCGAAGACGGACTGAAGCGTTTCGAGGAAGACGGCTTTGGGGAACGTGGTCGGCCGACCGCTATCTTAGTGGACTGCGCCTTCGGGGAAGAGGACATGGCGGGTGCGATTGTGGCAAGGTCTTCTGCAAGCATAGAAGTAGCATGGCCAGTACTTGAGCCTTCAGAATCGGATGCTCCAGATTCAGGCCCAGCATAGACATCCGAGTCATCTGACACCTGCGACTTCGACTGTTTCTTCCTGCCCCTTCGTTTCGGCTTGTCCTGGGTTTGGCTCTTCCCCTTGTCCTCATCCACCCCGTCGTCCAGCTGTGTGTTTTGCTGTGCAGCGCTCAGCGACGACATTTGCCACCTATGGATGTCAAAGGACGTACCTGTGGGAATACTGCTGCAGCACGACGTCTCGCTCCCCGACCCGTGGTCTCTTGAGCTTGGACCTTCGTGCGTTCCGCAGCAATGCGCTCCAGAGTCTGCGCCCATGAGTCAACTTGGTCAGCAGTGTCCGGTCCTTCCTCTGGAATCTCTTCGAGCGAGTCCTTGTCCGCTGACCACACTTTGGCAAACGAGAATGTATTACCAGACGCCGATGTAGATTCGACCTCGTCGCCCTCTTTTTCCGTTCTCTCTATCAGCTTGTCTATGTCATGGTCGGAGTCTGATGGACGATGATTGGGATGATCATCAAACATGTCGGACTGAAACTTACAATGAATCTGGCGTTTTTCTACGTCTTGCTCGTCTTCGAATAGTGCTTGAGCACCGAACATCAGAATCGACTGCACATCTTCTTTTGAGCCCTCCTCATCATCCATTTTCTGCACAATGAGGTGATCTAGGACGAGTTTCTTCTTCCCTGTCTGCATGATCTTGTCTGGGAGACAAGCGTCAACAATGTGTGTCTCCACGTATAGGCTGCATGCGCACCTTCCGCAGAGCCCTTGACCATCAGCTTGAACACGAGACATGTCTTCTTCTGGCCATAGCGATGAGCACGAGCAATCGCCTGTGACATGATCAGATCAAGCTAGATGGTTTGGGGCAAGGTAAAATCGTACTTGGAGATCCTGAAGAATCACCGTTAGGAGAGGGTAGAACGGGGCGCAAATTGGATCGACGCACCTGGTGAGGATTAAAGTCCGGATCAAAGATGATCACTGTGTCGGCAGTCCACAAGTTGATACCAACGCCACCGGCTCTTGTCGTCAGGAGGTAAATGAAGACGTCGGATCCAGGCTTGTTGAACTCGTCCATGCCCTTCTGCCTGTCAGCTTGTTTCGTGCTACCATCCTGCAGTAAGTGGTTACAACGACTTCCCAAACTGACATACTCCTGGGAGAAACATACCAGTCGCAGATATTTGTCGCCTTCACCAATCAGGAAATCTTCGATGATATTCAGCGCGATAGCGAACTGCAGCCAAGTCAGGAAACAGCACATGAGGGAAGATCACAGCCCGAACCTGGCTGAACAGTAACACTCGGTGCCCACGCTCGCGTAGTTTGGGCAACAAGGACTTCAACAAGCCAATTTTGGAACTTGCATCAATGAGTTTCGCATGAGCCTCTTCGTTCGATAGGCCTTTCGGCTCAATCTCCTCTGAGACCAGATACGGGTGTTGCAAGCATCTGAGGAGACATCAGTCTGGTCCATAGCTACAGATTATATCGACCTACTTGCGGAGTTGCATCAAGATATTGTTCATATTGCTCTTACTGACGGCCGCGCTGACACTACTGCCCACGGATCGCTCCACGAGGTTACGCAGAATACCCAGATTTTGGCCTGTAAAAGCATTAGCAGTGTAGAAGAAAGTGAATAGTGCACATACTTAGGATCGACCTGTAGACTTCTCTCTGCAGGGGTGACATGCTGACTGGGACGATGACTTCATTCTATGTTTAATGATGAGCCTTACGACACACAAGGCACTCATGAATGCATGGCCAACCTTCGGTGGTAATTGAAGGACTTCGGACTTGATGCGTCGCAAGAAATACGGTTTCAGCCTAGCATGTAGCTCCTTGATAGTATCCTCCGACAACTCCTCGTACTCTTTAGCTAGAGCATCCAGGTCGGACCACCCACCGGGATCGAGAAAGTTCATGAGGGTAAATAGCTCGCGTATGTTGTTGTTCAGCGGCGTCTAATCGCTAGTGAGTTACCAAGCGGGGGAAGTACAGACAATTGCACTTACGCCCGTCATGATGACGCGGTGTATTGTGTTCAGTTCCTTCAACTTCTTAAAGATCATACTATCGTCACTCTTGACTGGCGCACCATTAGCTATTACTTTCGGACTACACATCAGATTCGACTCACGTCTTTGGCCTTCATCAACCACCAGGATCTCCCATCGTGGAGTGTTTTTAAACACTGGCGTGAACTCTCTTGGATTAGTGATCATTTCATAGGTCGTGACCAAGACGTGAAACTTGGCTCCGGTGGTCCTTGGCTTCTGGTGATGGTGGAAAAGCTCATAACGCTTGATGATATCCCGAGCCTTAGCCTCTCCATAGAATGGTACGACACGCAACTCCGGTGCCCAGCGCTCAAACTCTCGCACCCAATTGGTTATAGTAGAGTTCGGTACCACTACCAGAACCGGATTTGCTTGGTGGTGCCCCACGGTATGTCCTATGAAGGTAGCAATTTGCACAGTTTTACCCTTCGTGGATTCAGCGACATTCTCGCAATGACGTGTTATAAAGATGACTCACCAGGCCCATCTCGTCTGCCAGGATACAGTTCTGATGGTTCCACCAATTGTCGCACAGCCAATTCACACCATCGACTTGGAATGGCATCAGCTTCAGTTGCGGACTTTGTCCCAATTGTGGCTGCTCCTCAACCGTAAATGCCCACTTCTTCCGCCAGGCGTTCTGAGGACGACCATCGAATGCTTTCGCCTCTGCACTCGATAGTTTTGGTACGTGCAGTTCTTGAGCCGCGACGAAACGCTCAAAGGCATTTTGGAATGCTGTGTAGCCCGCCTCACCCTGCAGGGGCGGAGAATCCCAAGAAGCTGAGAGTTGCATGTTTCACGTCAGCCCAACGCAGAACAAGTTCGAAACACTGACCGTCCTCGTACCCGAGGCCATCCCACTTCGTGAATACCCAGACGACCCGGTCAATATCATCAATCCGTAACGAGCGTCGAGTCCTATCTGTGTAGTTATCGATAGTCTCGGTCAAATCGTCGCTTGGCTGTTCTCCTGCCGTGTAGACAGCCTGATGCTCCTTCTCGACCGCAGCCTTTTCCGGGTCTCCCTCTTCGTCGCTCTCGTCTCTCCTTGCGTTGCTTCGGCGCTGGTGTTTCTTCTTGGACTTGTTGTGCACGCGCTTTTCAGGATACCAAAATAGAACGTCCAAAACTCGGTCGGTCGTCTTCCAAGCTGGAGGAATTTTGCGTTCCGCATCGGGGTTGGGTTGCAACGCAGACGACTCGTTGGTCTGCAGTTGCGCGGATGCATCGTTCTCGGTCTCTCCGCCGACGAGGAATGGGATAGCACCACTCTCGTCACCCTCGACCTGGCCTTCAGACGGTGCTTCCGGGAGCAATGGGACTTTACTGCCGGATTGCAGGAAGTTCCTCAATCTGGCAGTGTTCGTGGCTAACAACCAACCGTGCGGCACCCATGACGTCCGACGATAACTGCGGTCGGTCCATTTGATCAGGTACTCCCGGGGAAGCATCTGCTTGTGGTTGATAGGCTCTCCCGCTTCGCGTACTGGCTCGACAGCATTCTCGGGATATGGTCGCCATGCCAGGATATGATCTACTGTGTAGACATACGAGATGCAATCGGCACACTGCCAATGATTGTTTTCTTGATAGTGCTCGGCGAGTTGGACGGCAGAAACATCCTCTGGAGAATCGTCGTGGTCTGGAGGAACAGGTAGATGTGCATAATGCGCGATGCGCTTGCAGGTAACACACCGGAAGACCAGCTCAGCCGGTGTGTCTGGATCGGGATCTTCTGCGCCCGCTGTCGACGTCGTCGGTGCATCCGCGGTTGCGTCCGCCATCTCAATATCACCCTCATCAGCACGGCCTACGGGTACGCCATTCTGCTTCGGCTTCGGGTGCAGCACGTCGTCGGCCCTGATCGCAACTTCTCTGCACGACATACAGACTCCACCTTTCATGCAAGACCCACATATGAATTCCGTTGTTTGATAGGGAGTCAGATTAGGACGCTTCATGGGCTCTAGAGGTGCCTTCGCGGGGTTAGCAGATTCTCCCGGTTGGTTCTGCGCGGTTTGAGCAGCTTGCCACTCGGCCTTGTCTCGGTCGAGGGCTGCTTTGAGGATCTCGTCACGCTGAGTCTTTGCCAGGCATCCCCAATGTGCAGCGACAGGACATTTCAGGCTTGAACCCGCGAGTATCAGCATAAATTACGTCCGTCCGGCGCAGACACCTACCATCTAACCCAACCTCCGAGAGCGGTCAGACGCTGTTCATCATCCTCGGCTTCTTCATCAGAACCCTTCTTCTTTTTCCTGCCCTTCTTTGGCTTCCGCGCATCTAACAACAATTGATGGGCCGGTTTCTTGTGGCATTTCTCGCACGTTTTCCTGTGTGCTCGGAGCGGAGCGGTGTCTGGGTCTTCCTGCTCATCCAGTTCCATGTCCGCTATCACCCGGAACCTACCGTAAGCAGGCCGCGATGCCTTGCCTCGCACAATCTTCTTCTGTTTCGGGGCCTTAGGCTTCGAGTATGAGGAGTCTTCGTCATCAAACTCGTCACTATCTACGCCATCGGCATCGTCAACGAAGTCGTTGTCGTCGAGATTGGTACGGACAGTCTTCTTTGAGCGAGTCGACCGCCTCGTAGGCTGAGGGACCTCTTGCACCTCACTGTCAGTACTATCAAATTCGTCACTGTCGGGCAGGAAGTACGACTTGATAGAGGGCATTTTCTTCGGACTGAATGGAAGGGGTCGAGCGTTATTGGTACTTGTCCCTGCAGCCGCGCGGGTGACTCTTTTCGCGTTGGAACGACGGACGTTGTCATCGGAGTCGTCCGACGGTATGCTCATGGCCAGCTCGTCAGAGTTAGAGCGCTCCCGCCTGCGGCGAGTCTCTTTGCCCTTGAGCTTGACAGGTAAACGGACCCGTGAATGATAATGAACGTAGGTCGCGGAAGGATCGAAGGGCAGAAGAGTGCCTTTCGCCTTCTTTTGTTCTGCAGGGTGAGAGCTTATATCAGTCGAGGGCGCGAAGCATTAATGCCAAACGACCTCACCATATCGCTCAACGAAGACCGGATGTCGCATTCTAAACTTCACTGCAAGGCGCTGTGTGGGAAACGAAGAGGTCAATACTGAATTAGGCAGGCCCAGAAGAACGACTAAAAGGTATTCCGGAGCGGCATCACTTTGAAAACATCATTCGATAACCGATGCACAAGAGTGACATACGTGTGTGTGCGTTTGAGTTAGAAACGAATGGACATGGGTACGGACTCAGAATACGGTACAGGTTTTGCAGCATATCATAACGCACGGAATGACCATCGTCGATCATCACAATGAATTGCAGCGGGCTTCCATGCAGAGGATAAACATTTTATAGACGTCTGTACGTACCTTGTATGCAATTCCGTCTGAATATTTCACGAAGTAGTATAGCTGCCGCCCCTCCCGGTACTCTCCAACGACGGAATCAATCTCGTCGTCGTCGAATTCGTCCACGTCTGAAGGCATTTTGAGCTCGCTCCAGTTAGATTGATATAGCGTCTTCTGCTCTTCCGAAAGGTGCGGGATAGTAATATAGAAAGGCTGCTCGGATGACGCGGGCGGCTCTGGAAACCCGTCGATGGCAGCCGGGGAGAGTGGCTGTTCGGAGGTAAGAACAGATAGCGGCGAGTCTGTGCGCGGTGTGGCCGACCGTGGCGGGAGGTTCTGGGGCGATCCCGGAGGCTGTGGGTGCTCGGGTGGTGGCTGTATTGAGATCTCGCTAGCAATCGGAATTTCAAGAGTATCAGAAGAAGGCTCAGCCATGCCAACGCCCTGCCACTGACAGAGCAGATAGAGAACGTTATTCGCGCTTGAGCACGCGTTGGACGCGTCGTCGACGCGTCGACAGGTGAGTGTGGTTCGGTGCTAAAGCCGGGCGTGGCGCCAGTTCGATCGAGTTCGGCCTTCTCACGCATATACCCAGCGAGCTTCCGGTCAAAGCCAGATTGCTACTTGGCATCTTTATTTCATATTATTAACATCGCAATGATGACGCCGGCAACTCGTGTCAATCTACTCTATATACATGCACTACACATAGCATGTTTATGAAGGTTCAACTATAAATTGAAGAGGGAGTCGCTTCAAAGCAGCCGAGCGGATAGCAGCCACTCAAAACACTGTTGAGCGAGCTGTTCTCCGTGGTCTGCAGGCATTGGTCAGTGATCTCGTTATGGTTTAGTAATCAAAACACACTAATGCAGAATGAATGCGGAATATCCGCCTGACCGTGGACAATCTTCACAGAGCTCGAGCCCGCATCAAATGCTTTGAGAATGTCTTCCTTTTGTTGTCCTACCCAGCCATCACTCTTCGCAAAGTAAAAGTGCAGACGACGCGAGTATTCTTGGAGTAATGTCGCGTCCAGATCCCGTATAGTCACCATCTCTTCATGCGCCAGCGAAAGGCTTGCATAGACAGCCGAGCGTGCATGAAGCAAAGTGCGTAGGACCAGGACTTGAGTATGCGGCCAGTCCGGGAACAGCATGGCAAGCACACGAAGAGGGAGCGCCCGAGTCAGGACCGAGGCGTACGAGATCAATCTCGGAAGTGGTGACCGGAATACCCACTGGATTGCGTGTCAGCACGATCGAAGCGCAGACACGAGAGCGACTAGCGTACCGAGAGCGAGTGGCCGTTGGGCGTCTTTGCAATATGAGCGATTGTGGGGAACAGAAGAAACACAGAGGCGATGGTATCTGGCCTTGCTTTCATAACCTGAGTATCGTCAGGATGCATACAAGTTGCACGAAGGAAAGGGTCCACCTGGAGTGTTATCCATGCACCCACGCTGTGCCCGGCTACGGCAATGGCAGACTGTGGAAAGGCGGCTTTGATAGCATCGACCGCCTCTAGCGCACTCTCAACTTGTGCTGTCAGGCCAACACTGTAAGGGTCCTTGTAGGCGCCTCCGTGGGGGACCGCCGGAGAGTGGCCAAGGTGACCGTGCGCTAGGATGGACAGTCTTCCCCCGCTTTTCTCGTGCAGCGCAGCCAGAAAGGGAGTGTAAAATTCAACCAGCCCAGGGTTGCCTGCCTGAGAGGGCGCGATAAGCATTCTGAGATTGGCTATACACGTCCATTTGATACTGAATCACCTGGGATGAAGAGAAGGACGGCAGGAGGGATGTCGACGTGTGATGGCCACCAGAATGCGTGGGCCGACGCGTCTAGCTTGTCATGGGGAAACACGGCGTTTACGCATGGCTCGAGTACGACAACGTCTTGTTGGAAAGGCCGTAGAAATGGTGGAAGCGCAGACATGGTGATTGCGGGGAGACACATAGCGCTCGTGTGGAGACCTCACCCTAGCTCGTTATGGCAACTGTAATGGTGAACAGTCCCGCTGCACAGCGTTGGGAGTCAACTTGGGACTTCCAGCCAGCCAGCCTCCAGCCAAGTTATGTCCCGACAGCCCCCAAACTATCAGGCAGGCTCAACTCGTCCACGACGCCCTTCTGCTTCACAAAATGGCGCACCAACATCGGTTCCGCCTGTCAGGCCATTGCAGATCAACCGCAACCCTCAAAGACCGACCACGCCGAGCAGTGCCTCCGCTGCGTCTACTTCTCCTGTAACACCGAAAGGTCCCCCACGACCCATGAGATCTGGTCTGAGAGAGCGAAGGACGTCTGAGTACTCTGGTTCAGACCGAGCCTCTGTCGATTCGCGCGTTACTCGTGATTCGAGGACTTCGGGTGAACACACTGATGCGACGCGTGCTGATCCGCCCCTTCCTCAAAGAACACGTAACGATGCAGCAGGCTCGTCCAAGCAATCAAATGGACGATCGAAACTCGCACCCTCACCCTCACCCATCTCTCCAATGTCACCAGAGTCGGAGCTGTCGCCTACGTCCCTGGCTGCTATCGCAGCCTTCCAGTCGTTCGGCCGGAAGAGGGGGATGTCCAATGATAGCATGATGGACGATGAGTATGAAAGGCAAAAGGCGCGAGAGCTCGAGGAGCAGAAGGCTCGCCAGCAGAGATTACGGGACAGAGTGCCAGGGAGGAAGCCGACTGGAAAGACGAAGGCGGGGGATATTGATGGTGAGCATAGTGACATGTATAGGATGTCGTTGGGCAGGAGCCTCCCATGCAAGTTCTAATGAATTGCTCCAGCGGTCCTCGATGAGATCAAAGACGAATGGGCGATCGTTATTGATTCTGATGTGAGTCCTGAAATTACGTCGGTGCTGCCTGACGCGTATGAATGATGCCAGTTCAATCCTGTGGACCTAGCGCTACAATTGTTGGATGAATCCTCTCTTGGAAGGGATATAGATTCGTTCAAGCGCACGAAGGATAAGCTATCGAATGCACTGAAAGGGTCCGTGGATAGTACGTCGTATGACACGCTACACTGAACGCATTGAACCGAACATGCGGTTGCCGATGCAGAGTATTACCAGGCATTTGCTGGTGCGCTGCCTCATCATGCTGCTCTCTTGAATCATCTCGGTGTCGCGCAAGACCAAGTGCGAGAGGCCCGGACTGCTCTGCAAGAAGCCAAGGACACTCTAGGCAGCAAGCGTGCCGACCTCGTCCAGCTGTGGTCAAGAAGCCAAACAGTAGACGAGATGATACGGATCCTGGATCAGATGTATGTGTCTGTCGCGGTTCAAACATCTCCGCCAGTGTATAACAATTTCTTGTTCAGTGAACGGCTAAGAGCTGTGCCAGATGCATTGGAGAGCCTGATATCGGAGAAGCGTCTATTACAGGCTGCCGTTTTGCTTGTGCGCAGCCTGAAACTGATCAATAAGCAAGACATGCAGGATATTGGGGCTGTCGCGGATCTACGAGGCTACCTCAAATCTCAAGAAGTGGTATGCATCATCCAAACTTCCTGATAACTAAGATCTCAAGCCTTCGTCTTAGTCTCTGCGAGAAATACTGGTCGACGAGTTGCATGGTCATCTATACCTACGCTCCTTCTGGTGCGAATCTCGGTGGTCAGTTTATACACCCGGGCAACAAGCTTGTAAGCTCTGTATATTCTCGCTCGATGCTTCCGACTAACCTTGCAAAGTTCCTGCACTTGAGTCAGATGAGGAACCATTATCTGCCGAGCTAAAGGCGATGTCCAACACTCCGTTCGCCCCGACCTCACCGATCTCACGACCCACACGCCTAAGCCGGTTCCTTGACGACCTGGCTTTACGCGCCAACGACCCACCTTACGACATCAATGAACAGGATGCCCGCGATAACGCATCAGGAGGTTTGACGTCGTCCGCAAGCGCAAATCTTGGCATCCCTGCAGCACAATCATATGCGTCCATCTCTGGCAACAACTTTGCGACAAGTACAGCGTCCACTTTTCTCACAGGTTCTCTGCAGCCACCCCCCACGCGAAATCCGGAAGCCGACTCGTTCTCCTATATCGAGACACTACTCGAGTCACTTGCAGTACTCGGCAAGTTGGGCAACGCGCTAGATATAGTTGCCCAAAAGCTCCCCGGTGAGATCTATTCTCTCGTGGAGGCTACCCTCGACGAGGTCGAGGAGCGTGCCGAATTTGGGCGGCGAAACTCTGTACTCGCCTCTGTTGCACCTAGTGTTGGCACCGGTCGATTAGATGAAGTCATGTCGCTAACGGGCACGGGTGTTGCCCCCGGTGCCGTTGGTATACCTGGTGTCATACTCGCTCCTGGTACTGCGCCTGCCATTGGCGGTGGCCAAAGAGGTCCTCCGCTGAGGGCGACCTATCTGCGACTCACTGCCCTGGAGTCCTCGACGAAGTTCTCGGACCAAGAAACACTACGAGACTTCTTCTGGACATTATACTCCAAACTCGATGCCGTCACGCAGGGCTTGCGCGTAGTCTATGAAGTAGCAAATCGAATAGGCTCGGTGAGTGTCGCTCGCGCTCCGCCGGCGATTACAACCCGAATCCTTATTTTACTTTGTGACCACTCCAGAGACGAGATTTTAGGGACTCGTCAGGTGCAAAGCCCGGGTCACTATTTCCCTTGGCGGAGGTCTGGATGCCAGTACAAGCCGAGGTTAGGCCCTTCAACGTCCACGGTCGCGACATCATGCTGATGTCCCTATAGGTCCGCACATTGATTGGTGACTACGTCACCGATGAGGAGCAGGGTACTGTTTCTGGCCGCAATCCTATCTCGTCGATCAATGAGGTCCTTCGAGATGGTAGGTTCGGTCGGGATAAGACGAAGGTCAGTTGTGTGCGTTGGGTGGATCGTGGCCAAAATGCTAAATGATATCATCCAGTCTGTCTTCCGTTTCGCAGACACCGATGCTAAGACCACGGCGAAGGTTCTGAAGGAACACGAAGACCAACTCACACGCGTCTTGAAGGACACCGTCCCGGGACTGGTGCAAGGCTCTGCGGACAACGCTACACAGGCTACGCTTTCTGCAGTCGGCACTGACGATCGACTCACGGGAACGAGTCAACATCACAGAGTTTTAGTGCATCCTGACGCATTCCATGTCAGTGTTCTCTTCCAACCCACGCTGGCTTGGTTGGATCGCATAGCACAAGTGCTTCCATCTGGGTTAGAGGCTGCTCGAGCATCAAGCGTTGTGTTGGATGAATTTGTCCTCAATGTCTACCTACCTCAGCTAGAAGACAAAGTGTCACTAGTATTCCATCACACAGTGACGAGTAAGCCTTGCATCTTCCGCTGGTTGCTGTCGTTCACATCCGTATAGGTCCGGACGCATTCGAGCCAGATCCTGCCTCGACAAAGTTGTCGACCGAGCCTCTCGTCAAGGTGCGCGGTGGCTGTAACGCGGTATTCTGCCGAGACTGATTTGCCATGCTATACAGGCCAGTGTTCAGGTAATGGCATTAATCAACTCTCTATGTGCCATGTTGCGGACGACCCCCTTCCATCGCGAGAACTACTCGAGACTCATCCTAACTGTCATTGGCCAATTCTACCAACGATGCAGCGATAGGTTTTATGACCTAGTATCCATGAAGGACGACGCTGCTCCACAATCTGGGCCACGAGTGGCTGTGGCCGCGCAATGGGCTCAGAAAGCCGAGCTAGTGACGTGTCTTGCTGAATTGTTCGATGCTATCGGCAATCCGGATATGACTACGAAGAGGCTCCAGCTATGCCGTCAAGAGGCACACCTTGAGCAGAGTCTCCTCGGTGACCGCGCGATTGGCAAGAAGGAGTTGGTAGCCTCCGGTAGGAATCTGTCGGCTTTGGCGAGCTTATATCGCAGTGTGGTATGTATAGCATCTTTGCGAAAGGAAACGTGTAGCTGATCCGCAAGTAGACATGGTTCGCCTCCGAGCTCAATGCTCTGAAATCCGCCCCCGAGCACGCTTTGTCGCCGACAACACCACTGAGGCTGGAACCTGTCAGCGCAGTCACGCCATATACGCCGTACCTTCCTGCAATTGCACCGGTGCAAAATAACGAGCCGCTCAAGCTACCTTTGTCGTCAGCCATGGCAATGTGAGTGAACCTTCATGCAGCTTGCGGCTCTACTCACAATATCTGAAGGCGATTCCAAGCGCTGCACATGACATATGCGCAGCTTGCCGAGATGGTCCTATATAGCCTTCGTATCGATATCAGATGTCGTGCGATGCACCATCTTGACCTTGCACTACGACATGTAAGTACAGGTCCTGATGATGTGTTCTTCATTTCCTCACCTGCGTGCAGGGTGTCTATCGCATTGAACGCGATGTCAGTGAACCTGATCCCAATGTCATTGATCTCAACATGGAGCTCGGCCGATGCGATGATTGGGCGTCGTCCACACTTCCGGTGAAGGAGCGACAGTAAGGGCTCATCTTCTGGACGCTGGCCACGCACGTTCTGACGTCTCGGTATAGATTCATCTTCGAGGGACTCGGACATTTGTTGGAGCGCCTGCTCGTTTCGAACGCGAGATATATCCGCGCAGCAAACGCGTTCGGCATGAAGAAGATGATGCGCAACATGCTGGCACTGCAGCAGAACATCAAGACCATCACCAACGACGGCCACGACGCGCAATTTGAGCGTGCCAAGCGGTACTATTCGCTGTTCTCGCTGTCTCCTCAGGTATGCATGCTTGAGGTCACCCCTACGTGTTATCTCACGCAAGCATACAGAACATGCTTGATAGTATTCGCCAGAAGCAAGAATTCAGCTTCGACGAGTACAAGGCGATGCTCGATCTACAGTGCGGTGTCGACCCCAGCAGGAGCGAGGGTGGCGGCTCGCAAGCCTCAGATCGCAACTATAGCATGTATGTCATCGATCTGCATGGGCTCGAGCTGGAGAACTCGGCATAGGGAAACTAAACATTGTGCCCTCGCGCGCGTCTCTTCATCCGTTCCAAAACCTTTTCGTCGATATTTATACGTTTATACCTAGTTTGTCCTCATGTGTTTGTTGTACGCTCTGCTTTCATCCTCTCCAATCTCTCTGCTCGACGGTGTCTCGAAGCATTTCTCTGCGCATTTTCGTCCTCCTCAGCCGCTTGTAACCAGGCAATGTCAGCAGCATCGGCTTCTGGAAGATGATTCGGGGAATTTCGTAGATCATGATGACGGGCGTGACGTGAAAGGGATACTTGGAGCTTCCCTGGAGGTCCTTGAGCTACGGGGTGCTCTTTGGCTTGTGTCCGAGGATCTGAGTACACCAGAACGGGTGTGCGGCCCAGAAGACTGGCGAAACGGCGTCGTAAGAACCGAGGCCGAAGCGGTGAGGCTTGGAAAATATCTGTCCCAGATGTTCCGCCCGCCTGCGAAGGCGATGGTGCATTCGCCAGTGTCTCTATCTCTTCATAAACACCTTCGCCTTGTACGCCGCCAACACGTATGCCAGCGCGATGAAGTGCCCCCTTGTCTGTTAGATGTCGCGTTTCACCAGGAGAGTCCCTTTCTTCTAGGATCATCTGGAAGGGCGGATAAACCCTCTTGACCTGTTCCGTATAGAACCGCCAATATATATTGACCTCTCGGCGTTTGCTCAAAGGGCCTAAGAGACGTGCATCTTCAGAATTGAGGTCAGCTCTGGCAGGTAATGTCGGTGGTCGTCTGATCGCTGTATGACCGAGCGGCTTGTTCTTGTGGGATACCTTTGAAGTAAGGAGGGCGGTCAACTCCTTTGAGTAGACAGGCGGACGGGACTTTTCCACAGCGGGAATGATACGTTCCGGGGGTGGAATACTGGGATCAGTTAGTAACGGCTGTAACAAATATGAGGACGTGTGATTATCCGTGGAAACGCTCCGCACGTTTATGAGTTCCCACTTGAGCTTGCCTTTGCGTCCGTAGGCGAGGTCAAGGACGTGTTCAAACTTCTTTTCAATACCTTGATTCGCCAGCGTGATCTTGCGCAATTCCTGCACAGGTGAGTGTTAGTGAGCTATCATTCACTGGCGATATTTGGTTTTACTTTCTCGAATCGCTTGATCTTCCGGGCACGCAAGTCGGCCTTCTTCGTGTCGAGTATAGCGCGCACATCGTCGCTGGTTTTGAGTTTAAAGTACTCACTGTCGAGAATATTCGCATAATAGGAGACTTCCGAATGTGTAGGGCGACATACCGGAGATAGACGGTTGGTAGCAGGCGGATTTGGCGACGGAACGATCTATAGAGCGGAGTTATAGCAGAGCTATCATGTAGCATGCGGAGATGTCGAGGAGGAGGCCTAGTCAGCAGAAGACAGAGAGATGAGTCGAGCTTGTACTGCAAGTACTTGGTACACTGCTGATCGTAAATGTACCACTTTGCTTGCCCGCCAATCGGTCGCAGGCACATTTCTGCCGCTTTCTGCCGCCGATCGATCGGCGAGATCTCTCTCAAGCGCTCGTGTTCGTTTGGTCCAACAGCTTGCCTTGAAGCCCAGTCAAGTCCGACCAGGGAAATAATCGGCGTCATTAGGTGTAAGTTACTGCACAGACTGACGACAACGGCAAAAGAAAGAAAAAGTCTCAAGAATGGCCCTATGGGTTAGATGGAAAATGGTGGAGCGCCAGTTACAAGACGAAGACGCACTTGAAGCTTGAAGGGTGACTGAGGCTTCAAGCTTCAACACTGAAGTCGTGATCGGTGCAAGCATTTTGGGATTTGAGAAGGGGTGGTGCGGGAAAAGCAGTGAAGCGCAAACGAGCATGACATTTGCTCATTGGCATGCCAGGAACTCAACGCGGTATGCACAGAAACTTTGTCTCAATGTTCGCATTCTCTTCAGGTTGCTGTTTGCTGTCTTCGGCCCCATTCAGATGCCTCCGTCGACTCTGTCTCTCGCAACTTATTCCTCAGTGCGCGTCGTGGAATCCCTACTCTAGCTTCTCCTTAATGCCGCAATCTGATGAACACCGAGACACCAACATCCATTTGCAACAAGCTCTGCTACTCCACCGTCTCTGCTATCTACTTCGAGGTACGCCGATGTCCTCGTCTTCTGCACGAAGTCTGGCACTGATGCGCTGACTTAAAGTTACACTCTCCAGGAATAATATACAGAATGCACCTCACAAGCTCTTGCGTTTTCAAATCTCGCATTGCAACTGGCGCCACTTAAATATCCTCCTCGCACTGGACGAGCCCTTATGTCTCCCGGGCATTCCTCCCTCCTTTCACAAACAGGTCTACCAAGTCCGCGTCATCGACCTTCATTGTGCGCGAAGGATTCATACATACCGAGATGTCCCTAACAACACAAATTAGTCTTACGTTTGGACAGAGTCGGTTGATGTCCGTTTCCATGGTTTAAGGCTATGGAGTGCATAAGTGCAGCATGACAACGCATATCATTGATCATGACAAGTGTCATGCGACATCGTAAGTACCCGACAATGATGGCAGATATCATCAAGAAGCACTGCAGATCGTGAGATCCCCGAGTTGATAGTCTGAACGGTACGACTACTTACGTTTCACTTATGCCACTATATCTATCAGATTACATATGCCTTTTCCGACCCTCGTTCGTGTTCCCAACAACAAGGCTTGCAATTGTGCACGGGCTAATACAGCGCCGCGTCATTCGGTGGCGTACTATATATTAGACTTGGCACTCACAGGTTGTTCCCTATTCTCTACATTACTAGCCTCTGAGGATGAAATCTACGACGATCGCATCTGCCGCCATATTATATTTCTCCTTAATCCATTGCGTGGTCGCTCAGCTGCCACGCTTGGGCGGTGTCAATACTCCAGGATACGAATTCACTCTAGTGAGTTGTGCCGCTCCCATCTGCCAGTTGCATGTACATTGCTTTTTGACTCGTATGCCTATCGAAACGTAGTATGAAAACGGCACCTTTACCAACAACCGTAAGTCATCATCCCCAATTTAAACTATTATGAAATCTGATCCGCGACCTCAGCCCACACCCCTCCAGCAGCGCAGTTCCCTCATTTCTCTGCTGAGGGCGCCAACCTGTATCGTGTACGTGAGTATGATGTTCTTGTGCAACTTCTCTATGCTATGCTTGGCTCATATACCCTTGTGTAGCGTTTGGTGCGTCCATGATGTAGATACCATAGGAAGTCTCTCACACCTGCACAGCCTGGCAACAAATGACTCCCGTTCTTGGAGGCTCCATCAACACATCATTTCTGGCACAGTACAATGCGACTGTACAGGCTGCGCTAGATTCCAGCGCAGATGCCCACGTAATTATTGATTTGGTATGAGCACCTACAGGTAGATCGCCTTTATCCGTTTCATTGACCTCTGTACAGCACAACTATGCAAGGTGGAATGGCAAAATCATTGCCCAAGGTGGTCCTACCAACACCCAGTTTGCTTCCGTCTGGTCCCAGCTTTCAAAATTCTATGGAGCAAATGATCGTCTTATTTTGTAAGTTCGACGCAGTCTTCTACGTCTCGATGCACACTTACACTGTTATTGATGCAGCGGGATCATGAACGAACCACATGACCTGGACATTGCCGCCTGGGCCACCTCAGTGCAATACGTCGTCAATGATATACGTGCGGCAGGGGCTACAAACTACCTACTAATACCCGGCTCGAACTATACCTCCGCTCAATACTTCCCGACATATTCTGGGCCACATCTACTCAACCTCACAGACCCTCTTGGAGGCACTGGGCGACTCATCTTTGACGGTAAGGTCCCAAGCAGGAGCTTGTGTAAGGTTATTGATGTGGTCATACAGTGCACAAGTACCTCGACTCGGACAACAGCGGTACTCATCCCGATTGTGTCACGGTTCGTATCGGCTCTCCGTGGAATGTTTATCCAGACATTGATATACAATATCTTTCAGAACAACGTGGCCATTCTGGAGACTCTCGTACATTGGCTAGAGGCCAGTGGGAACCGTCAAGCCCTTTTGAGTGAGACAGGCGGGGGAAACACGGCCAGCTGCAAAACATTGTATGTCCCGCGATTAACATATGCGTCATGAAAGTTTTACGTTGGTATCTGTCAGTCTCGGACAAGAACTCGCCTATGTCAATTCGACATATCCTACTCTCGTCGGATATTCAATTTGGGCGGCAGGGGCGTTTGATTCATCTTATGTCTTGTCCGTGACACCCTTCCGGAATGAAACTGATCAGTCGCTTTGGACCAATGCTGGTAAGTGCGATATTGATGGCGCTTCATGAACTTTGCTGAAAGTTCGCGCTCGTTTGATAGTAAAACCGTATCTTCCCTGAGAAGATGACCGGTGGTCCTGTCATTTTGTGTGCGTATCACGAGTTTCAAGGCCGATATAATTGTCTCGTTTGCACGTGCCTGGCTCATATTGGCAATCACGGGGAAATATGCTGGGAGGCTCACAACAGTAGTCGCGTTTGTACGGCGATCTATATACCTGAAGCCCAACATAGACATCATGACCGTTGCCGTCCTTCGTGTGGTCATGCGGTGAGGACGCGGGCACATCCCTGAACAACGTTCTCGGAGGTAAAGAAAGCACGAGGGAACGTGCTGACGTGAGAAGGCAAGATTGACTTGTAATGAGCAATGAGAGACTGCAGCAACCGAAATGGAATGGAGATAATATCCAAACGCCGAGGATCCTCCAGGCGGAGCGATAGTCACGCGCATTCTCCGCCACAAATGCTGATCGATCGAGTTCTGCATGTTAGCACAGGGCCTCGTGCTTTCCGCTTCAGACTCCGGGCTTTCATTTTATTGAGCACGTTCTATGTCTATCAAACTGACAGTGCTTGAACATGTGCTGGATAATTCTCTGATCAGAATGTACGGCAAAGCTCCACCTCACATCTGGTCCAGGCAAAAAGTTACAGAGCTATGAGTAGTACGTGTCTCTTCAGCTGCTGTTTCGATCGACAGGATTATCAGCTTATTTTGTGATGAGCTGGATTCATACCGTTAATGACGCTGTTCACGCTCCTCAACTCAGTCTCGTCTGACACAGGTGACAGGGCAAGAAGTAGGTGCAGCACATGGTCGAGAATATCCCCGTAATTTGTCCGTTTCGTGGAACATTCTCTCTATACATTTAAATAGCCAACGGGTCCAATAATGAGGGTATATAAGGGCTCTGAGATTGACGTGCTCCAACGTCGTCGAGCAGTCCCGAGATGGTCTCTTCTAAAGCCGTCCTTGTGGTGCTTTCTACCGCCCTCGCTTCTTCGGGGGTGGGTGCTCAACTGATTCGTCTGGGTGGTGTGAACACGGCAGGCTACGACTTCACTGTGGTCAGTAGCCATCAGTATATACCTTTTTTCAACTGACACAACTCCTCCCTAGTACACCAATGGTAGTTTCACAAACAACGGTGAGTGGCATCTTAAATCTCGTTGGCTTTTTTAATTCATCTCAACAGCGGCTATCCCACCTGCCTGGGAATATGCCCATTTCTCTGGCGAGGGTGCCAATTTATATCGTGTTCGTGAGTACAGAATGCAGCATCACGGTATCTGCCGTGTAACATCTCGCTGATGGTACGCTTTCTGCAGCTTTTGGTATGTTGTCAGAATGATTCTGTGCTGCTTCCCGTGACACTTGTTCTTCAGCATGGCAGGAGATGACACCCGAGCTCGGGGGGCCCATAAATACGACTTTCCTTGAACAATATTACAATGTGACAGTCGCTGCTGCGCTTGCATCGAGTCCCACCGCTCATGTCATTGTTGACCTTGTGAGTGAATCTGTTTTAAGCAGCAGCAGCGATTTCTCAGAGAACGAATTACAGCACAACTACGCCAGGTGGAACGGTGAAATCATCTCTCAGGGTGGACCGACCAACGAGCAATACGGGTCGATCTGGTACCAGCTTGGCCAGGTCTACGGCAATAACGATCGTCTCCTTTTGTGAGTGTCTTATTTCATACGCTCCTTTGATACCACAGCTGACCGTCTGCGCCAGCGGCGTCATGAATGAGCCGCATGACCTTGACATACCTACTTGGGCTGAGTCGGTTCAGTATGTTGTGAACTCCATTCGTGCTTCAGGTGCCACGAACTACCTCCTGCTTCCTGGCTCCAACTACACCTCTGCCCAAACATTCCCCACTGGCGCTGGTCCATACTTGCTAAATGTCAAAGACCCCCTGTTCGGTACTCCTGAGCGACTCATCTTCGATGGTGGGTACCAAGAATACCAAGGACATGCTTAAAAGCTCAGCCCTGACATGTTCGCTTTCAGTCCACAAGTACCTCGACTATGACAACAGCGGTACGCACGCCGAGTGTGTCACAGTATGTCTTGTACCACATACGTCGCACGAGTGTTTCTGACATTGTGATAATTTCCAGAACAACACGGAGGTCTTGGAAACACTTGTTAGCTGGCTCCAGGAGTACGGCCGTCAGGCAGTCTTGAGCGAGACTGGCGGAGGCAACACCGCAAGCTGTGAGACTTAGTAAGTCAAGTCTATCGGAATGCAAAACCCAATATTAACAGAGCGCTCGGCGGCAGCCTCGGGGAGGAGCTCGCCTATGTCAAGTCAGCTTATCCGAGCCTTGTTGGTTTCTCGGTCTGGGCTGCCGGCGCATTCGCCACGGACTACATTCTGTCCATGACACCGTACGCAAACGGCACAGACCAGCCACTGTGGATCGATGCTGGTGTGTTGTTCTTTATATGTGTCGCTTTTAATAATCTAACTTCCCTGACACAGTGAGGCCGAACTTACCTTGAGCTACTACGGACCTACACCAAGAGGAGAATTACTGTTTGTAGGGTCACTAGTAGTCTGAATCTAAGTCTTGACTAGTTAAACATTCATCAATGGCGAAAAACCAACCTCGTCGAAACTTGAACCTCCATGGACATTTCACTTGTGCCCTTGCGAATTGCTAGTGGGGTTGAACGGCAATGGTTCCTACCTTGCATGCACGTGTTATTCGCCGACAAATATGTTGGCATACCCCCTTGTTACAGCTGTTTTTTAAACAAGGATGAGCACACTGAGCCTGGTCGAGAAGAGAAAGGCGAAGCCCCTTCTTAAGAAGCGTCGACTTCGGCTGCAAGCTTCGGTATTCTTAAGTTCAAGCTTCAAGGCCAGACTACTTTGAAAATCGATCTACGGGCTGAACGTCTAGTAGTAGTTGCTCTTGCCAATAGGCTTTCAGGATCACACGAACGTAAGCTGTCCGCTAGTAGAGGCTGTGTCTGCAGATCACAGGCAAAAGAATCAGACCAATCTAAACACTTCAAGCCCTTAGTTCTCATTGTAGCATATAGTCTGTTCGTGCCATATGATGTACAAATGTCACTGACCGCCCGGTTATCAGGCTTTCAAGCTTGAGTAGGATTCGGATCTTGAGCGTAACCGCCGTCTTGTCCACAGTGATCTTCGTTGATCGAGCTCAGGAGCCTCTCCTTGCGATTGTCACTCCACGAAATGAACGATAGTCGACTACGTTTCAGTCCGTACAACTGTTGTTACACGACACCACATGCAGATGTCTATCGCCAGAGAAAGCCGGGTAAGATTCGAGAAACAGCGATACCAGTTATATCATCCTCCAGTCAGCATTGCTCTTGTCTCCGATACCAACGCGAGAATATATCCTACTAATATTCACCATCGCTGACGCGAATTTGTCGGAAGAGCCTCACGGCAGGTAGGGGCGCACTGCAACGGGATGAGACACAGTTATCGTGTCCAATACGCTACCACTTACCAGCTTCGGTCCAGAGAGTCTCGTCGGTGCCATTGGAGTAGGGCGTCACAGAGAGCACGTAGCTGGTGTCGAAGGCACCGGCAGCCCAGACAGAGAAACCAACAAGGTTGGGGTAGGCTGATTGCACGTATGCGAGCTCCTCCGCGAGGCTACGTTTTAGCATAAGCGGCTGAGTACATGTCTTCAGTTTGGTACAGAAACTTACTAGGTGTAGCAACTCGAGGTTTCTCCTCCGCCGGTCTCACTCAGGATTGCCTGACGGTTGCCGTTCTCTTGGAGGAAGCTAACCAGTGTCTCGAGAACTTCAGTGTTGTTCTGCTCACTCCATTAAGTAATCCTCCATAGCCACATTCCTCAAGTCACTTACCGTGACGCAGGTAGAGTGAGTACCACTGTTGTCCGAGTCGAGGTACTTGTGAACTGCGACATTCTGAGTGCATACTCTATGCCATGCAGACTCAATCACTCACCATCGAAGAGGAGCTTGTCAGTGCCGCCGAGAGGGTCGGTAACGTCGACCAAGTAAGGGCCAGCCTCGGTCGGGAACGTCTGAGCCGACGAATAGGTTGAACCCGGGAGCAGGAGGTAGTTCGTGGAGCCAGCCGAGCGGACTGCATTCACGACGTACTGGACACTAGCCACCCATTCAGTGACGTTGAGATCATGGGGTTCGTTCATGATACCGCTGCAAACACATATGAGTATCTCAGGGAGAAGCAAGGAACCTCTGCAGACATACAAAATGATCCTATCGTTTGAACCATACTCGTCGGCGAGCTGAGTCCAGATAGAGGCAAATTGAGCATTAGTCGGACCACCTTGACCGACGATGTCGCCGTTCCACCTGGCGTAATTGTGCTTATAGTCCATTGATGTCAATGCGCAACGATGCCAGCACTCCAATTCACTCACCAAGTCAACAATGACATATACATCAGAGTTGGAGGACAATGCGGCCTGAACGGTTGTGTCGTACTCCTCGAAGAACGACGAGTTGATAGTGCCTCCCAGAGTGGGAGTCATCAATTGCCAGGCTGCATTTCTGATTAAGCGCATAATCACGGTGTACGCATCCTGAATCTCAACGTACCAAACGCTATGTCGATAGTCAGACAAAACAGATATGCGCGAAAAACAGACGATACTCACGTATGCGGTAGAGGTTCGCACCCTCCCCTGAGAAATGGGTGTATTGAGAGACCGGAGGTGCGTCACCTATATCAATCCAAGTATTGTTATAGACGTGCGTTCTAACCAGAATATTGGAGTGTACTGACCAGTCCCGGAGAAGTCTCCGCTAGTGTCCTGCAAACAGTGGCTCGCACATTGGTGAACACTGAGTGTAAATCAAGAGCACTCACGACACTGAAATCCCAGCCAGCAGTGTTGACACCACCCAGACGAGTAGAGAATTGGCCTCTCGCCCCTTGCGGGGCAATAGCGACGGTAACAGCTGCAAGAATCGCGAGAGCGAACCTCATCTTGACTGGTGGTCAACAACGTAGTTCCAGAGGATGGGGATCTATGCTGCGCTGAGAGCCGTTATATACTCCGGTAGCCATTGAAACAGTGACACCGGTAACCAGAGAAGGGAACATGCGCATTGCGGGAGCCCAGGTAACGGACAAATTACGGAGATACATCACCTGGGAGTATTCCCAGAACGACTCAAAGCATCATGACATGTGAGGCAATGAGAGGACTCACACAGCCCCAACCGCGGTGGCTGTAGAGGTCCAAAGTAAGGGAGGCTCTATGTTGTTCCTGGTACCTGACATTAATAGACAGCCCATGCGAACGCGTCATGTCTGAATTCCGGAATAAGCTCCGCTGTGCTCGTGAGAGAGTCCACGTCGTCAATGCAAACCTGCCATTCGCAGGATGATCAAGGAGTCTCCGCATCGCTTTCTGATCACATCCGAGTCCTCAGCTCGCGAAGGACGGACCAGCCAATCAAATTGGCGAATCATGCAAGCGTGACATGCTGTGAGCCAGAATCTGCGAACGCTTGCGACGAGCAGTTGCTTATTTGTCGCTGTTCGAGGAAGGGAGATGAGATCCTGGTCGCTGATTTTTGGTCGCTCAAATGTCGCTTGTTTTCCAGCGAGTGACCTAGTGCGCAATCGACGCAACCGGAACATCGAAACGCTCATCTTGACTCTTGTAACAATTGTACGAACAACAGGCCAGTCATAGAGTACCATATGCAGATCAAACAACGACAAACAGCACCTATACCTCATTACCGATGTGAACCCGTGGTCCAGGTCGCGTCTTATGCCTAGTATTCATTGTGCGTGAGACACTGGCTGCTTTCAAGTTTATATGCGGCCGTTATGTACGGATGGACCGTCTTGCAGTCAACCTTGTGTCGATAAATGTGATATGCTATCGAAACATGGCATAAATAGTACAGAACCAGGAAAAAGCTTTATAAGTTGAGTCGCAAGAACAGCGGAGTGTTTGAACACGCACTGATCACGATCGTAACGGTGTCACGCGGCGGTCGCCTTTTTTGGAAGCACATGATCGGGCCGATCTTGCTCACTCAGACACAGATCTCCCCCGGCAGATTCGCTTTCTACTACAGTTAGCTCTCAATCCGATTTTACCCCCCAATTTCCAGGTCTTTGAATAGGGATTTATGGTCCGTAACGCGCACATATACTCTTGAGTTCTCGCCTTGGATTGCTAAAACTGCTATAGGCACCCCCGAAGGGTAGAAACCCGAATCCCAGCGGGCTCGGGCGTGCGATCATCAATAGGAAAGTCAAGGATGCTCATAAGGCCCGGGAGTCAGGCCTCGTAAGTCTGCGTTGTTGAGTTACTGAATGGGAAGGTATGCTGACACCCTGGCCATGTTACTTAGTATACGACCGATCTCGACCCCACCAACCGTCTGCAGTCGATAACGCAGGAGCGCGATCTGGACGAGTTTCTTAACACTGCGCAACTCGCAGGAACCCAATTCACAGCAGGTGAGAATCCTGTGACACGGAATACATAGTCCGAACTCATATGTTCGAATACAGAACGTCGCAATGTCAAAATTATCAATGCCCCTACCGGTTCTCAGCACAACCCATATCTCTTGTCAGAGGAGGAGGAGCGGAGTACCATACAAAAACAGCACGAGAACAAGCAGCGCCTTCGTGTGCCAAGGAGGCCGCCATGGACAAAAGGCATGTCAGCAGCGCAGCTAGATCGGCAAGAGAAGGATGCTTTCTTAGAATGGAGGAGGGGGCTTGCAGAGTACGCCCACTTTGGCCGAAACTGGGACCCTCACACGCTCATTTGGCTTCCAGACTTCAGGAGCGGGATAGATTCCTACTGACGCCGTTCGAGCGCAATCTAGAAGTATGGCGACAACTATGGCGTGTCCTCGAACGGTCCCACCTGATCGTTCAAATCGTTGACGCGCGGAACCCGCTTCGTTTCCGATGTGAAGACCTGGAGTCATATGTACAGGACGTCGAAGGCGCAGAAGGAGAGCAAGGCACGGGGAAAAAGAAAAGGCGCAGCTTATTGCTAATCAACAAGGCGGATCTCTTGACGGCGAAACAGAGGCGAGAATTTACTGAAAAGTGTGGTTTGAGCGGATTGGTCAACTTATTGCTTACTCTACAGGCGTTTATGGGCGGATTACTTCGACGCGCAAGGCGTACGGTATGCTTTCTTCTCTGCGGCCAATGCTGCTGCTCTGCAGCAAGCTCAGAGAGAGGCTATCGCTGCTACCCTGGACGTCCCATCGTCCGGAGAGGAGGGGAGCGAGCGACACATGACAGAAGGAGATGAGCAGGGAAGCTCGCAGAACAACCATTCGTCCAGCAGTCCCACCGCGACCGACGAGACCGATTCTGACAGTTTTTCGGAGGGTCTGGCTGAGTCCACGTCGGACGAAGAAACCGACGACGAGGACTTTTATCAAGTTATCGAAGAAGATTCACCAGATGCACAGGACCCGAGGGTTAAAGTTTTGTCGGTGTTAGAGCTCGAGGACTTATTCGTGCAATCTGCACCTGACCTGACCGGTAAGTAGACAGACAACTTGAGGAATGTTTTCTCATCATCGCTGTAGTGTTCACCGACTCCTCTGGAAATCACCCTTCTAAATTGGTCATCGGACTTGTGGGCTACCCGAACGTCGGGAAGTCGAGTACGATTAATGCCCTCTTAGGCGAAAAGAAGGTCAGCGTATCGTCAACGCCTGGGAAGACGAAGCATTTCCAGACGATCAACCTCTCCTCTACCCTGATGCTGTGCGATTGCCCCGGTCTCGTCTTCCCCCAATTTACGACTACTCGGGCGGATCTTGTATGCGACGGAGTGCTTCCTATTGATCAACTGAGGGAGCATACAGGACCCGTCGCCTTAGTTGTGAAGAGAATCCCCAAAGAAGTTCTCGACGCGATCTACGGTCTCAATATCAAGGTCAAGGGGGAAGAAGAAGGCGGAAACGGAACGATCACACCTGAGGATTTCCTTGTGGCATACGCCAGTAAGTAGTCGCATGTGGAGACATTCGTTTTATTCCTTGCTCATCTTTCCACAGTTGCGAGGGGCTTTATGCGATCTGGTCAAGGCAATCCGGACGAAGCTCGCGCCGCTAGATTCATTCTCAAAGATTACGTGAATGCGAAGCTTCTGTTCTGCCATTCACCCCCCGGTGTATCGGAGGATATGTTCAACGAACAGACGCGCGAACTGTCTCTCAAGCGCGCTTTGGGCAAGAAACGTGCACCTACCACCCGTGTGGTCAAAGGGGCCGATACATTCGTTGCCCAGAATGGGCCCTCGGCAACATTTGGACAGGGCGCCGACTCAGATTCAGCCCCAAATGACCTGGGCTTGGGTCCAAAGTCTCGTAACATCGACCAAGAGTTCTTCGCTACCAGTTCCTCCGTCTCGACCAGACCCCGGGTGCAGGGTTCAGCACGGCATGGTCATGAGGTCTCACGGATGCAATTATATCCACATCAGAATGCTGTTGCTGACGATGGCACTGCATTGACCGGGAGGAGAGCTAGAGTCGCGGCCGTGCTCACGGCCGCGGGCGGCGAGATTGGGCCCGGGAAGAAAACTCACAAAAAACCGAAGAGGGCGAAGCAGCGAAGTGGGAGGGGTTATGACTGACTGTTGAACTGGTGTATCATCTATGTCTTGTGTAGCCTTAGTCTAGCATTGGATGTATGACACTCACAGATAGCTGGTGCAAGCATCGTCGCAGGATCGACATGGGGGCGCACGTGATGAACATTTAAGGTCGCGTCGCGGCGCGTCCGGTCTTCAGCCACAAACAAGCCCTCGCTTGTGACCGGACTCCCACTCGCGCGCATTCACTAAGCTACATTCCTCTCGGAGCCTTAGGCTTTTTCATACTCTACAATGCCCTCCAAAATGCGATCATTACCCGCACACAGTGAGGACGATTTGGGCTGGGCATCCACGATACCTCCGGCAGCTGAATGGACCGAATCATCGACTACATGCGCCAAACTAGTGACGGTCACCAAGACGGGCCACCGGGAAGGTACATATATTAGTCTGTAAAATCTGTGAAAACTATTATCTGATGTGTCTGGAAGCTTTACTACTAAGCATAGACCGACCAATCACCATCGGCAGACACCCATCCTGGTTCGCGTCTCATCACTCCTGCGCATATAGTCAGCCTAATCTTTATGCAAGCTCATACGTGGTGCCAGATATAGTTGTTTCAAGCCTTCACTGTAAACTATATGCGTGAGTTTTCGCCATGCTTCGCGAAGCAGCGCTCCCATCTGACTCCACCGTAAAGCGTCCGTCCGAGCAACGGTGGAGTTCTAGTGTCGTGCGAGGTGAAATCTATCCAATTATGGCAACCGTTGTATTCACAAGTGTGCCTAGGACTTCTCAACCAACGGTCTCATCCTCAACGGGCACAAAATCCGGAAATCTTCCGTTCTGCTCATGGATGGAGACGTCATTCAGATTCCTCACTCACAAAGTATGTCTAGCATCAAACCTACAAATACGTTTTCTGACATTTGGGATGTCATAGAATTCGAGTGTCTTCATGTACAGAAGCAGCCAGAGCGGAAGGCGAATATTTTTGACCCGACACCACCGAGAATACCATCGCTCAAGACAAAGGTTGGCAGACTGGCTACATTTTGTGTACAGTTGTTCTGACACATCTACCAGCGAATCGGCCGCTACCTCGTGACATCCCATTGCCTCGGAACTGGGAGCTTTGCTACTGTCCATCTTGCAATAGATACAATCGCATATAGACAAGTCGCATGCAAAACTATCAAACGGAAAAGCCACGACAAGATCGAGAAAGTGATGAAGGAGGTTGATATCCTCATCGCATTGGATCATGTGTGTAGGCTCTCTCGTCCGCTGCTCTCTCCAACTGAACCCAGTGAAGCCCAATATCAACAGAGTATGGGCCGCTCGGCACGATGACACTTTCCTGTGCGTATGCACAGATTTCCAGCTGTGTTGATCACTGACCGCCTATCACAGCCATATATTCCTAGAGCTTTGTACCGGCGGAGACCTGTTTGCCTACATTGTCGGCCATCAAGACTCTCGGCTGTGTGAAGGAGAAACTAAGTATATAATGTATCAGCTACTGAAGGGGCTGAAGTATCTGCATGATAGACTGATCTCTCATCGCGGTAAGTCAGCATTCAATTACACGCTCTTCTCACAACATCATCCGGTGAGGACCCTGGATTATAGACCTCAAGGTGCATATATTTTTGCAACTAATCTCTGTTTCCGACGCTGATTTTCTCGATTGGCAATATGCGAAGCCGGAGAATATACTTCTCCATACTCCGGGACCCTACCCTCGGATCCAGATCGCTGACTTTGGTCTCGCTCGACCAAAAGCCTACCAGGAAACATTCAACGTTTGCGGGACCGTCTCATACCTTCCGCCGGAGGGTATTTTGGCTCTAGACCACAAGCACCTGGGTTATGTCGGCATGCCTGCTGACTGCTGGAGCGCGGGAGTGATCATGTACATCATGCTCGCGTATGTATATCTATGGCTGATATAATGACAGCTGCTGACGCGTCGCGTAATCCAGCGGCGGCCATCCGTTTGACTATGACAAACAGGAAGGCGAATCGGCTTGGTACTCATACTGCCCGTCCGAGGGGCTCGATAATGCGTCGCAGGCCTCAGTACCATCGCAATGCTCGGTGCAAAGTGACCGTATCGTGAAGAAGAGGATTGTCCACGGCGAACCAGAGTTCCCACCACAAATTTGGAGCTCAATACCTCACGGTGCGCACACCGTTGTCATATTCCATTCACGCACGCCATTCCCTATATCTAATGTTATGATTATGGGGCCGGCGCGCGATATGCATACTAAATTTTACTATACCAGCTCAAGATCTATGCAACAGCTTGCTCCTCTATGATCCATTTGATCGGGCGACAGTCTATGCGGCACTCAAGAGCGACTGGCTTGTTTGCGAACTCCCAGATTTGGACAAAGCGTACCGCGAACGGATTAGCTCCAATTGAAGACCTCTAATGATGTCTAACCTGAAACCCCGACGCTATTTCCACAAGAGGATGAGCGCATACAAGTTTCTGGAGCTTCCGTTGTGCCTGTGCCGCTATCTGATACATTACCTCGTTCTCTCAATGTCGTCTTACGCTCTTCTCGGTCGGCTTTTCACTGTTTTCCCAGCATTGTCAGCATCTCGGCAAGTTTCCGCTCTTCTAATATGTCGGATTCCTCACACTGGCTCGATGTGCTATCGATCATGCTGTCGTTCCCTGTATGACAGGACAATTCATGTACTATTGGAATGGAAGGTCTTGCAGTCCGTTTGAACATCGCACGCATACAAACGTCGACACCGCGCGCGCCTTGTAGACCCAGATGGCAGGTTTACACATGCCGCTCACAGTTTACTGGAGCGACAGCTTCACAATACAATCGCATAATACATCAGTATGACTGTTTCACATATTTCATTCTTACGATACACACTTCTCCCGTTCTTCCACTGTATCGTCACCTCTCGGCTTCCCTCGTCACAGTGCGGCTTTACGCCTTAAGAAAGTTGGCATGGACTATTGAGTTCCAAGTCAGCACCTCAAAAGCCCACTGCGAGCGCGAGCGCCAACTCACAGTGAATATGGTCGGCGCCGAATGTCGAAATCTGCGGGAAAAGAAGGCGGCGGTGAGGAGGGATCACCGAGCATACGCCGCCGAGGGTCAGCTGCACTCACGAAATAGTAGCTGTGGTCGTAGCCCTCCTGGCTCCGCACGCGGACCTGCACCTCGTCGTAGCCAGCGTCCCGAGCCGCCTTGAGGAAGTTCTCCGGAAGAAGCTGGCCCTGTTTGTAGAAGTTGTCCCCGGTGCCCTGGCGCATGCTCGCGTCAGCCAGGTCACACGTGCGCCCGTATACCCGCAAGGCAGGCAGGCAAAAGGGGAAGAAGGGAGGAAGGAGGGGGAGGGGGAAGGCTAACGCACGTAGTCGACGAGAACGTGCAGCGGCTCCCCGCCCGTCCTGGCGATGAGCTCCGTCGCGTCGTACTTGTCCTTTGCCTCCTCGACGCCGCCCTGGAGGTACCCGCCGAACGCCTTCTGGCCCCACGGGCACTGCGTCGGGTTCGAGATGGGCGAGAACGCGGACGCGGAGCGGTACTGCTTCGTGCCGCTCAGCACGGAGCTGAGGTACAGCGTGAGCGCGCCGTGCCCGCCCATGGAGTGCCCGAAGATCGACTGGCGGGTGAAGTCCTGTACGGGCAAGCAGGACAAGATAGGGTCAGCGCCTCAGGCTCGCGCTCGCACGCACGCAGGACAGGGAAACGCATGCTCACGATGGGGAGGCCCGCCGCCTGGATGACCTCGGGCAGCTCGAGCGTGACGTGCGTGAGCATGTTGTAGTGCCTCGCGTACTTCGGGTTCGTCGCGTTCACGTAGAACCCCGCGCCTGTGCAGGGAGACGAAGGGTGAGCGATGCGGCGCCCGTCCGCCGGTTGCACGACGCACCTGTGCCAAAGTCCCAGTCGTCGTCCTCGCCCGCGACGCCCGCGCCCCGCGGGGACGTGTCGGGGAACACGAGCGCGATGCCCTCCTGCGCCGCCGGGCCCATGAAGCCGCCCTTCTGCGCGCTGCACCATATTCACATATCGGCCGCGCCGTCAGCGGTGCGGATCACGGTGGGATGATGGCGCATGCGCGCGGACGCACCCGTTGTCCTCCGTGCAGGTGAGCCCGGAGAGGTAGAACAGCACGGGCACCTTCCCGCCTGCGGCGTTCGCGGGCAGGAACAGGTTGAAGTTGGCGTCGAGGCCGCCGAGCGCTGCCGACTGCGACGTGACCCCCGCCGTTCAGCTTCAGATGCGTGTGCCTCACACAAACGATATCCCCGGTGCCCCGGAGTACGGACATACCTTGAACTTGTACTTGGTCAGCTCGCCGCCGAACGCCTTGTTAGAGGAGAGTTTCTCGAGGCTCATTGTGGCTGTATGTCAGTTCCCAGCGCAGGGTGGATACTACGGTACAGGGGAGAGGGCAGGACGGGAGCCGCGACGCGGAGGTCCCATAGATGACATCGATGCGGTGACTTCATGGGCGATCCTTTTCCTCCGCGCGCATGATCACCCGATCACTCATCTGATCACTCCTCCCGGCGCTCCCTCAGCCCTCAGGCGGCGGCGAGTCCCAGACTCCCAAGTTGCCAACAGATTTCCATAGTAATGTGCATTACGGGCATCATTATAGCGAGTGTACGATACAGCGAAAACGCATGCAGGATGGGGGGTATGATGACTACGACCATGCAGAACCGGGAGAAAATGCAGCGTCAGATATCACGAACCACACACGCCTCACACTCACGATTACTAGTGTCTCCGCCCACGTTCCTCCGACTCCCCACGTTTGCTCATGAACGACCCCCCCTTGTCCAGGCTGTCCGCCATCGCCGCGCGCTCGCCCTCCCGCCTCGTCTCCGCGCGCTCCCCGCTGCTCCCTGCGGCGTCGCCGGGAGCGTGCTCCTGCCCCTCCACGACACGCGCCAGGTGGTCCGCGATGCCCAGGTAGAACGTCACAGGCTTGAACTTGACCTCGCGGCCCATGATCTCCGCCCACTTGTACCGCGCGGTGTTCACCCACCCAATGAGCTCGAGGTGGTTCACGCCCTCCAGCGTCCCCAGGTATGTGCCCTGCGCGGGCGCCGTGAGCATTACGACAGACCGGAAGATCAAGTGTGCGATAGCGTACCCATTTCGCAGACTTGAGCGAGACGAGTCCGTCGTTGGGCCCTTCCTTTTCCATGACCACCGAGTGCGGCCACCTGCATCCCGCCAACAGATCAGCATCCTCTCTCCCGAAACGCAACCCGGCACTCACTTCCACGTATCTATCAGTCCCGGGTCATACACCGCGCCCCAGCTGAAGTACCGCACGCCCTCGACGTCCGGTGTCTGCTCGTTAAACCGGCGCATGTTCTCGACCGTCAGGAACTCGAATGCCTTCCCGTCCCCGCCGCCGTTCGGCAGCAGGTCAAGCAACGACAGCACAGACGGCATGCGTGCAGGCCCGACCGTCGACAGAAAGTGGTCCGCGAACGACGAGCCGCGATGCGGCGTTGAAATCGTCGTCACGGACAACACGCGGAACGGGCGGTCCGTCAGGTGTGTGGTCAGCCAGCGGCAGTCCAGTCCGCCCTAAGTAGGCTGTGAGCGTCTCTGCCGTACGAAACACACTGAAGAAAATCGGGGGGAAAGGGCAGAAACGTACCATACTGTGTCCTAGAGCACGTTGCCTGCGGTCCGCATGAGCACGCCAATGCGGAGAAGCGCGGGGGTGCTTACCGATGAGATGCACGCTGCGCCCGGGGTAGACCTCGCTGATCTTGTCGAGGAGCACCTTGGCGCGGTCAATGGGTGTGCTTGTCGCGGGCACACGCGTCATGAGAACCTGCGCAAGCTGAGCGGGTCTTAATAACGCCAAAGCGGGCTAAAGGCGTACCTCGATGCCGTTCGCTTCAAAAGCCTCCCTGATACCGCGCCAGTGCGTGACCTGCAGAGACGCGATGGAGGGCCCGAGGGTGACGGTGTCGAACCCGAGGAGGCCGTGGCAGAACACGATGGGGTTCTTCGGGGAATAGTCTATTCATGCAATCGTGTGAGGGAGGCGTGCGCCGGCTGGACGCGTATTGCATACGCACATTTCTTCCGGATGTGTTCTCGCTCGGCCTGCGCGCTCTCCTGCTTGTCCTCGTCCCCCAGGAGCGGGTGCACATTCTCCTTGTCGCGCCCGTCCTCCGCGCCGAACCAGCCGCGTATGGAGAGCGGGAGCGCGGGGAGCTTGAGCGATTGCGGGGCGGTCGTGTGTATGCTGCGCCCACGCTCGTGTATTGACCGCAGAGTGTCGAGCGAGGAGCGAGAGGGAGACAGGGAGACGGAGGGCGGTGAGCGATTATTGAGGTGGGCGGGCGCGGGCGAGTGAGGAATCGCGACAGGGTTAGGGGTGGGGCTGTATAGCAGGTCGAGGTCGGGGTTGGGCTCGGGTTCGGGCGCCCAGGGATCCTGGTATGACGCGGGGTTCTGGTAGAACGAGGAGGTCGGCGGGGAGAGGCACGCGGTGGGCAGGGTCGAGCGGGTAAGTTGCGAGAGGTAGTTCGGAGGACGTGACGCGCGAAAGTGGGCGGGCAAGCGTGCGGCCTCAGGGCGCATGGGGAGGGCGACGCGGGCAGCGGCGTCGGGGTCGAGGTGAGAGGAGTCGAAGTGGGAGCGGACGCTGGACAGGAGAGGATCGTCATGCATGGCATCTGCGAGTGCGGACGCTGCGGAGGAAGGGGTGGTGGGCGTAGATGAGGTCGGCGTGAGGGACGGGGAGGGGTTAGAGGTGTGAGTGGGCGACGGAGCGGGAGACTTGGAGGAGGAGGGGGGACGCTGCTTTCCGGTGAGCCAGCGGAGGACGGGGTGCGGCTTGTCTCGCTTGGAAGGGGGCATCTGCGACGGCGACTGAGAGCGGGCCGGCAGGCTGATGCTGAGAGAGCGGGGCGAGTGTGCTGGAGAGTCTCTATATCGGGCGGCGGAGACGCTGGAACAGGCAGAGTGGTTTGGCGAGGGCGGACGAGGGCGTGGTGTCCTCATGTCGGCAGCGGGCTGGGTGGCAGCCGGCTGCGTAGAGCTGGCAGAGACAGACTTGGAGCCCGAGGACAAAAGGCGGGATTCGAGATGTGAGCGGGAGGGGCCAAAGTCGATGTCCTCTCCATGGCCGTCCATCGAAGTTAAGCCGACTCCGTCCACAACGTCAACCCCTCCTTCACTTAACACGTGTCACGCCCCGGCCTGTGACGTCACGCGCCCTCAAGCATGCACTTCAATGCACTTACCTAGAAACAGATACTACAGTGTATACTAGCTGGCGACTGGTTTTCGCCGAGCTTGTCCTAGGTGGCTCGGAGCTGCTCCTGCGACTTATATTCCCCCCAAATGATCCAGACTTTCTTGCATGCAGCCAATGTATAAGTGTACACCACTCCGACTTTGATTTTGATTCCTCATCCCGTCGCCCTCTGCAGGCTCCGCTCAAGGCACAGCGACTCCCTCATGTAACAGATTGAAGGCAAACCCAACAGGGCTATCCGAGTCGTGCTTTACCATCATCAATACCATGAAAAGGAGACTCTTGTATCACGGTGCTGAATGCCAATTGCTTCAAGTAATGACAGTACATATAAAGGGAGCTAACTATCAGGACGTTCCATCGGATTTGGATTGCGTCGATCACCCCACCCTTCGAATGACAATCCGACATCAAGGTACTGGCTTCAATTGCCCATCTTTGCTAAGAATAACATTCAAGGCACATTCAACAGGCTCTGTCGCTTTCGTAACGAGCACTGCGCCTTATATCCTCCTCGCGCAGCACAGCTCCCTCCTCGGTCTATGGGCGAGGGAAAGTCAAATTGGCTGCTGGAATATCTGGAAGAGAATAACGAGTCGCATTGGACACAGTCGTCAACAGCATCCCAATAGGTTATGAGATTGGGCTTTTGAGCTCTGAATGGTGATCCGTTCGCGCCGAACACTGATTCTTTTTGCACAATTTCATGTAATGTCATACGATTCGAGATGTGTATTGCCCTTGAAGAATAAATTTTGGATCGAACACGGAAAAATTATAGCCCTGCGTGAGCTGGATCAAATCAATGTCAAAACTTCACTCATCGCCTGACCCGGCTTAGGACACTACAATACCATATCCCGTCTATGCCGCTCAGCCGACTAGGGAGGTTTAACCCCATGTGTGACCTTGGTCTATTCTTAGCATTTCAATTCTGTATAGTATCATTCAAATCAGCCGTATTTTCATCAAATGCTGTGTCTCTGTGGCGATGCAAGGGACGAACTAGGAATGAGCAACTTCAAGCCAAAAGTTGTGGGCGACAGTTGATCCATCCATAATTGGCGCTTATATTTGTCACATGTGACGTCACGCGTGTTACAGGCGCGTCGCGCCAGCCCGTTCTCCAACTGTCTTGTCATGAGCCAACCCCAGCTAACGCTCCCGTCCGTCCTCCCTTCTGCTCCTGCTCTCCAGGATGGTGTGTCTGTAATATTTGTGTATCTTTCAGTAGCTGACAAACACCGTCAGTCACGACAACCCCACAGCAGTTGCAGTCAGGCCTGGCAAGGGTGACTAATCCGCAGGAGTAAGTCATTGTATGGATAGTCGGTTATTGTGGTTGAATATCTATTTTCTTTCTTAGAACGCCGATATTCATCTGTGCGTTTGAAAATTGCAACAGGCTGTTCCAGTCTCGCGACCGCCTGATGGCGCACCGCAAGCGCGACCATGATTCTGAGGACCAGACCGATGTGATTACTTGGAACGAATGAGTATGTGACATTTGAGAAGGTGTGCTCGTTTGCGTCTCATGCCTCAATGTCTCCACACGGCACCCCCGGTGTCGCAGCGTCGTGAGTGGTCGTTAAGCTGCGATGCGAGGTAGACTGTGAGCTCTAACTTTAATTCACAGGCGGAACTTATTCTCGGCGATGTTTCGCCCTCGCGTGTCACTCAGCTCTCACTCACCCTACGCATATGTCCAATACCGGGCAGCAGCTATCAATTGCCGTATGCTCGACGGCGATGGTGCGGACAGAGCTTCTTGCTTCTCACAAGCAAGTCCAGTTCGCTTCGGGTATTCTCAGCAACCCGCACCACATTCTGGGCTGTGGGCCGTTCTCTGAGGACATTACGCGCGTTACGATACGAGAAGGACACCCTTGTTGCCGCCGCACCGTGCGTGTGTCCGCTTAACTCACCCCGCCGTCTAGATTATGGGGCAACGAAGACGCAAAAACGGTCGTGGGCTGTGCGTGATCGGGGACTTGCCGTGTGGTCGATGCGATGCTCGGTGCTGGACGCAGAGATGGTTTCCATTTTACGCGACTGCTTCGGGATGCGTTCATAGAACAGTCGAAGACATCTGCCCATTTCAGCCACCTTCCCGTCCATTCGTCATCTTCGACACTGCGCTGCACTGTCCAGAACGCGTACGTGTCCGTGTCCGGAGACCGCAAGGTGTCCAGGACTATTTTCCCTAGTATACAGCTCGGTGCCGATGTCCATATCAAGTTGTCCTTGTACCCCGCAACGTCAGGAACAGCGGGTTCCTTGATGCCAGACTGATCAATCACCGGATTCATGATATCTGCTTGTGACATTGAGCATGATAGTGAAATACATCTGCCATCTGGGTAGAGCTGTGCGTGCCACAGGGTGCTGACATGAGAAGGTTTGGAGGAGATATGGCGGTGGGGATTGCAGCTGGGAAAGCACTCCGGACGCGCCGGCGGTCGCACAGCTGTGCTAGTCCGTAGTTGCAGAACTGGGAGATGTGTATTCGAATATTTGGGTGGGGTGCAATGGAGACAATAAATAAAGGGAGTGTTTGCGCGCATAGGAGGGCCTGCAAACAGGCGCAAACGGCCATCAGCCGGGGGCGGTTGCCAGAGTTGGCGCGCGTCGCCAGGAACGTCTGCACGTCTGTTTGTCTGTCCGTCCTCCTCCTTTGCTCACCACAGGCGGGCCTGCCGAGCACCTCCCCCCCCAGCCCCCGCCCCTCCGCCGCCCACGGCGCACCCTCTGCAGCCATACAGTCCCTCCTAGGTTCCAGATCCAGAAGAATGTCCTTCTTCTCACGGAAGAAGCACGCCCCCCCGCCCGCGACGGTGGCCGTCGTCCAGTCACCGAGCGCCGCCCTCGCCCAGCTCCAGCAGCCCCAGATGCAACAGCCCGCACAGAAGCAGGTGGCAAAGGAGCCCAGCTACGAGAGGTGAGCGTCTGCCTGGTGCGCTATCAATGGGCACGCTTGCCCAATTCGCGCTCTCTCTTCACTATCATTACATCCGCTGTGAGCTGACCCGACCACGCTCGCAGCGGGCTTAACGGCCGAGGGAGCCCAAACGTCGGCCTGAACGGCGTGGGACCGCAAGCACAGCGACAAGCCCGCAACGGTAGCGTCAGCGTCAACACCGAACCCAGCAATCCCCCGCCTCAGAGCGCCCAACTGACCCCGCCGCAAGTGCAACAGCAGCAAATGCAGGGACCCTCAGGGCAGCCTCAGCAGCCTCAACAGCCTCAGCAACCGCAGTCGCAGCAACAGCGGCCAGCGTATCCGTGGTCACAGCGCCGGCTCGTGCTTCCGCCTCCTGTGACGATATCGAAGCCCGGTGTCGCACCGCCAACAACCCCTTCACCATCGCCGTTCCCCAGATACGGTCATGCATTGCCCGCCACCGCTACCGCGACTGGAGAGCTGTTTCTGTTCGGTGGACTCGTGAACAACACCGTGCGCAATGACCTGTATCTGTTGTCAACGCGAGATCTGTCAGCGACGCTGTTGCAAACGGCGGGTGAGATACCGTCGCCCCGAGTTGGCCATGCAAGTGCGCTTGTCGGCAGCGTGCTCATCGTATGGGGCGGGGACACCAAAGCGAACACCAAGGCCAAGCCGACCGATAAGCAGGATGATGGGCTATATCTACTCAACCTCGGTATGTGCTACTATGACTCACACAAAGCCATCTCCGTTCATCACTTCCTAGTAGTATCTCGTGAGTGGACAAGGGTCGCCGTGTACGGCCCATCACCCGTTGGTCGTTACGGCCATGCTGTCACCATGGTCGGCTCGAAGTTCTATATGTTCGGTGGACAAGTCGACGGGGAGTTCTTGAATGATCTATGGGCGTTTGATCTTAATTCATGTAAGTCTCCATGGCACCACGTCAGCTATCCGTATACACGGCTTATACGCATCTATTGCAGTGCGGACGAGGGCGACATGGGAGCTGGTGGAGCCCGCTGAGGGTTCGCCGCGACCAGCCCAGCGGACGGGTCACATCTGTGTCACTCTTGAGAACAAGATCTACCTGTACGCCTGCCAGCCTGTTTATATGGAGCATCTCTCTCACTCAGGTTTATAGGTTTGGTGGTACTGACTGCCAGTATCACTACAATGACACATGGGTGTTCGACACCACCACCAACATCTGGACTGAGCTAACATGCATTGGTTTCATTCCCTCGCCGCGAGAGGGACATGCTGCGTCTTTGGTAGACGATGTGATCTACGTGTTTGGCGGCAGAGGGGTGGACGGTAAGGACCTCGGAGATCTAGGCGCCTTCAAGATTTCTAGTGAGTCTACCCACTGTATCTGGTATACCATCCATAAACCAGAGCGTAATTTTCAGACCAACGATGGTACATGTTCCAAAAGATGGGTCCTGTCCCCAGTCCACGGTCAGGGCATGCAATGGCATCCATGGGATCCCGTGTGTTTGTGCTCGGTGGGCTGGGTGGTGAATCGCTGGGGAATCCTGCAAAGCCCGAAGACCCCTCTCTCGTTCACGTCTTGGACACGAGTACGTTAATGTGAAGGCTGTATGCTGGCATTCCTGATCGTCATCATTACCACAGAGCATATAAAGTACCCCAATTCTGACAAACCACCCGGACCGACTGGGCGAAAGTCCTCTATCGGAGCACCGCAGACTGCAGCGTCCTCCGGTTCTGCAAATGGCTCGATCATCAATGGATCGGTCATCAATGGCCAGCGGCCGTTGTCTCCCGAACAGCAAGGCTCGGATGTGGAGGAAGTCCGTCGCGCAATCTCCCCATCTAGCATACGATCGGGCGGCAAGGCACCGAATGGCGCTGCGTCTCAATCGCTCTCCGGCGCGGCTCGTACAGCCTTGCGTCCTAGGCGCGACGACGATGACGCGTACGGCGGCGGTGACAGCAGTCCAGAGGCGTCGTCTTCCGAGGCACGGGAACGTGCCATGTCCCCCGAACAAGCACGTGCGAAGAGCCCTGTGTACAGTGCAAGCCGCGCAACGTCACCCGTGTCTCCGAGTGAGGGTCAGGAGCCGCTGAGCATGGCAAGCGTGGCAATGAGCCGTCAGGCCATCGCTGCGCGCAGTCCATCGCCGAATGTCGATCGGAGCAAGCCGCCTCCAGATGGGTTCTTCCACGCCAGGACTGGCTCGCCTCTACCGAACCCGAACGGTAGTGTGTACAAGCCGGGGTCTACGGGCAACATCACTGCAGACCTGATCCGAGATCTGAAGGAGAGAGAGGCTGAGATGGAGGTCATGAAGAAGCGTGAGGCGTGGATGCGGGCAGCGCTCTCGAAAGCCTCCCGTTCTGGGTTTGTCTATTCCGAGTCCGAGGAGGAGCTCCTCAACAGGGCCGAGGACGATGATATCGATGGTCAGAAGGTCACGGAGCTGGTCGTCCACTTCAAGCAACTCAAGGCCAAGCTTCAGGTGAGCAGCCCAATTGCTTACATTAGAATAGATCGATTGAATGTCGTGCCTAACTTCAGGCGAGTATTGTCGACCAAGCTAGGGTTGCTTCAGAACGTGTGCAGGAAGCAGAGAGACTTCGATCAAGCGCTTTGCAGGAAGCCGCCTTCTACCGTGCGAAGCTAGCTGCCCTGGAGGTCTCCTCTGATGTTGGCGAGGCGAGTAAGCTCGACCGGGAGCGTGCTGCTGATCTGGAGCGACGATTGGCTGCCGTGGCTAACGAGCGAACCGAGCGTGATCACAAGATCAAGGAGCTCTCGGATACGCTCGCCATGCAGACTATGCTCATGGAACAGGCGCAGGCGCGCGCGGAGGACGCGTCCAAGCGTGTCGAAGTGTTGTCTCAGTCGCACGATCGAGACTCCGAGGCATACCGATCTTTGCAGGAGCGGTACGCGAGTATGGAAGTTCTCTACCGAGAGCAGTCAGACCGCCTCCTTGCTCAGACCTCCCTGGTCGACCACCACGAGGCGGATCATATGAAGGCGCAGTCCCAGCTGGAGGAGCTCATACTCTCGCAAGAGCAGCACATCCGTGCCCTTGAGCAAGCGCGTGCTGCTCTGCAAACAGCCTCCACTCGTGCGGACGAAGTCGATGGCCAGTACATCCGCGCCCGGGAGCAGGTCGCGCAGCTCGAAGCAGACCTCGCTGATCTCCGAGGCGAACTGGAGGCGCGTACTACCGAGGTCGAAAATTCCCGCGTGCGCATCCTCGATCTGGAGAACTCGTGGGCGAAGTCGCGCGAAGAGGCAGACGCATTCCGTGCTCTCACGACGGGAAGCTTGGGCGAGATCCTCGACTCACATCGTGATCTTAAAAGCGATGAGGATCGGATGACTCGGGGCTATGTCGAGAAGGTCAACGCGCTGCAGCGGGATGTTGTGTCCCTACGGGACTTGCTGAGCACTTCCACTCGGCGTGCTGACGAAGCTCAGGGTGAACTTACCGAGGAGCGTCGAAAGACACGGGAGGCACAATCAGAGACGTCAGCATTGCATTCCCAGATCTCCGGCCTTCGGATGCAGCTCTCGAATGCGTTGGCGGAGAGTGCTCACTTGCGGAAAGATCTCATGTCGAAGCAATCCGAGCTTGAGGGACAGCTTCGGGAGTCTGCTAACGCCAACATGCGATTGGACGCACTCCGGAAATACCTCGCGGAGAACGGCATCGTGGCTGAGGGAGAAGATTTCCCCTCTAGACTAGGCGGCGCGTCACCCTCTCGGCTTGTTGATCTAGAAAACAGGCTGGCAGAGCAGCTGCGTATGCAAGAAATTACGGATCGTGATCTGCGGGCTGCTTTGCATCAGAAGGAGGAGGCGGAGGCACAGGTCGACTCGTTGTCCAGTCAGTTGGACCAGCTTCGTATGGGGCAGAGTCCTACAAGACGTAGCGCCGACGGTGTCTCCGAAGCGCGCGCCATCGAAGCCGAACGTAAGCTTGAGGAGACCGAGGCTAGCTACAAGGCCCGTATGCAGCAGCTCGAAGAGGACTATCAGCTTGCTGTTCACTACGTGAAGTAAGCACATTATGTAGGCGAATATCTTATCTATTCTGACATGACAACAGAGGCACGGAAAAAATGATGCGCAAGATGAAGGACGAGTTGACAAAGCAGAAGGCGCTCAATCAAAGCATACAGTCGGAGCTCGACCGAGGATCGGAGTCCGGGTCGCGGACACGCGGAGTCAATGGGCGCAACACGCCTTTGTCGGACGAAGCACACGAGTTGCTGCGCAACCAATTGCAGGATGCCCAGCGCCAAGTGCAACGCCTCAACAACGACAACCGTGATCTTCGAGATCGGATCGATACTTTGGAACGCGACCTCGAGCGCATGAGGGACAATGTGATCGCCTCGCAACGAGAGTCTGACGAACGGTTGTCCCGCATTGAAGAACTCGAACAAGACGTTGAACGGCTACAGAATTCTCTCGTCATTGCCCGAGGAGGACACGACGAGACACTACTAGAGCAGCTCAGCAACGAGAATACGACCCTCAAGCGCGAGAACGAGCAATTGTCACACAAAATCGGTCTACTCTTGGAAGCTGACCAGCCAGTATTTGGCCATGGGCGGCCGATCTCTGGGATCTCTGAACGTCCAATCAGCACATCCAGTTCGGAGAATGCCATAGCGTTCGAACACTTGTCCACTCAACTAGACGACTGGCAGCGACAGTTGGCAAGCTCCATGAGCAATCGGAGGCCTCTTATGGACTATGACTCCAATTCACCTGGGCATGAGAGAACCAGGTCTCGGTCATGACAGCAGCTCAATATTTATTTGCATATACCCTGATCGCTCATTTGTCGCTCTCCTTTTTGTTTTCGCACATCTTACCATAGGTATCCGTCACCTGCTGTCTTGTGTGGTATATTTCGCGGTACAATAATAGACTCAAGCTTCATTACGAATGCTGTACTAATCCAATGGAGGTGCCGTAGCGCGCTGTGTCCATTCAATAGCCTTGTTTTTGACGGCCTCTGCCCCCTCTTCGTCGCCCAGGCGGCGCTCCAGTCCTAACCACTTCTTGAAGAACGTTCTTTTAATGATTATGGTTGAATAATGATATGCATATGGATTTGATAGGAGTACTCACTTCGCCTTGTGACTGGTCAGCTTCAAAGCCAAGACTCGCTCGAAAATGTTTCTGAAAATGGTGTGAGCCGACATCTCGCAAATACTGGGTGTCGCATACCTCAAGCTCATAATATCGCCATGGGCCGTCTCCATATCTATGTAGACAGACCATAGATCCCATCGCTTGGGATGTGAATCAACCATGCCCTCAAACAGGGTCTTGCCTCGCTCAGGGTCGCCAAATTTGTATTCCAGCTGAGCGCACTTCGATATCGTCTTGATATCTATACGTCAACGGGTATTAGCGGTTGTCTATGTCTGACTCGCGAATACCCATACGCTTGCGCTTTTCCAGACTTTGTAAGCTGCGCGGAAGGAGTTTCCTAGCCTCTTCTAGCATTCCTCGTTTCAAGTAGTGCTCGCCAAACAATGTCCATACTTTCGAACTCTGGCTGAACTTCTTGCATGTGCGCTTATATTGCTCTTCAGCTTTCTAATAGGACGTCAGCAGCATGAGCGCATACATATTGTTATAATTTACCTCGTGCTTTTCACTCTGATCGAGGATATTTGCTAAGCGGAGATGGATAGTTTTTGAGTCATTATGCCGTGCTGCGTCCTTGAATGTGGCTTCCAACGACTCGTCCGTCCCGAAAGAGTTCTCGAGGTTCAGAAGGGCTACCCAGACGTTCAGTTTTTCCTGCTCTTCTCGGAAGTTGATGGTCCGCAAGGCGCGTCGTGCAATCTCACGAGCCTTCTCTACCTCAGAGATTTGCAGTTGGAACGACATGTACTGGATCCAAAGATAAGAAGAATTTGGTGAGCCAAGGAGCACTCGTTCGAAGTCCGTGTTTGACTCTGGCATCTTCGTATGCATGTCGGCTGTCAGGTCTTGCTCAATCTCCTTGCGTTTCCGCCTTTTCTTCTTGCGCCCTTGCTCGTCGTCGTCTGTGTTCTCTTCAGAAGATACCATGGCAGTGTCCTCAGCGTCCTGTTTTGCAGACCATTGGAAGCCATCCTGCAAGCTGAGTGAATTGGTCTGCGTGATGTTTGTGGTTTGCTCCGCAGAGGTAGCAGTGACAACGTCTATGTCCATCGCCACCGCCCCATCGTCTGCAGCTTCGGAATCATCGTCGGAATCGTCGCCTTTCATGTCGTCTGTGCCCACAGGAGCGTCATCGTCATCAGAACTACCATCGCCTGAGTCCTCGATGTCCGTGATATCATCCACTACACCGAGGCGTCCATCGTTACCGGTTGTGGATTCGTTGTCATCGTCACTGGACTCGAAGTCATCGTCTGCAAAATACGACGGCTTCAGACCAAAGGATATGCGGCGCTTCTCTCTATCAATTGAGAGAATCACAGCTTTGACCTGATCATTTTCACGGAAGCTCCGCAGCGCAAGTGTTACGTCTGCATCCTTATTATCGGATAGCTGCGGCGACAAGTCAAACAATGTGTGTAAGGGGGCCAAAAATCGACGCACTTCAGACTTGTGGCACAAACCGCTGAGCTTAGAACCGGCTATCTCGATGAAGAGACCATAATCCTCGATTTTCTTCACGCGACCATCGACTTTTTGGCCTTCCGAAAGATCCGCTAGTGTTGATTGAGAGCGTGCATCTCGCTTGAGGTCCCCAGAGCGGAATGTCATTTCCACTTGCTTCTTGTCGAAATCGACGCTGTATTGCATATTGGACAGTTGTATGGTTGGTAAAGAGCTCTGACCCTTACCTCAAAACGCGGCCCTTGACAAGTTGATTGGCAGCGAAGTGACTCTTCCAGTCCTTGACGTACTAAGACTTGGTAAGTAATTGTTCTGTTCTCACTTCCTTCGCCCGTACCTCATCAAAGAGCTCCTTGATCTGCACTCTGGCGTCGATGTGACGGCCTAGCATCACAAAGATACCTTGTTCCGCGACATTCTTGATGAACCCTCTCACTGTCTGCCCGACTTTCAGGTCGGAAACACCGTCGACCTCATGGTCCTTAACGTCCTTTGCCTGGTCCGGATATAGGCGCGATGGGCGTGTCGACAAGGTAAGTTGCCGCTTGTCTCTGTCGATTGACAGGACCACAGCCTTCAGTATGGAATCAACGGGCGGGAAGGCCCTCCCAGAGTCAAAATCATCGCAGGTATCTGTGGGATGCAGAGTTCCGGAGATCGAACTGGTCAGCTTGACCAATGCGCCCTGCCGACCATGCCGCAAGACGCGTCCTCCAACGACTTGACCAACTTGAATTGTGTCCAAATTCAGCGAGCCCCTCTGGAGTAGAGACTCTTTCTCTTTGGGTTTTGTCGCCACGAGGACGAATCCTTTCTCCGGATTACGAGACACGACGACGAGATCTTGTAGCTTTTCGTCGGTCTTGAGCGATGTTCGAAGCTGAGTGAGCGATACCCCGCGACGATTGGCGAGGTTGTTCAGGGATAGCAAGGCGCGGACTTGCGTCGGCTGGAGAGTGATGACAGCCTTGTCCTTCTGCAGCTCGGCGACGACTCCTTCGACCGAGTCCCCGATGTCCACCCCACTAATGTCAGTGATAGCAGCCTTGTAGTTGGGTGACGCCTGTCGTATACTGGCAACAATACGCGATGTCTCCGGGTCGACGGAGGTGATTTTGACCTGCACAGGTTTCCCAATAGGAAAAGCCCCCGCTAGTGAGCCTATGGCTGTTTCACTATTTGCCATAGAAGATGAGGATAGCCGAGATGCATGAACAAGGAGGCACTCACCTCGCTTCGCGAGCAGGGACAATGGCCTTGAGGTTATTGTAGAATTCAACATGCAAGCTCTTCTCCGTCACCTTGAAGACGACTGCATGCGTGATCAACCCAACAGTCGCGTCCTCAAACTTGGCCACAATAGGTAGCGGCGAGTCTAATAACGTCTTCTTGGAAGTGAGGACGATTCGTTTACGCTCAGCATCGACAACTAGCACCTGAACTGATATCTCAGCGGTCATATTACCAAGTCTGCAAGACTGTGTACGTACGCGACACTTGATACTAGCACCTGGCCGGAACCTCCTTTGCGGATGCTTCAGAGCAATATCCGCGTAATGGTTCGGCCAGACGACGCCGTCGACACTCCCCGACATCGAGACAAACAGCGCAGAGTCGGTCAGCCTCTTCACTGTTCCCTTGATGAGCTCGCCGACCTGCACCTCTCCCACTTGGAGGAATTTTTGCTCGAGTACAGATGGCCGGAATGACAGTTGAAGGCAGCCATCGAGATGGAAGTGGCCGGTGACACGGGCTTTATGGACTGTCCCTACTTTCCAATGGCCAGACGAGGGTGACAAAGATGGGACGTGCTCGTCTGACACTTGAGAGATCTTCACATTCGTAGTCAGTCGATTGAGCACAACAGCCACAAAGCATGTCAACATACATGCACAAAGCCTTCCAGCCCTGAGGAAATCTCTACCACGAGACCCCGCTCGGCCTCGACTCGGACAACCTTGACGGCTTCCAGAATAGCCCCTACAGGATACGCATCTTGCAGACTTGAATCCTTACTTCCATCGGATCCAGCCGCATGTTTCGGTGATAGTTTCAAAACGTGCTCTACCACCGACAATGCGAACCTCGGTGGCGTTGAGGGACTGACATCGTACAATATACGAGCTTTGATCTTCTGACCCACTTTATAGTTCTCTTCGACGTCGCCAGCACGCAAGTGGAACTGGTCTATAGTGCCGCCAAAGTATCCTAGGACTTGGAGGTTCAGGCCGTCAGGAACTACAGCGGTTACAAGCGACTGAACAAGTGTGCCAGGGAGAATAGATGTCACACTAGCGACTTCGGACAGCTGCATAACATGCGTTACGGATCTCAGCGCAGGTTTGTGCTTGAGTAGTCCATCACATACCGACGCATCTCGGACAGAAGCAAAATCGACAGACACAGTACATGTCCTACCGTTGCCCGTTATCTTCACTACACACACGTCGATCAAGCGTCCAACGGGCAGTTTGTTGTCGTCTCCGAAGGGACCTTTCTTCGCCTCCTTGAACGATAGAAAGCCGGACACATCAGGAATCCCTAGGTCTAAGATGTAGCCATGATCCTCGATGCTCTTGACAGCTGCGGACAAGGTCTGAACACCCGTGGGTAAAGGTCAACGGAAACCTTTCAGATACAACATGCAGCACTCACGAATCCAGCGCGAAGATCACTCTTTGAGACGCTCGCGTTGACTTTCTCTGGTATCAAGCTGAGCTCAATCCTCCGACTGGCTTTCTGCACCTCATCTCGAGCCCGCCCCAGCACTGACGCGTCTGTTGCACCTGGTGGGTGGACAGCAGATACGACTGCTCTTACATATTGTCCCGGAGGGAATATGTGAAAGAGGTCGGGTATCCGAGACTTGGAGGGTCCATCGTCCTCCTCATCTGATGGCGGCGCGTCATCGTCATCATCCTCCATTGATTCGAGAAGACCGGTGAGCTGTGTAGATATCTCTGTAATTGGTACATGCGCGAAGAGTTGATTCGGTAGCGAGATAATAAGCGCGAGGGGCTGGACGGAAACAACTTGGCCGAGAATTTTCATGCCAACTACTACGCGCTGCAAACAAGAAATGAGATTGCAAATTTTTTGAATGATAGGTTGCCATACCTTGTAGTTGAGATGTTCTACACGAACGGTTTCGCTTTTCTCTCCTTTCGCCACCTTCTTACCTGCGCTCTTTGCATCAGATTTGCGCTTTACGCGCTTCGCTGGTTTATCCTGCCGTTTCCGATATACCTCAGTAACTTAGTGTATTGATTAAAGAAAGAAGACGACTGCACCTGGAACAGCTCATCATTGGCTTCCTTCACCGCCTCTGCGCGAATAGCCTTGACCTCTAATGGCGTGAAGCTCGATCCACCCCCTCGAGGAAAATCAACTTCGTCAGAGACGAGACTGGTCACAGGTGCGGAAGGCTGATCCGCTTTTGCCTTTCCCTTCTTGGCAGCACTTTCAATTTTGGTTTTCTTCGCCTTCGGGTTGCCTGCAGCGGAGTCGTCCAGTACGCGCTTCTTGCCTGCCGCCATCAAGTTCACAACTCAAATAATGCCCGCTACTCGAGAGTAGAAAATGCGCGAGGGAATGCGTCCAGCCTGTCCAAAAAGCAATTAGACCCAGCAGCCGATGGTGGATAGAGGCTTGCGGCCAGAGGCTGCAGCAAGAACTGAATGAGCCAAAATTTCAGCCACCGAGGTGTTTTGGATCGGTGTGTCGATCGCTTCGCACGTGGTGACCATGTCCCTGAGCGCTTAGGTGAGCCGTCACTGCTTGTCTCCTGCACTCGAGCTTTCAGTCAACTTTCCTTCAAGTTTGACCACCAGGGATACTATGGGTGCGTATCTCGTACCTCGCATGGGATGTTTTTGCTGACATGATTCTATCTAGACTACCAGGTAGGTTACGATTGCATTGTTTCGCAACTAGATGCTGAACTACTTCTCAGAATCGAGTTGGTTCTAAGTTCGGAGGCGGTGGTGTTGCGGGTGCGTCCGAGACGAACGTAGATCGACGTGAACGTCTCAGAAAACTTGCACTTGAGACCATTGACCTTGCCAAGGTGCGCCGGCCGTTGATCTCAGCTCTTTCATCCGGTCTGACAGAAGGGGCCTTCAGGATCCCTACATCCTCCGCAACCACTTGGGCTCCTTGGAATGTCGACTATGTCTCACACTCCACACCAACGAGGGCTCGTACCTCGCGCACACACAAGGGAAGAAACATCAGACCAACCTTGCCCGTCGTGCCGCGCGCGACCTCAAAGAGACGCAGCTCATGATTGCACCCGCACAAAACACAGTCCAGCGAAAGGTCTTCTTGAAAATTGGCCGTCCTGGTTATCGTGTTACAAAGGTTCGCGATAGGGATACTGGCAAAGAAGGCATGATGGTCCAGGTCCACCTGCCGCAAATCAAAGCAGACGTAATTCCTCGAAGACGTTTTATGAGCGCCTGGGAGCAAAAACGTGAGCCGCCAAACAAGGCGTACCAATACCTTATCGTGAGTTATATATTTATGTATAAATAACAATTGCTCTGCTCACTCGCTGTGGCCAGGTTGCTGCCGAGCCCTACGAAACCATTGCTTTTCGTATCCCTGCACGCGAAATAGAAGACGAGTCGGATGATGCTGGATATTGGAATTGGTCTCATTGGGACCCTGACACCAAGCAGTACAGTTTCCAGTTCATGTTCCGCCTCCACTACTGATGTCTGATTTGTACTCTATGTGTATGGACTTGTATGCTGAGTGGCATTGGCGCTACCCAAGCCGTAGCCTCATTTCATAACTAAGCTGTTCAATGCCCAAGATAGTATGCCATAAACACAAAATGAGGTATGCCGACTTATTATTACAACTACTTTTGGTACGTTAGTCACACTGCACAAAGCCGTCGTAGCTTGATGCCCCTGTGTGTGTGATGCAACCTGGGCACAAGCCCGCATAAGGGAGACTCGACCTATGACACAGAGTTCACTCACCGCAAAAGTCTCCAGAGTCATCATAGATGACACGGTCAGCTCCAGGGCTACCGCCATCGTACGCTTCACCTTGTTCGAGAGGATACTCGTAGTATGTCCCGCTGCAAGAAGAAAAGTCGAAGCCCTGGAAAATCAAAACCAACGGTCGGTGTCCTTGCTGATTGCCAGAGGTAACACACAACACGAACCTCATAATCGTGATATTGGTGGGGGTAGTCGCTGCATTTCGCGGGTAGGTCACGGTACTTCCTAGTTGTGATTAAGATACTCACCTAGCGCCGCCATCCTCAGCTGCGTTGATGGCATCTTCAATGTCGCTAGAGTCGTAGGAGTTGTCTGCACCTGCTGTCAGTACGTATGGACGAAACCTGTAGTTGTCCCACCCACCTCCGCAAGTACAGCTCTGGCGTTTCGTGATGAGAGCCGCCGCCGACTGGCTGACCAAGAAGGCGGAGACGACGAGCACAATTGCGGAGAACTTCATAGTGTGCAAGTGCAATCACCACAGCGAGAGACTAGGGACCTTTGTGCTGGTTAGTCTGCAAGCCGCGACATTTGCCTTCTTATACGACGCTGCACGCTGACCAGGCGCAAGCGATGCTTCGGATTCACGCATGTGTCGGAGAGCTGCACATGTGTATTTCTCATTCTCGTGAATCCTGATGCCTGATTCTGCTTGATTTCAGCTAACCGCTGTATGGCCAAATGAAATTGAATGTTTATCTACACGTTCATTGCAGATGGACTTTAGTTGGCTCCTCCACTCGCACATGGGTCTGCGCTTCGGGAAATACAGCAACCAGCGGTGCCCATATGGAGAGCTGCGACCGACCTCATGTCCTGATTACATTCATTTTGCTTCCCCGGGCCCTAATCAGCGCCCAGTCGACGGGTATCGAGATCTGATCGAGAGCCGTCGGTGTGTCCATCGCACAAGATCTTCCTACAGTGTGGTCCGTGGATTGGTCGACTTCGATTAAATATATCACTCTTGCCGGCTCTACACCAGCTCATTCGATCTGTTTCTGGCTAGTCATTGGGTATCTACAGCCTGACTTTGTCTTGTGGTCCTCCAGTTTGCCGAAAACCCCACTCTATACGACACGACGAGATAAGAGGTACGTGCACATGTCTTGGGCGTTTGAGAACCAGGAGTACCATGTTGCTCTGTTCGTGGCATCAACGTAGTCAAGCTACTTCCGGCCCATATGACCCTATCCGGTTTCATATTACCGTCTTCCTACATTTTGCACACGTTTGTGGCTTTACCAGCCGCCTGAGAGGACACTCTTGGAACCTGTGCCATTTTGTAGACGTCGACTGTAATAAACGTGCGTACAAGGGCACAACCACCACGGACATGACCCGTTGTGCCCGTGATGAGCGCTGGGCGTTCAGTTCTCCAATCGAATAGGTGAAGACTCAGTTTCGACACTTTCGTTCGACAAATGCTCAATACATAGTATTGCACACCACAATTACACTGGCATTACAACGTACATAATCGTGATGTACAACACACCCTAAGCTGCACTAGAGGACAATTATGACTACAGAACTAGTACGACTGGACATACAACAACAGATGATAACAGATGAGAGCATCAATGACTATGAGAGTACAGCAAGATTCTATACCATGAGAGGGAAGAAAGGACAGCGCGGATTGGACGCGCAGATCAAGCAGAGTGCGTCCGTGAAGATCACTGAAAGGAGAAGTAGTTCAACGTTCGCGGAGTGCGGAGAATCCGGACTCGAAGGGAAGAAAGAATCATGTGGAAGACCAGCACGGAGTATGGCTTTGCTCTTAGAACTGCACGCTCGCGCAGCCAGGAAATGAAATGCGGACGTACGCTCCACGACTGAGGCACTCTTTGTCCCGAGTACTCCAGAGGTCGTGTTTTGGCGAATATACCAGCCATTAGCCACCTGAAGACCACTCTTCACTTCGTCGCCTTCCTCGTCAACTTGCTCAGCTTTCTGCTCAGTTTCTTCTCACCCGCCTCTCTCTCAGCTTGCCTCCTAATCTCCTCCTCTTTGACTCTGTCGCGCGTCCACACAGCCGTCGCAACCTGCCCGATCACCTTCGTCTTCCCACCGCTGCTTACGCCATTTGTGGGCTCGACGACACGGGCAGAAAATACAGCCGCGCTCGCACTGGAGGTGAGCTCTGGCGCAGCAATCGGGGCAGACACGGTGTTCGACGCCCGCTTACGCAGCACATTCGGACCTGCTGAAATGGGAATCGCCTGTGCACGACCCTGGCTGGACTGCCTGGAGCTCATTTGCGGAGCAAGGGGAGGACCCGCATTCGGCTGATGTGAGTACGATACCGAGTGATGATGTTGCAAGTGTCTGCCACCATGCGTACGGGCGTCCTGGCGCACGCCATGACCATCGTCTGATCGCGTGCCGGGCACCGCCTGCTCCCTAAGCTGGCGAGCGGCTTCAGCCCTCTTCTGGTCCTCCAGCGGCTGAAGAGGCGTGGGCATCACGAGGTGCTTCGGAATGTGACGTGGGGGAAGCGAGCCCTGTGTTTGCACACTTGGTGCCGGCCGGCGGGGAGGGAGGGCGATGTCAGGCCGAGGCATGTTCTCATTCGGCGCATTTCCTGTGGATGAGGTGTCCGCGGCGTAAAAAGAGGTGCGTCTTTCCGAAACTTTCTGCGCAGGCCGAGCCGAGGAGAGAGGCGCTTCGGCTCGCCGCGTTGTGGAAGGCGTACGCTGTGCAGGCGTTAGCGGCGGTACTGGAGATAGAGCCGAGGGCTCGTTAAGTTCACGCCCATCGGGCGCTTCCCCGTCGACAGACCCCTGGCCAGCGGGAGGACGCACGTCAGGGCGTGAAGGTGATTCAAATCTAACCTGCGACCTCTGCCTGAGCAGACTCGGACGCTGTCGAGATGGATCTACTCTATCAGCCGGGGAGGGCATCTCTACGGGAGATGGGTATGGGTCCTGCGGTGCATACGTCGGGAAAGGCTGAAGAGCGGGCTGCTCGACTGTCGGCTGTCGCTGAGTCTGGATCGTCGGCTGCTGAGCAGGCGGAGAAGAACGGGGATGCGATCGAGAGTGAGACGAGGCACGACGTCGGCGCGGCTCTTCAGCTTGCTGAGACGAAGCTTGCGGAGGAAGAGGAGGAGCTCCAGGCGTGTAGACGACCTGAGTATGCGGAGAGAGACGAGGGCCGGAGTCATCTGCAGACACCGTAGCGAAGGGATTGAAAGGAGGGCCATGCGCCTGAACCTGAGCTTGGGGGGGTATGTAGGGCGCTTGTGTAGCCTGATACAGGGCAGCGGCCGGGAAAATCTGCCCCGGCTCTATACTGAACGACGACGAGGAAGGCTTGCGTCGTGGTGCCTGCACATGTCCAAGGCGCTAGTAAGCTACCAGCTTCTACATTGGGTTACGAATACCTACCGGTCGCTCTGCCTGTCGTTCTCCGGCCCTTTCCTTACTGCGACTTCGCTGCATCTGGGCAGTCGCTCCCGCGGCAATGCTCGCAGATACATCACTAGGCTGAGGTCGGCCTTCTTTCCGCCGTTCACTTATGCTTCTAGTGATCTCATATGGGCCGCCATGGTGCCAGGCCAACCCACGAGGATCTGTCTCGTCAAGCTCGTCAATTCGGTCAAGGTCGCGAGGGGCACTGACGCTCGGGCGCCGGCTGCGGTTGCGTTGGACACCCTGTGGGGGCTGCGGCTGCTGTTCTCGGCTCCGTCCTCGTGTTTGCTCGTCGTGGTGAGACTGAGACTGACTGCGAGTAGGTGCTTGGTTTTGTGTCTGTGTTGAGGGCTCTGGGCGGGCTGGTGCCGTTGCCGAGCGCGTCAGCACTTGAGGGGGCGGAGGAGGCTTGTTATGCAGCTCGGGTGCAGATTCACTATGGAGCGGAGGAATCGGACGTGCTGTAGCCGACGCCGTGATGGTAGCCGGGCTAGGAAGCGAGGCTGACGGCTGGATTGGTGTCCGCGATGGACGGGCTAGAGAGGAACTCCGCGGTGGGCCTTGGATACGCGCTGGTACCACAGGTTCTTGGCCAATCGCCGGCGCAACGGGAAGCGGGGGTGTGGGCTTGTCTCTACCAGAATATGCCGACGCGGCAGAGGATCCAGAGGCGGAAGAATGGCGTGGAGAAGAGACTGCGGACGACGGAGACGACGCACTAGGAGTGTACACGAAGGATGAGTGACTACTGACGCTCGAGCCCGATCCTGACGATGGGCTTGAGGGAACAGGCGGATGCCACATGGGGTTGATTGGGAATAGCGATGACGCAGATATCGTGCGTGAATGCGGTTTCGGCGGTGGGGTTGGTCGTGCCTGTGATGGAGGCGGAGACACAACGTCTTGCAAAGATGCGCCGGCAATCGGAGGTGCGTAAGGCATTGACTGCGGCCAAACATGCTGTGTCGGCGGCGCAGTCGCAATCCCAAACCCTGACTGGAGTGATGGCGGGATTGGTCGCATGGCAGGCGGGTCGCGCGCTGGTCACCACGCGGCGACGGTGTTAGCGGGAGTGTACCGCACAGTGAAAAGAGGATACTAACGTGGCGGGGGAGGTGCAGCACGTATATGTTCTGCGGTGGTCATGATAAAGTGCGGATTAGTGCGAGGGTCGGACGAGAACGCAGGGTCGTCGAGAAAGGCCTGCGGGAGAGGCCTTGCGTGCAGCGGGATCGTCGGTTGCACAGGGAGGACGGGAGGAACGAGAAAAAAAGCTGGGGATGGGAGAGGAGACGTGACGGGGGAGTCGAAGGGATAAGATATAGGTTCGTAGGGAGGAGGGGCATCGTCGCGTGGATGGGGCCGGTCGATGTAGTAGTTATGGCCCGCGAAAACATCATGATCTTGCGGCATGGCCAGATTGTCGTGAAATTGTTCGGGACGGTCGTATACGTGCGAGAGCTGAATTCGTTGCGCCATGGTCGCCGGCGACGATGAGGGCAAGGAGAAACTAGCAATAGCGGTGAGAGACAGAACGGGACGACATGAGCAGAGTATTGTCCTTGGGTTAGGCGCCCGTCCATCACGACCCTTCCCACTCATTCCCCGCCACTTTGGGTAACGGCCACGTGCCGGACAAATAACGCGTCAATACGCGCTGCCCTCTTGCCCAACGCGTCTCTTCCTCAGACTCTTCACTCATGGACCTTACCTCTGTACGCGCAGAAATCAAAGCTTGGGAACACGAATTCAGGAGCACGCATGCCCGCGATCCCACCGTCCAGGAAATAAAGGACCGGCCAGAGATAGGTATTACTCTCTATCCCCCCTTCATCTCCGAACCTTACACCATCCGCGATCGCAGCGGCCAAGTACAGGCTCTACAAGTCTCTATCCAAGGCAGTCGCTTCTGCCCCTGTGGCGGGCTCGTCCACGACGCGTCTGACAACGCCTCCTAGACCGCAGCCACGTCAGACCACTCAACCACCCGCATCTCTTCTCCCGAAGACCCGGGCGGTCAGAGTCGATCCTCCCACTCAGACTTATAATCCCTTCTCTCCCGTCAAGAAGAAAAAAGTGAAACACGATGACATACACGATGACATTCAACCGCTCAATCTAACTCACTTATCCTCGCGTCTCAATCCATTCACCACGCCTACTAAGCCTAGGACCCAGCCCAAGCACAAACCCTCTGCCCGACGATCCCCTTCTCCGGACCCATTTCCCCTCATTCAGCTGTCTCAGCCTGCACGACAGTCCAGTGGTGGTCCGCACACTCCGACCGCTCATTCCGCGGTCACTCGTGCGCGCAAACGTCTCCGCGGCGACCCCGTCTCGCCATCTCCTGTTAAGGAGAAGCGCGCACGCATCGGATCTCAGCGCGCACGCAACGTCGCTGCCCCCATCATCGACAGCGATGATGAAGAGGTTACTACGCGAGGGTTGGGTGTCCGCGACGCGGACGAGACCTTCATAGAGGCTACGCCAATGAAACCGCCGCCAGGCGGCAAATCGTTTCGAGTCCTCTTCGACGAGGTTCCTCCGCATGCAGAACGAGCCTCGAGGCAACCTGCCGTTCGCACTCTCTCACGCACGAAGTCTACTCTGAGCAAGACAAATCTGTCCTTTACGAGTAAAGGGAAATCACGAGCCCTGTCACCGTCTTCCTCGGAGGATGACGATTCTATATGGGACAGGGGAGCGAAATTGAAAAGCCTCATTACGTCTACCAACGACATTGCTGGTGCCAAGAAACTCAACACGCAGCAGAGACGGATGATTAATGAAGCTGCAAAGCATGCGATTCCAAAGGCTGTCTTACCTGGTAAGGACGATCTGTGGTCAGATGTCGGGCCTTCCAAGGGTCCTCAGACTAAGAATCAAGCACGCATTGTACTCAATAACAAAGAAGGTGGAGACGCTACAACACGTTCCGCTACAAAACGCCCACTACCTGATGAAGAACCTGACGCGAGATCGGACCAGACGAATGGTCTGACAGATGGCGGAAATTTGCTTCCCCGTCTTGCACTGCTGCCACCATCACCCCCACCTGCCGATTCATCATCCAGGTCATATGGAAGTGGTTCGAAAGACAAGGCCAAAGGCAGGGCTGCTGTTGCTTTCGGCCGGAAAAAGGCAAGGTTGCTCGAACAGGCAGGCGGCGAGGACGATGACGACAGCAGCCTAGACGACGAGGAAGAGAGCGTGAAGGTGCGAGAAATCACGCGACAGCGGAATTACAGCGCTCGCGCCAAACTCCCCGATGATCTCGACGACTCCGAGTTCGACTGGCCCCCGTATCCCGTGCACGCACCGGAGTCTCCACGCCTCGAGGCATCCGCCCTCGAGTCGGGCATAGTAGATGTTGACTTGCCTGATGACCTCAAACGTATCCTTGCTCTGTCTCCTCGGAGAAGGAGCGAAATAGAGGAAGACAAGCTCGTTAAAGGTTTACTCTACGGAAGGAGAGAGACGCATTACGATGCGAAAGGTGGGGAGATCTGGGACGTCGGCGAAATCATTGAAGCATCTGAAGGCGCGGGCGAGGGAACAGAGGAAGAGTGGGAAGGAGAACCAGTCCCGTGGGAAGTTGGTGAGCTCTGACGGACGATGGCTGAGGATGTACGATGAGCAGGCGGTTCGTATATGTATGTGAGCCTGCGCGCTCTGCGCGACAATGCGATACAAGAATTGACCTCAACTTCAGCTTTTACCGCCAGGACTCATCGTGCATCTGCAAAATATCCTCATGCACTGCTCTCAAGCGCCGCTGGTGGTCCGTTAAGACCCTGGTTTGTGTCAGTCGACGGGCTTCATGAGGCGTGTCTCGGGCGTGTCGCGACTTGCGCGTGGCACGTGCACCGTGTTATGGGCGTCTATTGGTATTCGACCACAGGCCCTCTGGTACGTCCGTTGGCTGTAACCTCGTTGGTAAGGCGTGCAGGCCGGTTATCTGGACGCATGCATAGCTTCTTCACAAAGTGCTATCAATATCTGCCCTCTAAATGGTCGGGTGCGTGCCAAGATGTCGCGAATAATCCCCGTTCACGCTCGCTCGAAGCCCCCGCCGCCGCAGGGTCCGTCCTCCTCGCGCTGTATATTCAAGCTTCATCAGTGTGCACGCACCCAATCCATCTCGCAGCCAGCCGATACATCCTTACGCAAGGTTCACAGCCGCGAGCCTGCAGTCGTCCTGACGATCCACACACTTCGCCCGCAATAAGTACCCAGCCGCCTTCTGAGACGCGACATGTCTTCTCCTCCGAGCATCTCGCGCCGCTCTTCCCTCGCCGAACGAGTTTCCTCTGCACTGCCCGCCATCCGCCCTCGCCTGCCCAGCCTCCGCTCCCGCAAGCCCAACGGCTCTATTAATTCAGTGAACGGTACCGACCATCGCCGTAGCTCATCTTACCGCCCGTACTCCGTGTACCAGCAGACCATGCATCCAGCCATCCTCCGAGACGCGGACGCGACAAACAAGCTGTTCGAGGCCATCCTTGACACTCCCGGCGGACGTCGTTCGCTTTCGCGCCTGGCGCGCACCTGCAAGGCATTCAAGGAGCCCGTGCTTGACATTCTCTGGCGAGACCTTGACTCGCTCGCTCCGCTCATCGGGCTCTTCCCGAACACGCTTTTAAAGCGCGCGCGCCGCCCGGGCCTCGGTCTGGTACGCTTTCTCCCAATGTTTGCTGAAGTAGAGTCAGATGCTCAGCTAGGATATGGACAGGCCAAGAACCCTGAGCGGGATGACTGGAATAGGCTCCTCGCATACGGCGAGCGCGTGCGCAGCATCTCGTACATGGAGAGCTCTGGGAACATTTCGCCCACAATTTTCCCGATTCTCGAGGAGTTACGACCGAGGCAGTGGTTGCTGCCCAACCTGACTTCCCTCACGTGGAAGTCCGAGACTGCCGCAGGTCTCGAGCGCTGCAGACTCTTCCTAGGGCCTGAGCTGCGAAACATTACCCTGGAGGTTGGCACGAAGCACCCGAAGCTAAACGATTTGCTGGTAGAGATTGCGTCACACGCGCGTCTCTCCTCTCTTGCGTTCACGTTGCATACCAATCTGCCCGACAACTTCACGGACATCTTCCACAACAACCTCTCACTCGAGAAGGTATGCATCGCTGCTCCCGGTGCCCTCTCTGCTCGAGTTGGCCTATGGGCTGCACAGCTCCCGAAATTGCGCAGCTTCACCGTTGACCTTACAGGTCGTACGACAACTGCCGTTGAAGGCTTCTTCGACGATATCAGCCCTGGCTCGGGTGCCTCTACTCCTAGCTCTGTTGGCGGGACGGACAGCGGCGTCTTCTCCGGTGACGAGCTCGACTTTTCTGAGATCCGCAAGTCTGCGGTGCGGCTTACGGGAGACGGCCCACGACACGGTGCATTCGCGCATCTCACGCACCTCCAGCTGTCTGGGGAAACATCGAATGTCGCCACATTCCTGAAACACCTTACCAGCCCGCTCACCCATCTCGAGCTTCTCATCGACGACCCACCAGCATCGGAGGACTGGCAGGATGTGTGCGGGCTCGTGTGCGAACAGTTTTCGTACACGTTGCAAGTGTTCCGTGTGAGCCCAACTTCGGCCTCGCGTTTCCAGGAACTCGTACGCTCGACCTCGAGGGGAGGTGACACGCCTGTGCGGCACCTACCACTTACTCATCTCGGCCCTCTTCCTCGTCTTCACCGTCTTGACATCGATCTCCCGGAGTCCGTTCTCTTCCATGAGTCGGATATCGCACACCTGGCCAACATGTGTCCCTCACTCGAGATCCTACGGCTTAGCGCCCTAGCGCGGTGGCCTTCGACAGTCGGTCCACCAGCATTAACGCTCGAGGGGCTGGTGCCTCTCATGCGTCAGTGCCGGCGACTCCACACACTTGCCGTGGTTGTCAATGCTCTTGACGGATCGGAAGGGATCTTGTCGACACGGGAAGTGTCGTCGAGATCGCTTCAACGTCTTCATGTCGGGCACTCCTGGATCAAGGATCCGCTTCAGACAGCGATCCTTCTTAGCCACGTCGCACCATTCCTCGACAATCTCAAGTGGTTCCACGAGAAGAACCGTGCCGTTGTCGTTGAAGCAAATGCACTCGCATGGCAGAAGGTGTCAGAGTTCCTGCCTCATCTTCAAAACATCCGATTGGCAGAGAGAAGACAGCAACCGCAACCTCAGGTCTACGTGCCACCACCGACAGCCGAAAAGGCCGTCGACGCGACAGTCATCACTGTCGACCAAGGCATATTAGCCAAACCTCAGCTCGTCGAAAGTGAGGTACAAGCAGAAGTCGAGTTCGCAGACGCGTCTGTGCAGATGGCTCCTGAGGTGGAGTCAGTGTCCGTCGATGCTACCCCGGTCCTTGTGGATACCGGTATTCTCGTAGTGCCTACATTCGCTGAGCGTGCCGTGGACGCTCGCCCCGAAACCGAGGAAAAGGCGATCGACATGCGCGGTACGCCACCATTAGAGACGACGTCTCGTCCCGGTAACATTGCAGGGGTGGTTCCTTCTGTGCTGTCTTACCTCCCATCCCCGGCGACAGGCCTGGTGTCACTCACCTTCCGGGTCGCTCGATTCTACACGTTTCCCTTCCGGTATATGTATTCCTTCATGCCTTCCCTATCAAAATCGGCGGATGCGCTCCAAGCGGAGACCGAGCCGAAGTCACCGGTACCAGGAGAGCAGGAAGAAGATCTTGCGGAGAAGCACGAGAACGGAAACGCGTTGTCCCCGTCGCAAGAGACGGCCGTCTCTCCTGTCGGTCTATGATTCTCTCGTATGCAATATGCTGTATGCTTACATGTATGTGACGTGCTGGCACGGACGTAGGACACTGTTTATGATGCTGTTTATTCGACCGCGAATGAAATGGAACTCACCCATGCTCACCCCCCTGCGAACAAGACCGGGCCTGTGAGTGAGACTGACGTGAAAGCAACAAAGGCCGCGACATGGTCGAGGGAGCGCGCCAAGGGCAATCACGTGAGTGGTGTATTCGAGGCCTCCCAGAATGGCAAGTCGAGCATAGACGTAAGCGCGACGCGTCAGTCCGACTCTACCACTCGCACTGCACGCCAACCGTTCCTCTCCTCTTTGTCTCGGAAATACACCATGTCGGAATCAAGAAGACAGGAGAAAGACCACACGAAAGATGTTGACGAGCTCATCCCTCAGGCGAAATCTCTTGCGCAGGTGCGTCCCCAGCTACCAATGGTACCACTACAGTGATCGAACGCGTCAAGAACAGGCAGGCAAGCTGCAAGATGCTCTTGACAAACTCCTTGTCTTGGAAAAACAAACTCGTAATGTAAACAGTGGCCCATATTCCAAGCTGCGACTGTAGCTCATACTCCGTCGGTAGTCCTCAGACACCCCATCGACAACCCGAGTTGCAAAGGAGATATGTCTGCTATGCTATGAAGCCCGCAACTATGCTCTGTTAAATTCCAGCATCAGCACACTCAGCAAGAAGCATGGACAACTCAAGGGGACCATACAGGGGATGGTAGAGCAAGCTATGACTTGGCTCGACGATATCCGGCAGCGTGAAGGAGACGAGAAGTGGCTGGAGCTGATCAAGACTCTGCGGGATGTAACTGAGGGAAAAGTGCGTTTTACTCCTCGGAATGAAGCGAATGCGCCATGTCTAACGTTCAATACAGATCTTTTTGGAAACACCTCGAGCGCGCGTAACCCTTCAGCTTGCTCACTACCATGAAGCACTCGCGGCCTCCTCCAAGCCGGGGTCGCCGTCCACAAAAGAGTCCCTTGAGACTGCCTCTGAGTTACTTTCTGATCTTCAAGTAGAGACATACTCGTCGATGGAGCGGCGAGAGAAGACCGAGTTTCTCCTGGAGCAAATGCGGTTACTCATCGCCTTTGCTCGCATCAAGGATGCAGAAATCGGCCAGGAGGGCAAGAAGGACACGATTGGTGGTGGCGAGTCTGAGTGGGTCAAAGTGCGCGTGGGGAGTAGGAAAGTCAGCGAGTCGTTCCTAAACGACAAGGCGAACGAGGTGCGTTCTAGTAAGCGAAAGATTTGGATGCTGGTAACCCTCGTGTAATCACAGGACCTCAAGCTCAAGTTCTATGAGATGATGATCCAATACGCCTTGAAGCAGAGCGCATACCTCGACGCTGCCAAGTACTATCATAAGGTCTGGGAGACACCCAGCATCAAGGAGGAAGAGCTGGGGCGAGGTCGCGAAGTGAGTTTAGCCTGAGTTCCTGCTGCCATAACTTTGGCTCACGATGGTACCAGGCCTTTGCGCATGTGGTCTACTACTTGATACTGGCGCCTCATGACAATGAACAGTCGGACATGTTGCACCGTATATATAACGACCCGACCCTTCAAAGGCTGGAAGAACTTGAGTAAGTCACTGCCAGATGAAGACTATTGTCGCTCATGCGCCTGCATTCGTTAGGCCCGTCATGAAGTCATTCATCACGCAGGAAATCATGCGATGGTCCGGAGTAGGAGAGATGTATGGCCCCTTCTTGCGAGGCCACACTGTCTTCCGGGATGACAAGCTCTGGGAGGATCTCCACAAGCGGGTAATAGAACATGTCAGTTCATTTGACCGTTGTCTTCGCGTCTGGCGCTGACTATACGTCGCGCAGAATATCCGTATCATCGCGCTCTACTATACCCGAATAACATTTTCAAGACTAGCGGCACTCCTCGAATTGCCTCAACGGGAAGCAGAGGAAACTCTTTGCAGATTGGTTGTTTCTGGCACTGTCTGGGCCAAAGTCGACCGACCAGCAGGCATCATCAACTTCCGCAAAGCCAAGAGCGCTGAGGACGTCATGAATGACTGGAGCTCAGATATGCAGAAGCTGCTTGGGCTGGTGGAGAAGACATGGATGGGTGTCAATGCTGCACAGGCCGCACAATCAAGAGTGAAAGCATAACATAGGAGTACGTTGTAGGCTATTCCCGGTACGATATTACGAGATGGACACGTTGCTTGCATGTATAAATGCGACGACAGGATAGCAATCTCGTCGAGAGTACGAGTACGCAGGTAACCCGCCAAGGTAAATAAGGCCTTCAGACCAATCTTCGGATGTGCATGAAGTCCGCCAATCTCGCGTCAACCTCCACCTGTGGGAGCAGCGACTTTTTACGCCTCGTGTTAGGTTTGGGCAGTTCCATGATGGCGCCTTCAAGACCGCTTGACGTGATGGTGGGCTCTGCCAAGAAAGGAGCGTATGTCGGGCGCACGTCCTCTTGCCACAGTCGTATATACTCCTGACCCCGCGTCCATGTGCCTGGCGGGCCCTCCTTCTCCACGATCGCCTTCCAGCGTTTCTTGGCTGCATTCTCGCCCGAATGCAACTCGATGCTCTTCGCCCAGGAGTCGAGTGCCTTCTGCTCCTTATTGAATGTAATCTCTACTTGCGATGGACCAAACTTGATGCCGTAGAAGTTCGCCTCCATGAGCGCGAACTTGCGAGCGAGGTGTTGCTCGGTGCGAAGTGCGCGGAACTGTGCGACGGCAGATGCGTACGCGCGCGTCAAGGGCACTTTATGGTGGATGTGCAGGTTTGCAGCGTAGCGGACGGCACTGCAGGACTGACGTCAGCTATGTGCTACCCGCGCGTACGGAGTGCACGTACTCTTCTGGGCTAGGATTTCTCCCCCGCTGTCTCAGCCTTGTCCACTCCGTCCCTCGTATTGGATGCTCGTCCTTGATAGCAGGACCCTCGAGCAGAGTTGTCGCGCGGAAGGCCTCGAAGGGGTGGTCACGGAAGAATTGTCTCCGTATCGAATCCTCGACATAGAGTACGGGTGCAGGATGATTCTTCGGAGGTGCTGGCGAGTGAGCGGATATGCGAGCTACAGGTAGGTCAAAGGCAGATCTGGCAGGTGGTGCTTTTGGAGGGAGAGGAAGAGGGGGGTGCTCGAGCACGGCCTGGAACCAAGCAGGCTCCTTCTTGAGGTAGCCCTCGCGGAGGAGACGAGAGGCCTGCTTGTGCACCTGAGACGCAATCCGCCTTGACATGGTCACTCGAGACCGCTCTCTATCCGAAATTCGCCACCAATGCCTACAGCCACCGCGGCAAAACACGCCACAACAACGCGATCGCGCCCATTTCGACGCGTCGCGCCCGGTCGCCACCTGGAACTAGCTACTCTGGACTGTAAACTGCGGCGGTCCACGACGTTACATGCTCAGAGCATTCCTTGCCGTGTAATTCAATCTCGACGTGGTAGTCAGTCATCTTCATTGCCAGAACCATGCTCGATAGATAGATGTCCTGTCGGCGCACGACGACGACTGATATACAAACAAGATGAGGCTACATTATAATGTACAGCTGTATATATGTGGCTGATGAATCGGGTAAGAGACATGCGCTGGCTGTATTCAATAGGAATGAGCGCATGCTAACGGGGAGCGGCTCGCACTAGACACACCTGAATGACAGCCAGTCATTTGCTTCTTGGGGGCTCAGCACAGCCACATGTTGGCCATGAGCAAGTGCCGCCGTTGGCCTCACTGGAAGCGCACTTCACAGTGTCCTGACGGCCAGTAAGCTAACCGTATGATGATTGCATGCTCGAAGCGTACTCACAGACATGCTGGATTGTGTAATGAAGATTGCGTCTGGCGAGGGGTAGAAGGTGGTCTGTGCTGGAAGCCGCGGAGTGAAGATCATGGTGGTCGGCGATGGGTGTCGAAAGTAGGTGTGGGGTAACTTGATATAGGCGAGTCTTGTATACTGCTGCCAGGGGACGCGCTGGGACGGGCAGGGAGGATTACTTTCACGGCTCGAAATGGCTCATATATAATTGGCTTTGCAGGTCGAGATCCAATACGGCTGGTCTGGGGTGGACAGCCGGAGAAGCCGGCGGTTGTCCTGACTGGTGGAGATATCTGCCGCCTATGTCGGGCATCTGCCACGGTATGTACATATGATCTCAAACGACCCGGCGAAGCCCAAGCATGCCCTCATGGCAGTAACAGGCCCCGCCAATGCGGTACTGCCGCCGCAGCCTCCAATCGCGCCGCAAAAAAACAGCAGCAGAGGCTTCGTCAGAAGTTTGGCCTTCGTCGAATTCTGTACTTAGCTCCGCTCCCACGGACTGCATGAATCACAGAGAATTTCGTATGTTCGAATCCACATGGCTGGCCGACCTTAGCTCTTTGGTGCCTAACCGGTTTTGGTGTTCCACCTGGAATCCGCGACCGGCCATTGGCTACCGTTGACCCGCGCTGGATCCGCGGCGCAGCGCTCGACGACGGTAGAGTGGGTCCTTCCATCACAGCCATTGTGATGTCTATCAAGTTGGCGTGCCCCAACAATTCATTGCCCCTTCCTCTCCATTACCGTATCTGCAGTATATTCACTACCAGATCGGTCGCAGAAAACGGAGCGAACAAATGTGCTAGAAGTCGAACAGTATCGGAGATCCGCAATTGAAACCCCTGGCAGCCGGTCTGCTCTCCCCACGACGTCAACAGTTTCATGTCATGCAGTGTCATAGTCACTGCGCAACTCTATTGCACCGAAAACAAGAGTAACAACATGTGCCCTGGAGTGATGATTGTAAAGGATTAGACTAGAAGAAATGAACGACTGATTCCCCCGCGGCATGTCTAGTCATACGATGGATACCTTCATCTGACTCATATATTTTGACCCCATGGTCTCGCAACAGGTCGGTGATAAGTACTTTCACGGACAGTAAAGATCCGCCATAGCACCTATTTGCGCGCAGGATGATCGGTGCAAGGCAGGCGGCCAGAAATGTATCGAGAAGAACGTGGGGGGACCCTTACTGTTCCAGCGCGCTGCCAGTAAGATTTGCAGCATTTGGGGGATGTCGCACGGTGGTCATACCTAAACGTAGCGTGGGCCAGATAATCTCAGAGTCACTGATGAGTTGTGCCGAGGACGGAAGGCCCCGGCGAACACCCCAACGAGGGGCCGGAGGGCAGAGCAGCTGAACCTATGCGGCGGTCTGCTAGGAGAACTGGGTGGCCAACGTCATCTTCCGCGCGTGCTGTCAGGATTACATGGTGGGCAGGATGTCTAGAGCCCTCTCGAACCAGCGATGTCACGAAGAGAAACGAGTGACGTCCCAGCTCGCCCCCCTCCCGGAACAGACATACGCAAAAGAAAGCAACGTGCGCGAATCGGGCGCCACGTACATCCTTCGAGTTCGCCGGCACATTTTTAGAACCCATGAATCTGTAATGAACTGGTTGCCGCCAGAGGGCGATACCTTGACTGTCTCGACAATGGTGAGCGTGTGACATCGCCCGCTTTTTTGCAACTGACGAGGGGCACAGTGAACTTAGAAGCCACGAAGCTGATTAGAGATAATAATAAGCCCATATGCCTCGGAGAAACAGGGACAGAACTCATCTATCGATGCGTAGCATCCTGGACAGACTATCATATCCACATCTACACGCCAAGCCAGTTCACAAGGCACTGCTCCCAGCACAACGGCGACGTCGAGCTCCGCTAAGCTCAGGCTTGGCTGCAATAATAATAGCATGCCTTAGTTGCGTCCGAAGTGCGGGACCATATGGTCGTCCCTGTGTGCGTCGCCGTCCGAGATAAATATGGCTTTCAGCGGCCCGCAACCTATCAACAGGGTAATATAGCTACGCGGCGAGAATGGGCAGAACCAGCCGTGTATTTCACTGCTCAACTCGATGCCGTAAGAAGACTGCGAAGTCCAGTATGTCGTAAATGGAATCATGGGGCCGTCAAGGGGTGCTCAGCAGCAACATGCGGCAGAGAAAGTTTAGTTGGGAGGCCGGGGTTCCCAGGTACCATCGAGCATGACGCAGCTGGCGAGTTGCCGTGATCACTGGCAGCTCTGTGTCGATCGAGGGGGTCCCGACTGCGACCAAATTGTCAAGCGTCCATTGGACAGCGGATGGAGACCTGAGGGGGTAATCCAAGGCGACGTCGTGGTAGTGACTTCATGGCTGCCGCCAAGAACAACGATCGTGTTGCGTTGAACAATTGAGACGGCGGGTCAACCAGCTCGGAATGGCGGTCTGCGGTGGGAGCGCTCAGAGTGCCTCATGGTAGCGGAGAGATACCCAAAAGATAGACGCCACAAGCCTGCACATGAGTAGATTGCTGTGCAGCAAAGGTGCGGGTGAACGCTTTCTGGGACAGCTGTCGACCGTTAGTGGCCTCCCTCGTCTGACTTTGAGGCGATAGCTCCTACACCTCGGCCTGATGGTGTTGATTAGATCTGGAAATTACGGAAACAAATCTGATAAGATGACGCTAAGCGAGATGATATTCTGATTGATCGAATCGAATCAGCCATACGGAGAGCGGTGGAATGGAGACGTGAATGGCTGCGAAGACGTACGGGGTGCAACCTGGTGCAACATGAGAGCAGCCTCCCACCTCGGGAATCGGGACTCGAGAGATGCGGACGTGATAGCGACATAGCCGGAGGAGGGCCTACAGGTATAAAAAGAGGCCTTAAGCTAACGGTGCTCCTCAGTCCACGATAACCCACCTCGACTACTCCGCCCCCTCAACAACACCTCGCTTATCTCAATGGCTGTGAGTGTCTTCGACTTGTCTCTGTATGGCTGCAGCATCTCACGGCTGCGGACTGTTTGCAGGACACCGTAAAGTGCGCTACCACCCAGTCCAATGGCGGCAGCTGCTCGTGGCCTGCCTGCGGCTGCGCTGAGCCTCCCAAGAGCAAGTAAATTTGCGCTCTTCTTGTAGTGCCTCAGCCGTCTTTACTGGTAAGGATGTTCAGTCCCCTGCGCATTCATCGCTTTGACACGCGTTCCGAAGCTCAAGGGCTGCGCCTCTTCTCGTCAACTGACGAAGCTGTATCGTTTTTGGAAGGATGTGATTGTATAAATGTAACCCAGTGTAGTATGCCATCGCAAAACAGGAATTGTGGAATTGTGGAATTGCAACTGACCGTCGTGACCCCGGTTTCTCAATGAGTGGATGAGGCGCTGACTGTGGTCAAGAAAAGCTGCGGGGTGCTGTGGGCGGTCCAGAAGGTCCACGGTGAATGCGCAGTATCGCAGACAGATCCAGTATTGTACCCTGCTGATTGGGAAATATTGTAGCATTGTATGACCAGTGAGGCTATTGTCAGAAGCGAGAGGGTGTCGTGTGCTACATTCAAAGCTAATGCGAACGGAAGGACATAGCTCGGAGCGCTGGTGATCGGCGATCACATGCCTGTCCAGAAATGGCATGTTGAGAGTTGTTCACATTCCACGCAGCTCGCAGCGCTCAGGCCCGTAGCAAGCTGGTTTCCCTTCCAGATTGTGTTCTGTACTCTCAGTCCCGCACAACCTAACTCGCGCGGCCGGAAGCTCCCGGAGGCATCCGCAGCTATCCGCAGTCACAGGAGCAACGTAAGGTACAGCTGCCATCGTCAGTCTATAAGTGACTTTGAGCTTTGCACCCCTCCATATCGACCTAGCCGGTTCGTAGCAAAACCTTCGCAAGTCCCTCTCAATTGTGCCTCGCAATGGTGAACCTTTCAGCGGTGATTGTACGATATCCATCGATATACACTGCCGTGGCTCCGCTTGTAGCCCTGGCAGCGTTATCGACGACACCCTCGTTCATCCCGCTGGCGGTTCTCTTGACCGTCCTACACTTACACGTATATACATTTCTCCCTAGGGGAAATGTTGGATCAGACGGTGTTGCTCAGGTCATTTTTCTATCCTTGGCTGCAGCCGTCACACACCACAGGGCTTCTTATCATGCTCTCTCGTCCGGTCCCACTCTATCCATCGTAGTCCTCAGCTTCCTGTCCGCCATTACTGCCACCATATCTCTTGCGACGATCGGTGGCTCGTATTACATCAACAGGGTCCCCCGTTCCCCTTGGTCGCAGCTGACCGTCTTTCCAGCCTTGTGGGCGACCGTTTGGGGTGTTGTTGCGAACATCAGCCCTGTAGGACGGCTCGCTACCTGGAGCCCAGTCGTTGGATTCGAGGCCTACGAATGGATTCGCCCAGTCTTCGGCCAATTCGGGATCGACTGGCTCGTGGCGGCGTGGGCTGTGGTCGGTGCGCACACCATAGGCAACTGGCTGGTCGGCTCAGCCCTCGCCGAGGATGTTGAGATCTTTGTCGAAGAAGAGCAGATCATTTCCTTCACGTCTGACAACCTTCTTCCACATCCCCAGCCAGTACGGCCCCGCAAGCGATCATCTCTACCAGGTGTAGGCCACGTCCTCGTACTGGCCGGTACACTTGTCTGCCTTGCAGCGCCCTCGTTTGTTATTTCCTCACTCCCGCTTCCCGCCGTATCTTCTCTGTCGACTACAAGCCTCGACGTTGCATGTGCCCTGCCCGATTTACGGCGGTCTGGCGTTTTGACTGGCGCGCCCGGCTTAAATGATTTCAAAAGCGAAAGTAAAATGCTCGAAAACTCAGCAGACATCATCCTTTGGCCAGAAGGGGCTGTACACTTTGAGTCCAGTGCGGAGAAGGAGGCAGCGTTTGAAAAGTTATCGTCGGGAATGTCAAACAAGAAGCTATATGGCATCAGCTTTGAGGAGTACACGCTTCGCGATATGTCGAATGGCACACAGAAGGAAGGCATCCGGAGGAATGGGTTTGCACTTCTCAGCAAACAAGGGCTCCTAATGGAATACTACAAACAGCATCTCGTTCCAAGTACGCGCTGTTTCCTTTTCATATGCCCCGTGGTTAACGTGTTCTGTATTACAGTTGCAGAATCATTCTCTTTGACCGCGTCATCCGATCCTCCAGAGATCTATACGTGGAACCTTGGGCCCCCGAAAGGTTGGAACAAGACTGCATGGTCTCCCCAAACGCCCTCCATGCGGCCAATTCCACTTACTGCATCCATCTGTCTCGACTTCTCTACCTCCGCTTCGTTCAGTTCCCTTGAGGAGCGCCCTGCACTCATCCTCGCACCTGCACGGACATGGCATACCAGCGTCGGGTATGCCATGTGGGAACAGGCGAGGGCGCGCGCAGAGGAGCTCGGCAGCGTGGTGCTGTGGTGTGACGGCGGCGCCGGGGGTGTGAGCGGCGTCGCGGGCGGCGGCATGCGCGAGTTTGTGCAGGTCGGGCAGGGATCGTGGGTCCGCCAAATCGGCATCGCGTGGCCGTTCGACCAGCGCCGCACATTCTTCTCCCGCGGGGGAGGATGGGCTGCGGTGGGCGCAGCGTGGGGCATTGTTGGTGTGGGTGCGGGCGTGGAAATTCTGGTGCTGAAATTCTTGGGCGTGGGTGGGGCTGCGAGAATTGTTGGTAAGATCCGTACGCTCGCCGCCGCCGCCGGGGCGCTGAGCTTGCGCCGGAAGAGAGAGGAGCAGCAGCCGCTCTTGCCGCATGACTTGCTGGAGGGCTGAAAGCGCGTCTTTGGGGCTGCCCAGCATGTCATTTAACATGCCCGTTTTCTTACCTTGCTCTGCATGTTTATCGTTTTGATTGCTCTGTTCGAAGTCTGTACAGTGATCTTGGGTTCCGATGTCGCGAGATCAAACTGCAGAGATAGTGACTGTTGATAAGCCGTTACTAAGTGTTTCTAGACATGGAACAAATTGTAATGGTGTATATTGCTAGGCTCTGCCGTATTCGTGCACTGTATATAATCCTTACTTTTTAGTCCGTCCTGCACAGTCTTATTAGAGCTGCGGGGCAAGAGACGCTGAACGATGAACTGAGTGTGCACAGACCACGATGGCCTTGAACGTGCCAGCCACCAGTCGGACTCGTGAAGCCCTATCAGTATGTTCGCGTGCCCTGACGCGGAGAACACAACGGAGGAAATAGTGGAGGATTGACCCCAAAGCATGAGAAGAAGTTTGGTCCAGGACCCTCCGCTACGTTACGGAGGCTACAACCGTACATGCAGTTGTGGTGAGGCTTCCATGGCGCCAGCGAGAGCACCGTCGGAATATTACACGGAGCGTTTCGCCGCTCACAAGGACTATGTTGACGAGCAGAGCTATTAGGGTGCAGGGCCTCGCTTAGCGTAGGCAGCATCGACGTCAGACACTTCAATCCTCAAGGAGGCACTCGCCTGATGTTTGCAAATGCGCATATGGCAGGCTGCGCTAGATACGTGTGTCTGGTGCGTGCACTATCTGGGCCGTAGCAGGGTGGAAGATGGACGCCGTTGCAGAGGGCGCGCTTCCTGTCATCTCCGTATTCGAGAATTGGAAGTCGTCGTAAGTGAACTGTAAGCGGCAAGCATATTGTTCAGAATACTAGAATGGCGTGGCTGGGCCATTTGTTAAGCGGAGTGCATAATGCCAATTAAGAGACAAAGATGAAATGGACACAATGATGGGCGTCTGTGTATGAATTTGACGAAAAAGGCTCCGCCTCGAGGAGAGGAAGCGCCCATATAGAGTTGCCTCTTCCCTCCTTACACGAGGACTCGGGACAGACATTACAGGCTCTTCGGAGCAGCTCTCCGCAGAAACGTCTCAGACTTAGTCTGCACACCGGCCCATCCAGCCAGCCGGTTTACACGCCGTGGTCGCGCCTGATTGACCTTCATCTACCTCTCCCGACGCGCTTTGCCCCCCCAGGTCCGCGTCTGACAGGACCAGTAAGTCACCACGTATTCATCCGGGCATCGCATCCAGTCGAGATTCGCTCCTAGCCTTCCGGGCTCGTTGCGTGTCTCGGCAAAGCTCTTCTCTGGCTCATCGAGCTCCTCTGTATTTTCAGACCCGATTTACGCTACCTCCGCCAGGCGCGTCCTAGGTTCGGTCCCGGAGGAGCATCTCATTGCCGCTGATTCTTGGCCCGACGACTTCGAGGAGATCTCGTACGACGAGCTCCGCGCATCGATTCTCATAGCTGATCCCTCATCCGCCAGTTACGCCATTGGTATGTCAGCTGGCCTTTGAATTCGATTTGTGCTGACGGAACAAACCACTTAATAGCCGCTAACCCGTCCATACCACCTCGGTCTCGCTCATCCGCCTCCCGCCTCAGGAAGCTTTCTCGGCTCTCACTCAAGAAGCCCTGTCCAGAAACTGAGTGCATACCCTCAGCTCCTCCACCCCACAACCGATCTACCACAGACGAGGTTGCACTCGTTCTCGCGTCTCCCAAATCGCCGATTTCTCCTTCGCGCCGGCATCGCGCATCTACCGATACCGCGCCGGTAGACGATTCTTCTTCTGCATTCTACGACAGTGATCCGTTCCGCAAGGTCGAGTCGCCCACAGAGTGCGAGCACTCCGGGTTGCCAGCGTCTTTGCAGACAGTCACCGAGCGTCTGAACCCTGACGAGGCGTCTTCGCCTCCACCTTGTGTTGTCTCACCGCCTCCCGCCGCGCAATCGACAACCATACCTGATTCCGACAGTGCGCATATATCCCTCCGCAAGTCCCGCAAATCGCTCAAGCGTCTCACCACTTTCACCAAGACACACCTCCTTCCATCATCCCGCAAGTGCGCTCCCGAGGTCCGCCAAATCATCCCTGGAGAGCTCACCAGGGATAACACTCCAGAGCCGGTGCAGAACAACGCTCCGTTAGAGCAAGCTACAGAGGCAGCGCCTGAATTCTTACCTCAGCTCTCTTTCGAGCAAGTTGACTTCTCCTCGCTATTTAGCGACAGGAGATCTCGTCTCTTTACTGCAGAGAATAACGAGTACCAACCTCTGGTAGAATCAATACAGGTATCAGAGCCTGATTCATCGGAATACTTCCCTCGTCTGCAGTTATTCCATTTCGAACGCGTCGATCCTCGCGATCTTACTGCGTCCCCGCCATTATCCACGCTTGTAGGATTCTCGCCCTCCGCGACACCAGTTCACTCGCCGTCCTGGTTGTCTCGCAACGTCAAGGAGCTTGAGCCTTACACAGACGAAGAACCGCCGCTTCCCATTCCCCCACCTCCGTCTCCGCCGCTCCATATCCTTCCGCGCTCCCTGCTGCCCGTACGGTCAAGATACAACTCGGAGTCTCAGGTACGCCGCGGTGAACCTCATCCCACCTCAATCCGACAACTCACCGCCGGATACCAGACTTGTACTGACACATCGGACGTCCCAGAGAGTCCACGCTCAACCAGCTCGTCCCTCACCCTCTTCATACCCTCGCAGCCCGCTTCGCCTGTGAGGTCATCTGTTCACTTCCAGTCTCCGCCCTCTCCCATTGCAAATCGCCTCTCCGTCATCCACTACCGCCAGTCCTTCACCGAAACCAGCCAGAACATTACCTCGCTACTTGCACACGCCTCGGACTTCACATCTGCAGAGCCCCCTACGGTGCGTAATATACTCTTCGCGATGACCCTTCCTAAGTATTCACGTTCACGTTCACCCATATCACGTCCGTACGACTGCGGTATATAGCGATCGTCCTTGAACTTTCTTCTGCTTTCTGCTGAATCTTCTCCGGGACCCCGGGAACAGCCCCTTCCACCGCTCACACTCTTCCCTTCCGGTATGTGTACACCAGTTGGGCCTTGAGGCGCACACGCGGCACCCATATAGAGCTAACACCATATGATATAGAGCGTCCCCTGTCAAGTCCACCCACTCCCTCGCCTTGCACCGGCAGCTCCACCACTTATCGTGTCTTCCTCCCTTCTCCCCGCGCATCGCACGACTTCTCCTTCCCTGCTGATCAGGCTCACCTCCGCGTACCTCAGTATCTCGTATCTCTAGCACAAAGAGCCTCCCGCAACTCACAGCTGCTTGCCGACATGTCGCACAACGGATTCGGTAAGGCCGCGCCTACGATTGACTATGGCGAGGAAGTCGACTACACGGAGTACGAGTGGTTCAAAGACCCGCCCCCGCGTCCAGAGGTGCGTAGCCATTGGAAATGGATAAATCTCTGAACCACCGACTGATGGACTCGCGTTTACGGATAGCCTGCGCCACCGCCTGTCACTGAACAGTATGTACCCCAGCCCGGTGTGATCGAACAGAATGAGATGTTCGATTTCGCGCTGAAGAGCGCACCCAATGTTCTATATGCACGATATAAACAATACGGCCAGGTTCGTCGGTTATACGAACGCTCTCTGCTCTCCCCACCCCTGACGAGCCTTTGTCCGTAGCTTGGGGCCCTTGCCTGGTGCTCAGAGTTCAGCGAACTCATCGATGCCCTGAAGGAACTCGGCTTCCGGGGTAACATGTTCGTCTCCACACGATCACAGGCTCTGACGACGTGCGAGGAAATCCTCAAGCTCAAGCTTAAGATCGACATGCAAATCATCTTGATGTATCTCTCCTCGCAAGTGGCGCGCCTGCGGCGCTTTCTGGACGGGGACCGCGAGTGGAATGACTACCCGGAGATGACCTTCCCTGTGGACCCTAATAACTATCAATCCCGACACCAGCAGGGTTCATGATACCCGCGGATATTTTATCTTCTATGTCGCACTGGTGGTCTGTACGTCTAGCATCGTTTCCCTTTGCATGGCCTGTTGTCGGGTTCGCACCATTTGTATGTATGTAGCAAGTATCTCGTCGCATTGTCGTTACTGGTGAAGTCTATGGAAATGCTTTGGAATATGAATTGGTACTCCAAAGAAGGGAAAACGGGCGAGGCGAAAACAAGAGTAATCCGACGTCAACGTGTGATTATTACTGCAGTCAGATGCATGCAAGATCCAGATACAGCAAAAAAGGCAACGTCTCTACACCGGAACATCCCAAGTTAGCACGGTCAAAGCTGTGAGATCGGCCCATAACAGTCAGTATTGTGAGGAAACGCAGCGGAATGCATATGTGAGGTCTATAGTAGTGTCCGTGGATGGTGGATGTGATGAAAAGATTCTGCTGGTATAAAGGGCTCAGTACCTGGTGGGCACACCGGCGTATTGAGCGTAAGTCTGCGATGAAGTAGCCGCGCCCGCGCCCGCGAGCGACGCGACCGCCAGTGAAGGTGGCAGGGGCGACGCCTGGTACGACGAGAGGCGCGGCGGGTCGGGCAGGGGATTGACGATGTAATTACGCGTGAGAGAAGGAGGGTCGGAACTGCGGTCTTTGATAGGGAACGGAATGCGGTCGGAGAACGAACGGGAGACCTGCCTGCGGCGGGGCGGCGAGGAGGTCGGCGGGGGCACAGAAGAATAAATAACGGGGGGCGGGGGCACCGCTGCCGGCTGGATCGCGTAGAACGTGTGGTTCGAGCCGTGCTGCGTCGGCTGCGGCGCGCTCGTCGCGCGGTGCAGGTCCAGCGCGCTCGGGATCGAGCCTGCGGTCTGCCCGTCGCTCACGACCGAGCCGTCCACAATCGTCGGCGGGGTCTGCACGACCGCGGCGCCGTCGGGCCCGATCGCCATGCTACGCGCCTTCCACAGACGGTCCATCTCCCACGCATCCTTCGCGCGCATGGCGTTGAGCTCCGCGCTGTTCTGGAAGTCTGAGGTTGGGCGTCCTGGCACGGACATGTGGCGTTCATGGTGCGCGCGGTGCGCGGGCTTTGTGTCGGGCTCGCTCTCACGGTGCTGGCGGCCGTGGCCGTAAGACGACGAGGACGGCACGGCGTCCACGCCGTATGCACGTCGCGCGGTGTCCACGCTGGGTGTACGCGTAGAGCGTGCGGCGGACGGCGTGCGATCGACCGCAGGCGGCTCGTTCGTCGAGCGCTGGCGCCGATGCGCGCGGGGCTCGGCGGCCTCCTCGCCGTCGCGCTCCTTCGATTTCGAGCTCTCCTTTTTGCGGCTGCGCTTCGGGCTGTCCGCGGACTCCACGACCTCCCACTGCTCACCCATGCCGGTGATCACGTCGCCGTTCGGGGAACGCACGCTGCCCGATGGGCTGCGCACGAGCTTGAACGTCTCCGTCTCACGGCGGCGCGTCGTGCTCGGCGACTTGCGGTGGCTGCTCTCCTTCGCCTTGGTCGGAGAACCGTCGCGATGCTTCGAGCTTTCCTGCACGGCTGGCTGAACGACAGACGCCGAGCTGTTCGACTGGGATGGGAAGATTACCAAGGGTGTGAGATGGGGCGTGGGTGGGTTTGCTACCATGGATGCGCGCGCAAGGGCAGCATCGTCGGGGATCAACGAAGTCGATGACGGGTCGTAGTTCGTGAAGCCGGAGGTCAGGCCAGACACCGACGCGGCGTAGGATGTCGTGTTCGCACTCTGCGAGGGCGCGTCAGTGGAGGTGGAGAGAGGCCTCGCGGTCGTCGTGGGCGTGGGAGGGAGGGAGTGATCAAAGTTGGCGAGCATCGTGGGAGGCGGCAGCGGTGACATGGGAGGCGCCGGCGCCGGCACATCTGCAGAGAGCGTAGGCGCAATGGGGGTCTCTGGGGTGGGCGAGCTCTCCTGGGGAGCAGACGCGTGCACCTCAGATTGTGGCGCCTCGACGGGCGGAAGCGCCGCCTCCACCGCAGCAGGCGACTCTGTCAGAGACATGCCCTCGTCTGGGTTCGCAATGGTGAGCCTGCCGGGCGCGGGCGCGCCCTCGAACGAAATTGACGTAGACGCGCGCGGCCGCAGCTCGCCCTCTCCATCGATCGACGGCGCGGGCACGCGCTTCGTGCCGTTGACGATTGATTTGCGCGCCTCCGTAGGCGCGCTGTCTGTGGGCGAATCGACCTTGATCGCGACGGGATCCTGCTTGCGCATGACGCTGAAGCGGCGCGCAAGGCGACCCATGAAGCTGCTGTGCTTCTCCCTGACAGAGGAGTCGGGGTGGAGAGACGCCATGGACGCAGAGGCTGCAATGGGCGGCCCGGTGGACTTGCGGCGGAGCATCTTCTGTTGCACATCATCGGTAAAGGACGTGCCGTCGGGCGGCGCGGAAGCAGCCTTGGGATGCGCGTGAAAGTTGTCCTGGCTCTGGTGGCCGAAGATGCCGACGAATGGCTTGCGACGCTTGCTGAGGCGGCGGGGTATGTGGGCGGAGGTCGGGTCGGACACGCTGAGGTGGATGGCGGAGGTGGACTGCGAGAGCGGGGAGGGCGTGACGGTCTTGTGGCGGGACGTGCTGGCATTGAAGCTCATGCGCCGGGCGCGCGGCTCCGTGGGACTCTGTAATGGCACGTCAGAGGAAGGAAGATCGCGGCTATTGTTAGCGCACCTCTGCGTCTGGGGACGCGCCGCGCTCCTGGTTGAGGCCGATATCGTACGGGGATTCGTGATGCCATTGCATGCCCCACGGATCGCTGTTGTCGAGCAGGTCCGCGTTTTCGCTTTGGGAGATCTTCCGTGTGCGGACGCGGCCGTTGGGCTCCATGATGCGGATCTGCGAGGAGTTGGGCGTGGGCGAGGGTGATTCGGAGGGCGTCCTGCTGAGCCCTGGCACCCGGGTGGACTCCTGGGAGCGCTCGGCGGCGGAAGGCATGGGAGGGAAGGAGGGGGAGAATTGTGATGGCGGGGTGTTGTCCTGCGGGGGGAAGAGGTGGTGATTACGGTACCAGCGGGGGCCAGCTGTGTTGTGCATAGGATATCGTGAGCGGATGGAGGCGGGAGAGCTGGCGGACCATGCGTCTGAGTCTGTGTGGAACCATGCTGGGAGCTCAGGCAGGGGGTCGGGGATGAGCGAGTTTGCGAGGAGACCGAAGACCTGGGCGTTGTCGTCGCTGGCGCGTTCCTTGTCCTTGCCGCTGCTGGTGCGGGACTGGGCGGGGCTGAGGGAGGCCTTCTCCTCGGGAGAGTCTGAGGGCGAGTCGTCTGCCTTTGGCGCGTTCTTGCGGGAAAAGAGGCCCCTGCCCGATTCCTTCTTCGCTTGAGTCTTTGTGCGGCCAAGCATCTTCGCGGGCATGATGATGATGAGGGAGAGAGAGGAAGAGGAAAGGCGGGTGCAGGGATAGAGGCGGGTGAGGCAGCCTGGGCGGACTGGAGACGAACAAGACGACCGCCAGCGCCTGCGGCTAAAAGGAAAGGAAACGTGATGACTTCGGGATGATACGACTGGCCTCGCTGCGTGGCTGCACGCTGCCGCCGTTTTCTAGTCTCGCATCCACTCACAAGATAGCCTATCGTCGAGATTACGAGGGAATATTCAAGTGCTTTTTGAGCGAGAACCACCGCCACCTCCCGCGCTCCACCCCACGCCCGCGCGCCCGCTCCCCGGGGTCCTGCCCACCGCGAAATTTGTGCAACGTGCGCTGACTCGGTTCCGACTCTTCATCTCCGCGCCCACGGGCCCCTCCCCGTCCTCGTCCTCCTCCTCGTCCTCCTCCCCATGTCCCTCCGCGTCCTCATCCTCGGCAGCGGCGGGCGCGAGCACGCCCTCGCTTGGCGCCTATCACGTTCTGATCTCGTTCAATCTATCTATGTCTGCCCCGGGAACGGCGGCACCTCCCGCGAGGCGAAGACTTCCAATATCGACCTTCCGGCCTCCGACTTTCCCGCCCTCATCGACTTCGCGATAAAGAATGACGTGCGTCGAGCCCGCCCATTTCCCGGATGTGCTCACCCATTTGCGCCGCACATAGATTTCGCTCGTGCTCCCTGGCCCCGAGCAGCCCCTCGTCGATGGCGTCGAGGCGCACTTTCGCAAAGGTAGCAGTCGCCCTCACGTCTTTTTTGGTATTTGATTCTAACCTCGCGGCTAGTTGGCATCCCAGTGTTTGGCCCCACCGCACTTGCCGCGCGTATGGAAGGCTCCAAGGCCTTTTCAAAGGCGTTCATGGCGCGCCATTCAATCCCCACTGCGCAGTTCCGCGTCTTCGCCGCGTCCCAATTCGACGAGGCCGTGCAGTACGTCAAGACCTGCGGCTTCCGCGTCGTGCTTAAAGCAAGCGGGCTCGCTGGCGGCAAGGGCGTGCTCATCCCAGAGTCCACCGATGCTGCCATCGCCGGCCTGCGCGAGCTGATGGTCGAGAGCGTCTTCGGGGATGCAGGTCGGGCGCCCCGCGCATGTGTACACTACCCCGAGAATAATATATTTTCTTGTCCCAGGCAGCGAGGTTGTCGTCGAGGAGCTCCTCGAAGGCCCTGAGGTCTCTGTACTTGCGTTCGCAGACGGCTACACCATCACGCCACTTCCCGCTGCGCAAGACCACAAGCGTATTGGTGAGGGCGATACAGGGCCCAACACCGGTGGGATGGGAGCATATGCGCCCGCGCCCGTGGCCACTCCCGCAGTGATGGAACAAATCATGAAGGAGACGCTGCAGCCCACCATCTCAGGAATGCGAAAAGAGGGTAGGTGTCTACGAGCGCGAACTCTACCTCCAAATCTGAGATGTACGATTGTCAGGTTTTCCCTTTGTGGGGATGCTCTTCACGGGCTTCATGCTCACGCCCTCTGGGCCAAAAGTACTCGAGTACAACGTGCGCTTCGGTGACCCCGAGACAGAGGCTCTTATGCTGCTGCTCAGCGACGACACCGATCTCGCCGCCGTCCTCCTCGTATGTACATACGCCCGCCCGTGCCAACATTCGTCTGACAAAACCACCAGGCCTGTGTCGAGCGGCGTCTCGACGCCGTAGATGTCAAGACTCGAGCAGGATCTGCCGTCTCTGTTGTGCTCGCCTCGCATGGATACCCTGGTAGCTATCCAAAAGGCAAGCCGATCACCACAGGCGATCTCCCGCCAGGTGCGTTCGCCATCTGCCATCTGCCTGATTGCCTATTGCCTTCGCCCCCTGTCCCCTTCGGGAAGCTCGACTGAGCCCTCGGTCACCAGGCACCGCCGTTATGCGGACTGGGTGCTACGTTAATGACCGGCGGGCAGGGTGCCGGGAGAAGTAGTGCAACGGGGCAGGCTTCTGCGTTATCGGTCGCGGCTGTTGCTGAGTACTATTGTGCCTTGTGGGACATAGGTGTGTTCGCGTTCCATGCAGGAACAGTACAGGAAGGCGAGGCGACTGTCACTGCGGGCGGCCGGGTCATCGCGGTATCGGCGTATGCGCCCACGCTGCGCGAGGCGCTCGACCTGGTGTACGCCGGCGTCGAGCGTGTTTCCTTTGAGGGAAAGACGTTCCGCCGGGACATCGCGCATCGGTGCGTTTACATTTCCGATGTATTCGCCTGCGCCCCTGACACAATTGGACTGATCGGTACTGCCAGTGCCCTGCAGAACGAGCAGGCCGCGCCGGGCCTCACGTACGCGCAGGCTGGCGTCTCCGTCGACGCGGGCAACTCGCTTGTGGAGGCGATCAAGCCTCTAGTGCGCGCCACCCGCCGCCCAGGAGCGGATGCCGAGATCGGTGGCTTCGGCGGTGTATTTGACCTCAAGGCCGTGGGCTACACGGACCCTGTGCTCGTGAGTGGCACCGACGGCGTCGGCACGAAACTTCGTGTTGCGATGGACGCAGGAATACACGACTCCGTGGGTACGTCACCGTCCTTGCTACGCGGATGTCTACACACGGGACACACTCGAGGCACATCTGACGCAATCATCCGCTTCCCCATTCCCAGGCGTCGACCTCGTCGCGATGTCCGTAAATGACCTGCTCGTGCAGGGCGCCGAGCCGCTGTACTTCCTCGACTACTACGCATGCAGCAAGCTCGACGTGCCTGTGGCGGCGGAAGTCATCAAGGGCATCGCGCGCGGCTGCCAAGAGGCCAATTGCGCGCTGATCGGCGGCGAGACCGCGGAGATGCCGGGCATGTACCAAGAAGGTACGCATGCATGCACGCATACGCGATCACGCCTCGCCCGCGCAGTCCGCAGTCCGCACTTCATAGTTCATGCGCGCGCGCGCTGACCCGCCGGCACTTCTCTAGGTGACTACGACCTCGCGGGTTTCGCCGTAGGGGCGGTCGAGCGCAGCTTGATCCTCCCGCGCGCCGACATCCGAGCGGGCGACGTGCTCCTCGGCGTGTCTTCGTCTGGCGTGCACTCGAACGGGTTCTCGCTCGTGCGCAAGATCGTCGCGCTGTCCGGCCTGTCCTACACGAGCCAGTGTCCGTGGAACGACGGCACGACGCTCGGCCGGGCGCTGCTCGAGCCGACGCGCATTTACGTCAAATCGGTGCTCCCCGCCGCCCGCGCTGGCCTCATCAAGGGCATGTCACACATTACCGGTGGCGGCTTCACGGAAAACATCCCGCGTGTGTTGCCCAAGGGGCTAGGATGCTACGTTGATGCATCCGCATGGGAGCTGCCGCCCGTATTCCGCTTCTTGATGAAGCATGGGGGCGTCGAGCCCCTCGAGATGGCGCGCACGTTCAACAGCGGGATCGGGATGGTACTCATCGTTGATGCAAGCATTGCGGACAAGGTGGTTTCCACACTGACAGATACGGGTGAGGCAGGTGTTTATCGCATCGGGGAGGTCACAAGCCGGAGCGGGGTGGAAATGCGCAACTTGAGCGCTTGGACATCATCATAAGGCAGACCCGTGAATACGACAACGTCCCGCTCGGCGGGGTCGTTCGACATCACCGGATTCATTACAAAAAAGCCACCGTACGTATACTGTAGCAACAGGACTCACAAGTGTGTCACCGCGGCATAAGTTAATCTGAACTGTAGCATATACGTGGGTAGAAGCAGGGCCATAGGAAGTACTATGATAGGTTTTATTGGATACGAAGATTGCTTTTGGGTGTTTGAGCGTGACACAACATCGAGGTGAGCTGACGAGTAAACAAGAGGAAGGCAATGACTCTAGGCAGACAGAGAAATGCAGCAGAAGGCACGAAAAAGCTGATGATGCTGAGAGTGAACAGAGTGGAGGGTCCGATGTATGTATAGGTCGATGATATGACAGCGCCGGCGCGCAGACATTATGGACACGGAAGACGTCACAGAAAGCAGGAGAGAATACATAATACAGCAGATAGCCCGGAGTAGCGCACGGGAGACGAGTGAAACGAGGTCGAACGAAAAGATGCAGCACAAGATGCAAGAGGACATTGAATATCCGTTTTAGGCAGTGACAGTCACTTCTTTGGCCGCATCAGGTGCAGCAGTGGCAGCGACCGAGGCGGCGGCGGCGGCAGCGGCAGCAGCAGCAGCAGCAAAGGAGACGGGGAGCTTGCTCACAGGCAGTTCCGCAGGAGAACTGCTCACTTCCGGTTTCGCATCCTGTAGCAACGATAGATTAATGACTAAACAAATTTCCGAACCTGTGGCAATCACCTTCAAGTCGAGGCTAGCCTCCTTCTGCTCCGGGGAGTTTCCACGAGGATCCGGCTGACTCTCTTTACGGGGCGGTGGAGGAGCTTGAAGGACCTGAGCAGCGGTGGGACCACTCCAGCCATTCGCCCCAGTTCCCTGAATCGCCGGGCTGCGCAAGGGAGGAGTAGTGCTGCTGAGCGTAGGGAACTCGTCAGCGCTAGGGACACGCTGAGGTTTCGAGGGTAAGAATTTCTTGTCCGGTCGCGCGCCGTTGGGGATGTGATTGAGCTTGTACCCTGGTGGTCCTCGTCGACTTCCGGGGTCGCTCGACTGCGATCTGCTGGAAGCCGTTGTGGCGCTCGTACCATTTGTGTTGTTACGTACGTGTGATGGCTGTCTGTCATGCTGACCAAAACGTAAATATGAGGCACGGGCAATATTATGAAAACTTACGTCCTGGATGCCCATGCCCGCGAACCTCTCCTCGATACCATTCGGGCCGTTCACGCCATTCATGTGAGCATGTCCAGACGGACGCGGACGGTGTCCACCACGAGGAGCGAAGTGGGGAGGAGGGTGGTGGTGATGCTGGTAGGAAGCAGTAACCTCCGGCAATACATGGGGGAATCGGCACTCAGCGCTGGGAAATATCAAATTGTGCCGTTGTAATAATGTAACAGTCGCACGTACCCGTTCCTGCACTTGCCAAGAGGAAAGAAAATACAAGGAGGCTTGCGACCAGACGCACCGAAGGAAGGCCTGCGCGCGCTTCCTCTTCGGTGGTGGGCCATACCATCTCGGTTCATGGGTCCATGCCCATAGCCATCCGCCTGCGGATGTGCTGACGGTGAAGTCGGTGAACCAATCCCATTCGCTACCATGCCATTCGGATGCATGCCATGGGGAGGATATGGACCGACAGCCTCTGGATGAGGGTAGGATGGGATAGGATGGGCGCTAGGCGACACCGGATACATCGATTGCTGGGGAGATTGCGGGCCTCCAGCCGGATGCTGAGGAGGAGAAAGAGGAGGAATAGATACCGGGATGGGCATCTGACCAGGGAGCGCGAATGTCGGTGACATGGGTGGCACGCCGTACGGCATCGGGGGCGCTCCCGTCGGGCTGAACGGTGCTTGTACCGGGGAAATAATTTCCGAGCCCGATCGCGTATGCACCATGGGCGGAGGAATCTGGTGGGCACCAGGAGGGGGTGACATAACCTCCATGTGAGCCCCGTTAGTAGGCGGTGGAAATGAGGGTGGGGCCGGATAGTAAGTCGGCGGCGGGTAAGGCGAAGGGGCCATGGGGTCGTAAGGAGCGGGATATTGCGCTGGTGGAGGAAGCGGCCCTTGCAAATATGGCGCCTGCGGATGGGCAAACATACACGAAGAACCATAACGGCACGCAGGGTAATACCGGCAAGGTATCATGCGCGCTACTTCAGGCGGCGGCAGGTTGGACATTGCTCCTGCATTTTGGTCAGATGAGATTGGGGCTGGAGGTGGCGGGTAGTATGCTACAGAGCCGTCTGGCATCATAGGAGCGCCGATGGGTACACCAGGGTAGTAGTAAGCACCAGGAGGAGGACCATAGTAGCCTTTAGTAGGATCCATGTTTTGGTCGTGGCTGTAAAGTGGCTCCTGCGCGGGCGCAGCGTTGCTGTTCAGCTTGCCCTTCGCGGTCTCCAAGAGCTCCAGAATCACTGAGTCCGTCGTGTAGGTCTCAGGCGGACCTTGGCTAGAAGCGTTGGTGGGGTCTGCACCTGTGAGGACGATGCATAAATGGTCGTCCGACAGAGAGCGGATCGGTCACAGCGTGAGTTCCATACTGATACATCATAACGTACCTTTCTCCAAAAGCGCTCTGACTACCTCAACGTGTCCATTTTTGACGGCTTCGATGAGAGGCGTGACACCAGTATGATCTTGCGGGTGAAACGTGTCAATACAACCATAGATCGGTCGAGAGCTACTGCGCACAGATTGAACCAGCAGTTGCTCAGATGGGCAGACGCACCCTTAGTCTCGATGTCGACGGATGATGCCTCCTTGAGAAGCTCATGGACATTTTCGAGGTTTCCCTCGGAGCATGCCTTCCAGAGAGTAGACACCATTGGCACTCAAACGAGAAGGGTGAGAGAGGGGAGACGCCTTGAATAAGTGCAAGCTGCGGTCGGAAGGGGCTGGGGCGGGAAGAGAAAAGATGCAAACTTCGGGCGAACGGGAGCAGGACTTTCCTCAAGCGATTTGGCAAAGGACAACCGGACCAGCCACAGCAGCCACACTCAATTTACCGGCACGAAAAAAATCGGCCGTTACGTAAGATATCTTGATGATCAGTCCGGATATAGCAGGTTCTGTGGGTCGAGTCATCACTCTTGAGTCTTCTCTCCGGCGTCCGCTCCGCTTACTCTCCTCCCTTAGCCGTCCTCTCCCGACAAATCCGCATCGGCCTTGGGCAGAATGTCATGCGTAATAGGTCTATACTATAGCAACCATCTAATCGTCCATAAATCCTACTAAATCAACTCCAACTTCCTCAGCAGCTGTTTCGCAGGCTTGCCCGCATGCGCGGGCAGGTCCAGCTCTCGAATGGGAGGCAGGGACATCAGTGACTTGGCCTTTTCAGCGACATCTTGGTCTAGAATAGCTTTGATTTCAGCGGCGTGCGCTCTAGTGAGATGTTTGGCATACCTTCGTAAAGCACTTCGTAAACCTGAGGCGCAGCATTCTTAGTACGAAATCATTGATTCTGATCGTACGACTTACAGCAGTTGCTATCGGTGCGGTTACTCCTAGCTTCGAGACAATAGATTTGAGTGCCTTTGCAGTCGTGACACCCTCTGCCACACTGCCCAAGGTTTTGATAATGTAATCTATCCTCTCTCCCTTGCCTAGCCGGTAGCCTACGGTGTAGTTACGACTGGTGGACGAACTGCAGGTGAGGAAGAGATCTCCAACACCAGCGAGCGTCAGGAAGGTTAATGGCGTTGCGCCATACGCGGCTCCGATCCTGGTCATCTCGGCTAACCCTCGTGTTATGAGCACTGAGGGATGGTCAGTAGCTGGGTGTATGCACTTCTGCAGGAAAGACTAACTAGCGCGGGTATTATTTTCGAATCCAAGGCCGTCAGACATGCCAGAGGCAATTGCATATACATTTTTGAGTGCTCCGGCGAGTTCCAGGCCGATAGGATCATCGCCGGTATAACTACCAGAGCTTCAGTCCAATGCGCCGAACACGAGAGATCATTGGGAAGGCGCACCAACGGAACCAGGGTTGGTGAAATAACTGTGACGCCTTCTCGGCGTGCTCTGTTGACAGCGAGGCAACAGAGACAGATGTCGGCTGTCTCTTGACGACTACGGCCAATGAGCGATATTCTCCGATTGGCCGGCATCTTTGTACATACTTTCTTTTGCAAAGGAGGGGCCTGACTGTAGGTATAATATGGAAACATGATCCCACGCAAGTATATTCTGGATGGTTAGCTCACGATGAAGGCTGCGACTTTCGCGATTTTAGGACCGCAAGTATCAGCTATGATTTCCAACGTCAAGGCATGGGTAGCAATCTCAATGCCCTTGTTGACGAATATCAACAGAGGAAGGTTGTCCTCGTCGAGCTTGGGCTTCAAGGCAGTCAAGGTCTCCCTGTAGATATTTGTATTCACTGCGAGTTCAATTTACAAGTAAAGTATTGGCAGTACCTCACACCCTCCGTCGGGATCGCAAATAACAACACGTCTACGCTCTTGATGATATCCTCCGAAGGAAAGTCTGGGCCGACCGCGGTCACGCAGTCAGGGAAGGTATGGTCTTGCAAGACCTCTGGGTTGCGATGACATTGGTTAAAAGAACGAACAACGGCTTCACTCCGTGACCAGATGTATACTTGATGCGCGGAGTCGCCAAGATGATCAGCGAGACAACAGCCAAAGTTCCCGGCGCCGAACACGAGAACCTTAGAGCGGTTGACGTCCATGGATTGGAAGGAGGGTACGTGCAGACGAGGCACGAGCGAAGTTTTGGTTCTTAAACGGGGAATACCGAGAACGGCCTGCGCGTGTAGGTTGTATACGGAAGGCTGTCTAGAGAATGCGGAGAATGCGGAGAAGACGCGCCTCGCCGAGGCCAGTCTCATAAATGTTGCGCGATGAATATCCAATTCTCAGTCGCTTCACGTCTTTCGAGGCCGTGTTGGATTCGGGTGGCAGACCAAAGACGCGAGATTTCAAAGCCCAACGTCCAACCTGCAAACGTTCAATAGCAGGGTGGCTATAGTAGCAAGAGCAGTGACGACAATTATCTCGCGGAGCGCCCGAGTACGATCACGGCACGTGCCGAGATTGGTCGCGTTCGCGGAGTCGAGATGGCCATTGTACACGTCTGTGCTCACTTCCGTTCTCAATACCTCGAATCCTCCGTTCCAGCGTGCTGAGCGCGAAACCTGGCCTTTCTGCATCTATACTTACGCTCGTTGAATCCACCTTAGCCAGCAAGCGATTATACCCTGTAATTTAATCCGTATCGTTATTGGGAGCACTCCATGCCTGTTCAAGACCGGACAAACGAGTTTCGGGCATGCGTAGAATCCATACGCAACCGCTCCTCCATTCCGCGGAAAGGCGATGAGTCGAGGCAGCGGCTTCTGCAGTCCCAGGGCAAGGTGCCAGGGAGCAAGTCGGAGTTCAGCAGGATGGCGTCCGCAATTGCGAAGGATATCAGCAATACAACGATTAAGTTGGGGAAGCTTGCACAATGTGAGTTTTCACCTCTTGTGCGGGGGAACGTTTCAATTGAGCGACTGCAGTGGCAAAGCGCAAGACGCTTTTTGATGACAGACCAGTCGAGATTAGTGTGCGTACATCCCACGCCATATCGCGTCGTTACGCTCACGCTCCGGATACAGGAACTCACCTACATCATCAAACAAGACATTGCGAATATCAACAAGCAAATAGCAGCGCTTCAGTCTTATGTGAAGCAGCAGAATGCAACTAATGCCCAGTCTGCGGAGGGGAAACAGCTAGAAGAGCACAATCATAATGTCGTCATGCTTCTACAAAGCAAGCTCGCCGACACCAGTATGTCCTTCAAGGACGTGCTCGAGATTCGAACACAAGTCAGTCAAATCGGTCGAGCCTCGTCCTCATGGTTAGCGCTGAATGATTTCTCAGAATATGAAGGAATCGAAGGACCGCACAGATCAATTTATGCATTCAACGTCTGCCGCAGTCAGTCAAGCACCAACCAGTCAGGCATCTCCCTGCAGCATTACCAGCGACCTAGCTGACATCACACATGCTAGATTCGTTGCTATTCGGGAACGCACAGCGACAAGATCCTATGGGCGATGGTACGGTCGTCTCACCAAGGTTCGATCCCAAGGGCAAAGGACGCGCAACACCCCGTCCTGGTGGCGATGATATCCTAGCCCTTGACTTGGGTGCTGCGGAAGAGGGATCTGCAAATGGAGACGCGTTCATGCAGATGCAGCTAGTCGAGCAACAGGTACGTCCTTTGACGTTCACCTTCAGTTTTCTATTAACGCGAGTTCAATTTTAGGATAATTACATCCAATCGCGGTCGACAGCGATTGAATCTATTGAGTCCACAATTGCTGAGCTTGGCCAGATATTCACACAACTTGCGCAAATGGTGGCGGAACAACGAGAAACGGTCCAACGGATTGATGCAGATACAGTAGACATTGCGGCCAATGTCAGCGGTGCACAACGTGAACTGCTTAAGTACTATGCCAGTATATCAGGCAATAGGTGGCTCATGCTCAAGGTCTTCGGCGTACTGATCGTTTTTGTGAGTCCCAACATACTGCTGTTCCGAAGGAAGCTAATGCGTTGTCGCAGTTCCTCATCTTTATCCTTGTCTCATGATAATAGGCCTATGAACCATCTCGCATGTAGTTAGATTTTAGGACGATTAATCCTCTCATATCCTGCCTGTCGCATAGTGAACCCGATCCTGAAGCATACAAAGCGCAACTGGAAACACAGCGGTCATCCCACTGGTATGGCGTTGACACCCGTCCCCAATGCCTTTGGTGGTCGCTTCTTGCTCTTTTTGCTCCGCTTCGTCTCCTCATCCACTGTGTCTCCCACTGTCCAAGTATGCTTCTTCGATGGTGTCTGGTCAACGCCCGAAGTGGCGGAATAACGCTGTGGTCGAGGTGCGTGCACCTCTTCAGACCCATTTTGAGGACCTTTCTTCTGCTTCTTCAACTGCTTCTCCTGGAAGGCAAAAGCGACGTTAACAACTTAAAAATGAAGGTCACAGTGTGCACTCACCCTCTGCTCGTGCAATTCCTTGTTCCTGCGCTTGAGCTTCTCTAACCTACTCTCGCTCTTCCCACCACCGCCTGCAGTAAGCTCAACGTTGATCATCCGACCTTCCAATTCAGACTGGTGCAACTTGAGTGCTTGCTGCAGGGCATTCCGCGACCCGAATTCGAGGAATGCACATCCCTTTGACTTTGCTGTGGTCTTTCCGGATGGCGATGCCTTGGGCGTGATAAGACGGATACTTGGGGGTGGGTCTGAATACGTATCAGTATCAGCAAGAGAATGTCTTCAACAACGCGCGAACGTACCGCAAACTGCGAAATGCTTCTGGATCGCCTCTCGAGTTGTAGTATACTTGAGATTACCTAATGGAGCGATGTCAGATGTTTGACTGCACGCCGTGGAACGAAATAGTTTACCAACGTACCAACGAACAGAATGAACCGCTGTTTCTGCTTCACTTTTGACTCCATATCAGCAGGCTGCTCTCCCGCTTCTGTCGCTGCATCCCCAGTAGCGACCCCTTCGCTGTCAGTGGCCTTCCGCTTCTTCTTCTTCGGTTTTGACTGCTCGCCGCCCTCCACTGGCTTTTCCTCCTCGCGCTTCCGCTTTTGCGCAGGCCTACCGCCTTCCACCACCCGCTTAGCCTCGCCGAGTGTCGTTGCTTCAGGCTTGCCACGTCCCTGCGGATCTTCCACATGGCTATCTTCCACTTGAGCCTCCACCAGATCGAGGTTCTCTTCAACAGGAACATCGTTGTCTTCGTCAACGGCCTTGGCCTTTCCCTTGCCTTTGCGCTCTCGGAAGGCGAGCGCCTTCTTCTGCTTCTTGGTGAGTTTTTGGGCCGCACTCATGGGAGCAGCTCACAGTAGCGAAGTCACTAGCTTGAGAAAGCAGGAAGCGGCGACTGTCTCGTAGTACTGAGAGAATGATCGACTGCTCCTTTCAAGCTCGGCGGGACTGATCGAGAGCGCACACCACGTGACGACGGATTATTAGGATTTCAGGTGAGCAAGAACTTGGAAAGAACTGAGCCTGGGGATGGGACGTTTCATATCCTGTACGTGTAGACTTAAATAGTACCATGGTACCGCGGTGGGCACCCTTGATTGCATGCGTCAGGATAATCCCTTGAGACGTCACTTTGAACGCATGTTCTGCTCCGAGGCTAGCCAACAATGACAGAAGACCATTGACTTTCCAAGACCAACTAGCAAAGCGAATACATTGTGATGACATACGTACAACATTGTAGACACGAGAAGAGGAGCAGGCACCGCAGCTATTAAACATCCGATCTATGGTGCCACCTCCTACATGCAGATGCGGCACTCACGTATTGTGGCGTGTGGCGCAGAGTGCGGGTACATGCCCTGTGACAGTCTAGCCCGACACCCTCATTGTACGAGCACCTTATCATACTGAACGCCCTTGAGGTTGCCTCCTCGCATGGAGCTCTTCACGTTGAAAATGAACTGATCTCGATTCCTCCGCAACTCCTCCGCGGCCTCTGGGTGGGGTTTATACATCTGAGCGCGCATTCGACACCAAGGACACCAAGGATACATACCCTTGTTCAGTGGATCGTCGGCGTTCGGCTCCAGAAAGAGATACTGCATTCCGACCAACACGGAGTTCAGGTTGAGGACTGGTTTCCAGTCCTCACGGAGAATGTTCAGGCAGACGTTTCCTTCGAGATCTACGTTAGGATGATAGATCTGGAGGAAACGAATATGTTAGCCAACAGATCGATCTCAGCCCCAGGAACGGCAGTCTCACGGTTTGTGTACATTTGACCTTTGGTGGCTCGTGTGGGTAGTTGGTGTTGATATTGACAGAGAAGTTAAACGCGCCACCCTTGTACATGCCTGATGAAATCACGAGGGACGATAAATAATCAGAACGCTAGGATGTCTAGCGAATCCTCACCTTCATCGGGAGTAATTGTAAGTGTGAAGTTGAGGAGATCGGTCGGATCTGGGAAGTGCGTCTTCATGGTGGAAGACAATTCCAGTTCAGTGAGGTCTACAGTAGTCATCAGACAAGTTACCAATGATGAGAATAAGGCGATAGGGTACACACCTTTCTGCACACGAATCTGAGCGGCACTGGTCTTTGGCTTCCTCTTCTTGGCGGCATCCTCATTCTTCTTCATGCTAAGGATCTGAGACATGTATGAGCACCCTTTCCACATTCAGAGCTTGATAGTAATGCCTTCAGCATCTTGAAAAATGTCTATGAGTATACAGTGAACGACAGAGATGACTTGTGTGCGGCGCGTGTTGCGGATGCGGGGAGAAGGCTCGCGCACCAGAAGCGCCCATATACAGTACCTGCATTATGATCACGTGCCGGAGTGTAAACGCGTTAATTGAGGCTGGATTAGGTCGCGTCTCTTCACGCTTGACTCCATCTGGACAGCCTTATGCTGCCGCAGACCTTCTTGGGTTCTCCAATGTCTATGCCAACTTTGCCAGTGATTGATCTCGATGTTTTTTTGACCCAGCCCGAACAATCGGATGCTGTCCTTTGGGAATGCAAGAAGGCAACCATAGTCTGCTCGCTGAAATGACACGCGCTTCCTAACGTTGCTTTTCCACTGCGCAGGCTGCAGATGCTCTGATCTCTCATGGCGCTCTGCTTTTGCACGACTCACGGGTGTCAGAAGACGACAATAGCACGTTTCTTGATCTTCTCGAGGAGTACTTCGCCCAGCCCGAATCCGCACTCAAACAAGACGAACGGCCTGAACTAGGCTATCAAGTTCGTTATCGATCCTGCATTGTCTCCTGACAGTTATGATGACATCCTCACGAAGGTCGGAGTAACCCTCGAGAACACTGAGAAGCCAAAGTGCGCAGTCGACGAGCCTTGTCTCGATGTCATCGCACGTTTGGATCCTGCGGAGCGGCCACTCGATATCACCGCTCATAATCCTGACCCCAAGTGCAGATTCTTCTGGCGCATGGGCGAGACACCACCGTACGAGACTGCATTTCCTGGCCTCAACGCCGCAAATGTGGTGCCGCAAGCTAAGGAGCTGCGGGAAAGGTGGAGTCCAGTCATGGAGAAATGGGGGCATGCCATGAAAACTGCGTGAGTTTCATTTTGCTTGACTCGTGTACATCGTCATGACATGCGTCAAGGGTTGAGGACCTCGGTGAGATGGCAGCAATCGGTCTGGGCTTACCCCGACAGACGTTCAAAGATGCGGGCAAATATGGGTATTTTAGTTCTAGCACCTTTGGGGATATGGTCCAGTTTCATATTTTATGCATTCTAGGCCTCATCTACTCGCGCCTACCGCGTCTGACCTTGTCAAATATTCTGAGAAGGACACCATCCTCGCTGGTTTCCACACCGACCTCAACTTTCTTACAATACACGGCCGTTCGCGCTATCCTGGTCTTCACATATGGGCTCGCAACACGGGCAAGCGCATTCCAGTCAAGTTCCCAGCGACTGGCAGATATCTGTTAGTGCAGGCGGGCAAACAACTTGAGCACCTGAGCGGAGGATTGATCAAGGCAGGCTACCACGAGGTGGTGGTCAATGAGGCCACTTTGCAGGTATACCCTACGTATGTTTCAATAGGTAAGGCAGCCAAATTGATCTCTACATATAGGTCGTGGAGAAGCGCAAGACAGAGTTTCCAAGTCGACCTCTAATCCGGATTTCATCCACATTCTTCTGGCATCTTTCGTCAGACTACGATCTGGCTCCCAACCCGAGCCTTGCAGCACGGGCTCGAGCTCTCAGGGCGGATACCGTCAACCTGGGGAAGATCGATCCAGTGGAAGACTATGTCTACGAGCCGATGAAGGTCGGCCAACAAGTCCAGAAGTCGGTACCTGTTCTCTTACCATAGTGGTATAACGTTAACATTTACTTGTCACTCCACAGTGAACTGAGGCACATTGCATTGCTGGCATGAGATGAATGGCCTGTGTACCGGACTATGTTGGGTTTATTCCTTTGGATTTCGGTGCACTATTAGTTTCGGCACCTCGCCTGCATTACTTTGGTTATGCATGTTTCATGCACGAGTCGATCTAAATCGGACACCCTGGTATCCGTGCGTAGCACTTGACTCGAGTCGACCGCCGGGCCCGAGGACTCATGTCGTGCTACCGAGCCTGTGTGAAAGTCGTGACTGCTTTAAGTCTGCTATGCATGGGCGTCTAATTCAACTAAGCCAACGCACCCTGGGGCATCAGGTTCCCTGCTGTGTGACGATGGTAAGAGTCCCGCGGGCGGCGATCAAACTCTCGAGTCAGGCACGGCTCCTAGGTGCGTGATGCGGTTGGTCACTTATCTTATAAAGTCCAATCGATTGACGTCCTGTTCCCAGAGCTCAGCCATCGCAGGCCCCTCTCCTTTTGCGTGTCTAACACCAGAACTCCAATATCAATGGCCGGTTCTACCGCCCAGACCTTCACCAAGTCGTATGCGCACTGTGTCGACCCTTTCAAGCCCCTTTCTACTCATGTATCTGAGTCATCTCCTTCAAATACGTCTCAGATCATCACTCTTCCTAGCATCCCCGAGCTTCATGACCCCAATTTCCTTGACATACTTCTACCTCCACCCGAAAATGTCATCAAGGTCCCTACGCCTACTGCTCCTACTAATGCCTTGATGACCGCTTTGCGCGAGGATTTCGGCAATCGCGCTCTCACCGAAAATCAGTCGCCCGCCTACGCCTCCACGCTCAACTCATCCCTCGATTTCTTCTCCGCCGGCCCCGCCCAGCTCACCGGTCCTCTTGTGCACACTCTTCTATCCGCGAGCTGGGAGAAGGATCCAGATCTGACACTACGCCTCATCTTTTATCTTCGCTCAATCCATGACGGCAGGGGCGAGAAGTCTGATTCATTTCTCCATGCTTATGGTTGGCTGTATAAACATCATCCGCGCACAGCGATCGCCAACCTCCAAAATCTTGTCGATCCCATAATCGATCGCCCAGCCAAAAAGTCTAAGGGCGACGGGGTTACAGCCTCAGGGAAGCAAGATGCTAACGAGAATGAGGAGGAATGGACCGACATCTCCTCCGAGACTGCCGTTGCTGACGCAGAACAGGACGATGGAAAGAAGGACATACGTCTAGGTTACGCACATGGCTATTACAAAGACCTCCTGAATATTCTCCTCCTCGCCGCCTTGGGCGAGCTGACCAATCCCGATTCCTCCTTCTCCGTTCTCCACAATGATCGTCCTGGTTATACTCGTTCCAAGAAAGGCAAGGCGCACATCGGAGCTTCACAGAGGAGGTCTCGCAAGGGGCAAGTTCGTACTCATGGCTCATCTATGGATGTCGATACGTCTACGTCACCTCGGAACCCGGCTGGAGGTACATACGCTCCCGAGACACCAGGTAAGATTCGACCCTACTACAAATCCCGTCTAACGTGAATGCTGATGGTGATACCTACCCTGTTGTAGCTGAAAAGAAGGCAAGGGAGGCGAAGCAGAGGTATGATACCTTGGTTAGCAAGCTTGGCAGTCCTGCCTTTCGCGCTCTCTACATTGCCGTTGCTCGTATCTTTGCATCCAAGCTCGCGCAGGACATCGGCACGCTCCTACGGCTCACTTGCTCTGATGCATCCAACCTGAGTGAGAACGACAAGATCGAACTTAAGTTCCAGATCTCTCTCGCTGCTAAGTGGGCTCCGTCCCTCGGTGCCTCCCACGATCGTCACACCAACATTGCCACTGCCATTGCCTCCATCTTACATGGTCAGGGTTTCATGTCTGGCCTTCCGGCTGAATACACTCCTTCCACACTTTCGGCTGCCGATGCCGAAACCATACGTGGTTATTATCGTCGCTGGATCATGGCTCCTCTACGCCGCTACACTCTGATTCCCGAGACATTTATGTCTGAAGGGAACTGGTCGCGCGTCGTTTACGGTCGTGTCCCTGCCGGCTCAATGAAGATGCACAAGTCTGAATTCGCCCGGCACGACAACGAGCGATTTACCGAGTACATCAAGGATGTTGTCGCTGGTAAGCGCAAGATTGCTGGTGGTACACTCCTTCCGCACGAGCTGTTGAGCGAGGCTATGGTCGTCAGCGGAAAGCTTGACGACCCGATTGCGAATGTGGAGAAAATGGTCATAGAGAGTCAGTGGAAGGCGCTGGTGGACAAAGTCCGTGAGTCTGGCACACTCGATAATTGCTTGGCTGTTTGCGACGTGAGCGGATCTATGGGTTTTTTGAGCAGCCGTGTAACGAAAAACGCTGCGCAACAGCCAATCTACCCCGCGGTGGCGCTCTCACTTCTTCTCGCCCAGCTTGCTCGCCCGCCATTTGCCAACACCTTCATCACCTTCAGCGCTACTCCTCAGCTTTTTACACTCGATCCTTCGCTGGACCTCGTCGCCACGGCTGAGAAGATGGGTCAGGCTGCATGGGGGATGAATACGGATTTCCTCGCTGTCTTCCTCGACTTACTCTTGCCCCTTGCCATTAAGCACAAGATCAAGAAGGAGGACATGATCAAGCGTCTGTTCGTGTTCTCTGACATGCAGTTCGACGATGCTCGTCTGAAAATCCCCCCCGTCAATCCCGGTTCTTCGGGGCACTATGAAATCCAGGAGCCCGTTCTCGGAGACTGGATCACAGATCACCAGAGAATCGTACAGGCGTACAAGGAGGCGGGATACGATGTCCCAGAGCTTGTGTACTGGAACCTGGGTGGATATGGCACGACACCTGTGTTGGAAAGTCAGGAGGGTTGCTCGCTCATCGGCGGGTTCTCGCCAAATATGCTCAAGCTGTTCATGGAGGAGGATGAAGAGGTTCTGAGAAAGTCAATGGAGGAGATGAGGCTGCAGCAGAACGAGGCCGGGGGCTCGAAGGCCGAAGCAGAAGCCACCGCAACGAGCGGTATGAACCCCGTAGAGACGATGATGAAGGCGTTAACGAAGAAGAGTTTTGACGTCTTGAAGGTATTGGATTAGCGTGCGTTGATCGCCACCGTGTTCTTTCTCTTGCTGTCGATTGTAGCTATACCCCCTTTTCCCGCTGTCCACCGCATATCCCCACTGCTTCACCTCTGTATATGGACTTAAGTTCACCACTCACGAGTTTACGCTACCTACTGCATACTACTAATGTATACTACCACTCAGTCTGTTACATCATCACTTCTCAATCCTGTCAGCATGTAACATCGATATCCACACTACCAATCTCATCGAAGTTGAATTCTCAGTGTAATTACAAGCAGACAACCGCGGGTGATGAAGCCCGACTGGTGCTGTACGCCAGGATCAACGGCGAGTTACTGAGAGCCGCGAGGTTAAGCCCGCTGAGCCCGCTCACGAGAATTCTACCTCCCCGAACGCTCTGATCACACTCTCCACTTTCACTACCATCTCCTCCCATTCGGCCTCAGGGTCGGACAGCGCCGTTATAGCGCCGCCTGCCCCGAGCACCCATTCTTCACTCGGAGGCGTCTCGTGGGTTGAATCATCTTGCGCTTCCGCCTCTTCCTCCGGTCTCATGGGGTCATCGTGCTTGAAGCAGCTCCGGATGGTTACGGACCAGTCGCTGCCGCCACCGACACACCAATATCCAAATACACCAGAATAGATGCCACGGTCATAGTCCTCCAGCGTGTGTAGAATCTCGACGCTGCGCTTCTTGGGAGCACCGGTCATGCTCCCTATGTGCTTTATTTAGATGGTGTCCATCTCAATTAATAAAATTGTACATACCTGGTGGCAGACTCCTTCGTAGGATCTCCCAGCCAAGCTCCATCTCGATGTCTCTCCCAGCATCGTCCGGAAGCTTGCCCTCTATCACACTGACAAGCTGCCACACCGTCTTGTACTCCTCCACCTTGCAGAACTGCTTCACGACTACGTCTTCGCCTACAACGCCATGCAGGTCGTGACGGATCAAGTCCACGATCATCAAATTCTCTGCGACCTCCTTCGTACTTCCAGACAGGGCCTGCTCCGCGACAGCGCGAGTGACCCCTGGCGCTTTGCGCACCGTGCCCTTGATCGGACGTAGCTGACATATTGAATAAGGCGGACGCGAGTACGACAGGAAGCGCTCTGGAGAAGACGACAATAATGTAGAAGGGTGAAGGCGGAGATATGCCGCGTGCGGGGCAGGATTGCGCGCGCGCAAAACCTTGTAGAGCTCCCAAGAAGAGCTGCGCGCCGTGTCTCTGGACGCTACGGTCTTCGGAACCGATATGCGTGTCGGGGCCGTGAGGCATAGTTCATAGGAGTCGCCGGCAAAGAGATGCTCCTTGCACTGGTTGATTCGTGCAATGTATTTCTCTCTGTCAGGGAGCGCGACGACTGGCGGGGTCGTCACAGCACTCTTCCTGCGGCGCTTGGCTGGTGAGGTGCGAACCTCCTCGGTCTGTTGCCTGGTACACTGCTTGAGAGACTGTGACATCCTGTCAAGCCAGACACCATCGTCTGGGAGCAAGGACTGTGCGTAGACCTTGTTTGATGAACCGTCGACAACGATGCTCCGCTCGACGAAGACAAGGTTCACGTCCGGATGTTGTCCCCCAATCTTGCCTCGTGCGCAGAGAGATGCAGACAGTGATTGGACACCGAGCTCATAGCTCAAGAATCCAACTAGGCCGCCCCAGAATGGAAGGTCCGGGACACCACCACATGCCCTTCGAGGACGCATGAAGTCAGCGAGCCATGTCCAGATTGTCGAAGAGCCTAGATTTTCGTAGCTATCCTTTTGTCCGGTAGACAATCGCACCCGCACGTCGCCAACGGTGTATGTGATCTTGGGCGAGTCTGAGGTGAGACATCCAACGATTGAGAACCGACCTGGCTGTGCCGCAGAGTCGAGAAGGACAAAACCAGAATTCTCGTTGGTGACGCCGAGCATTTCGCAGACGTCGGCGATAGCAATCCCGGCTAAGTCAAGCACGCGGGTCGAAACTGTGACTGGGGGCGGAGGGGGAGATGGTGTGTTCACGAGCGGTAAGGTCGCCCACGAGGGACCGAAGATCGTGTCCATGGAGGAGTTCCAGGGCCGTACCATGCGATCGTGCACGAGTGTCCACTTCTTGGCCAATCGCCAAAAGTTCTGAACCACTTCAACACCACCGCCGTGGGTGCAGACAGACTCTGGGTGATACTGGACAGCCCAGAATGGTCGTACCTTGTGCTTAGCAGCCATGACGACCCGCCCATTCTCTTTGCCATCGTCTGCCCATGCCAGAGGTTCTAGGGCTTCACAGTTGTCCAGGTCGACGTGCAGCGAGTGATAGCGAACCGCCGCCACGTCCCCGACGCCCTTGAAGAGATCGCCCTCCGCGTGAATGATCTGAGAGACCTGGCCGTGCTTCACGACATTCAATCTCTTGAGCCTCGCGCCGAACTCCACGGCGAGGCTCTGCAAACCTAGGCACACACCAAATACTGGGAGCAAGTGCTCATCTGCGATATTCCAGAGGTCCTTGACGATTCCAACGTCAACTGGGTTTGTTGGTGAGCCAGGACCCGGCCCCACCACGACCGCGGAGAAATAATGTAGATGCTGCGCAAGGGACTCGGAAGCAATTTCGTCGTTCCTTATAATATGAATATCGCAGCCAGGGATCGAGCGTCGAAAGAGAGCTGCAAGACTATCGCAGCCCGTTAGCGTCTAGAACGGAAAGAGAGTGAGGCAGATCCGACTGACTTGTTAGTGAAGGAGTCGTAGGAGTCTACGAGTAGGATCCGGGAGTTAGTGTTCATTGTGACCGTCATGACCGTTGTCCAGGATGCCAATTAGAGCATATACAATGCGACTATAAGATAGATAATGTGAATAGAGGAGGACCGAGGACCATGCCCCGCAAGATGGTAGCGGGAAGGGAAAATGGGAAAAGACATCGCATTCAAATTCGGATGTCATCCGGTGCGTGATTCTTTGGGGGATAATTGATCGACGGTGATCGCGCACTCAATACAAGTCCTCTTCTCTGCCTCATCCATACTTTGGTGGCCGGAATCGGTGCCTACAGCCTGAAGCCAGCATCTGCTATTTAGCATAGTATTCTCTGCATTGACGTGCTACTCTACGTCCAAGTCGATTGTTAATGCAGCTATACGGACGCAGCGGGTATGCCAACAATACAGGATGAAGACAGCTCTCAAGCCACATTTCAGAGAGTAAGCCTGAACTCATTTTATCACGGAACAGTTGACGAGATTGACGTGTCATTTGCGGCAGCTGAAGGCACATTGTGTTCCGCTCCTCGCAAACTCCCTGTTGATTCCATCCTCGACTCCGACGGTGTCCAAGCTGCTCTCCGAGGTTATCACTATTTTGCGCGAAACGCGAGGCTCTGGGAATGCGCTGAAGCCTTCGATTATCACATACGTGTTTTTCCCCTTGTCCTCCATTCTGCGGCGTAACACGCTCTCCTCCATTCCCGACCAGATTCTGGAGAAGGTTCTCGTCATTCTTAGCACCATATGCGAAGACTGGTGGTGGGAATTCGATGAAACTACCTGGGAGCAAATATGCATGCTATGCAGTGCAATCCTTGGCGGGATCGACAGCAAGGGGAAGGGCAAAGTCAGAGACGACGAAACAAAAGAGGCAGCCACGCGCTGTTTATGGATATTGCTACGAGAGCGAACCGCAGAAGAAGATCCTAGCAATACAGCGATACCCTCACGAGCAACAAGGATATTTTCCAGGTTCCAGTCGCACGCGCGAACGCCAACGTTTATTCCAGTCATCGGCCAGACTGTGAACTCCCTTCTCATAGCTGCCGAGTCTTCTCATATATCCCTGCAGCGCTCTTCACTCCAGGTCTTGCATGTAATAGTCGAGCACTACCTCGCAGATGGTTTTGTGCCATCTATTCTTCCAGGAGTTGTCAGCACAACGAGCAAGATCGCACTCGGTGTGGGGGCGTCGAAAGGATGGGCCAACGGCGAAATTGTCGCTGCGGCGCTCCTGGTTATGCGGTCTGTCATTGTCAAATCCGTCGGCGACGATGTCTGCGTCAGAGACGGGGCCATCCAAAATATTGACAGTCTCGAGGATTTGGCGGACCTCGTCGATCCACTAGAGCCTAAGCCTGCTCCAAATTCTGGTCGTACTCCATATATGACTGCTCGCACTCCTGCTTGGCTGCGAGGAAGCGGGACGCAGCTTCACATCGCGATGAACGCGCTTACTCCCCTAGTCAACCATCCGACCCCCTCAGCCCTCCTCGGCCTATGTGACTTCTCTGAGACAGTCCTCTCTGCCACCACTCTGACTATACCTCAGTCGCAACCCCTGCTGCTCTCGTTTCTCCTTTCTCTGTCATGCTCTGCGTACGACAGCGTCTCCGAGAAGGCGGGCAGCGATCTGAGGCGACTATTGGCACCCTCATCGAGCGCAAGGCACGCATTATTACAAGTGCTTATGCAGATATCAAGGGACAACTTAGCCGCATTACCTCGGCTCATTCCGACCCATTCTGACGCCAAGGTGGAACATGCCGCCGGTATCCTTGAGAGCGTGTGTAGCTTAGCCGTTGCGCAGGAGAGCGCAGAGGGTTCCCGGATCTCCGCCATTGCTGTCGGCGTCGGCAAACTTCTTGGACCTAATGGAGGTATCGAGAAATGGGGCTGGAGCCTGCTTTCCGTGCTCGAGTTTGTGGACAACCCGATCAGTGTCACGCGGTCGTCCGCGACACAACTTTTGCTAGAGAACGATGCTGCCGCAGCGGACGAAGTCACCTTCCCAGAGCTTACACTTCGGCACGTCACCTCTCGTTCCGCGCATATTGCAATAGAACGTATGCTCCGTGCAATGGGTCTCGCAGCAGGGGAAGATTGCATTTTCGCTGTCGAATGGTTCCTGAATGCTGGACGGAGCGGACGCGGCTGCAGGGCTGTTGCCGCTCTTTGGTGCACCTGCCGGCTGTTGGAGGGTGCCGGCCGGATATCCTTGAATAATCACGAGGTGGCAGCAAGTGGAATGTTCAGGGCTAGGTCCAAGAGGGTCGAAAAGCTGGCGCGCAACATTGCACGACAAATTGCGGACCTGTGGTCGGACGTGGACGAGGACTGGCCCGAAGAAAAAGCTAATGTGGCGGCGCCGTTGACAGAGGAGGGTGCTATCGTTGAACATGTCAAAGGACTTCTAACGATCCGAGCTACACCCGACTACGAGCCGTCTTCAGGCCCTCGCAAGAGCCCAGTCCAGCCTATGCTGCACCGCGCATTATCGCTGCAGCTACTGTCCATCACGGCCGGCATTCTAGAGGCGCGGTTCACCCCTCTCCTCCTTCACACGCTCTATCCTGTCCTACACTCCGTTGTGTCTCAGTCTTCCCTGCTGTCGAACACGGCATTTGCCACTCTGAATTACATTACCCGGAGCACATCCTACGCGTCGCCGGCCAACATGCTTCTGTCTAATTTTGACTATGCTCTAGATGCTGTCTCTCGCCGTTTGTCACGCCGTTGGCTCGACCTGGACGCGACTAAAGTTCTGGTGGTGCTTGTACGGCTTGTTGGCCGTGATGTTGTCCAGAAGGCGGGAGATGTCGTGGAAGAATGTTTTGACCGCCTTGACGAATATCACGGCTATGAAATGCTCGTCGACGGCCTTGTCGAAGTGCTCTCGGAAGTCGTGAAAGTTATGGAAGACCAGGACGATAGCCGGCCACAGCACCATTCACGCGCTGATAATTTACCCGCTGACATGTCGGACGGCGAAAAATTCGGCGAGTTTCTAGAGTGGTACGCTCACAGACACGACAAGCCGGACGAGCACGAAAGCTTGCGCGATAACTCCTATCCGCGAGACGCATGGGGTTCCAAATCGGAAGCGGACGGAGAGCAGGAAAATTCGAGTCCTATACCCGACCCGAATGCAGAGCCATCACCCAGTCCCTCTCAAATCTTGACCAAACAGATCGTCTCCCGCTCTCTCTTCTTTCTCACACATGGCTCGCCCATAATCAGAGCGCGCATTTTGATGCTCCTCAGCGCTGCAGTTCCTGTCCTTCCCGAGTCCGCATTGCTTCCCTCCGTTCATCATGCCTGGCCATTCATTCTGAATCGTTTCGCCGATCGCGAGAATTTTGTGGTCAGTGCCGCAGCATCGCTCGTGGAGTCCCTCGCTACGCACGTCGGAGATTTCATGCACCAGCGCGTCTGGGATGACATCTGGCCGCGCTTTCGCACCATTTTACAGAAGCTCAGCGCTGCAGACACAACCAATGCACTGGCATGCCGGGGCAATGGCGCCGTAGGCACTGAGTCGGCGTATACATACTCGCACCGCCTTTACCGATCGGTACTGAGGACTATGTCCGCTGCAGTTGTGGGCGTTCAGCCGCAGGATTTAGCGGTTTGGGAGGTTGTACTCCTCTTCCGCCGGTTTTTGCATAGCCACGCGCATGACGAGCTGCAGGCATGCGCTCGGGACTTGTACACTGCCATCGCTAAGAACAACGCAGACGCCGTGTGGCTAGCCATGTCCGCGACTCAGGGTCAGATTGACGCCTCTACGGCGTTTCTAGCTCAGAAGAGTTGGGACATCGACGCGAACGTAGCGCTGATATTCAAGCATGACTCGTAGCGACATTGTGACAATGTAATATTGTACTGTAGGTTCTAGAAAAAAGAAAGCCCACTTGAAAGCATGGTCGGGCTGACTCGGGTGCGAAATGAGGCTGAAAGTTTATTTTGGCATTGAATGTCTCCTCAGAACCACGCCAGCCTCGCTGAACAAAGCTGCTGATGAGTCATCTCTGATTTATCGAACGCTAGTGAGCCACCCGTTGACAAAAGATCAACCTTGAGACTCACACTTTGTAGCTGAGGTTGTACACAACTTCCTTCACGCCGGTCTGAATGATCTTGATCGTACATTTAAGACATGGGCAACTACGAATGTAGATCCGTCTGATAAGGGAAGGGATCATACGCCGATGTGAAGACTTACGTGTTGCAATAAAGAACGGCACCGTCCCCGACGCGTTCTCGGCCAGCTTCAAGGAGTGCATTCTCCTCCGCATGTAAACATACACATTCATCGGATGCTTCCTTCCCGCTGTTACACCTCGTACAACCGCCTTCGTTACAATTTGTGAGGCCGCGGGGAGTGCCGTTATACCTGGCAGGCGCCTTCAGCGCTATGCGGCCATGAGGTGATGGAAACATACCCTGTTGCTAGAATTCGCTTGTTTCGCACCAAGATGGCTCCTACGCGCCGTTTCATACAATTTGATCGCTCCGATGCCAGCTCGGCGAGTTGCATGAAGTATGCATCCCAGCCTGGTCGTAGGCGACCTTGATCCAGAAGGTTTAAGTTATCCAGATGGGAATGAAGAGCCGGTATGGTGTCAAATGCATTGACGATGTGCAGTTTTGCAAGCCTGCTCGTTGCGAGCAGTGACGGTATTGAAGTGTTCGACGTACTTCTTGCCGATGAACATACACTCGTTTCTCCGTAATAGAATCCGTCATGAGCCCGAACAAACCCTTCGAGGGAACCTGGATCCCCTAGACTGATAATCATCTTCAGTCATACAAATACATAGCGGCATTTCCTGGCGAATTGACCTACCTTAGTGCTCGCTCAAAGCGAAGTAATATTGGCGCGTCTACATTAACAACCATAATGAAGGGCCGCCTGACAAACTGCTCCAGTGATTCTTGTGTGTCTAGATCGATTGTGACGAAATTCATGCGCCAGTTTCTGGTGGCATGCTCCAGCATATCGGAAGACGTCGAAAAGTATAGCGACTGTTCCCCCTGGGAGCCTCCACCTGACAAGGGCGATGGAAGGGCAGACTGCGGCGGGGAAATCATCGACAAGAACGACAGCCTATGATCGAGAGGATTGGGCGTGGGCTCGTCCATGAGCAACATTTCGGATTCGCCACTATAGGTGGAGTCAGAGTCGGACTGTTCAGTAATATTCGCCACATCTTGCTGATAACTAATCAAGCAATAACGTCTCAAAGATTCAGTGTGGAACGGACCTTGTGCAGTCGAACGGCTTGAAAACCCTTTCGGTCGATTAGGTAGTCTTGCACGGTGGATTTCCCGGCAGATCGGGTTCCGATAATTGCAATGAACATGGTGTGGCTAATAATACGTTCACTGGGCTGCCTAGATTTTATTGACTTAGCGTAAAGATGTAGCTAGCAGCTAGTGGCCGCGCAGCCGGGACCGGGACGGGCGACGTTGTAACGTTTGGACACTATTAATACCCCGGCTCAGGGCAGCAGCTAGGGCGAGAACAACCCGTGCCTGAGGTTGTTATGTTGCCAGATCACTGTCCCTGTATAGATCTCGGGCAGGTGGCTGTTGGCAACATTGTGGCTAGCTCTTAAAGTTCGTTCGTGTCCCCGATCAAATTGATCGCACTACGGGCGCTTAAATGTACATACTCAGCTAAAAGGTATGTATGCGCTTAAAATCTATGTCTGTTCGCTACATAAAATCAACTCCGAAGTAGATGTATGCAGAGAACACTGTATACTCAGATACCGCTAAATATGCAAAACCAGACGATAGACAATCATCCACATGACCATCCTGTCGTCGGATCTATGTGGGACATAGAGGGGCTGCAGAGGATATTACAGTTTTCTGCGCTACCTTCTGCTTCTTTTCCTTCTTCCTTTCCCGTGCAGCTGCTCGGTTTCGCGCACGTTGCTCCTTCGCTCCCTTCATATCCTTGGGGGCAGTCGTCCGTAATTGTTTGACATGTGTTGGCACTAACCGTTCGTGCTGCCCTTGGCGCGGAGTCAACCACGAGGCCCGCAACAACTGTACGCTCCCTAGAAGGGGAGTCAATTCCCGAAATCGGGGAGCATCTCCCTATTCATGATCAATAACGAAGAGGTTAAAGTACTTCTGAACGCAACTCACATGAACGGCCAGCACCGACACCCGCCTCAGGCCCAAGGCATCTGCCAAGGAAGACTCTGCGCCCTTCTGCAAAGGAACAAGCCAGATCCCGTTGTCCAGTGGGTCCGAACGACTGGAATTGCAAGCTGCTACGAGGTGGGGTAAATGGTCAATGAGGATGGGCGGGTCGACATCCCCTCGACAGACTAGGATCAAGATGGAACCTGTATCCGAGCGAGACTCGGGAACAAGAGTGTCGAGGGCGGTGATTGTTTGTCGGTATGACTGGGCCACCCTTTCCAATAGTTTGGTCACCTCGTTGATACCAGTGGTCAGGTGGTGCCGAATGACAGGCTGGGGTAGAATACTGTTCCCAGATGTCTCGTCGTCAGGCTCGGTCCTCGGTGCCGGCGGGAAAGCCGGATCGGTATGAGCTGTAGTTGGTTCAGGGCCTTCGTCTACATTGCCGTCTGCCTGCACAGCTTGCTCTCCGGGACATCGCCTTTTAGACCGCCGGCTATTCGAACCTTTCTGAGACCGCTTTCTCTTACGGCTCATTTTCTCTCGGGAGAGATGATATTCAGATACTCCTTCGGCCATGTCTATCACGCGGGCCAAGATGGAGTTCTGCAAATTCACAGGAACGGAAGGCCTAACGAACACGCGGCATCAGTATGACGATATGTCAGTTCCATGTCATGACACCACCATTGAATCCGAAATGGATTTTCGAGGACACTCCGATACACAATCCTCCGGTCATTGTCATCTTTGGGCTTTGCACGATTCGATGGATTGGTGAGCGTTCTAGCGACCTTGTCAGACATGTGCGATTGCGACGGGTGAAGTCAAAGTGAGCTGTGGGCAGAATTGTTCCGTGAGAACAACAACCTTTGAATGCGCCTGGTATGGTTAGCTCGCCTGTTCTGTGGAGGCAGTGTCTGCTACTTGTCGCAATAAGAATTGGTACAACAATGATTCCAGTGAGCAAACGGCACAGCTGCCTTATTTGGCAGGTTACAGAATGAACACGCCTCGTGGCGCGCAGCGTCTCACTCATCACTTTCATATCCGTCCTACAAGCAAACCATTACACGCACAGCTCTAGGCGATAATTATCTCCTCGCTTGTGTTACAGCTCAAGTCGATGCGGCATCGCGTCTATCTATGACCTCCGCGGCTCGTTATTAAGGTAATGACATGAATGGCGGCATCACACCATTGAACACTCGGATGACCACATCGTGAGTACACAAACGATACGTTGCAGTCCTTATTAAGCAGGACTATTGCGTAGTAATATCGTGACAATGGCCTACGTCTGGCTCTTGATCAGAATCGTTGCTATGGCGGACTGTGGTCATCCAGAGATCATGTATGGTACGTAATCACAATTTATGCTGTCCTCTTTGACAGATGACAGCATACGCTGCAGCCTATCATCTACAGGTGCCTCTCATACCAAGCAGACCCTCGAACGGCTTATGATCTCGCATGATCAGCCCCATCTTCTCAGCGTCCCGGAACGAGATGTTCGTGTGTCTTGACCGGCTACCTTGAATACGATTGAAGCAATATCCGTCGCATTATACTTCCGACCTGTACAATTACTCATGGTGTCAGCCACGTTTCAGTACAATGGTGCATTCCTCCGCCTTGACCTTCACTTCAGCCGTGATGAGCAACAATGATCCGGCTGACCCGGAGGGACTGTCAATTTTCTCAGTCAGACGACAAAGTTTCGGTTGACCAGACATGCGGGGAACACAAGCGTTAGGCGTCACAAGCGTCTGTTCAGCGTCTCTCTCGGATTGCGAAATAAACGCCCAGAGCGTCGGCCAACTCTAGAGGTGCGCCCACTGTGTGTCTGAGGTTCACGCGGCGTGCGGAGTTGAATAAATGGATAAACCTACGCCATCCGCAGATGCACATATTGGGACAGTTCACTCGTGTGAATCTGCCAAAGCGTATGAGTATGCGGGCATCATGTCCATGTCATTTTGGTGGAACAGGCCCAGGAACACCTCGGCTTTGTTATCCTATACATCCACTTGCATCTTGCAATAGGACTTTGATCCATTCCACAAGGTTCGGGTTGCCATTCAGGCAAGCACAAAGGGTGATGGCAGATTTCCGCCACATATGTGACACATTTCACGCAGGCCCCTGATCGGAATGCATCGCAATCCACACATATTGAACATCGCCAGTGCTTCGACAGGTGTCTTTTGTCCGGCGATATAGGGGTGCGTCTCAAACCCAAACGCTTTGAGATGCCGGCGATGTGATCATATCTCGATTTCCCGACGGGTCATGAAGGCACTTTGGCATATATAAGTCTGCGGCGGGTTCGCAATAGCAGCAGAGCAGTACCCTCTGCATATCCTCTCAGACAAAACCCTCCTTTGACTTCGTCGCCCTACAATGCCTTCTGCTCTGACATCTCCTCAGATCACCGTCTACCATTCTGCTGCCGATCTCCCGGATAGTATCTGGGAGATGTTCCATGCGCATGCGCGGAGCGCCAACATCGTCTTCCCTTATGCAAAAAAGGCACGGCGAGCAGTGAGCTCCCGCACCGAAGGAAACCTTTGGATCGTATGCGCCTCGCCTCAACCCGGATCAAGGACCTCAATTGACTTCGTGCTGTCGTGCACTGAGGGCCCTTTGGGCCCTTACCCGATCTTCATCTTCACTCCGATCCCTACTAGCCAACTGCGACCAGAGTTCTTCACACCCCGCATCCACCGGCTCGTTTGTACACTGAAGGATCATGTTCCTCCTGAACGTGTCTTCTCCGTGTTCGCTCTCGATGTTGTGACGCGCACGTTTGCTACTTTCTGGACGAAAGAGACTGGGATTCCTCTCGATCGTGATTCAGAATATTACTGGGCCAACTTCACTTATTGCACGAGGCAGACGTACAAGCCTCGTCAACACACTTTGTTGCCAGACATAGTATACGATCTGCGGCCCGCCGTCGAGAGAGATGTCCAGCAGGCAGCAGAGCTGTGCTACGGATTTGCTGCCGCATCGGCAAGTCTTTCCCGAACCATTATGCATACCTACTATTGACCCATTGCCCCCCATAGGAACCATTCACTTTGACCCAAGATGAAGCCATTGAGGAAGCTGCGAGGCTCATCCGCGAGGGTCAATTGTGGGTGCACGAGATAACGGCACGTGGGCAAGCCCCAGAGCTCGCTTCTGTCGTCGCGGTGACACGGACGAGCGAGACCGTGGCGGGGATTACAAAAGTGTATACCAACCCGAAATGGAGGCAGCGTGGATGCGCCGAACGGCTCACACGATTTGTGTGCAAGCAGTGCGTCGGATTGCTTGTTTTTGGAAAGCGCGAGATTAATGACCTTTTTCCGCGCCTAGACTTCTTCAATCGAAGGAGAGCGTGGTGCTTTACGTAGCACACAACAATCCCGCGGCGGCCAAGGTATATGACCGGGTGGGATTCGTCGGACTGTCTTCTAGAAATGGCCCCATCGAAGGCGTTGACTCTTGGCTTGAGCTAGGATTTGATCGCCATCTCGTAGAACTAGGACATTGGTGAGGACACGCACATTCGATATCCGGCTACATATACGCTCTAGTATCATTATTCTACTCACACCCTTATCGTCATATTCTTTTGTACTGATTGCATGTATTAGTCTATCATCATCACCGTAATATTCTCGGTTCAATCCACCGCGGACAGTGACAATCGTGTTGCTGTGATTGGCTATTGGACGATCTCGATCTCGTCTCGCCTATCCAACTCGAGCTCGTGAACTCTACTTGTTAGAGCTCAGCCATATCCTACTACGCTTGCCTAACATGTTATCTGTCGCTCCGGCTGGTCTACACCATCCAATCATCGCGATGTTTTCCAGGATCGTGTACCTTGTATTTTGGCATTGCAGCTCAAACCAGCGCCATTATGAAACCGCCTGGTTCACTAGTACATGGCCAGCCTACTTATCATATCAACGCAACGTCGGTGCCCACATATCTGACTTCTCTTGCTTTGCTAGTACCCTGAGCGCCCCTAGTCCCTGACACTATATCCAGCAGTTGCAACTTCCGGAGGCAAATGTCTGCTCTAGCCTCTATGGCCGGCCTTGGTATTGCTTTGGCTGACTGTCAGCCATCCGTGCCCTCTGACTACCAGACATCCTCGTCTCAGCTTAGTAGCAGCGACGATCCATCAGAGCCGACGTCTCGTTTCTCAGGAACGACGTTGCAGGACTTGGAAACAACCCCCAGCCACTCTGATATTTCCAGCGTTCGCTCCTCACATTTCACCAACGGCGATAATTCTGGTGTTGACCACGGCCGTGCTAATGTAGCAAGCTTCGCGCCTGGTATCCTCGGGCCTCTTGTCTCTCAAGACTATCCATCGCCTTCAGAGGGGAATGCTGCGCAATCAGGTTTTGTGCGGTCAAACACTCTACACAATTTCCGCGAGTCTCAGACCAGGAATGCCTCTGACCTCAGATTGCTCATGGGCAACGCAAACGCTCGACTCAAGTCTGGAGCTGTCGTGCGCCCTACCCATTCCAGGCAGCCTTGCGGAGCAGTAGACCGAGATCCTCTGGCCGACCCGGTGTCTCTGGAACAAGCGAAGTCTCGCGCGCGCATTGATGTGGACATCGTTCTGGAAAGCAATGCTTGTGTCCAAGGCGATTTTCTCCGGGGTTATGTCAAGCTTCGGGTACGCAAGCGGTCAAGAAAGGAATTGCCCATGCTACTCGCTGGGGGCAAAGTACGCGTCGTGGGGTTTGAATGCATTCCCAGTCAAGACGAACGCCATACATTCTACCAATGCGCCTCACCCCTCTCTGAGATTACCGACCAACTGCACCGTATATACGAGAAACCTGCGGGTGCGGACGGATTCGCGCCAGCCATTGAAGGTGTTCATGTACTTCCCTTTGCGATGAGGCTACCTGCCGACGGCACTTGTGGTACACCAAAGGGTGTGTTGAGTGTTCACTCTGGTGTCGCAGTTCAGTATGTTGCGATGGTGTGAGTGCCTTGCTGGTTTCTCCCATTGATACTCACGCGTCACGTTTCGTAGATCCATCAAGGTTAAGAACCCAAAGAACGGCAAACGTTCCATCGCTCATTTTTATCGGCATTGCGAGATATGGCCGCGCCTCAGCCCATCCGTTGTGCTCCTTCCTGCAGCGAGACCTCTCCAGTCGGCCACCAGCAAGAGCCTTTCTATGCTGGGTAGCGCCAACAAAGTCAAGCTCACTGGCCTCCTGCACAGACTGACCTGGGTAGCGGGACAGCGGTGCTACGTCACTGTCGCTGTCGTAAACGAGACGAAAAAAACTATTAGGACTCTCACACTTACGTTGATTCGAAGTACCACCATTTTCAAACCGAAGCCTGCTCTAGATACTGGAAACGCTCGTACCCTGGATCCAGACTCCTGTCAAACAACAACGATGCACAAGGTGCTCGCCGAGACATTTCTGCAGATGGCCCACCGGGGGACTAAAGGACATGCTAGTGCGAAAGGGTGGTGGACAGGTGTAGCACCTGGACAGGAACTCACTTTCTCACACTACATCCTTCTACCGGTATGTCAAAGCCTCGAGCTACACAATTATTCCGTGGCTAAATTCCTGCGCAGCCAGAGGCATTATCTGTCACACGGAACCGTCTGCTTGAAGTCGAATACATCATCCGAATCACTCTGAGCGCCGGGTCTTTGACTCCGGACATCCACGTCACTTTGCCAATACGCATTATCAATTTCCTGTCTATTGATCCCATCCCTCGTGACCCAACTCAATCATCCAGCGGAGCCCATGTTCGCCCGTTACAACGTCGACGATCCATCGATGGATCTTTGGACGCTAGGAATGTTGCTAGTAACTGCTGGCCCACATCGAAACAGCACGGACCCCCAGGAACTCTCCACAGCCGGAGCAGCACTCTGTATACCCATGGAGATGGAGACGAGGATTTTCTCCGCCTTCTGCAGCCTCCGCAGAGATCCCATATATCCAAACGTCTGCCTCACAAGCCAAGCGCTCAACTACATGTCATGAATCCGGACACCTGCTCCGAGTCGTCGCTCATAGTGACGGAGCCGAACGAACCAGAGCACTCGGACGACAGCGTGTATTCCTCAGGTTTTTCCTCGCACCCAGCTAGCATGGACAGTCTAGCTTCCTCGTCTGAGGCAGATTTCGGAGCCACGGATCTCGACGACGCTAACTCGGATGAGGAAGTTGGCCGCGTTGTTGAATCCACGCAACTTGACCTGGACGAGGACGAGGACACTGCCACTTCCACTATAGCCGGTCCAGAATACGGCGCATGCGCTAGGAAGGTGAGCGTTCCCCGTCCATCGGGTCCTCGTGTCGGAGGTCTCCTCAAGCCGGGCAGCAAGCAGTACCGTGAGGCTCATCGTCGGATGCTTGATGCCCTGAACAGAGACGGGAGTGTCACACGGCACCCGCAGACGCAGGATTCGGAACAGCGGGTGGCAATGACCTCCTGTGTTCCGCGGGCCCAAGGGAGGACAGACTACGTCGCTGCGGTGGCTGACTATGCGTCTGCTGGCTTATCACGGTCCCACGGAATGCCAGAAGACCCTGCCCTCGACGGTCCAGGTGCCAGCGCAGCAACAGAGCATGTCGGCGACGGCGGCGATGTCACCCCCAAAATTGCGCACGTCTCTGCAACAGAGATGCATGCAGTGCCTCAGATTGCGATCCAACCCCTCCGCCCAGCGCGTCATCCCAATAGAATGATACCGGTGAAGTTGCCGGGGCCCTCCATGGAGCCCAGCGCCGGTGCGGAGTATACGATTGGTCAAGCTTTCGGATGCCCTCATCTCTACGGAGAAGATGAGCCGTTCCCTCCCTCTGTTAGAGGGTCCCGCCGACTTCCGAATCCTCCCACCAGCATCTTGGGTTCCGATCTGCCACCATCAGTATCCGATCTGCACGTAGCTCCGGCCACACAAGACAACTCGGACGGACCTGCTTCCAATCAATATGCTGTGATGTCTGCGGCCGTAAGGGGGACCTCGAGCGGATGTACTCCCACCGATGACTCCGCGCCTGCGCCTGCTAGTGTGCTAGCCAAGCCGCACGCTCAAATGTCGGACCGGGCCCAGCAGCCGACATCCCTTGATATCAGCTCCGCGACCCGCGGAGGCATGTGCGAGCCCACGTCCACAGCCACTCTCGCTCGCATCCCAAACGCCCACCTCGGTCTCAATCACGATCCTTCCCGCCAGCCTGAACTTGATCGCACGTACGGGCAGCCACACGCTTCTCTTGGGCAGGACTTGGCAGATGCCGGGCGGCCTTCGGCGAACATGCGCCGCACTAGTACGTCACAAAGCGGCAGCAGCACTTCGAGTGGCGTACGCGAGCGTATTGCTGAGCTGGAGGTGCGAGTGCAGAGTGCTTGCAAGGATGGCAGTGCATACGTCTAATTTGTCACGACGAGCCTGCCACGCATGATAGCAAAGCGCTGTTTTATTGTATCGCCGTCTTTGAAATATGCGTCCGACTACCAATCGCATGAACTGAGGCGATGTACGAGAACAATATGACCTCTCTGTTGTATCCACATCTTCGGGGACTGTGTCCGGCCTCAAGATGCGACACATTCCGACAACGGAGTCGAGCAGTCTCCGAGTTTCAGCTGGCGCGTGGATAAGGTCTTAGTGCGCATGTCTGTTTACAGTCGAGACTCACCTTCCATGAGAAAACACGTCCTTGCATGCGACGCGAACGACCTCCGGATCATGTCAGGAAAAGCTTTCGACCCGTGGACACGGCCACAAACCACGAGATGGTCTCGAATGTACACACGTCATCGCTAACACGGGTCATTGAATAAGTTTTTGGAGAATACTGTGCCATCCTGGGTAGTCGGCAGACCCCCCAAGTCGGCAGGCGTGACCTACCGCCAATCAGAGAGCAGGATTCCCCGGAATCTCTCGGGATGTTCGCAATCCGATCATTGATTCTGGCTCCTGGGCCAATCAGGCAAGGGGTACCGACTTTGGGGGTTCTGCCGACTGCCCAGGTAGGCACAGTATGTTGTGATCCACTTCAAGGACAAGACCACATACCGTTGTTCGCCACGAAGTCGAGTCAGCGGTTTCACGATTCACTTGCCTCCATCATGTACGCAATGTGCAGAATAAAGTGCAATCATCCGGATCCATTCGTTAGCATGCATGTAATATTGTTCAACGCGAGCTATTATACACTTGATGTTTGCAAGTTCTGTTGTCGCAGGACAATTACTCGATGACAACGCCCCCATTGATGTGAATAACTTGTCCGCTGTTGTTTTCATCAGCGCCAGTCGGTCTCTCTGACGAAATCGATACCTACCTGATGTAACTTGAATCAGGAGATGCGAGGTAGACGAATGCCGTCGCAATTTCAATGGGCTGACCCGCACGGCCCATAGGCACACTGGTACCAAACTTCTCGATCGAGTCCTTTGTCATCGTCGCCGGACTGTTCAATATCGTGGATAAGTCGATCGAATTAGCGGTGAACGCACATCCACTCACATTAGAGGCGTCCAGATTGGACCAGGAGCAACTGCATTACAGCGGATACCCTTGTCACCGACGAGCTGGTTGCTGAGCGCGCGCATCATCCCGATCATGGCACCTTTTGTAGCAGTGTAGTCGATGAGCTCAGGGTGCCCAACCGCCATATTGATAGAAGCGTTGAAGTTGATGGTTCCGCCTGGAGGGAGGTGTGGAATAGCTGCCTTGCAGATGTAGAAAAATGAGTGGATGTTGGTGTCAAAAGTATCATGCCATTGCTCGGTGGGTAGGGAGGGGAAATCAGTATTGGCGTTTTGAGTGCCATGGTTGAGTACACTGCCCGATGTGTCAGATTCAGACTCATAACTTGGCTATATGCGCGGTGTATACTCACAGGGCGTCAAGCTTTCCGTGGAAAGAGAGGTGCTTTTTGACAAGCTCAATGCACTGCTGCTCCTTCCTGAGATCGTACTCAAGAGTCTGGACTTTACATTTGCCATTGGTCTTCTTCTTGATCTCTTCCTCTGCTGCCTTTGCTTCCTTCTTTTCCTTCGGCGTGTACGTCAGCGTAAGGTCAGCACCCTCGAGAGCTTGAAAGAGGATAAGCATGTGTTCCCATCCGTGGCAAGCGTAACAAGGAGTCACCGAAGAGGATAGCCGTGCTAAGCCCAATGCCGCTGTCTGCGCCGGTAATGATAACGCTCTGTTCCTCAAGTTTGCCTGAGGCCTTGTAGGGCTTTCCATCGGCGGTAACATCGTTGATGGGCTGAGGATTGAGCTTGGCTTGCAGGCCAGGCGCGTCGCTCTGCTCCTGGAATGGAGGCTTGTAACCCTTCTGGAATTGCTCGATGTACTTCATGGTGAGGTAGCAAAAGGTGAGAGAGAGAGGTATACGACGTAAAAGAGGACGTACCAGAGGTTATATAGGCAAATGGAGGTGGAGGCGTGACGTCATGAAGCAAAGAGGCGTCACCGACGTCGTCGTTTCCTCCACCCGCGCGCTGGGAACAGCCTGAGCGAGGTCAAGGCGGGGAGTTGATCGACGTCAATAATGACCGTAGCAGACTGTCGGATCGGGCAAGCAACCTGCCGCATCGGGGGGGACGCTCGCTGGGGTTAGGGGCCCGATCGGTGACGCCACCGCGAAGTTGCCCCAGATCGCAGTCGCCGCGTCCAAGTCCAATCTGGTACATACACCTTGCTCGTGTCCATATCCATACACATCCCGCCTGGCCTCCCGCAGCCATCCGCAGACCCCTTCTGCACCCGCTCATCTCTGCACCATCTACTCTTGGCCTGCATCTCGACATCAGGCTACGCTTGAAGTACGCACCACAAAGTCGCTATGGCCATCATGAATCTCCCTCCGGTCCCCCCAGAACTCAAGTCTATTTCTCCCTACCTCCAACGCGCCGATGAGGTCAGTAGTAAGGATCCCGTCATGTCCTATTGGTGTACGTACGCCTCTGTTATCGTACGTCGTGCGCTCTGACAGCTCTCAGGCGCATACTACGCTGCTCAGGCGGGCATATCGCTCAAACTCAAAGAATCAACCTCCCGAAAATTCCTCTTCACCCTTCTTGGCGTACTCGAGCACCTGAAGGAAGACCTCGGCCACAATGATGCAGTCGAGGACGAGTCTGCTGCGGCCGCATATGTCGAGAACTTTGCCCTGAAGGTGTTCACAATGGCAGACAGCGAGGACAGGCGAGGACAAGCTACCCGGTGCGTCCTTTATCTTACCTTCTTGCATTATCTCAACGTGGGCTAAGACTGCCCTTCCACCCACGAATCTTGCTGCTTCACTTAATCTTGGCACTTCATTCCTTCCCCATTCATCCACGACTACAGTGGCACTGCGAAGAAGTTCCTTGCTGCTGCCAACTTCCTCGAGATCCTCCGTACCTTCGAAAAAGACAAAGCCGAGTCTGTCTCCGCTGACTCGAATGCGGAGAAGATTCGTTATTCCAAATGGAAGGCTGCCGATATCGCCAAAGCCTTCCGTGAGGGCCGTAAACCCACGCCTGGCCCTGCCGGTGGGGACCCTTCGCCCGAACCTGACGTGATAGTACCATCGTCCGCTTCACCTCCGCCCCAGGCTTACAGTCCGCCCGAGTCCGTGGCAGGGACGAGCGCGCTAGCGCCGATGCGCACGACGCCTCCTCCCCCATCGATCGTGGACTTGCCCTCTCCACAACAGAACTCATTCTTCCAGCAGGTTTCCCCTCACGCACCTAACGCATCTCTTCTACCGCATTCGCACCCAGACATTGCTCCCGTTGCGCGGACGCCAGGCACCTGGAGCACGGTTACAACGCCAGGAACGCCAGGGGAAATGTTGTCCGGTGATGATGTCACTAGGGGAGTGGGCGGACGAAACCCAAGGTCTGCTCATGTGAGCGAGGAACTTGAGGGCCAGGAAGATGTCGCAGAAGCTGAAGAAGTCATGACGGATGGTGTGGATACTTCGCGGCACACAGAAGACACGTCGCCCTCGCCGTCTCGGAAGGAAGTGCGCTTCACGCCTTCTGTCACAGGTGGTCTCACGCCGGGCTTTGAGCCGTCCGCCCCGCCGTTCCTGGATCAATCTCTTCTCGCGACCCCTCCCGATGTATATACTTCTCTTCCATCTGTGCCTTCGCCTTCTGCACCAGAGCCTAGATTCTCGGCAAGGTTTGTGCCCGAGGACGTTGAGCCAGAATCAGGGGCATCATTTGCCTCCCAGCTTCCACCAGGGTTTGTCCCATCGAGCCCCCCATACGCACATCCACAACTCGAGCCCCACTTTGTTGCACCTGTGCCGCCTGCGGCATCTCCTGTAGTGCCTCCCCCGCCCAGCTTCATTTCATCGCGCCCACCACATGATTTTCTGCACTCCGTATCGTCGCCCGCGCCTCCAGTCGTCCTCCCATCTGTCCCTGCAATGCCGCCGCCGCCCGGGGCATCGGATGCGACGCTCACGCCTGTCCCCGTGGAGCTGACGCCGGTGGTGATTGCACGCGCACAGAAGCATTGCCGGTTCGCGGTCTCGTCCCTGGACTACGAAGACGTGGAACAGGCGCGGAAGGAGCTGAGGGCCGCGTTGAAGCTGCTGGGAGGCTAAATGCTGGGGCTCTACTGTTCTTGCCTCGGTCTTGCGCCCTTGCTGTTGCCATAATCTACTATGCTTGTAATTAGGCTTGTAATTCTCGATTTGCAGATCTCGCATTTTACATCCGAATCTCCATGGGTTTGTTTATGTTGCCCTGAGGGCGCATCACTCGATCGGCGATCAGACACCATCGATCGTTTACTCGAGAGTGCTGTGCGCTGAGTCAGCAAACCCTATGCTCGTTCGGGAAATCCCACATTCTGTCCTGAGCAGTCCCCCATCGTCCAGCCACGGCTTAGCAGATTCTCCTACTCACTCTTATTGTTGAAGTCTCGAAAAGCCTGAGGCGGGGCTCGCAGCACTTGATAGCACTGGGAACAACGTATGGTCACCTGCTGACGTCTAGCGGCACGTTCACCTTCTTATCCTGAATGGCCCCACGGCGATTCTCGTTCTCCCTCAATCCGCAATGGTTACATTATGTCGCTTTTATGTCGGTTGCGCTCGCACTGCTTCTTGGAACTGTACGCTACTTCATTCTTGGTATGTGGCACGCTACGTGGGCTTACGCATGTGGTCTCAAGGACGCGTACTAGATCATACAGACCCGCTCCATTGCGATGCATTGTTAACGGAGGGGCAATGGCTCGACGATAGGTTTAAGAACTGGCAACCTGAAGGTACGTCGTCATTGATGCTCGCAGTCAACAATAACAACATATAAGGCCTCATGCGATCCCGGACACAGGTTGTATGATGCACACGTACCAACAGGGAGACGTTTCGAGATGTTTGGGTGCACGCCGTATCGTCTTTATCGGCGACTCTATTACCCGCCAGTTATTCTTTCAATTTGCGCACATCGTAGACCCTAGTCTACCCACTGCCCCGCCAGACGACGGGAGCAAACACACCGACCACGTCTATACTTCCCCTACCGGGCTGCAACTCTCATTCTTCTGGGACCCATACCTAAATACCTCGCATGCGCAGTCGTACATCAACTCATCGCCAACCCCAAGCTCGAGTTTGAACTTTGGCCCAGGTATGAGTGAGGACACCGACCCCGATCGTCCCGCTCTCCTCGTGCTTGGCTCCGGCCTATGGTACCTCCGCTACGCAGAGGCAGGCTCAGGTGGTCTTTCAGCATGGGAAGCCAAGATGGCCTCCACACTGGAAGCGCTCTCCCGTGCGCACCCCCGCCCTGCAGACGACGTCGTACTGCTTCCCATCGAGGACATAGTCGTCTCCAAGCTCAACCACGAACGCGCCGCTTCGATGCGTGCACCAGACGTCGACGCCATGAACTCAGACCTCATGCACCGGATCAACCCACCTGCGCTCTCGGACCCGTACTCGTTCCTCCCAGGCACGAGCCGAGGCGCGGGCACGCGATTGCCGGTATCGCTGCCACTGGTGTTCAATAAGATGCTCGATCCATCGCAGACGGAGGATGGGCTGCACTTCGCCGACCCTATCGTTGCGGCGCAAGCGCATATCCTGCTCAACCTGCGCTGCAATGACGCGCTCCCAAAGACGTTCCCGATGGACAAGACGTGCTGCCGGCGGTATCCCCTGCCGTCTCCGCTGCATTCAATTGTGCTTGCCGCTGCTATTTTTTGGGGCCCTGTCTGTGTCGCTTTATCTAGTCGCCTAGGTTGGTGGTTGCAATATCGTCATCCGTGAAATCGTATTGACCATTGGCCCAGGCTCGCGCCCACCAGGACAACAGTTAGTCGGGGAGAGCGAAATGCCTGCCGTTGTCGTCAGTGCCGCCTCTGCCTTGATATATATCGCAGATCGAACGGGCTTCTGGCTGAAGGAGCAGAAGCAGTTCAGCCCATGGACGTTCTCGTTCCTTTCCTTGCTTAGTCTGACGGTGGGATTAGTCACTGTCAGGCGAGGGGACAAGGACCTTGGGTTCCTAAACCGTGAGCAGACAGACGAATGGAAGGGCTGGATGCAAAGTAAGTCGCTTACCATACGTTGGCACGACATCTGACACGAGCAAATCTGGTATCGCAGTCGCTATCCTCATCTACCATTATACAGGAGCATCTAAGATTTCTGGGATCTACAATCCCATACGTATTCTGGTCGCTTCCTACCTCTTCATGACTGGATACGGCCACACCACATTTTATGTCAAGAAAGCGGACTTTGGGTTCACACGAATCGCACAAGTGAGTCCTTTCCGGATCGAATAGGCACGTCAATGCTCATAATATTATAGGTCATGATCCGCCTTAATCTCCTCACGCTGCTACTCGCATATACCATGAACACCGACTACCTCTCATACTATTTCGCCCCGCTGGTATCATGGTGGTTCCTCGTCATCTATGGCACCATGCTCGTTGGGTCTCGGTTCAACGATCGCACCGTCTTCTTAGTCTGCAAGATCTTCCTTTCTATGGGCGTTGTGACGTGGTTCATGAGCGAGCAATGGTTGCTCGATACTATCTTCGAGTTCTTGAAGCGGACGTGTGGCATACACTGGTCTGCGCGAGAATGGGCCTTCCGGGTCAACCTGGATCTGTGGATCGTATACATCGGAATGTTCACGGCACTCGCAGTTATGAAAATCCGTGAACATCGTCTGACAGACCACCCGCAATGGCCGCTGATCGTCAAGGCGTCCGCTGGTGCCTCCGGCATCGTGCTACTGTGGTTCTTCGCCTTCGAGCTATATCAGCCCGACAAGTTTGCGTACAACCTCTGGCACCCATACATCTCCTTCCTCCCCATCGCGGCGTTCGTTGTGCTGCGCAATGCGAACGTCATCCTACGCTCCGCGTCCTCGCGTATGTTCGCCTTCATCGGAACTTGCTCGCTGGAGACATTCATCATCCAGTATCACTTCTGGCTTGCGGGCGATACCAAGGGCATCCTGCTCGTCATTCCTGGCACTCGATGGCGTCCGGTGAACCTCATCCTCACCACCGTCATGTTCATTTACTTGTCCCACCATGTTGCCCAGGCTACCGGGGAGATAACGAACTGGGTATGCGGCTCGTCGAAATCGCAGACGCTACCAACGACCGCGCCAGACGCCCAGTCATCCTCTGGTCGGCGCGCCCACTCGGTTATACCGATGAACGAGCCTGAAGTCATCTTCCTTGCATCGCAGGATGATGAGTCGAGAAAGGACGACGGCGATGATCTCCCGCCGATGCCAGATACACCAGCACGCCCGCAGCACAGGTGGCTTGATAGGCTCGCGGAAGGCACGACTGCCTCTCAACCTTCGTCGCCGGGTTTCAGAGTCTGGTATGGCGAGACTGAGTGGAAGCCTGGCGCAAAGACAAAACTCATTATTGCTATGATTGTCATGTGGTTGCTCAACATCATGTGGCCATACCCATCGTCGTAGCCCAAATGGACAGATCTCTATGCATTGCAGGCACTCACTACACATACATATTGGTGTAAGGTACTCTATCATACACGGAATCATAATATCTCCCACAGCTGGATGATGCCGACACAGCCAGTGGCTTCTACTGTAAGTCCATGTATTACTCCTGCGAGGGGAAATGTTAGTATTCTTTTTTTTTTCGGTACAAGTGCCAAGTATATGATCATTTGGTTGAAGACATATTTCGAATCAAACATCGACGGACCGCGTAAGGCCCTCAGAAATAGGATTCATAATAATCATCTCGCCCAGCGAAGAAGAGACTGACCATATCACCTAAAAGAGAAACGGTCAGCACAACGATCAAGGCGTAGAATCCAAGCAAATGTCAGAATTAGCATGGTATGCTCGTCATGGCTCGTCCTTGAGACGAGATCAGGACTTGACTCTATGTTATTCATCTCGCGAGTCAACGCACACGGAAAAGAGACTCACCATGAAAAGTTTTCCAGAATGCAGGGACCTTCAAATTGCGGTGTCAGCAGAAGTAAAGCGCATCAAGGTAGACTATGCTCGGAAATTTGGGTATATGAAATGTGTTCACTAGTCCCATGCGAGACTTCGAAGTAGCGATTCATTTGTTCTCGTCACCGCAGAGAAAATAAGCAGTGTGTGACTTACCACGACGCAACATATCGTGGTGCAAGAAGCATCCACGAAACCACAAAATTGGACGTGCCTAAAAGGGTGTTGATCACGTGCGGAGAGTTAGGGCAGGTAGTTGCACTGATCCATACCGTTCTTGGCTCTCAAGCAAGTGGCTTTGGTTCCTTGCGTATGCCTTTCAGCTTAGACTTCCAACAGCGACCTCAGACAGATAACGCAACCTCCACCCATGGCGAACGTCGTAACGCACCCATATTTTCAGGTTGGATTCCATCGTGGACCTGTTAACCACTCGCCATCGCCTTTGGGATTCGGCTTCGGCCTGTCGTCCAACTCTTCTATGACCTCTTGGCCGACAGCATCTACTCATACGCCACAGTCTTCCTGGCCTTTTGCCACCAGTGTGCAGTCACCTATCATTCGCGCTACGAAACGACGACATGAGCCGGAAGAGGAGTCGGAGAACAGGTCAGCACGGGACGATGAGATGGAGAGAAGCCCGACACCAGAGCGACCAAAACGTGCCGCGCCTAAACGGGCACGCACGACACCTGCGCTGCTGCTGGCCACTAAGAACGAAGAGGGAGCGAAGGAGACCAAGGCCCCTACGACAACTGAAGATGTTGATGTCGATGTCGGTGTGCTTCTTGGTAAGTAACACACCTTCTCAGCACTATGAAGTATTACTGATTTTGGCGCTTGTAGCAAGTCTGCCCCCACAATCTCTCCTTCCGCTCCTCTCCTCGCTGCTTGTCGCTCAACCGTCTCTGAAGTCCACTATCCTATCGCTGATTCCGAGGCCGACGCTGGAGACGGCGTTACAAGCGCTCGCCACCGCAGCGAATAAGCTTCGCGACGCATATCCTTATTCAAGTCCACCGTTCTCGCAGGGCACATCGTCTACATCGTTTGGATTTGGCAGCTGCGCGTATGGCCCCCAACGTCGGCCGAATTCATCAGTATTTGGTGCTGGACGGCCGTCCTATGGACCCTCTGGTAACTCAACAAACGGGATGCGCGACGAGTACATCCTTTCACGCCTTCGGCCGCACATATCGGAATACATATCCGCCTGCTACTCGTATCTGCCCTATTTCTCATATGTTGCAACGCCGTCAGATGTCGGTGCGTCGGGAGCACACATGTCGCAGAGACAGTCACACGCCGCTGCGCTCCAGTCACAACACAAGGACCGATCACATCCTACCGAAACATTCCTCTTCCTCTCTTCCCTCACTTCACACATTCTCTCGCAACCGCCCCTCACACAGTCTGCTCTTGTTCCCCAAATTCTACCTCGATTAATGGAAGAGTGGAAGGCGTGGGTGGACCGTGTAGACCAAGTCGTCAATCTCGAAGGTGGCATGTTCGGGTCGGAAACAGTGAGGACTTGGGAGAGTGGACTGGATGACTATGCGCAAGCGAAGTGGGAAGGCTCCGAGGTAATGCGACAGATGCGCGATCACTGGGTTGCAAAGGTCGGCTGGCTGGTGGGGAGACAGCCAGTACAACCAATGGAAGAGCTGTGACAAGTCTGCATTGGATTGGAGTCACTGTAATTTTGAACTTCGTTGCTCACGGTCGCTGCCTTCGATTATTCATGACATGACACGTTTCTTCGTCTACTGTACGACTCACACTCATTGATCCGCATGTGCTCCAGTCTCCTTGCCAGTATTGTCTTAGCAGTGCATGTACACTCCTTGCATCACACACACTCTGGAACTTTATGATACGGTTATGTTACTTGCCATGGAACTTTCGCGTGTGGGTTCGGCTCCAGCTGCAGGTCCCCAGCGCGTCGCGTTCTGTCGCGTTAAGCGTCATGTCGCCGTCGCGTCGCCGGGCGTCACGTGGCAGTATTTTGCGTCGACACTGAGACTTTGCTCGCGGGCTGTACGAGACTTGTGTGCTTTCACTGCGGCGTTCACTGCACATCCACGTTCTGGGCCATCACCAGCAAGCCCGTACCGTGCTCGAATGTCTATGCATGCTTCACCATGCATCTCGTCTTGCGAACGCCGGCCCCGTCACGTTTCCTTCCATACTGCAGGCGGCAGCGGGTCGAGCGTGGGCCAGGACCCGGCCGTCGCGCTCATGCAGCGTGAGCGTAGCACAGCGAAGCCCGAGTGCATCCGACGCTATCAGCGGGTGCGAAGACCATACATGCTCCAAGCCTGGGGAGAGCTCTGCTGCGTATAGCGTGTGCGTGCCCATGACGTTGCATTAATCTACCTGTCATTCATTTTTACGTCTCGCCCCCCCACAGGACATCGTGCGTCAGCCAGCTCCTGATGCACGATGAGAATCCCGCAAATTCTGTCCCCCTAGGAGGCCGTATGTCGTTTCGAACTCGCGTCGAGGCAGACAAGGCAAAAATGCAGGACGCGAAACGTCCTCTTTCTGATGCCGGCAACAGGTCCCCATCGGAAGCACAACGGGCTGGGCGACGTGTAGTTCCTCGGCCAACCCCAGGGGATAAACACGCACGCCGTTCCCTCGGTCATGGACCTGCAACTTCTGACTCGCCAGGCGCCAGGCGGACAGGAAATCCTTGGAGGTTTGCGGTCAATCCCGTCAGTGTCGACTGTCTAACGGAAGCAGACATCGCCGCCGTTGACCAAGGGCTTCATCTCACAGGCTTAGAGAAGACCGACCCACCATGGCCCGACGTTGTCGCTTCCGTAAATGCTGCCCATCCGCCATTTCATATTGTTCACCAGGGTCTACGTGAGCCCGGTCGTCCACCTCAGATCCCAGATCCTGACTCCCCAGCTGCTCTGTGCCACAACCTCTTCTATTTCCGAACTGCCAGTCCCCCGCCGTCCTACAGCGGCTTATTGCGCTACCATTCCCTATTCCGGCAGCACCACTCCACGAGGTCATTCAATTTGTTAATCGCCCTTGGCATCCGTATGACACAGCATGGAACTGTCGAGCGACTCTTAACGTTGATGCAGGCTGAAGGCGTTCCTCCTGACTCGCTGACTCGTCAATTAATCGTACGGAATTCGATTCTCGGCGATGAGGGATGGGATGTCGCTTGGCAGAAGCAGACAGAACGAGCGCGATCCCAAGGAGTCTCTATGCCTCTCCATATTTGGCTGGAATTTCTTGCGTCCTTGCACAAGGACATCTCGTGGCCACCACCTGCTCCCCGAAGGAAGCGACCCTCTGGTCTACGGACCACGATACCGCTGCTAACGCGTAAGACGAGGCTCCAAACCCTCATGGAGAACATGCCTTCCGTCACTGCCACCGAGTGGGCACAGATCCCTCCACGTTTCGTCTGCCAGCTCGTACGTGCTCTCCTCCACTCGGGTCACCGTTCGAAGGCAGTGGACGTCACGCTATTCTTCTTGCGACATCTTCCGGTGAAGGTTACTCCTCGTCTGGCTTCGGCTTGTCGCAGCATCCTATATTATCACCTGATGTGTCGGCATCGACCAGGGCTAAGGGAATTCTATGCCCTCAAAGAAGAATTCCTCCAATTCTTTCGCGCATGCCCCGTCATCCGGCCCGACTCCACCATCCTGTTCGGCCTTATGCGGCCGCTGAAGAGGGCGGTAAGATGTGGTGATATCGCTCTGGAGCTTGTGCAACAGTTTGTTTCCCGTTGGGGCCCAGATATCGTGGATGACAAGGTACGAAGACGCCTTGCCTCACTGGCAATCAAACAAGGCAGATTGCGCGTCGCCAATATTGCCATTCGCTCGCAGAAGGCTGTCAACGATCTACGAAAGGAGTTAATAGCCGAGGAAGAGCTGAAATCCTATGCGAGGGGCTTTGGGTCCGGACAGACACCGAGATTCAGAGAAGCCTTACGATATGAGCGAAGGAACGTGGAAAGCTGGAAGTGGCGGATGGTTCGTAAACGTTGGTGGAGAGTTCGGCTGCGGAGGGACGCTTATGCTAGTGGGCGTCGGCCGTGACACTCGCTGGGCTACGCTCATCATAATTTTATCCTGTGTGCTCGCTGCATAGTCAATCTGTGGCGGTAGCTGATCTGCTGCCAGATCTGTGGCTAACCTATCTGTCATACCGAGGTAATGGCACCGCAAGGGAAACATTAGAGTTAGATCGTTGGAGCGGCAAGCCAAATTTCGATCCGTGATGTCAATGTCAATGAGGTCTAGACCGTGGGGCACCGGTGTCATTCGTGCAGTTCGCTGGGCGACGTCGGCCTCTACGTAACATTGGAAACAGGCGTTGCAAGCGTGAGCTGTCGTTGTTAATTCCGGCTGCGACTCAGCTTCTCTTCTGAGCTCCAGATGTTCTCGTGCGGGATCTCAGGGCAGATCTGCAACTGTTATGTTGTCCACAATTGCACGTCTTACGAGGTGAGCGATTTGTGCTCCTCAAGCTTCCGTTGTTTCCATACACGCTATGGCTGCGTCATTCTGAAACCAGCGCATTTCTCTGTCTTGGAGACAGAAGAGAGTAAGAGGGCGGAGTCGTGCCGGTGAACCGACTGTCTTGAAAAGAGCATTTGAAAAATGCAGATGCTGCCGTGCTTCCAGATCGATCATCCGCGGAGGCAGCCCTGTCGATGCGAGGCGTATCTCCGTTTACGGACCATGGCGGCTCACTCGCTCCAGGCGTCGCCTCCTATGGGCGGACGCCTGCGAGATATGGAATGAGCACGCGTTCCGGAGAACGCACCGCCCGGCATCCTATAAAGCTCATCGACCCCGATACAGTGCCACGCGGGGACTACGAAGACTCGAAGGGGCAATGTATCGTGAGGCACGCTATAAAGCTTGTGAAACGCCGCCGGGTGATCGATAGGTCTCGCTCAGAATTCGATGTCCGTCTAAATCGACAGATCTAGGGACATACACCGTAGTCTGCGGTTCACTCCTTGCACGCTTGGACACTCAGTACCGCTATGGCGGCGCAATGCCGGCAGCAAACGAGCTGGGGGAATTCATGGTACAAAAGATCCATGGCGGCGCAGCAAAATGATGAGCACAGATGACATCCCCCGCAGAAGAGGCCTTTTTGAGCATCTCAACGACATGTGTTGGGTGCGGTCCAGGCGGCAGCACTCCCATGTTGGCGTACGTCGGGAAGCATCGTTCGCGCTCCTATGCTAACGTCTCCTTACAGTCGTGTGGCAATTTGTGATTACAGAGGCCAAACTGTATACGATACGTTCGTGCAGCCTACAAGGGATGTAACGGATTATCGCACCAACACGACAGGTATCGGGGCAGCCAACCTAGACAAAGGTGGGTAACAGCGCAACAACCACCCACGGCCGGGGGAATTGCTGGCGGATCCCTCGCTCTTCTGAATGCAGTTGATGGCTTTGTTCTCAGGAAATGGCGCGCGGGCCTTCAAGGATGTTCAAGAGGCCGTGAGAGATTTATTACTGAATAAAATCATTGTCGGACATTCCCTCTGGAACGACTTGCTTGGTGAGGAGCACTATCTATGGGCTTTTGTTTTGCTCTATTCGTCTTTTTCCCGGGACTGAAGTAACTGTACATACAGTCCTAGGAATACCCCATCCCGCAATCGCTACCCGGGATGTGGCTCTTTACCAGCCGTTCCGAAACGACTTGCCCAACCAATCCATCGGGCTGCAAACCCTCATGTGGCAGCTCATGCGCCGCCGCGTTCAAGAGAGAACTGTGGATGCCGTACGTAGGAGAGCGTCATTGGCGCGCCAAAGCTTTTTTTGTGGTCGTGGCTAACGCTGCTAATCAACAGCTGGAGAATGCCCGCGCTACAATTGATCTCTACCGCTCGCGTGCTACCGAGTGGGAGAGCGCGGTGTCCAAGGGAAAATGGGAGTGCCAACTCCCCCCAAGCAAATTCTCCCGCTACTATTCTTGAGGGTTTAAACTCTGACCTCCTGCCGGTACCATCGGGGCTTCGTACTTTACTACATACTTGAACTCTAATATCTTTATCTTGATCTTTAGCCGGAGTGGAGAACCCTAACTAGATGTTTGTGTGACTACATCACTCGTGTAACATATTGCGAAACTCATGTCCCTATCTTGATAATGGATTGATTTTGAGTCAGTATGTTCATCGTGTGCACAATCCCATTATTGCGGATGCAAGTCGTCCTGCAGCATTACCATTTTAGGATCCCTTGTGCTCGAGCGTGGCGTGCCAAGAGTCTCGGTAAGATTCCGCGTTCAGGGCCGCGCTCGCAAATGCCTTCCCGTAGTCGGACGCTGTCAATGGTACAACCACCATGCACTGGTTAATGCTCAACTAACCGCGCCAGCCTCCTCTCACGTGTGTATTCTAACTATTCGAGTACTGCTGCCAGCGGTATATATTTCATAGGTGTGAGGGCTATACACGACCCCGTAAATGACGACGTGCATAACTGTGGATCAATCATGGAGATGGCGCCACATGCGCCCAAGATCGGTACCTCGGTAATAGTAGACAGGCGGCGAACATACTTACTCCAATGCTTACGTCATTAAGATCGATATTAAAGTTAACAGGATCACGAACGCTCAAGCAGCGACATACCCGTTCTGTCGCCGACGATAACTCCACGTCGAGCTAAGTGTAGAGCCGAGCATCATTGAGACATCAGTGGCGGACTTTTGCAGCTACTTCCATATCGATAGACCTACCCGCGAATACTTGTGCGCAAGCGGGATTGATGCGGAATTCGGGATCAATGGTCGGGACCACGGTCCCGACCTGGTTGGACCCGACAAAGTATCGTCACAGCCACAATTTACCAAAGTAGGCTGTTGTTCCCAGGCCCGCATATTCGCGCCCGAAGGTCTATCGATGTGGAATCAGCTGTGATGCGCCAACGACGGCGGACATAAGCAGTGCAGCATCTCTGCAAGATTGCTTCCGGCTATCAAGTGGCTTCGGTCTGTTTTGTTTAATACGCGCTCTGCGCGTCGAACTGCCATCACTCCGGCTATGCTGTTGAAGTCAAGAGACGTCATAGAGTGTTTACAGTGACCCACGTCTTAGAATTGATCGTAGCTTGGACGCATCTCATCTCTAACTTGAGCTCCACTCACCACGAAGTCCCTGTAATTCGAACTTCGCTAGAGCTTCAGCTCCACCTCGGATCAAGTTGAGCTCGTCTAAAACACTCCAATGGCGGGACCAGAGTCTTCCAGCTATAGCGTTGAGTAGTGTGATACACAACTGACTGAATGAGTACTCGCCATGTTGACGGGTACGGACTGGCGGTGCATCGTACATGTAAATTCCACATAAATCTCGCAGGAGCTGTAATGTGGGAATGAATATACCGGGCCTGCTGTAAACTAGAAATGAGAGTGTGGAGCCGGCAGTGGTGCGCCACCTTGCGCCACCGACGCAACTGCCAACAACTACACTTTCCATATATGGCATCGAAGCTCGTACGCATTCAGCTTGAACGATATGCTTGGTTCATGGCGACTCTCCTCAAAGCCAACCAATGACAATGAATCTCAAGTCTCCCGCAAGCACTCTGCCGATGCTCGCTCGCTCTCGCCACACAAGGCTCATGTCGACGACCCGTCGAGCTCACGGCCTCACCCTGGCAGAGCACACTCCGTCTCGCAATCTACGCCCCACGATGTCGTCCTGGCTGAACTCTTAGGACAAGCATCCCGAGATAGGACGACAGTGCATACGCCAGCTCGTGCAGATGGGTCGAAGGGGACCACCACCGCCACGACGGGTTCGCCTGAACGCCCTGCACGAACTCCGAGCCCATTTGGGCTACCCGGACCACGCTCTTCCACTTCCAGCCCCATCTCCGCCCCAGAGCCCGTGTACGACCCCTTCTCTGGCTCCCTGGCTGGTGTTGCGCTGTCGCCGACTCATGCCAGAGACAAAGGCCGCGATGCGCCTGCCGCCACCTTCGACCAGACGAAGGACGACCTCTGGTCGCATCTAGCGCGCATCCGCGGACTGCAGAGCGAGATCGCCGGCATGCACCTGCAGATGGAGAGCATAGGGACCGGCGAGGCGCGCGGCACCAAGCGCGCCGTGGGAGGCATGGGCCGCGCGCGTCGCGCGACAGAGGAGTGGGAAGATCCCGGGCAGGCAGAAGACCAGCGGAAGACGGCGAGGGATGCCGAGTTTGCGAATCTCGCGGAAGCGTTCAACGGTCGGCGTACCGCGATTGACGGCATCATGAACAAGGCACGTAAACGCTCTGTCAAGTGATATGCAATGCGTCGTGTAGTGCTCATACCTCCACACCCACGCCAGCTGGACGATTTGTCCAAGGCGCTCACTACTTTCCACACGCTACCAACGCCAACGATGGACTTTGCTTCCAACTCCAGGAATAACACAAAGGAGTCTACGGCGAACTCATCTGGTTCCTCGGGCGCCGTGTCAGGAGCTACATCTACCGATCATTCAGACTTGCAGACACAAGTATTGCATGAGAGCCCAATATCGGATGCGCCATCACATGCTACTGCGTTTCTATAGCCGTTGCTGTCGCTCTTTTCGCAGTGGCTTGTACGAATGCATTGTTGGATGGTAGGGATAGCGCTGGCAGACTCATGCTGAAGTCAATGACACCCACACGTGTAGACCGCGCATCTCGGTACATACACCTAGGGAACACGAAACGTCATCACAACGATTTGTGTTGTCAACTACTGTGATTATACAATATATCCAAATAGTAAGTGAACAGCGTCCGCCAGCGTTCATCGCGACTACGAAGTGAGGTACAGATGGGAAGCGTAACAAAGCGACAGGGATGTCCGTGTAAAATGAAGTCGTGGTGATGGATATCCAGCAGTGAATGGTGGCTTCAAGAGCGAACACTGAAGCGAATACGCTCAGATCGAAGACCCAGAGGTAGATAGCCCTGCAAAACTGTGAGTGCGATCCGATCAATACGGCCATCGAACTCGATGACGTACCGGTTCTGGCGAAAGAGAGTGAGCATGCCATTAGATTCGAGTAAAGTGAGCGGACATACCCTTGACAATGATCGTTTGCAGATGTTGGAATGCACGACAGATAGCGGCACCACGTACAGGCTAAGTGTACCGTCAGCGGCCAATCAATGCACAATGACCGGCTACACGTACCGGCATAAGGATCCGACTTGTAGAAATTGCGGATGAGGACCACAAAGAGAACGATCGCAATGGGTATCGCTGCCAATCGGAAGCCGATGACAATAGCCCTATGCCTCGTGGATGGACTGATAATAGGATAGAAGGCCATGCCCATAAGGAGACCCATTAGGAGACCACCCAGATGGGCTGCAAACATCGTCAGCACGGACAGAATGGAGTCAAAAAGTTACACAACAGACCGAAATTGTCGACATCTGCGAGGGGCGAGTCAGCTCGCAACTTATTTATAAGGTCAGAACAGCTTACATGGGATGAAACCGAGCCCAATACCGACGATTAGCTCAACGATTAGCCACGCAAGCTAGGACATGATCAATTTCGTTACTGTCGTGTAACAGGACATAGACGAACCCTTGTTCCCGGTCGGGGATGGTATCTCCAATGCGCGAGCAAGTCAATCCATGCGATCTACCATTATTGTGAGACATGATCCTATAGACATAAAAAGTAGCGCGTACAGCTGTCGTCCCGAAGATTGCGCCACTAGCACCGACGGAAGGCAAGCCCACAAGAGCAAAGTTCCCTCCAAGAACATTACTGTAAGCAAGAGATTAGTGGCGGATCAATATAATATATTTGTGACACGCGCCCAAAGATTCCAGATGCCATATAGAGCACAATGAAGAAGATAGAGCCCATCTCACGTTCCACCTGGAGAGTATATTAGCACTTCTCCTGCCTGAGTAGTTGGTACACTCACTTGAGCAGATACGGTCATCTGCGCTAGCATGTTCAACAGATAGTGGATGATTCCGGCGTGCAGAAACACGGGTGTGACAAACCTTCAAGGGTGTACTCGGCTATGTCCAAGCGGAATGCAGGAAAAGCACTTACCTGAACGTCTGGTTTGGCGTCTCATCGTGGAATCCACCAAACCCGCAGATGTCCTCCAGAGGACACGCCTCGGTCACCGGGTTGGCGGTGTCATTCAAGCCTTATTCAGTAGGTAGGTTTATTATATAAAACGAAGCAGGATCACAGCAAGACGCACATGCAAACTGGGTAGTGAGCGGAATAGCCGACACGTTCTTCATGCAGGCAGGAAAGCGGGCGCCGAGGTTGATCAGCGCGCTCTCCGATGGCCCTAGCATTGGATTGACGACCGGCTGCGAAACAAACGTAGGTCCACAGCCGCATTCGTACAGGCGCGTACAATTCACGCACCTTGAATGACACTGGTGTGCCTTGTGCCTTGTCGTTGACCACGAGCTCATAAATGAGTACGCAAAGCATGGCTAGCGTGAGAGCGTAGACTGTCCGCGGTCCCTCAGCACAGCACACAGGGTAGGGGATGCAAGTACATACCAAGATATGGCCTTTTCTGTACACCGATACCACGCCTCTTGTCCGCTATCCGCTGTTCTAGAGGATAAAGACCGAAATATCTTTGAAAAACATTTGGGTCTTTGAGTGGTGGCTGCGGGGGTATAACTGAGGATGGCTCAGAGTACTCTGTAAATGAGAGTATTAGACTTGTATGGGCTCTATTGGCTGGATAAGTTACATGCCTAGACCCTGAAAGTTCTCTGGCTTCGCATAGGGTGCTTCATTGGCATATGAGCTACTCCGTTGCTTGTCGGCTAGCGTGTCGGTCGAGTAGCCGGCTGGATCGTATGCATATTCGCTGTGCGCGAATGGTGGCTTGTAGGCAGCGTCATCATATTCATATTGCGGGTTTGCCTGAGGGTATTCATCGGATTGAAGAAGGCGGGCAGTTGACATGCTGTAGCTATGGCCACGGTGCATGCCACCGACGGTCGATACGTCGCTTTGTTCCTGGTCGTGGTAGGGCATTCCAGAAGCCATATGCGAGAGCGAACAAGGAAAAGTGTCGGGTATGAAGGTGTTATAAAGAGACAAATACGAGGGAAAGCAGTGAAAGCGCGCAGCAACGCCGAGCTGCACGCGGTAAGCTGAAACGAGGCAATATGGGCGCTAAGTCCGCACCGCCACGGAGTCTCAACTTCTTAGATCTAGATCGATAGTCTAAGACCAAAACGAGATACCTACACACTTACACAGATCGCAGGCACAGGCAACGTACAGTCGCAGCGGATAAATATACAGATGCGTTTAGATGACAGTCGATGAGTGTACCCCAGAGCAATGCAGCAGAAATTACAGCGATCAGCAAATAACAACACGTCCTACTACCAATCCACCGTACTCATCCGTCTGTCGATCGGGGTGGAAGGCTCCTCTACCGCGCTCAGCCGGCCCCTGCTACGCGTGGAAGGTTTCCTCGTTAGTGGCGTAAAATGCACCGCCGTCTCCACCTTTAAGTCGCCTTGAGGCGGCTGGATATCGTCCATCGAGTATGGCGGTGGCTGGTCCGACCACTCCTCTTCGTTCACTTCCGCGGCCCGCGACCACCGCGTGGCAGAGCGCAGGCCGTCAACCCACTGCAACGTGCCCACACCCACCTCGCGCAGCTTCTTGCTCTTCAACCGCCATGCCATCGCGCCGCGAGACCCGAAGCTAGCACGGCTTGCGGTGGAGTCTTGACTTAGCCGAGGGTTATGATGTGGTTTTTCTTCATCTGACAAAGGGCGCTTGGCCGGCAGGGCGCCCAGCATTCGCGGGTCAGATGGCAGGAGTAGTGGCAGCATGAACCTCGAATCCATCAGCTCTCCCAGAGGTTCCGGTGCGCTCGCGGGTTCCCAGGATGTTTTCTCCCAGGTACGATCGAAGAGTGCATCAATATTGCGCTGGGCGGCTGATGGCTCTGAGGGCAGTGCAGGCGCGGGTGCTACATTATCTGGGCCGATTGGGACTTCATGCAGCGATGGAGACGCGCTGATGGTGTCCTCCCGGTCTCGGTCTCGCTCACCGATCTGCAATATGATTGAGCGGTAGGACGAAAATATAATATTTCGGTACTGACTTCCTTACGCAATGCCTCAACACCGAGCTTCACGCGATGCCGCTCCCAATCTTTTTGTAGTTGGGCAAGGTACTGGTTGCATTCCTCCGTCATTCGAGGCTCGTTTACTTCATACCGGTAATCGCGCACAGCACGACGCATCTAAGACTTAACGTTAGAGTCCTACTTGAAAGAAGCCATAGGAGTATACCTGTAAAGGATTCAGGTTTCTCAGTGTTTGAATGGTGGCGATGAGATTGGGGAACTCGGTGATGGACGATAGACTCTGCGAGCAAGTCAGCACGATGTGAGTATGACTAATGATCAGCATACCTGCAGCCATGTAAGCAGATCCTTCACGGGTGCAAAATGTGAGCCGACACCGCGCGGGAGCTGCATTTCACCTATCCACTCCTCCAATACACTGAGGTTCATGCTGATCTGCACCGCTCGTGACCTGTCGATATAGTCGGCGAGTAGTATCATATGAAGAAAGACGTTTGCATACCGACATAAGTACTTCTTGCGGGTCAAGACACGGTTGAAAGTCTCGCCTGGCAGGACGTTACTGAGTACTCTCGGACCACAATCATGCTACACCTTACAGGCTGTCCAGTACATCACTTGAGACCACAACTGGATGATCAGTGCCGGATTGATTCCCGAGACCGAGAGCAGCGTATGCAACGCAGTGATGAAAGACGTGATGTCCTTAGGCGAGTGACCTGGTGGTGCAGCAGTAGTGGAATCCGCAAACAGAGATTGCAACGAAGCAGTGTTTGATGGCGCCCGCGACCGTGCGAACGTCTGCCGTAGAGACGCAAAGCCCCGCTGGTTAGCTGGCGAAGTTGACGACGGAACGGGTGATGGCGGCCTGCTTACACCATTGCCAGGGGGAGACGACGGAGTGCGCGACGGACCAGTCGGCGTGACAGGCTTCTTCTTGCCGGTACCGAATGAGCGTAGAAATGACCATTCCGATTCGAACTGTATTGACTCGAATTCGGTCGAGAGCGGTGAGTAGTCCAGCAATGCGGCGTCGAGCAGCTGGTCGATCTTCCTTTCAGCAAATCGAATGATGAAGACTGCAATTCACTGATCAGGATGCGAGCGCATGGGGGCAATTGAGAACGGTACCGAATACGGAGTTATGTATTTCCTCGATGAGGCCGAATGATCCTAGCATTTCTAACGTTTGGTTGATAGCATTGTCGCAGCGCATTAGATGCAGCCAAACAGTTATGTTGTACAGCCAGAATATAAGCGAAGTGGCATCGTCGGCACGGTTCTGAGGGATAATCACAACCATGCTGCAATCCTAACAAAGACAGCACTTACGAAGAACGTGTCTTCTATTGTATCAGTTGCGCCTATGACCACATCTTCTAGCCAGTTATGGTCACAATTGATGCATGCGAATCGAACTAGCATGTACAGGGCATTCGCTGGCTCTGCATTTCGTAGGGTGGGTTTGAAGTCAATGATGAGGGATTGGAAGATGTCAGGCAACGCCAGAGGCGAGAAGACAAGCATCGAGGTGTAGTCTGGAGATGGTGTCTGTAGGGCCCTTTGACATTCAGCAAGTTTTAAGACGGAGACAATCTACTCACGAAGCACGTCTCACTCGTGACCTCCTCCTCGTCCTCCTCGTCCTCCTCGTCCAGCCAGTCAAAGGTTAACTCAGGGTCATTATCACCCCACCATCGTGAGCTGATGCCTAACACCTCCTCAATGTCACTCTGGACGTTCTTCCGCTTCCCTAATCGACGCAGTCGCTTTTCCGCCAAACGCCGCTGTTCCTCCATCCGCCCACCTTTCCAGCCCTCTTCTCGCATGGCTTCTTCTAGGAGAAGCGCGACATCCTCGCGTCCGGGAACTGTCGAATGCGCTGTGACAATGTCGAGCGCTGTGAGCTTCCGCCGAGTTAATGCGAACGGGGAAGCGCCATGTGTCAGCAGGTGCGAGACCAAAGTGGGAGGAGACATTAAGGAAGCGTAGTGCAGCGGGCTCCAGCCGGCTAAGGTTTCCCGTCAGTAACTCGGGCTATTGACATCATGAGTTACGGACCTTTGTCTGGGACGTTCACATCAGATCCCTCGGATATGAGCAGCCTCACGCACTCCTCTCGCTCGATATCACGCTCAGACTCGGATCCAAAGCCGAGGATGGAAAGGCTGATCAGGCCCAGGCCTTCTTCATCTTGCTTTCCGAGGTCCACGTACGGATGGGCGTTAGAGTCAGTGAGGAGGTGTGAGAGCAGGAGCATGTCCCCGAATTGACAGGCACGCGCCAGGCAGTGCGAGACGAGCTCGGCCTTCTGTTGAGGTGATAGGCCGACATAGGGCGAGAGGAGATGGGCGACCTGCGATGGCGTCGGATAGAGCGGCTGCAAGTCTGGCTCTACCGTCAGGTCGGCCGGGGTAATGGACGACGACGCCATTCATGCGCGGGGTATGGAACAAGCGTTCCTTAGAAAAGAAACAATGATATGAGATGCTTCTGGACGGCGTTTCTGTGAGATGCCACGGCTTACTGGCAGGAATGCACGAGGTCGCTAGAAACCATGCAGCAGCCGTGTTAGCAGGCCGGTCAATCGCCTTCGACGTTCGTTGCCTAGCAAGCGCGTTCCCACAGCGGCTAGGAGGTTGTACGATTCAACAACGGGTATCTGTCGCAATGGAATGTCCGTCTGCGACGCGAGTCGCGGGGCCGGTTTGAAGACAAACTACAGCCAGCGCCCCCGCACGCGGGCATATGGGCGCCTGTGCTGATGGTAGCCGCTGCAGCCGATCACTCGTCCAGATTTGGGCTGTGTCTGCTTGCTCTCGATCCAATCTCTCTCCAGAGGTCCTACCACGTCTTCACTGTCAAACTCTACGGACTCGCTGTGACTTGATAGAAAAATTGCTTGAGAACAAACTCCTTACGGTTCGACGAATTCTCATACAAATGGCGCCAACGATAAAACGGCGAAAACTGTCTGCCGCGGACGACGCCTCGGAGAACGAAGGCAGCATCCGTACAGACGACGAAGGCGCCTCGCCAGAGGCCTCCGGGTCGGAGGGTTCTGCCAGTGAAGCTGATTCGGCTCCTGGTTCGGATGACGAAATCCCGGAGGCAAAGTGGACGAAGTCGAAGAAGACACTCAAGCGCAAACGTCGCGCTACAGACGCGACACATTTCGGTGCAACTCTACAGTCTCTGCTGAACACGGATGCACCGTCTACGCTACCCCTCTCGCTCAAGCCGTCCATCGAGCGCAGGCGGAAGGACACCAAGCTCGACGCAAAGGGGAAAAAGGTGCTCCAGGTGGAGAAAAAGGACAAGGAAGAGAAGGGCAGGATACGAGATGTGATCGGAGGCTGGGGAGGCGAGAATGAAAGGGCTCTACGAAAGGTTGCCCAACGAGGCGGTGCGTGCTGTCCTTCATATTGGGAATATGTCTCTGATATTGCCCTGCAGTGGTCAAGCTATTCAATGTGATTCAGCAGTCACAAGCTGCATCCACTGCGGCAGCAGAAGAGGTGAAAACCCAAAGAGGTTCTGGAAAACCTACCTTGCCGGCGCCCGTAATTAGCAAGTCCAAGACCGCCAAGAAAGGCAAGCAAAAGGACAACACCATCGGACGAGGGAAAGAAAGTCAGTTTAATATCCATACCTTTACTTTCATAGCACGTCTCACTATTTTGGACACAGCATCCTTGGCACAGGACGACTTTCTCGACATCATTCGGTCTGGAGGCATCGTATCGAAGGCGTAGTTTATGTGAGACGACAAATAGTGCCCTTCCCTTGGATCGTTGGATGCCTGAGCGTTTTCCTCAACTGTGCGGATGTTTGCGCGCCGTGGTACAGTTTGTGATTTGCCACCGGCACCGGACCGTTGTGGGTCGGCGACTAAAGATGATATACCACCGAGGTCTGCTCTCGGGGCGATGCGCACAGCCTAGTACGGCGCAGATTTTACTGTCTGAATTGAAGCCGGTCGTACATAATAAACCTGTCGTAGAACCTGTACAGACATGATGTTTATGTTCGCATATGTGGGTGCCAGTGGTGCCGCGATCGATTCGGCGCTCAAAACATACGGGCCTGCCCTAAATACGCGGTGCACCATAAATTCTTGCGACCACCCTCAATGCGTTTCCCCATGGTCGGTGTCCCTCGTCCGTTCTTTTTTTGAGTGACATGCTAATTCACGTTGTAGCCTGCCGGTAAGCAGAAGATCATCCAGGAAGAATGGGAACGGAGGCTGCACGAGGTGCAGGTTAGCAAATAGTGAGCACACTCTCCTCATTTGCGGCGAAGGGTGCGAGATGAACGAACAAATGGGAATCTCTCTGACTACCATAACAACATGGAGATTGAAAAGTTTAACATTGCATGTATTATCTGATACCCTTCGCCACATTCCATGCTGCATCGTGGACTAGATAACTGACGTTCTGTCTGGAACAGTGACTTGAATCGCCTTGTCATGGACTACCTCGTGATTGAGGGATACAAGACTGCGGCGGAGGAGTTCAGCCGAGAGGCCGGAATGGAATCACCTGTGGACTTTGAGAGCATCGAAAGCAGGATGAACATCCGGGAAGCGCTGCAGCGTGGAGACGTCAGCGATGCGATTACACGTGTAAATGACCTGAATCCCGAGGTGTGTAACATTCCTTGCCTTCGGTTTGCATTTTCTTCCGTGCACACTGCCCCAAAGGATTAAACTCTTCATGCACCACACTTAGACCCTCACGGGTCGGTGATGAGAAACAAACACCAAACTTCAGTCTTCAATATGATTCATTCATGCCTCTGCTTTTTAATCTCGCGTCAATCATGCAGAGAAGCTCACTGTCATATCTTGCCAGATACTCGACACGAATCCAGCGCTCTATTTCCGACTTCAACAGCAGAAGCTCATTGAGTTTATCCGACAAGGTAACATTCCTGAGGCGCTCCGCTTTGCTCAGGAAGAATTAGCTCCGAGAGGGGAAGAAAGTCCGGAGTTCTTGGCCGAGCTTGAAAGAACGATGGCGCTTTTGGCCTTCGAATTTTCTCCGTTGACGCCCCCGGCTATCAGCGAACTTCTTTCTCCGGTACAGCGGATGAAGACCGCAGGGGAAGTGAACTCGGCCATCCTCGAGAGCTTGAGTCAGGGCAAGGAGGCGAAGCTAGTTGGATTGCTCAAGCTTCGGCAGTGGGGGGAGAACCTTCTTGGTGAGCGTGCCGAGTTTCCCAAGGTGCGGGGTCCGCCATGTGGCTTGGAATGCTCTATTTCAACTGCGCGTCCGTTCGCAGCTCGATCTCGGTACAGGGACCTTTACCGATGGGGGAAAGTAGGGGAGGCACGCGACCCTGCGCGCTGTTCATGGGCTTCGTGTATATCTATGTTCCAGGGAATTTCTCCTCCGCAGGGAGTGTATTAGTATGTAATAGCTGTTTGAGAGTTCTAGCATGCCATTTCAATGTTCCATACGTGCGCCCGCGTGAACTATGGAATCATATCTAGCAGCCATGATCCGCTGGAATGGAGGCGCATGACCAGAGCGTGTATGGGCGCGCGGTCCCCTTGGCTATAGTTGCCCCGGCGCGAGGATTACCATGTAAACAGATGAGGGCTGCGGCGTATGATTGTGAGATGGGACGCTAGGCTTGCCTTGCGGCGCTGATTGGGCGATATGAAAAGAGCGCGGTTCGCGGGTGTGTTCGAAAGAGAAGAGGATAGGCGGACGATAAGGGGCGGAGGAGTGCGCATGGGCAGCAGCGGGATGGCTACTGAGCCCGAAGACGGAACCGTCGACGCGGCTGCCGGCGTCTAGTGAGATGCATCTGAACTGAGGCGGACACTCGCCTACCCCGTGCTTAGTCAGCAGCGCTGTGGTCTAGTGCCTGGCAGTGGCCCGCAACGCCTTCTTGGTCGCCTTCGTCGTTCAGCTCGACGACGCCGTCGCGTCTTGGTCCTCTCCTCCACCCCCACACACACCCGGGTACCCGCGCCCAGTTGACGTCGGCTGGTCTTGGTCAACGCCCTCCCTCTTTCCCTGTACACCACCTGTTCCCCAGTCGCGTCCCGCCTTTCTGTCTTGTCCGTCTCCATCTCAATCACCATGTCCGATGACACCAGATCGAGCGCAACAAAGCAGCCACGCAAGACCCGCCCTCGTATTCTTGTCGTCAACAACCCCAGCCCGGACTCTGGCCCAAGCAGCGACGACGAGAGGGCAGAGCAATCGCAGGTGCAGCCTACGCCCTTCAACTTCCGTTCACGCCCTCTGCCAAGCCCCCGTCCTACTCCCGTTGACAAACAACAGGGCCCCTCTGCACCGCATCTGCCCCCGCCGCTCACTACAAATATCCCAGATCAAAGGCACTGTTATTCATCCTCGCGCTCGAATCCTTCGAATCCCACTCTTTCATCTCCGTCAAGCGTCAGTTCACCTGCATTTGAGTCGACTCCTCCCCCAAGTACGCCAGGGCTAAGTGCCCCAACTGACGACCTATCCGGAGAAGGCACGATCAGGCAGGACACAGTAGTCTTGTCCCCGCCCGACCGCAGTGATGCCGCACCGAGCTCGGCTTCCCGCTCGGCTAAGATGTTGGCCAACATCATCCCGAGATTAGGTGGCCATGGACGCCGATCCTCCAACGATAGACGGCCACCCAGCGTACGTACTCCACTTATTGCCTGTGAGGTTTGTTGCCTGACAACACATGATAGTCACCGACCACCACACCCGACACCTACACTCCTGCTAACCCTGTCTACAACTCAGACCTTGCCAAGGTCACGTTACTGGTTACTTCGGACGCGGATAGCTTCTCCACGGTGGACATTACCGGTGCTTTGACATCGGCGTTCATACGTGAGCGCATTTTCTCCAAGGTAATGTCGTAATGGCATCTACCTTGTGTTCTATGAGAGGCTCAACAAATCGCAACGCTTATAGCTACGAATAAGCGACGACGATCAGTCTTACTACTCAATTTATCTTACAGAGATTGGGAAGTACGCAATAGGGGACGCACTTACGGACGAGCAGCTTTTCGATTTGTACCGTCGTCAAGGGGATGATAGAGGCAGTCTGAAACTACTTGTCTCATCATCATCTGCGTCCGTTCATGAACCAATCCCTGACCGGCCCATTGGTTCGCCTACTGTCAACAGTATCCCACCACCTGTTCTGCCGCAGCATGGTCTCGTCGCACCTCTGCGACCTGTCCGTCGTAGGTCGTCGCGTTCACCGCGTTCTCGCTCAAGGGCCACCAGCCACTCATCTGCTAGCGAGCGCCTTCCGCAGGAAGGGGGCACTGGGTATGAAGCGTCCGTTTCCGACGATCTCGACCATGTCGATCGTTCGACCATGCGACCGCTCCCGCCTCACATTCCAACTTCATCACAGCGCGCTCCTTCGCCTGTCACACGTCGGCCACGATCGCCACCCGCTGTGGTGTCCCCTGAAAACATGACCGCACAAGGATCATCAGGTTCTCCGACCATGAGGCCGGATGCACAACGCGCGGCTATAGCGCCCATGTCTAGTTCCCCTCAAAAGGGTCAATACGCTGAGCACCCTTCACGCTGGAATTCGCCCTCAACAATCAGTTCTGATGGCACTATTGGTGACCGTTTCACTCCCGTTTCCGAGTCTCGAGTCGACTCTCCCGAGAGGTCCAGACGAACACCCTATGAGGAGGGAGGGAGGTCGGAGCAGTCTCCCTGGAGACGAAAACCACCAGTGCGCAAGGATTCTGGATCCCGGCGGGGCAAGAATCACGAGGGTTCCGATGGATGGACGTTCGTGCAGTCGGATATCCCTTCAAGCGAGTACAAGACTAAGCGCGACCGTCCCATAACGCCTCAAGACGCGCGATCGCCCACGCGTTATCCTCCGCAGACGAAGTTTGTGCCTCTTCTGTCCCACCCTCCGCGTGCTCCGACGTCGGGCGGTTCGGGTGATTCCCGACATTCCAAGCGGCAGGCGGGTCAAGCTGTGCCGTTCAATTGGGCGGTTTCGTACAAGGAGCCCGGGAAGATCGAACAGAAGTCGCCGCCGGGCCCGTCTATCCGTATGTTCCCTACGAAAAGCTTCAATGACTTGCGAAGCACGTATAAGACGCATCAGCCACATCCACCGGCCCTTACTCCTGGCCGTACACAGCAGCGTGTCATGCAGCCTCCTTTACCTGTCTCTAATCGGCCGTCAACTGGTAGCAGTGCTACGTCTAGTTCAGCAATTTCGCACACTGCATCTTCTACCAGCGACGTCTCCGCCACGTCTGTTGATCCTAGAACCGAAGGTGGCATTGCTAGATCCTATGAGCCGCAGCGGTCTATTGTTTCACCTGCTGCATATACGGCTCGGCCCGGCGCAACGACGGGTTACATCTCAGGGAATCTTGCCGGCACAGGCCTTCTTGGTCTGTCCTCACCACCTGGTACAGAGCCGATTCCGAGACCACGGTCCGCTGTCGACGACAGAGCCACTCCTGAGTTGCGTCCACGGCTCTATCAACCTCCTCGTGGCTCTGAACACACGCAAGACGTCGGATCTTCCCGTCCTTTGCATTCGCCTCCACACTTCCCTGTCAGCGGTAGTATCGCGTCACAAGGGAGCCTTATTCGTGAGGATGCGGTGCACATATCACGGCCACCGCTCCACATCGAACATATGGATACCCCCATTTCGTCCAGCCCGTCGAACCTGCTTAGACGTGGCCCTCGATCTCCACCGCGAAGTCCCATCGCTTCGGTCCCGTCTCAGTATCCTCCTCGAGATCAGGACGCGAGGCCAGACGGCTCGCCATGGACTTCTACTCGTATTCCTCCTCCGCCACCGTTGCCGCCCGTCGAGCATACTGTAATGGAAGATCCAGGCCCGTCGGAACCGACTCTGAGAAGGGATGAGCGTGCGTTCTTCACGCGTGTGATTGACGAGAACGCGATAGAAGGCACCATGATGCCCAAAGCGCCTGCGTCTAGGGCATACTTGCCCACTCCGCTTTCGAGCATGCCTTCTGCGAGCTCGGCTTCGGCGACCCTCATCGGCACTGCAGTTCCTGACCTGGACGACGAATCTGAGAGCGACAACGACTTGTGGGCGATTCCGCCGGACGCAATCAAGTCTAAGAATAGTCGCCCCCCTCTTACCCTGAGCATCGACGGTCCTCCGTCTTCGGAAACTGTGTCACAGGCAAACGGCAGACATGACATGTCGAAGACACCACCTGTAAGCTTCCCAGCGCCACCCAACTACATCCCAGAACCACCATCTGTTCGCGGACAGAAGCGTCCTCATGTAGCTTCTGGGGCCTCGCAGAGGGGCCAGGATGTGCGCACAAGTAGGTTCCAGGACGGGCTTGATTTCACCTGGGCACCGCGCCCGCCGCCCGAGGATGTGTACGATCGACTGGAGGAGTACTTCCCCGAACACGACCTCGATAGGCCCGTCATTGACGTGTCGTCGGGTGGATCATCTCCAACGTCTGCTGAGAACCCGGCGGTCGTGTCGCACAAGTACAGGCACAAGCGGTCGATCCGGCATGTGGCTGAAGAGCACAAGAAGACGGCTTCGCGCATGGAGTTCCAAGCTCCACTGAGGAAGAGGAACACCAAGTTGTGGGGCAGCAAGTTGGAAGAGGTCACGACGCAACAGGCGAGGGCTGAGTTGTCGTCAGTTACTCAGGACTCCTCTCCTGGGGGCGCAGCCAAACGTAGGTGTCCTTGTATTATTTACATGTCAAGTACTGATGCGACTATGTCTATAATAGCGATCTTCCGATGGGTCCGTGGAGAGCTGATCGGCAAAGGTACTTATGGCAAAGTCTACCTCGCCCTCAATGCGACCACGGGCGAGATGATTGCCGTCAAACAAGTGGAGATGCCCCGTACTGCCAGCGACAAGAGCGACACGCGGCAGGTCACTGTGGTTGAAGCCCTCAAACTAGAGAGCGAGACGCTCAAGGACCTGGATCACCCCAACATTGTACAATACCTTGGTTTCGAGGAGACTCCTACATTCCTTAGCATGTGAGTACCACCGCTTCGCTCCCTTATATGCGATCACGATTGCTGATTGTTGTAACAGTTTCTTGGAATATGTTCCTGGTGGTTCCATCGCGAGCTGTTTGCGCAAGCACGGCAAGTTCGACGACGAGGTATCGAAATCCTTTACAGGACAAATTCTGGACGGTCTGGAATATCTCCATAAGAGAGGTATCCTTCATCGGGTTCGTAAACATCAGAATTGGACATTGGCACGCATTGACCCTCATGATCTACAGGACCTCAAAGCAGACAATATTTTGGTGGAAACATCTGGCGTCTGCAAAATATCCGACTTCGGTATTTCTAAGCGGACGGACGACATCAATATGGCTGAGGCATACACGTCGATGCAAGGCACCGTGTTCTGGATGGCTCCCGAGGTCATCAATTCACAGCAGAGAGGGTACAACTCCAAGATCGACATTTGGAGTGTCGGCTGTGTCGTCTACGAGATGTGGACGGGTCAGCGACCATGGAGCGGGCAGGAAGCAATGGCTGTTCTGCTCCACGTAAGTAGCCGCGACCTCATCCGGTTTCGACGCTCACGTTCTGTCTCTCTTAGTTGTATCAAACGAAACAAGGTCCACCTTTACCTTCAGATGTACAGCTGTCGTCCCTTGCCGACGATTTCCGACAGAGATGTTTTGCGATGTGCGTACACAAGTTCTATGAATCTTTTGACTTGCTCATCGCATCTTAGGGATCCTGACGAGCGGCCAACCGCCGCTGTACTACGCCTACATCCGTATCTCGAGCTCCAGCCGGGCTGGACTTTCACTGGTTTCAAATGATCGGAGCGATGGACATGGACACTCACACCTTGTTATTTTCAGAGCATCTCTCTTCCTATCTTTCTCTGTCCTTCTCTTGAACACCACCTTGTTGACATCACCAATTACATCTGTCTTTCCTACACACCAGCATGCTTTATACTATCTTGCACATGTCAGATTATCCTCCATCGCCGAATCTCGTCCACTTCGCATTACACAGTCTGTAGCACACGTTATCTTAATACCAACATCGACATCTACCTTTCTTGTGATCAATGCCTGCAGGCTTTAAGTTTACAGCGTTATTGCTCCGATACTGCCGGCCTACGCCCTCGACCATTGGGCTTCGATGTTTGATATTCCCACAGGAAGAGTCGCCTTATATGTATCGCAAAGTCAGTACGCCGTCCCTTCCGGAAGAATTAACAAACCTTTTCGTCGTAATCCACCCACTCGCCTTCCTCGAGGTCAACATCGTCGAACTTGGACCCGGATTCCACACCAATACACTTCCAGACACCCTAAAGATGAAATGCTTACATAAGACTTGATAGTGAAGCATTTAAGTATGACTTACCCTAGGATCGAATCCAACGAATTCGAGGCCACGGCAGTCAATTGTCAGGAAGGGAGCGAATTGACCATTCGCATCGGCTGAATATGACTGTGTCGTAGAACCGGGCTCGAATTTGGCGGAGGACTCGCGCTTGCACAATCCGCAGCGCCAGACAAAGTGTGCAGTGCTACCTTTCCCGGATGAGGTTTCGCGTTCTTCCTGATGCATATAGATTGTCATGCGTGTGCCGCATTGAACATTGAAGAGGTTCTCTGCTCACGAGACGGTTCACAGCGACAAGCTTGGGGTGCACTTCGTTGCAGCTAGTGCATTTGACCTGATAGCAGATAAAATCATGTTGACAGACTCACAGAGATGAACAGAAGCAAACCTGAAAGAAATACTCGAACGACTCTGAAGCAGGTACAAGATCTGACACATTTTCGAGATCGGCTTTGATAGAGAGTAGCAGGCGCTTCTCAGATATCGGTCAAGGTCGTGTATCCTTTACTTGAGCAACTCACAACCATCTTGACTAGCAGAGACGATGACTATTAGACGTAGGTGAACGTGGCAGAAGAAGTGGCGGTCACCGCGATTCCAGAGCCAAGTGTGATCGAGATCTGGGATCTAGCAGCCATCAATTCCAGATGGTATTTGCGCGTTGTTTGTCCTTCTACCTACATTTGGTCCGTACACTTGTCTGTCCGAGTCCGTCACCAGTCTCAGACGGCTGCTCCTCTGCCTCTCCCTCACAGCTACTCTATGCGCGGCGCAATGAGCATGTTCGCGCTACCTCGAGCATGCAGGGCGGGCAGCTCCTCCATTCTCCGCGCCGGCCAGTTTCACTCCTCGGCCAGCATGCGGATGCCCCGCAAAGTTAGTTCGTCGAGAAACGAGAAGCAAATCATGGGCATGGCACCAATTTCGGACGACGTCATCGAAAAGGAAGCAGACGATGACACCACTTCGGCAGGGCATCTCATGCTCCAGCAACAGCGGCAGGTGCTGTACTACCTCCGTCTTATTGAGCACGAAATGCCCAAGCTGGTTGGTGAGTGCACTCAGCCACGATTTACGATATCACGTTGTGCATAGACCCTGAGATACGCTTCCCATGACTGATATCAGCCTACCGCAAGCCATTCGTCCCCCCAAACTCATCGCAGCCATTGGTAGTCCAGACGATTTCGTACGGAGGAGAGGAGCACCCCGTGGAGGTCAAGAGGACAATAGTGGTTCCAGTTGCTCGTCTACCGCTGAAGGATGAACCCGCGAAACACAAATTCAAACTGCTCGCAGGGACTCGCTGGACCCCAGATCCACCACCCAATTCTGGCATTGGTAAAGACGAGTCTGGGGGAGAGCATGGCTATTTCAAGATCGCATGCGAGGATTTCCCAAAGCCAGCCATGAACTTGAAGTGGGCTAGTGATGCGCTGGACGGTTTGTTGGCTGAGGCGAATGTACGTCATCTTCAGGTCATCCCGTAGCGGTCAGTTGTATTGACTAGTACATCCAGAATTCTCAAGACAATTTTGAGGACATACCTCTTGATACCCGACATATCGAGGCAAAAGTACGAAAAGCGAAAAAGGGAGACCATGTGTATGCTCGCAGAGGTATCCGACCGACGTTGAAGGATTTCCCTCAGGAGTGGTTGCCCACTCCGAAGGCAGCACCCGGTGTCGCATCTCCTTTATCACAGTAGATTAACGCTCTTGACTACCTAATGAGCAACCTTACTGGATGATAGTTGCCAATTGTAAGATACGTGCACCCTGCTAACGGTCAGAAGTAGACGTCTCCCTTCTGCTTCAGCGATCCTTGTGTGAAGGAAGCAATGAGGGTGGGACCTTCTGTTTCTTCTGGCATCGCGGCTCTCTTATCATCCCAGCAGTCTCCACTACTATCCCAACCAGAAGGGACGTGGAGGTGAGACACATCGTCATGTACGAGATCCTCAGAAGATGAAAGCCTGCTGCAGTCAGTACATACTGTCACCAAGAACGTGAATTGAATTTGAGGACCCAAATCAAGACATAACAACGCTGTTACATCACGTACTGCGTAGAACAGTGTTCGATAAGCGCAGTGCGGCCTGGAATGCCGCGCAGAGAAGGCGTGTAACCGCGGCCTGTGCAGAGAAAGCACAGCCGGATGCTGCCATTTGAGCGATCAATCTATGTCTGCCCTCGACGACGAGCCGGAATTATATGTCCAGCCTGTACAGTGGGTAAGCTTCTCCCATTCGCAGCCGAATAGAATAGACAGTAATAGAAGGCTGGGTCAGACCTTACTATTGCCTAAACCTCGCTTAGACGCCACGCGGTCAATCAGTAGCAAACAACACCCGTGTTCGCGACCACAGGCAATTCTTCCTCCCCTTCCATCCCTTGCCGCCTTGAAGGTGAGATAGCTCTTCCCCGTATACATTCTTCAACCCTTTCTTACCCTGCTCAAGATGACGGACTCATACGCTTCCACTGGCAACGGCGATGCTTCCCTCCTCACGCCCAACGGGTCCAGCAAGATGAATGGTTCCAGCCCGTCATTGCCGACCACGTCCAATGAGGCCGGCGGTGCCTCCATCATCCGCAAAAAGCTCATGGGCTTCGTTGGCTTTGCAAATCTTCCCAACCAGGTGCACAGAAAGAGCGTGCGGAAGGGATTCCAGTTCACTACCATGGTCGTCGGTAGGTATTGCGTAGACAGCACACGCTACTGCTCTCACTTCGCCTGCAGGGGAGTCCGGTCTCGGCAAGTCGACGCTCATCAACACACTCTTCAATACTACGCTGTACCCTCCTAAGGAGACTCTCCCACCCAGCGCGGAGAGGCCCTCGACTGTCGCTATCGAGAGCATAAGCGCTGGTGAGCTATCTTATTGCAGTGCACATAAGTCACTCTCTCTGAATCCCGTTCGCTCCCTTTCCACAGATATTGAAGAGAGCGGTGTTCGTCTTCGCCTGACGGTCGTCGATACACCCGGTTTCGGCGATTTCGTTAACAACGACGAGAGGTAGCGTATTCGTAGCGCAGTGCTTTTGTCACGTGGCTTACCGCAGTATGCACCAGCTGGAAGCCCATCGTTGAGAACATTGAGGCGCGGTTCGACTCGTATCTAGAACAGGAGAACCGGGTCAACCGCCAGAAAATCATGGACAACCGTATTCATGCCTGCTTGTATTTTATTCAACCAACCGGTCATTCGTGAGTCCCTACAGTACCGACGATTGATCACAATTAACAGCTTCGCGTGGCATTGCGTCAGATTGAAGCCTATTGACGTCGAATGCATGAGGCAACTTCACACTAAAGTCAACCTCATTCCCATTATCGCGAAGGCAGATACCTTGACTGACGAGGAAGTGGTAGAGTTCAAGGCGCGGGTATGTTTATTGAGTGCAACTGGTAACATTCTTCACAGTTCTCAAATGCAGATGACTAGATCCTCGCCGACATTGCTTATCACAACATCCACATTTTCCAAGCGCCCGTCTACGAGAATGAGGATGACGAAGCCATCGCGGAAGCTGAGGAGATAGCTAGCAAGATCCCCTTCGCAGTCGTCGGTTCCGACCAAGAGGTGACGACACCTGACGGACGCAAGGTCCGCGGCCGTGCGTATCCATGGGGTGTCGTTGAAGTTGACAACGAAGATCATTGCGACTTCGTGAAACTCCGACAAATGCTCGTCCGCACATACATGGAGGAGCTCCGGGAGTACACCAACGATGTGCTGTACGAGAACTGGCGAACAGAGAAGCTCATCAGCATGGGTGTCATCCAAGATTCCAGTGTGTTCAAGGAGATCAAGTACGTAATGCTGCTTATTATTAAGAAGCGCTGCCTAACATGAGTACTTTCAGCCCTGCCATCAGGATACAAGAGGAGCGTATCATGCACGAGGCGAAGCTCGCGAAGATGGAGGCGGAGATGAAGATGGTGTTCCAGCAGAAAGTGCAAGAAAAGGAGGCGAAGCTCAAGCAATCAGAAGAAGAGCTGTACGCCAGACACCGGGAGATGAAGGAAGCTCTAGAGAAACAACGGCTGGATCTCGAGGACAAGAAGCGTCGTATCGAGGCTGGCCGTCCGTTGACTCCCGAGAAGATACCTGTAAGGAGGACGTGGAACAGAACAAGATGATCTTGACTGACATTGTGCATGAACAGACTGGCAGGAAGAAGGGCTTTCTCCGTACTTAGGACCTAGTTCGTCGCTCTTTTCTCCTGGATACCATCGTCGTCATTGTTACCTCCACTTGACTTATCTGAAGCTGACCTCTGCTGGTGACGTCGCTGTTCGTGTCGTTTATCGTATTATTTGCGCTTTTCGAATGTTTCGGTTTTAATGTCCGTAGTGTCTCAAGAACACTCAGTCGCTCCTTACTCGGATACCAGGTTTCATGTCCGGTCGTTTCTCACCGTAGTAACATGATCGTTCAGCTCTATGCGATATATCCTGTCTTGTGTCGGGCTGTTGTAGTGCGTGCGTGGTCGTTATTCCATACCCTTGACCATCGCTCTACGACACGTGCCGCCGGTACATTTGCAATCATATCGCGTGCCCAAAGGGGCAAGTCATTGCATTTTGTTCGCCGCTTTCACTCAGACCGCGATGGCTGCTGTTCAAGCCGTGCTCTCTGCCCTTGATGTCTTCAGCCGAGCTCCAGATAAGGCTGCTCTCGACCAAGCCAACACCTGGCTTCAAGATTTCCAGCATTCCGTAAATACCTCTCGCCTCTCCTACGGCCTTGGGCGCGACGTCTGACCTCCCTCCGCGGCTCCTTCAGCGCGATGCATGGTCGACTTGCAACGTTTTGCTGCTCTCTCCGGATGCGCCAGCAGCTGCCAAACTCTTTGCAGCACAGACATTCCGAACAAAAGTACGTGGATGTCCTCAGGGTCATCTCCCTGGTATCAATGACGTCCGATTGTCCGCAGGTAACCTATGATCTCCATGAAATGGACCCGGCGGACATTTTTCGCCTCCGCGACACTCTTGTCACGGCACTCCAAACCTTTCATACTGGTCCGCGGACGATCATGGTGCAACTATGCTTGGCACTTTCTGGGCTTGCGTTGCAGCTGCCGGCATGGGAAGACCCTGTGCAAAACATGATCGACACCTTTGGGCGGGCTCCTGCTTCAGTCCCAGCCCTGCTTCAGTTTCTTACAGTTCTCCCGGAGGAACTCTACACGAACACTAAGATACCTGTGACGGTGAGTATCCAAATTATCTCGCGTACGCTGACCGAAGCTCATGTATGCACTCAGGATGATGAGTACAAAGAAAGGGCCAACAAATTGTTGACCGCGAACGCTTCGAAAGTGGTGGAGCTATTGTCGATGTATCTCCAGGCGACGGGTATGCAGAATCACTCAGTGGCAGCCCATGAGTCTGACAATGTTGCTCATTCCGGCTTCAGGTGTCACGCCTGCCATTCAGGTGCAGGTCTTCAACTGCCTCAGCAGCTGGTTGATTGCTGGCGAGATCCAGGCCATGTCGCTAGTGAATTCGCCCTTGCTGCCCTTCTCGTTCAACGCACTGGAGTCGGATGAGTTATTTGATGTAGCGGTCACGGCGATATGCAACCTCATTCATGAGACACAAGAGGTCGAGGATAGCATGCCCGTGATTGAGCTAATCGTGCCGAGGGTCATTGCGATGAGGCCAAAATTGGCTGAGCATGCTTCCGATCCTGACCAGATTCGAGGATATGCTCGCATCTTTGCGGAAGCAGGGGAGACATACCGCGGCCTCATTCTCAACCACCCGGAGACCTTTTTCCCGATCGTCGAAGCCATCGGAGAGTGCGCAGCCTATCCTGACCTCGACATTGTCCCAATCACGTTTCACTTCTGGATGCGCCTTGCGCAGGCTCTCGGGAAGAAGCCGTCGGTCCCTCCACCTTTCCTGGATGCATACAAGTCACTTGTAGGCATCATCATCTCGCATCTACACTTTCCAGAGGATAGTGGCTCGTTGACGGGCCAGGAGGCGGAGAACTTCCGTTCTTTCAGACATGTGATGGGTGACACACTAAAAGATTGCTGCTACGTCCTTGGATCCGATCTATGCCTGCTCGCCGCATACGACATGATCACTGCGGCTCTGTCGCAAGGCCCATCCATGTCATGGCAGAAAATTGAAGCGCCTCTGTTCGCCATGCGCTCTATGGGCGCAGAGGTTGACCCGCTGGACGACAGAGCAGTCCCAAAAATCATGGACTTGATACCATCCCTACCCTCGCACCCCAGAGTGCGATATGCCGCCCTTCTCATCATCTCTCGTTACACGGAATGGATCAACAGACACCCGAGTTACATACCCTTCCAGCTGCAGTACATTTCTGGTGGTTTTGAGGATGCCGACACGGAGGTCAATGCCGCAGCCGGTCAGGCCCTCAAATACTTGTGCCAGGACTGCAAACGAGTAAATGCTCTCCCTTGTGGCCGGAGATGATAGCTAACGACGTTCACAGCACTTGGTAGATTTCCTGCCCCAGCTGCACACGTTTTTGGGCTCGATGGGCTCGAAATTGGCACAGGATGACAAGATCCAGGTCTATGAAGCTATCGCGCACGTTATTTCCGCCATGCCCATGGAACAGGCGGCCCAATCTCTGCGTACCTTCTCTCTGGATATCCTAGCTCAAGTGCATGCGCTTGCGATCAAGCCAACCGTAGCGACCAAAGAAGAGTTGCTCAACATTACCCGTAAGCAACATGTTTATAGCTGTTTTCTTGGGTGCTGACATGGCGTTGCTTAGACGGGCTGGAAAACCTGGAAGTGATGCTGGGTGTCATCGAGAGTTTTGGCGAGGAACTACCCGCCGCCTGCCGGAATAGTGCCCAAGAAGCGTGGACGTTTTTCGACCCTTTCATCGCGAAGTACGGATTGGACTACCAGATCTGTGAACGCATGACCCGTGTCCTGAGGCTTGGTCTTGGCTTCTTCGGATCCACTGTCCGACCGATACTTCCGGCGGTGCTGACAAGGATGTCGACTGCTTTCGAAGCCACTGGTTTCTCCAGTTATCTCTGGATCATTGGCAAGATTGTAGGCCGGTTCGGGAATGACAACGATCCCACGCTGCGTGTTGCCTTTAAGAATACCTACGAGAGGACATCGAATAAGCTTGTTCAACTTCTTCAGGAAAAGGCACCTGCGAGCATACCAGACGGTGAGCTTCTCGTGGCGCACTGGAGTCTAGCTCACTAATAACTGTCATTCTTGCAGTGATCGAAGACTATCTGCAAATGCTTTTGCAGATGGTTGAATACACACCTGATGTCTTTTTCCCCTCCCCGGCATTCCCTATTGCCTTCCGAGCCGCGATGTTAGCGCTTACCGTTGTGCACACTGACATTATATTTGCAGCTCTGGATCTAATTCGCAACGTGATCACACATGAATGTCTATCTCCGCCGTCGACCGCACCTCCTCCCCCCAAATTCCCCTTGTACGCCGCGGCGATCCGACCGGTTATACAGAAGGAGGGGCTAGAATTGACCGGGTACTTGCTAACCGGGCTGGTAGGCGACTTCCCTGAGGAGTCGCCTCCTGTTGTGGTGACTATCTTCCGCGTGCTCGCCGCGCTCTGGCCGACGGAGCTGCTGTCGTGGCTGTCCGCAGTCCTGCAACAAGTTCCGTCGACCGCTGTCCCCGACCAGACTAAGGTGCAATTCATTGCAGACATGGATGGGTGCGTCATGGACTCGAACGCGTGGGGATGTTCACGCGGTCTGACGAACGTTTACAGCGCGGTACAGTCAGCGGAGTACGATCGGGTGAAGCGTGCGATCCTGTCGCTTCATCGGGCCTCGCGCAAAGCGCGTGACAGACGGAGAGTTGCGGCGTTGGATATGTGAGGACGACGAAAGAATATGTTGTAGCAGCTCGAATTGTTGTCGATGTTTTACGGTTCATGGGGCTACCCACATGTGTATCTGTACGATGTATAATGTTGCGATTGCGAAGCCGATGGGAAGTGATTTGCGGTGGTAAAGCGGGGGCCGTGAGTGTGCCTCGGGTAGCCGCAGAGGATGGGTCGTGGCATGCCATAAACGGCGCGCGACGCCGTGCCACCGCCATCTTCTGCCAGCGCACCCCGGAGCGCTCTAACAGCGCCATTATAGACCCTCCTCCGCGCGTCGAGCTTACTACCTTCCCCTCCGCACCCTGCTCCTATGATCCCCCGTGCCACAAAGTCTCTCGCGTCGGCCGGTGCTTGTCTCCCCCGCATTCCCCGTAGTTATCTGGACTGACCCTCCGACTGTATGCTTAGCCGGACGCCGGTCTTTCTCGCAATCCGCGTCCCGACGCAATTATGACGCGACGATACAGAACCTCCTCATCCACAAAGATACCAAGGTCCTCTGTCAGGGCTTCACCGGAAAGACAGTCAGTCCCCCCGTCGCGTTCACCCGGCATTTGCTAGACCGTTTGGATTAGGGCACTTTCCATGTCAAGGAGGCTCTCGCATATGGCACGAAAATGGTAGGTGGTGTGTCCCCCAGCAAAGCTGGCCAGACGCATCTGGGCCTTCCGGTGTTTGGTACCGTGAAAGAGGTGCGTATGCAGTCCCTTATTCTTCCTGCCGTTCTTTGTAACGCGTTCCGCAGGCCGTTCGCGACACGCAGCCCGATGCCACTGTCCTCTACGTGCCACCACCATTCGCTGGAGACGCGATCATCGAGGCCATTGAGAATGAAATCGGCCTCATTGTCTGCATCACAGAGGGCATCCCTCAGGCCGACGAGATCAGGGTGCGCCGACATCCTGCCTCAGGTTTATCACATGCTGACGCGCCTCACAGGTTGCACAAGCACTCAAGAGCCAGTCGAAATCGCGTCTTGTTGGGCCCAACTGCCCTGGTATCATCAACCCTGAGGGTTGCAAGATGGGTATCCAACCAGGACACATCCACAAACCGGGTAACATCGGTAAGTTAGGCCCGTAGTGGTTCGGACGATTGCCGACTGACGATCGTCCAGGTATCGTCTCTCGGTCCGGCACCCTGACATACGAGGCTGTCGCACAAACAACGGGCGTTGGCCTCGGTCAGTCGCTTTGCATTGGTATCGGTGGCGACCCATTCCCGGGCACAAAGCACATCGACTGCATCAAGCTCTTCCTGGATGACCCCAGGACGGAAGGTGGGATAATTCTGTATGGTTTACAACAGCGCGTTAACGCGCTTGATCGCAGGTATTGTTATCATCGGTGAGATTGGTGGCTCGATGGAGGAGGATGCCGCGGAGTACTTGGAGCAGTACAACAAGACGCGCAGCAAGCCCAAGCCTGTGGTCGGCTTCATCGCTGGACGCACAGCTCCTCCGGGCCGGCGCATGGGACACGCCGGTGCCATTATCTCCGGCGGCAAGGGTGAGCAGCAATGAACTGTTATGTCTTCGATGCGCATAACTCATGGTCGGATGCCAGGCGCCGCCTCGGATAAGGTCGCCGCGCTCGAGAAGGCCGGTGTCATCGTCACGAACAGCCCAGCATTGATCGGCGCGGAGATGCTGAAGGTACGTGACCGCGTTTATTCCGTCATAGCAGCTTCTTGATGTGCTTCCTAGGCCATGAAAGCCGCGGGCTTTTGAGTGTCGAGGCTGAGTCTCGACCTCCGAGAGACATCAGGCGGTTCAGTGAATGCTGTATAGGGTCATCTTAGTTACGTAATTAGAGTGCATCAATACTATTATTCGGGACTCCCTTGCCTCTCTCATTTACGCTCTCCGGAATGTCTGCGTACGATCCATCACCAGCTTTCCACCATGCAGCGAAATATCTATCCAATGCTCCAGCCCTGACGCCAGTCTCGAACGCGATCAAGTTAGAGGTCCTCATCATGTCCTGTTAGTGCAGCCAGAATCTCTGACGGCCTTGTCCGCTGGGCATCCCGTCCACAACAGCTCTACGGACTCTTCAAGTTTCTGACTGTTTCGCACTCTCCAAACACCTCTCGTCCCTCGATCTTCGACTTCACTGGGAGAGCGAAGTGGGATGCATGGAACGCAGCAGGGCAAAAATACGGCGACCGCGGCGTCGACGCAGAATGCCGCTATCTGGATATAGCATCAGGGCTGGGATGGGCGGAGGACATGTCACTCGAAGATTTCGAAGACCAGGAAGACGACGATGACGATATATGGGACAAACCCTCTGATGCCTCCAATACACTCAAGAGCGGCGAGGACGGAATTGGCAACGTCGTGAGCACCATGATGCACGACGAAGACGATGGAAGCAAAAGCCGGATAATCAACCTCGTGGTGGACGGGGATGTACAAGGGGTCGTCTCATATCTCGACGGGCATCCGGACATGGACGTCAACGAAGTCGACGAAAATGTGAGCAGTCCGAGCAGTCCGGGCGACTGAACTCGATCGTCGGATTGACTATCACGCAGGGATACACCCCGCTGCACCTAGCGTGCGACAGGGGGAACGCGGAGATGGTAAAGCTCCTGCTCAGCCGAGGAGCGGACATGAACATGAAGGTACGGGGCTTGCAAACATGGTCTCCGTCTTTCTCATACGGCGTGCAGGACGCCGACGAACTGACCGCACTAGAATTGGCGGAGATCTCTGGTCACGACGATATTGTTACAGTCCTGAAGTCCACGAAGATTAAGCCGGACTGAACAGGCGGTAGCGAGAGGACACAATACGATGGCGCTCCTGAGCCTGTATCTGTAGCATAGATATTCCGCCGTAACATACAATCCCTTCTGACAACCTAGAAGCGCTTCTAGATGAAGTCAATATCGGGGGTGCGCTCTCTCGCGGGCTTCACCTCGCTTGGCTGTGATGGGCCTTCGAGCGAAAGTGATGATTCCGCCTTACTTGAAGGAATTGGTGTGGCGATCCTGGACTAATGCACGGTGTCACTCCGAACTGCCGCTGCAAAGCACGAAGCACACTCACCAGTGCCAGCAGTCTCTCCACCGTCTTCGAGGGCAGGGCACCCACCCCGAGCCAGTATCGTATCCGGTTGACGCTCCATTCGACCGTCTTCGTCGTCTCCCCGGGTGTGATGCGCGGGTTGAATTTGCCCAAGGTTTCTATAGGCTTTGCGTTGCGCCCACGGGTGCCGTGTATGGCGACTATGTGGAAAACACGATTGTGACGAGGGCCGTGCATGGCCAGGCGAAGACGGACCGCCATAGTGAGGTCGACGAATGTTCCGCTCACGAGCGCGAGCACCCTCGGAATTCAATCCTACAGGCCGTCACGCTCGTCACAGAGATTGTCACAAATACTGATTTGAATTGGGAGGTCACCACCCAAAACCATGCGGACTGAGGGCTTTGGACTGGTTTTACACAAAAAGCAAAGTGACATTGGACGCGACGAGTCTGGGCTAGTGATACACAGAAGTACAATGCGATTCGTGTACGCATACCGAAACTAGATGTTTTCAACCTCCTCTGACTGAACTTCCTTCATCTGGGTGAGGCGGTCGGTCGGTCGGTGGTCCTGGATGGGCTACTTACTGTAGCAATGCGATGTGCAAAAGTTCAGCGTAGTACCGCTAAAGACCTGTATGGCTTCCCGCAGTTACGAGTCATCTGGCCCGTTGCTCCCTGGGATCAGCTGTAAAAGGGACAACGGTCAACCAACGCGACCTCTGCTACATTCGCAGAATAGCACATACCATGCAAATGTTGTTTCCATTCAAAAGCGTCTGAGCCAACTTCGTTTCCTTTTTGCCCTGAGGTGTGGTCTCACTGCAGCACAAGTTCACGCTATCTTCCATGCTCAAGAAACAGGGAGCTCACTATTCTATCACATCCTCCAGGACCATGTCTAGGGCAGGACGACTGCTGTTAGAAAAAAACCGGAACGATGAACGCGTCCACGACTCACTGACGAAGTCATCGAATCCAAGAAGTGTGCCGGTGAATTCGCGCTCGCTCTTCATGATTACCCAGATGCGTGAGCCAATGCATCTGTCGATAAGTTCTAAGACAGACGTCTTGAGCTCGTAAGTCCGATATACGGAGGAGGGTGCCTACCAAGGGGGAGAATCTGTGAAGCCATAGCTATGCAGAAATCGCAAGTGAACGCGTCTGAAGCGCGCGATCGTGCATATTGTGCATCCCTCACGCGTCCGTCACACCTGATCGCGACTTTGCCCTGAGGCGTCTGTGGCTGCGGAGAGCAATGAACTCTAATTTTCTACTGACTGTGTTGTGAGGATCATACGATACTTACTACATGGACTTCATATCTGAACAGGTATAAAATATACATAGCAACCGGCACTTCATCAAACATAACAGGTGGATAAGCGTGGGCAGTGAAAAATTGCATGCGATGCTGAAACACGGAAACGGCGATGGATAATTGGGAGTAACAGGGGGTGGAGCTACATGACATCGAGACTAAGAAACCACACAACAGGAAAGCGGAGAGAACCGTCTGAAATACAGCGTCTGCCAACGCACTGCCACTACTGACCGAAGCTGAAGCCACCGGGGGGTGGTGCGGCACTTTCTTGGTTGAACTGTGGAATTCACTATGAGCATTTTTTACATCACAAGGAAACAGAGCGCATACCGCGAAGGCACCAGACTGATCCACATTGGTGGCACCGATGCCGGCGTCCACCTCCTCGTCGTCCGGGAAGTATTTGTCCATGATATTGAACGCCTTCTTGTAAATCTCGAGGTTGTCGTGTTGTTGGAGATTGTGTATCGTGACCATACCTCCCGCCTCCTCCACGTACAGCGCGTACTGGTTGACTGCACCGGGACCAGCTGCCTGCTTGTCCATCTCGCCAACCTTGAGAATGTTGTCGAGACCATCGAGTGCCACCTGGATGATCTTGTTGTCCATCATAGTGAGAAGATCACAAAGGGGCTTGATGCAGCCTTGCGAGACAAGGTAGCGGATTTGGGCAGGTTCTTGAAGACCGCCAGAAGTGGCATTTGAGATCGCCCAACACGCTTCCTTCCGCGTCTTGAAATCAGCGTTCTGTAGGATGTTGATGAGAGGAGGAATGATGTTGGCATCGATAACCGCCTGGATTTGTGGGGGAGAGCCCGCCGTGACGTTGGAGATGGTCCAGCAAGCCTCCTTGCGAATACCCTCCTTCGGGGACGACAGGAGCGCCAGAAGCGCTGGAAGTGCACCGGACGTGATGACCACCTGCGTCTGTAGGTCGTCTCCTGTCACAATGTTGCCGACGGAGCGAAGGGCAGGGGTCTGGACAGACGTCGACGGGTGCATGAGGAGGTCAACGAGTCGTCGACAGACACCAGACTCAATGACTGCTTGGATCTTATCGTTGGATCCGTCCGACAAGTAGGAGATCGCCCAGCACGCATCGATAAGAATTTCATCGTCAAGAGAGTAGATCAACTTTGTTAGAACGGTAAGAGCCGGGGAAATCTACACGACGCGTCTCGATTAGTGGCGTTGTGGGCTTAGGGTAAATGTGGACGCACTAATTCCCAATCAGGCTGTGGCGACTTGCCTCTGCAGAAGTTGCTGAGAGTCCATGTAGCGTTCCTTAGCATACTGAGCTTGTGGTTCTCGCTGAGCAGCTGGAGTAGGGGTCTGAGAGCGCCTTGTTGCAGGACGTAATCACGGCAAGTTGGGCTATCACCAGCAATGTTGCCCAAGGCCCACACGGCCTGCTCCCTGACATCCAAAACCGGAGAGGACAGGAGTTTGATGAACTCTGGAACAGCATTGGCACTTATAACGACTTGAGTGTGCTCAGCGGTCCCCGAAGCAATATTGGTGAGGGCCCACGACGCCTCGAACTAGGGTACACCGGTGAACACTGTCTCGCGGTGCACAAGATGAAGTGACATTACCTGCAGCATAGGGTTGTCTCCTCGCAGGAACTCCACAAAGCGTGGCACGACACCGCACTCTATAACGCGTTCAATCGGAGGGTTCTTCTCCTTGGAAAGCAATTTGCGAAACTTGGTAGTAGCTTCGAGCTGGCGATCAGCATCGTCTGAGAAAACGCCTGCAACCATGTCCTCGGCCAGCTGTGTTCATTATAAGTAAGAATGATGGGACGGCTCATCCTAGAAACAGACGCACCGGTGCCTCCCAATTGCCAGAACCTCCTTCATCGTCGGAATCACCTGCTGTTGCGGGTAGGAAGTTGCGCCTCTTGGTGATGTTCTCCTCCCTCTTTTGCCTTCTAATCTCAACCTGTTGTTCTTCGCGTCGACGCCTGAGGTCTTCCTGCTTTAGACCACCCTTATTTTTGTACTCTACAGGTTATCGTAAGAACACTAGATCGCACCCATACGCGTTGACAGTATCACAAAACAAGACATACCGTTCCTGCGATGGGCCAAACGAGAGGAATCCATGATATCAGGATGTGTGGACGATGGTAAGAAAAGAGTATCCTGAAGAGAAGAGGGACGCGCAGACTCGACAAAGATTAGCGCGTGAAGAGTCACGGTCACATGATGTCACAACACAATTGTCGAAATTGCGGAGTACACCAAGATGCAGCCACAGTGATTTGGTTCACGATGGCAGACTTTGAAAAGGCTTTACGCATAGACCAACAGTGTATACAAATATTCAATATCTCATGCAATGTTTCCTGTACTCGATACGTAGGAAACGACGTGCGCGAACGAAGAAAAATATCATGCTCCACCGGCGACCCGTGGATTTCAAGCCAGTACTCGTTTGGGTTTCCCAGCCAGGAAAGCCGCGATGTTGTCCACGGTGTCCGACCAGAATGCCTAGCGCGCACGGCAGTTATGATCAACAAGAGACCCAAGCTGCTGTCGATGCAAACTCACACCGTAATTATCGTCGCTCACATATCCCATATGAGGTGTTAGAGTGACATTGTCCAACTCACGGAGAGGATGGTCGAGAGGTAATGGCTCAACCTCGAACACATCCAATCCAGCTCCGGCAATCCGCTTCTGGTGCAAAATCTGCACTAGAGCAGACTCCTCGACAAGAGGACCTCTGGACGTATTCACGAAAATAGCAGTCGGTTTCATCAAGGATAGATCTGTGGCGGTAATCATGTGGTGGGTACGCTCTGAGAGCACCATATGAAGTGAAACGACATCGCTGATTTTGAGAAGTTCCTCCTTGGATGCGATGTACTTCACACCGGCTTCGGCCGCTCGCTGTGGCGTCAGATTAGGCGACCACCCGACGACCTCCATGTCAAAAGCTTTGCCAATCTACACAGTACGCATGAACTTGTCTGCATCACTCCAGATGTACGGAAAGTCTCACCTTGGCCGTCTTTGAGCCTAAATTGCCGACCCCCACTAAGCCCAGAGTCTTCCCAGCAAGTCCTGTTGGTAAGGTGGACTGCCAAGGGTCCTTTTTGCTTCTCACGTTGACATGCTCGATGGCGACATATCTCGCCGTGGCCAGGATGAGAGCCCATATGTGCTCCAAGGTCGAATGACCTCTGCCCCCTGACCCAGAAACAATGATACCCTTGCTCTTCGCATGGACGACGTCGATTCCGGCGTTTCGCATCCCCGTGGTGGCAATCAGCCGTAGGTTGGGCAGCCTGTCCAGTAATGATGCCGGGAATTTCGTTCGCTCCCTCATCGCGCATACGATCGTATACGGCAGCAGGCGTTCGACAAGGGCATCTTCGTCGGCAATTGTGTCGGTGTAGGTATCGACTGAGATGCGAGCTGCAATAGAAGACCAATCGGCAGACGTGAAAGCAACACGCTGATAATCATCAAGGATCGCGACACGGACCAGGCTCGCCATTACGGATGACGATGGGAATGGCAAACGCAGAGAGCACTGACGATTGACATTGACATAGACTTACAGTGGCAGATAGATGACTCAGCATGATGGGGTGAGGAAACTATAACCGGTACACCAGCTTCGTCATATGGTCCTCGCGATCCGGTCGACCGAGAAAGTTCAACCACGCAATGAAAGAGCAAAATGATGCAATGCGATTACAGGGTCCGATGGAAACAGAAAACACTAAGTGTCATTATCAAAAGGATACTGTAAATAGTATATATGAGAGCGTGTACTTGAAAGCAGTTCACTTGAAACATACCTCGAACGATTCTGGGGGAGTGGCTTCAGGTGCACTCTCATCCAGTGATATGTGACGTCCCTCGGATACGTGTGCTGGTCTATCGTCAGATACTGGCACTGCCTGGTTTGCAGCGATGATCGTCTGCGTCTCAAACTCGATGTAGTCGGGCTCCTCCTCAGGACGTAGGTCTTGTAGAATAAGAATACCACCTCCACCAGCATATCTCTCTGAGGTCAGGCCTGCAACGACAGCGGATCTGGAGGCCGCTTTGTGACCCTTGCCAATCGGTGCGCTGCGGGTTGATACAGCTCTCACTGGCTGATATCTGCTGTCTGCAGGGAAGCTGATGTAGGGCATTTGTGCAGGAACAGCTCGCGCGAAATTGGACAACTTCTCAAATGAGGGCTCCTTGCGCTTCGGCGTCGACGATGAAGGCTCTTCGGGCTTCATCTCGACATCACTGTCTTTTCTAGCGTCGAGCTTGTCATCCTACGCAAGCCATAAGTACTTGCTTCTGCAACGGATGGTAGGGGCCTTACTGTTTCCATTGCCTCTGCTCCCTCTGCCACAGCCTTTTTCTTTTCCCTTGCCTTTGCCTTAGCAGTGGTAGACAATACTGCAGTCGCGACCTTTGCGACGGCCTCTTTCTTTGGGGGTTTCATCGGCGCCGGGTATGCGAACAAGCTCGGCTTTGCGTTCGAAACAAATTCAAAGTTCGGTGCCTGCAGATCATCCTATTAGATCCAACCATCGCAGACAATTAGTATTCACCAACCTGCAATGTACCGTCGAGCCCGATAATGGCAGTGGGATCGAACGCAAGACACGCGCAGTGCGCCAGCGGGTACCAGTACCAGAACTGGCAGAACAGTACCATTCCCACTATTGCGTTCGTGTTACGGCTGCCAGCGCGGCTCTGCAAGCTGATGGTGACATTCCGGCCGCCTGCATCGATCAAGCCTTGGCCAATAGCAGCACCAAAGCGCGCCATTGGATCCTCATGCTTGTCCGCGACAATCTTCGAGTACAAGGCCCGAGTTGATGCGAGCGACGGTGTTGAGGCTTCGGATTGCTCAACCAACACCATGCCCAGAGCAATGAAGGCGCCTTGACGGACGAAGTCGACGCCATCCTTGGTCAACGGCTCAAGAATGTCAACGGCATCCTACACAGGATACATTAGCATGCGGTTCGCAGTGGGATTGTAGCTCGGAGACACACCTGCATACCCGTTCCCGCACACGCGATTCCCAAAGCAAGTGTCGCACCGCATCGTACATGGGGGTTGTAGCTCTCACTGAGAAGCTGCACGATCCGTGGTACCTGCGCCGGATTCTTGAAGAGTAGGAACGCTATCGACGTAACGGCGGCCCTGCGGACGTCATCTGACGTATCCGACACAGCGATATGCAAGAGCTTCCGGATGGCCGTGTTATTGGACGTGCCAGCGTATGCAAGGGCAAGCGTGTAGACACCACCATATCGCAGAATAGGATCCTACGCCCAGATATTAAAAAGGTAAAATGAAAGGTAACACAAAAGAACTCAAGCTCACCTTCTCACCGAGTAAGGTCTCAATTATGCCATTTGCCTCTTCCTGCCTTCCGTAGTAGATGAAGGCCAAGCCGATTGCAATGCCACGGATGATTTTCTCATGCTGCGTCTCCCGTGCATACTGCAACATCTCGTCCGCAGCAGCAGCATCTGCCGTTCCCAGCATAATGAGACCCATCGAGTAGCCAGCGCCCTCACCAGCAATCGCCGAGTCGGTGAAGAGCGTCTGCTTCAATTCATCGTATGTCTCGCTGTTCTTGCCGCCCATTCCAGCCACACCCAGACCCAGAGCTGCACCGTGTTGCACGACCTCGTTCTGCGCCGCTTTCAATGTGTCGCGCAGGTACCCCTCAACTTGGCGCCCACTACCGAAACCAGCGTTTACGAGACCGAGAGCGTAGAGTGCCCCGCCTTCTGAGTATGCCGCACCAGGAATACCACTATCCTGGCCACCCTGTTGCGGAAGGTACGGGCCGAGAATGTTCATGCTCTCCTCGAAATGACCCTTGTGAATGACACCAAGAGCAGCAGTCGCGGAGAACTTTGCCCAATTTGATGCTAAAGCCAGCCATTCTAGGTTTTCGCGCAGGAACACATCAGAAGTCGTGCCCGAGTGCATGAAAGCATTCTGCAAACTGAGTGCGACATGGTATATTGATGACCGGGGCTCCAGAGAGTCCTAGCTTGACGTCAGTACGACGGCCTTCCGACAATAGCAGAACGTAACCTACCTTTGTGTTCTTCAAAATTAACATGTCAACCTTGTTATTACGCTTTAAGAACTCGAGGTACAGTTTGATGGATTCCTGACCCAGCAATATTCTCCGCAGTTTGTCGTAAATCGCCTTCGTCTCCTGTGCAAGGTCTGAATAAATGCGTAGGCACGGAGGTCTGTACAACTCACACTCTGGCCTTCCGGCAAGTCCTTCCTGATAGCCTCGAGGTAGTCTTGTGAACCACCTTCCACCAAGTCGAATGCAATCTGATACGCCAGGAGGCTGTCCTTCGGCACGAGCGATGTCAGAAGAGGTATGGTCAACTCAGGTGCGCTGAGGGTCACGAGGAGACGTGTGATTGAGTGAACGTGGGGTGACTTCGTCTCGCTAGTGGGCGGAGGGAATAGAGGGAGCAAGAAACGAAGGACTTGGTCTCGGTATACGAGAGGGAATCCCGTGTCAAGAACGGCGTCCATAGTGTACGAGAGCAGGCTGACATCACGCGTGCCCTCATATATGTGTTGTATCACGTCTAGGCGTCGGGACTCTAAGGCAATGCCTATTGCCTATGACAGAGTTGTGAGGGAGACGATCCGCCGGCGCATACGATGGCGTACGTACCTGTCGGTATTCCCCATCCGCTATACAGCGTCTAAAAATACCCTCAATGATCCCTTGAAGTTTAGGATCAATCTTGGCTTGCGCAGACTGCTCCGCCGTGCGTGCCCCGATGTACCTGTCGATCGCCTTGGCTGAACAGTGGTGGAACGCACTGAGCTCGTCTGAGAGATTGCGAGGAAAGGAGCAGACACTCACAAACAATCGTTTCTACATATTCCTCAGCTCCAGGCACGCGGCTATCTGCCTCGAACGCGCTCCCTGCGCTGAGAGCGAAGGACAATGCTTCGTCGTACTCCCCAAGGTAATAATACACTTTGCTCGCGACGAGAGCAGCGACATCGCGTGCCCCCTGGGCGAGCTCGTCGCTTTCATACAGCGACTCACTGAAAGGACCAATTGTCAGGCGCAAGACACGAACAGGCGTGCACCACGCACATGAGAGTGATATGCTCTGAGATTTCCGCCCAGAACTGGGGCACCATCGAGCTCAGGCTCTTCAGCGCATGTTGTTTCAGCAGCGGCTCTGGTTCGGTGAGCAGCGCGAGCACGCCGGCGGCGGAGGACTGTAGACGGACCATCGAAGTTGTGTGTACGGAAGCTGCAGCTGCGAGTTGCTCCTGCACTGAGGAGACGCGTCAGTGCAATCTCGGTGCACGTGCAGTGTATGACGTAAGCAGCCCTCGCCCATTCGCGACCTCGCGTCTTCTTCCGTATTTCTCCTTACACTGAGACTGTAGAAATCCGCTGAACACCATGTCGATGATTGCCCGCCGTGCTGCCCTGCGCGCACTGCCCCGTGCCCGCGGATATGCCAACACCACCGCTGACCTGATGACGACGAACTGGGCGGATAAGCAGGCTGCCCTCAGGTCGCATGCGGCTGGTACGGACAGTGACGCGCTTTCTGGTGATGAAGTGTCCTGACCATTCCGCCTGCAGAGACCGCCGCCCTCTGGCGCAGGATCAGGTTTGACGACATATAATTTTGCTAGTTTCCTACTCACGTACTTCGCCATGCGTCGTTAGCTTCTTCTTCTGCCTTCCAGCCAGTGAGCACGTTTCAGTCTAGGGATCAAACACGCGCTAACGGTGTGCAGTCGCTGTGACCGCGCTCTGGGTACACAAGGTCGAGACGGAGCATGCTGAACATCAGGAGCACATCCGAGCAGAGCACGGTGGCGAACTCCCCGAGACTCCCAATTACGAGTATTTGAACAAGCGTTGTGAGTTGATTGCTGCTCGTAATAATGATACTGGCTGGACAGTTGTGTGTACACAGCCTCCGGTCCTTACCCCTGGGGCATGAACTCGCTCTTCTTCAACCCGAAGGTACATGAACCCGTTACAGAGATTGTGTATCGCAACTGAACTCTGCTACCATTAGGTCAACAAGGACCTGACGAAGACAGACGAGTAAACAGTCATAATGTAATGCGCTGCTTAGTAGACGACATTCACTCTCATCTTTTGGCGAAAGTGTTGCGCGAATAAATTTCAAGACCAGGTCGGTCTAGGCAGCGCGCCTCGGCCTATCCTCAAGCTGCGAGACTTGCCTGGAATGTACTAATAGAGTGCTAGATCACTGAGCATTGCATCATCAACGTCATCGTATTATTTCCCTGACGGTTGAAAACGTGTGCTGAAAGCTGTATATAAAACTAAGCATGTGGAAGGTCGAAGTGTGTGGTAACGTATGTAGGAGGCAGATAGACCCTCAAAGCAACAAGACGTGATGAATAATAGATCGATCCCCGCAGTGTCCACATCACAAAGTCACCCAAGCTCCGAAGAAGACTCCACAAAACGCTGTCACTACGCTGGCGAGTAGTGGGGTGGACACACTGAAGGCATGAGTACCAACGGCGGCGTTCGACGAAGTAGAAGGAGAAGTGGAAGAGGTAGAAGGTGCGCTATGAAGAAGGTAAAGATACAGACGAGCACCGGTGGGACGAGACACTCACCCAGAGACCAGAGATGAAATGCCGCTCGACGCTGCAACCGATATCTTGCTTGAGACGTCAGAGCCAACCGCGCTGGTCGCGACGGTGTACTCGGAACCCGCGAAGGAAGTAACAACGCCGGCACCACTTGTCGCCAATGTGACGGCTTCACCGCCGGCCGAGGTGACAACGGTGTAGGCATGCCCGGCCGCCGCTGCAACGACGACTGTTCAGTTTCGACCTCATTATAAATAATTTAATCGACGAGTCTCACAAGTCACAATGGTGGCAATGCTACCACCAAAGGAGGTGGCGCCAGTGAAGATCGACCCAGCTGCCAGTATGTCAGACAACGAAATCTTGGAAGACGTGATGGGATTTACCTGCTGAGGTCGCTTCAGTAGCAATGGAGCCGACATCCGAAGTGAGCGAATTAAATACAGAGCCAACTGTGGAAACGCGGCGTTAATCGGGACAGAGAATCAGACAGGACAGGAGCTAACTTTGACGTTTCTCCTCGACGGGATTAGCGCAGACAAGAGCAGTGAGCGCCAGGAATAGGCCGCAGAGGAGGGAAGTCTTGGTGAACATGGCGTGAATAGAACTGTGGATGTCCCTCGACAGTGGGGATGGCAGGTGTTATATACTTTTTGGTCGTTGGGGTGGACTTGGAGCCGGCGGAAGCGCTGCTGTGGAGCAGACAGGATTACCGCTGTGGCAGTGTGCACTCAATGCGGCACTGCTCCCCGCAGCATAGCCGCACCCGCTGCCCCGATTCCGATCGCCGATGTCGGTCATGCGCCTTTCCTGCGCGATCGATGAAGTCACCGCGGCCGCTCCCTCGATCTGACCTCCAACCATGCCCCGCGCAATCATCTCCCCCTCCGTCCTCGCCTCCGACTTTGGTGTGCTTACCGCAGAATGTAAGCGCATGATCAAGGGCGGCGCAGAATGGCTGCATATGGGTCGGTCACAACATGCCCCGAATTTGTCTCCCATCATACTAACATTGGGGTTTCGCTGCAGATGTCATGGACGGGTGAAATCTTGCCGCGCGCAGACCAAGTAGTCCAACACTGATCTATTCGTACACCAGCCACTTCGTCCCCAACATCACGATGGGTATGTCACTTATGCTATGTGGTCCGCAGCGCAATGTGCAGCCCTAATGTGGTCCGCAGGCGCACCGATACTGGCATGTGTCTCCAAGGGTGTTCCAGGAATCTTCATGGACTGCCACATGATGGTGTCTCAGCCGGAGAAGGTATTCCATTCCTCGCAGCGCCGGCGCTTCGCACGAATTGACACTCACATCCCCAGTGGGTTGATGACATTGCGGACGCAGGCGGCAAGCTGTATTGCTTCCATATAGAGGCAACATGTACGTAAAATACTCCCAGGTGGCCTCCCGTTTGAGTGATAGAATGTCGCATACCACAGCGGACCCCATCTCGCTCATCAATTCCATCCATGAGCGCAAGATGAAGGCGGGTGTCGCCATCTCGCCTGACACGCCGTCCACCGCCATTACAGATGAGATAGGCGAAGCTGCAGACATGCTCCTTGTCATGACGGTTTACCCTGGTGCGCGTTCTCCTTTCAATGCAGACATGATAAGCGCTCACGGTACTCCTCACTGTCCAGGTCGCGGCGGCCAGAAGTTCCTGGAACGCTGTGTGCCCAAAGTAGCTGAACTTAGAGCTCGCTTCCCCGACAAGGACATCGAGGTCGACGGCGGTGTGGGCCCGAAGACCATCGATCAATGTGCGGACGCAGGTAATGTTCCGCGTATTGCGATACCTTGACAAGCAATTCTCAAAGCCCCCCTCACACAGGGAGCAATGTGATCGTCGCGGGTACAGCCATCTTCAATGCAACAGAGCCCGAGCAGGTCATCGCGCTATTGAAGCAGTCAGTTGACACTGCTCAAGCAAGGGCTGCATCGAAGTGATGCCTTATCGGACCATCGGCTGGTAAGCGGTATGCGCAGAAGCAGAAGCAGAAGTAGAAGACGTCATTTGTATTCGTATGCGGGGGTAGTACATATGCAAGTGAATTGGGAAGACACTTATCGTCTGCATGCCATGAGTCCCCCACTTGATGCAGATGCATGGCCCATTCCGAGACGTAACATGAGGAACTTCTTATCCATTACATTACATAGAGGGCATAGCGGTAGTGTGATAGTAGCGCGACGTAGTGCAGCCATTAAACGAAGATCCTCGAGACTATGTAGTGTCTTTGGTCCAGCAGACACGCCGCCATGTATTCACATGAGCCGCATACCCAGTGCAAACTCTAGTGTCCCAATCGCCAGCCCGCGCACACGCTTAACCAAACTCAGTTCGAGCGCGAATCCCGCGCTTCGCTCACCAGTGCAGCCACTCCCCGTACATGTTCGGCCGTTCGCCGCGGATGTACGACTCGAACGTCCGCTTCAGTACGGTCGACCAGTCGAGATCTCGCTTGTCAGAGGCGACGGTCTCCTCGTCGAGCGGCACGACGCCCCGCTCAGAGGCGATCGATGCGCGTGCGATGCGCTCGCCGTTGATGAAGCGTTCGCCGAGGTCGGGCCAGTTGCGGTATTCGTCAAACGGCCTCCACCTGTGCAATTATGGTTAATGCTGCGGAAGGGCGCTCACGGATAGAAAACATTTACCAAAAGTTGTGGAAGTGGTACGAGTATGCGCCCTTGAAGAACCCGTCAAAGCCCAGCGCAGCAGGCGCGGCACCCTGTTCTCTGGGCGTCTCGAAGAAGTCCCCAAACCTACCGGCACGTCAGCCCTAATTGGGGTACAATGTCTCCGCAACTTACTCTGTGAAGTAGGGCTGTGGAGGCCGCTCGCGCTGGTAGGACTCCGTGTTCAACCACGCCGAGTCGAACAGCGCATCGGGCAGACGCAAGAGCAGACCCTCCAAGTACGCATCCTTGGTATATCGCGAGACCGTCATAGGATGGAAGTCCAACCCGTTCTTAAGCGCGGTGCGGAATAGGAACGTGCCCAGGGGGGAGTTCTTGTTCATGCGGAGGACGGCAGTGTTGTACTTCTCCAGGCGCGACCATCGGTACGCGAACGCGCCCCTCCAACCCCATAGCTCCTCCCAGTCGCGCAGGAAGATCGTGTCGGCGTCGAGGTAGATGCCGCCGAAACGATGACAGAGAATGAAACGCGCCATGTCGGATAGAATGACAGACAGTTTGTCGTACTGCTGAGGCGACTTCGAGCCGACACGATTCACCTTGTCATCGGCGTCGTTGCCGGCCTTACTGGTCGGCGCCGGAGGCTGAGCTGCAGTGGCGCCTTCTCCTTTTACCCCTGAAAGTACTGCGGTCGGGCCAGTCGCTGCAACAGGGTCATCCATTGAGACCTTCTCGACCCACCCGCCCGAGTTGAACAGACTGTCGCGCAGAGCTCTCCACTCGTCCTTGAGCTCGGGCACGCCATCGAGCTGTTCTGTTGTGTTCCATAGCTTGAATTGGATAATGTCCTTGAAGCGCGGGTGTAAGAATGGTGATGCCCATGGGCTGGACTTCAGGCCGTCGTACATTTCCTTCAGAGCATTTGGGCCAGGAGGCACCGCAGCCGGCCCAGGACTGATCCACAACCAGAATTTGGGCCGGCAAACATTTGAAATAGGATGATCGGAGTCGAGGTGCAACCCAAGGTTCTGCGTGAAGAGGAAAGACAATAACGCGAGATATGGCTTATCTGTGAACGGGCCCGTCCAGAACATGTGGAATACGCGAGGGTTCTCTTCGTCGCAGACGGCGGCCTGGTCCTTGTATGGCCGGTACTTCGGGGCGGGGGGGAGACTCAAATGAGGCTCCCAAGTCCCACCCCGCTTCTTGGTGAAGTCCTTGCTGACCTCCGACTCTCCCTGGGGCAGTGCGTAGCTTGGCTTGAGCATTGCGTCGGGCTCCGTGATATTGTCGGATACACCATCCTCCACATAGATGTACTTCCAGTCATCCATCTTGCCTCTCCTTACTCTGGCCTGGTTATCCAGCCCCCCGCCCAGCCGGAGCACTTCGAGACAATCCCGCACGTACTGGAAGTTTGACATATGAACAAGTGTGCCTGATAGTATACTGATCGTCATACCTTGTTCTGGGAGAAATCACAGTAGTCCATGATGACATCCAAGTCTGCGACACTGCCAGGTACTGGCCTTGGAGGATATGCAACATTGGGCAGCTTCGCTTGTAAGTCGAGGTATACGCGCTTGGCACCCATACCAACTGTGTCCTGGACGATCGGTGACCGGTACCGCGAAGGTAGGGTCGCGGATTTCCGTGCAGGAAGCGCGGGGTTATGTGGTGGTGAGGTGAATGCGAGCTGCTTTGGAACTGCATCGACGAGATGAAGTACGCTGTACACGTCACGACACGAAGCACGTACTCTTGCGACTGCTAGGATAGTGCCCAGCGGCTATTTCCCACTCCCATATTCGTCGCAGGTCCTCGGGCTGGTAGACCAGCGTGGAGGGCTCCCCCGTCGAGAGGGCCGGCCATTTCTTTTCTTGCGTCGCGAAGCGCTTATGCAGCGCGAACACGGTGAACACCGCGACGACGACGCCGACGAACAGGACGAGCGGGCCTCTCCTGCGGCCGAAGCGTGTCACGCTGAACTGGTGCAATCGCGCGGGGTTGGGTGCAATTATGCGAAGGCGGCGCGTGCGGACGCCTGGTATGGGTAATGATAGGGGTATCAGCCAGGATGAGGTGGGGTGGTGTCGCTGCCACTTTTCACGGACGGCGGAGGAGTGTGTTGGAAGTCCATTGTAGTGTGTCTTCTCCGCGAACCCATTCCTGTTCCCGTTCTGCGAGAAGTAGACGGAGGACATCCTGGGCACGAGCTCGCACAGCTGGCAGACGACACCAACGAGGAGACGAGTGCGCGACAAATAGGATGGCTATAGACTAGGAGGGGAGAGAGCTGTATTGAAAGCAGACACGATCCTGTCACACACCTGCACAGGCTAATTTGCCCTGCCACGTGGACCCTCTGAGATGATCTCTCCTTCGAGGAAACGCCCAGGTCGCGCAGTCGCTACATTCACGCGCTAGACCAGCATATACAGAAGGTTGTACAAGAGTCTATTCATTTTGCTTGGCACTATTCGTTACATTTTACATACACGCTCTCAAACCTTCCAGCAAACTACGCGCCGAGCGGCTGCAACTCGAGGTCGGCGGGATCTGTGGGCACGGAGAGGACACGAAGCGTGTTCGTGTGACCAAGTCCACCCTTCCAGCCTTGCACCGCGACAACCGTGGTGCCCGTCTTGATGATGTTCAACTTCAGCGCATTGCGCAGCCCGAACCGGATACGATTGTCCACCTTGTGAAAACCGACACGGTCAGGATTATCGCGGGTGAGAGATAGAAGGTCACCCACATCAGTCTGCCACTGGTGGGCCTCGATGCCGCGGGGTTCAGGGTACCAGAATGGGTAGCAGCCGCGGTGCAGGTGGATCTGACGCGCAGTCTGCTGGTTGCGAGTCACTGGAAATTTTGGATAGATCAGACGGCGCCAAGAAGCGTCAGATTAGAGTGTTACGTACCGGTAATGATGGGCACAGGCGGCCTGTACTTCGATACGAGGCGCGCAGTGTTGCCACTCGTCGACAAGACGATGATAGCGCTAGCGCCCTGCTCCAGCGCAGCACCCACAGCGGCGACGGCGACGGTCTCAACGGTCTCCGTGGGACGAGGAGTAGAGAGCCTGAGCTCGTCATACAAGGGAGGATAGCAAATCATCGTCTCCGCGAGCAGACAGCACTCTGCCATCATGAGGACTGCAAACGCGTCATAATCAGTATGAACGGGAGCGCACTGAAGAACCGACGCACCCGACTCAATCGGGTAGGCTCCCTTGGCACTCTCTCCGGACAACATAACGCAGTCGGAGCCGTCAAGCACAGCGTTAGCAACGTCGCTGACCTCAGCACGAGTCGGTCGCGGGTTTTGCTTCGCGGACACATCTCAGATAAGACGTCATGAATTTACTTCGAAATCTCTCACCATCATAGACTGCAAGCACAATTTGGTCAGATGCGCAGCGCAGAATGTAGTATCCACCACTCACGTCAAGCATTTGAGTAGCAACAATGACGGGCTTGCCTGCCATGTTACACTTGGAAATCATCATCTTCTGCGCCATGAAGACCTGGCTGGGAGCGATCTCAATACCGAGGTCACCACGAGCGACCATGACACCGTCAGTCGCCCTGAGAATCTCGTCGAAGTTGTCAACACCCTGCTGGTTCTCGATCTTGACAATGATTTTAATGTTAGCGCCATCGGGGCCGAGGACCTGGCGGATGTCCTCGACGTCCTCCGCGCGACGAATGAACGACGCGAAGATCATGTCGACGCCGTTCTTCACACCGAAGCGCAAGTCTGCCTTGTCCTTCTCGGAGAGCGCGGGCAGATCGACTGCAGTGTTCGGTAGGTTGACACCCTTGTGCGAGGAGAGCGTGCCGTTGTTGATGGCGCGGACTCGCACGTTGGGGCCGTCGATGGACAAGACGAGGAGGGACAGGATACCTGCAGACAGCGTGTCAGACACGTCTTGCATAATAGACCCTATACACACCATCGTCGACGTAAATCAGCTTGCCAGGTGCAGTAACTTTGGGCAGATTTTCCTGTGGAGATCGTGTTTAGCATTCTTGCGCCAGCTTGTCGGTAATATGGTGACACTCACGTAGTCAACGAACAGGACTTTGTCGTCGCAGATGTTGTAGTACTGGCGGTCAGTGGAGACAATGAACTCGTGTCCAGCCGGTATTTTAAGCTAAGCGCGTGTTCAGATCTAGTCAGGGCCCTGTCCCGAGAAACGTAAAAGAAGCCACTCACATCTTGGTCATTGCGCATGTTACCCGTGCGGATCTCAGGGCCTTTCTGCAGACATGACATCATTAGGCCGAACTTGGACGACTCTGTATGCGTTGCCTACCGTGTCCAAAGCAATGGCAACGGGGCGGCCTTCAGGGTTCTCTACATTCCCATGTCAATGCTACATTTAGTGCAGAAATAGGGCTTCGTGCTTACGAGAAACCATCTTCCTGGTGTTGTCAATCACACTCTGGTGGTACTCGTATGATCCGTGGGAGAAGTTCATGCGGACTGTATGTTATGTATAAGAAAAAGCGAAGCAGCACGCATAGACTGTATGGCGCACCAACGCTGACACCAGCACGGACCAGCTTGCCGAGCATCTCGACGGAGTTGGTCTTCGGGCCTGCAGGTATGTTCAAAGTCAAACCTTGCGCAATTCGCAGCATTCCCCGACGCATACATACCAATAGTCGCAATGATGGCGGTCTATGGACCGACGTCAGCGCGAGGGGGACCGAGGGGACACAAAATCGCGTACCTTGCGGTGATACTTGGTCTCCTCAGTAGGGACAGGGGCCTGGGAGGTCTGCTGGGACGCAAACCATTGCATGCGGGAGGAAATGGGGGCGGCCATGGTTGCTGGATACAGGGTGAAGATGGGCAAACGAGTAAGCTCGCGAACAGTGGATTTATAGAGGACGATTTTTAAACGGAGCGGAGCTAGAGGGGCAACGATGGTACGATTGGGATATCTTGTGCTGGGGCGACGCGCGCGGAAATGGGGATGTCTGACATCTGGCGCTATCGATGCTTACCGTGATGTAAGAACGCCGAGGAACGTGCTTCTGCGACCAAAGGTTGCGGGGATGATCAACGATGGGGGAAATACGACTGCGTATTCAGCCTCGCCGTTGCTTTTATGAGGGCGATAGAGCGCAGAGCGGCCCGCAGGAATCGATCTAGGAGGCAGCTATTTCCAGCAGCCGTTCCAGGCGGCGCCCTCGGGCGTAGCGGACGGCCAGGAACAGGCCAGATTCCATCTCACACCGTCAAAAACCACACATCATCCGTCCGTCACCCTGACAAAAGCCAATCGCCGGCCCAACGTGCTCCCCCTCGGACCCATCCAGCCGCACACCACACGCGATTGATAACGCACTAGATTGCACTGGAAACCTACACGACACAGCACAACAATGTTCAAAGCCAACGAGGAAAGCAGATACGAGATATACATAAGCGATGCGGTCCCCCTTACCCTTCGTCATAGCACCCTGAAAGCCCAGCTGTTTAAATTGTTCTCCGCGGCCTGCGCCGCTTGTTCCGCAACCCATTCTCTGCCATCTTCGCCCGGTGGCGGAGTGAGGAGATCAACATCCTTGAATATATACTCGCAGGCTACCGCGCGCCCGGAGTGGTACCCAACTCCGTCAAAGGCTCGAATAAATAGCAGAGGAAGGCTCCGCCCTGAAAGCCTCTCCACCTTCGACTGCGTCCTATTTGCAGCGACGTCTCCGCCCTCGCCAGCCGGCGGGACCGCGTCCTCCTCGAGCGCTTTCATGACGTCCGACTTGTGAGGCAAGTCAACAAGCACAGTCGTAGTAAGTGGGCCATGGATGGCACCCGGTGGCCGCCTGCCCGTGGGATATGATGAAACACTGGGGTCTACAGGGGCTTCGCCAGGCATTGCAGGATGTATGAAAGGCATTGGTACCTGGCCCACCGGGACCGACGAGTGGAAGATACGGATATGCAAAGGGCCAATAGGGCCGAGATAGACGTCAAGTGGCTCGACCGTTCCCGTCGCTGGGTTTTCATAGAAGAAATTGGAAGCAGTCAGCTCCAGTTGTTCAGTGCCACGCTCGCGCTCAAATCGATGCACGGGCGCAGTGAAGAGGGTCGGGAACGGTGTGATCGGGAGATCAGGGATCTTGCTGTTCTGGCCAAACGCATCAAAGAAAGTATACTGGAACTTAGCTAGATTTGACGAGCGTCAGCAATGAACTCGCATCAAGAGGGGAGGAGCACATCGTACATATTCCAACAATCGTCCAGCACAGATAGTCGTCGACCTCGTCGATTATCACGTTCTGGTTGTCCTTGACCTCTTCGCGAACCCGAGGTATCGAGAATAAGAGTGGATGCGTTCCCGTTTGATTCGCAAGGCCCGGTGTAGGCGGCACGGGTACACCAGGCTGGCCGGACATAGGTCCTGCCGCAGAAAGGTAATGTCGAGTACCGTCAGCGTTCACCCGCTGCAACGCAATCTTCTGCATCTGACTGACGGGACCGCCGTCATCGGTAGCAATTCTACCCTTATCGACTTTCCGTATGAATAAGGGCGGGGTTGGGGTCCCGGTGACCGTGTCGGAAAGGATAACCTTGCTGCCATATAACACCGTCTGCGGTCCAGGACCAGCTGGGAGATCGTGAGTATGATGGCGAGCATAATTCCAGGGTCACGTGGTGACGTACCGAGGGGACCAGGATCATTGCTTGCATTTGGAGGGCGGCTCACTACGTTTACATTGAATGCAGACCATGCAACGTTGCTCGCGCACAATTGTCCGCTGTCAACAGTCATATATTTGGTCCGTACAGTCTGCGAGTTGATGCGATTAAATAACGAGACGGGGCCTCCAGCGAGGATGCATGAAGAGACGCTACGCGTCTTAGCCGTCTTCTTCGATGGCTTTGAGATGATCGTTACGGGCGCAGAGTCGAACGACGCCCAGATACGCCCATTACCGGTCTCTGAGCCATCAGCGCTAGTCGCGGGCGGCTCCGCGATGTCAAGCGAAAGCTGGAAACTCTTTGTCTTGGCTGTCCCCGAGACGTGCAGGAATTTGAAGCTGGCGGTGAGACTTTGGTCTAGCGGCGCTTTCTGCTCAAAGGAACGCTCCCCTGCCTCGGTAAGGACAGCCATAGCGAGTTGCTGGTTCTTCATATTCCAGACTGGCCCCTCGATGTGGACCACGGGGGGAGGACAAAGGAAACGCTTCTCGGTGCCATAAGACTTCTGAGCAACCGCAGCGTGCAGACAAATCACGGTCGTCATGGGCATCACCCGAGCAGGATCATGCGAGACATGGTCCTGTACGACGCGTCGAATCTTGTTGTGAGGGTTCTCTGCGTCGGAATCCTCCAGCCTGCGTTTCACGTTTGCTCGCTGTGAACATACTGTCAAACAATGGAGAAACGGAGCGTAAGTTACGCGTACCTGCGATTGTGTTGACGGGCCAGGTCCGCTGCTATTCTCCGGTGGCGGCGGTGGTGGGAGACTGTTCCAAGGTATTGGCGGTCCGTTACTGGGAGCGGATACGTGCTTGGCTACCTCTAGTATGGACTGGATAGTTTGGTCTGTGGACGGAGAGCCTGCAGGTTGCCCATTTGCTAGAGATGCATGATGATTCGAGACCTGAAGCGCGTCAGGCATGTCACCAGGACACGAGCAATGGTAGATCATACAAGCAAGCTCAGGTCTGGCTGCTGTGGGGTAGCCGAACGCGATAAGTCCTGATGTATTGGGGGGACGAGGTGGTCCTGAGGACCCGCAGTGGTGACCGAGGCCATCTGGAGGTGAAGGGGATCCGAAGCAAACGGCAGGATAGTTCGCATAACGGACTTGGTCTATAGAGACCCAACTGAAGCTGTGGGAAATGTCGACTGTGGGAGTGGGAAGAAAACGAATTTTTACCCACGCGCCTTTGTTATATAGCGACCGCCGTGACCCCGTGGGCTACCCCGGCCACCCTGCCCCGGGGTCCTGCACACCCGGCATCCACGGCATCCATGTCCCAATGCCTTCTGTAACCACCTTCGGGATCAGTCCTACTTTCTGGGCTCTGCTTTCAGACAACTATCACGACTATCAAGCTGACCATTTGTCCTTGCTACAACCCCAAATCCAAAATATCAATGGCCATCCGCATGCCGCGATAAACCAGCGAGCCCGCGTTCCCGTATTCCAGAACATTATCACCCTCTTCGGTCCGTACAGAGAATAGCCCGCCCTCTGGAAAACGTGTACGCACGTCATCAGTCTCGTGAGCGCATGGGGTGCTGTATGTCTTCCTGAGTGTCGAGAGCACATGGAATAGACTCTCATCGTCCGTGTGACTCCCCTCAGAGAACGGTGAGAGCAGTTCATTTTGCAGTTCCCGCTCGGACGGGATCATAAAGGTGAAACGATCTGTATGAGATGCGCGTCAGCAGGTAGTACACTTTACTTGCAGTGGTGAGCATACCAAGCGTCAGGATACCCAATTTGTCTTCACATTCAATGACATCCAAGGTCTCGTCTTCTAGCGCCAGAGAGTCGCCTGTGTGGGTCTGGAGCGCGTTCACCTTGTCCTCAGCTGGCACGGACATCGGAACCTGTTCCGTTGTTTGGTTCCTCGTCCTGAGCCACTCCCACTCCTCCCCGCTTTCAACACTGCTCAGGCGCGATGGGAAGAAATTCGAGAGGAAGAATGGGTCCTTCGCCGACGCGTCCCCCGACGGGTACGCAATCCGCGTTGGACCGGCTCGCGAGATGGCGGCCGAGCTTTTACTGCGACGTGTTTGAGTACGCGCCAGTGTCCCGTGTTCCAAGAACGCAACGGCATGGGAGTGGTCGAGGAGGGCGGATTTTGATCGTGAAATCGTCATGGCGGTCGAGCCGTTGGCTGGCCAAGTCCGCCCCTGCTTTCATACGCCTTTTGAATGAGCGGGTGGAGAAGGTTGGCAGCCGCTAGCCCAGACTGGGAATCTACAGGGGCGAGGACATGACGATGTCCATCACGTACTAGCACTTGCACACTTCACGATCGAGATCCCGGCGTCGAGATGCAGATCCTTCTCTACTCGATTCGATGTTTATGCCCCTTTATGCCCGCGCGTGTGCCACTTGTTAGTATCGAGTTGCAGTGCAGTAGGGATACGCAACGCAATTCTTGAAACGAGCTTGAAGCTTGAGCACTTGAGTTGCTGAAAGCAGTCAGTGAAGTCTGCACGAAAGCGACAACAGCGTGTAAATTAGATTCCAAGTACTGATACGGCAGCGAGTTGGTATAACAAGGGTGAGGCATGGATATAACAACTCAGGACACGACAATGATGGAACCATGTATTATATGTATGTACGTCAGTCCGATGCAGGCAGTCCGTATGTCCGTTCATAAAAAGGGAGCGATGCCAGATGCGGCGGCGGACGGCACCAACGCCCATGTACCGCGCTAATGTACAAGATCGTGGTCGGGATCAACGAGAGCCGATCTGAGGATGCATATTCTGCGTAGAGGACCAAACACAAGCGCATTTTAGACGTTCCGTCTCCTGTCCTGCGAACGCTCAGGCGCCTCTGGGAACGGTACGGCCGATGGCCGCCGCGACTTTGCCTCCTCGGGACGCAGACCCAGCTCGACGTCCTGCTGGTGCTTCTGCCAGTCCTCGACCTTCAGCATCGACATCCGCTTCGACGACGAGCCGGCGCCAGGCACCGCCGCCAGTATGTCCGCGCTGAGTGCGCGGTTGCGCCCTTGACTGCCGTTTTGCTCTTGCAGAGGCTTCGAGCGCCGTCGCGACGCGTCGGGGTGGCCCGACTTGGCTGGCTTCCCGGCCTCTTTGCTGTACGCGGCGGCCTTCTCAGCCTGCCGCTTCGAGACCGCCTGCTTCTCGGCCGCCTTTGCGCGCTCCCACCGTATCTTCGCCTCCTGGACCTGCAGCTGCTCCTGCTCTGCGCGGGTCACAGGCTCTTGCAGCTGGCGAATCTTTTCCCGGTGACGCTCCTCGAGCTCCTCGAAAGTCAGCGTCCGTGTCGTCGTCCACGGGACTGTTTCCTCCTCCTGCTTTGGTGATGGAGAAACGACCGCCCGCTTCGGAGGAAGGATGGTCACGGGGATGCCGCCTGCCGAATGAGACCGGCTGTGCGACCCACGCAACACGACGGGAACTTCGATGCCAGAGGGCATCTTCTGAACTGGGATGGCGGATGGAGAGAGCTCCGGTGTCACGCCTCCTGCTTGATGGTAAGATAGCGTGCTCTCGCGTCGCTGGCGCATAAGCAGCGCCTCCTCGACCGCAGGCGAAATCGGCACCCTGGGCACAGGGCTTAGCGGCGTCGTGCCAATGGGCGGGGTGACGCCGGAAGGCGGCTGTAGCAGCTTGCGTTCACGGACATACGAATCCCAATCATCCTGCAACGGTACGCTTGTCGGTCTGCCCTGAGCGCCGCCAATGTCGGAGCCTCGTGAAAGGTTGGACAACTCCATGGATTGCACGCGAGCACGGGGGTCTGCCTGCCTGGGCGGGCGGAGATGTGACGTGGGAGGGGAAGTAAGGTCATAACCCAATGTGACCCGCGACGCGAATGACGGATGGCGTGACCCGGATGAGCTCGAGGGGTCAGGCGTCTCCGACTTAAGCACCTCGATTGACTTGCGGATGGTCTGAATCTCGGTCAACAACTCCTCCTTGCGCTTCAAATCCTCCAGCTCAGCCGCTGTGGGAGTTTTGTTCCTCGTGAGTCTGGGCGACATATAGCCGTCATCGTCCGCAATGTAACCCTTGGGAACGTCGTTCTCGATGTCGGTGCCCAAGTCAAGGACGGGCAATGCGCCAGGACTCTGGAGCAGCTTGTTGGCTGTCCGGTTGAGCTCATCGGAAGGAGGTGCCGCCGCCAAGAATTCAGAGACACCAGACTGATATCGCTGACGAGGGGTGGCTGCAAGGGAGAACGAAGACCCGGGACGCTCGTCTGAGGGCGTCATCCTATCGTCGCCATCCTTCAGTAGCAGGGACGATAGCCCACTTTGATTCCGGCCATGCTTGGTCAAAGTAGGATGCTCGCGCTCCCATTCTTCCTTCTCCCGCTCTAGACCGGTAAGGCCTACCGCAGCTCGCCTCTCAGCTTCCTCGTTTTGCCGCTTGGCTTCAGCCTGGATCTCCTTCAACTTCCGATGGAGCACCTTCAGCACCCGGAACTGCACCGCAACCCCCATGAGGGATAAAGCACCTATGAGCCCGAGCTCAATCTCCATCGTCTGGTTAATGGGAAACTTGATGCCATTTCCGGTGAACTTGGGGAACAGGGCGGTGAAACCCAAGTTCCAGACATAGAACTACATTCAATTAGATTTGATGCATATAGTGTGAGGAATGAAGGGGCACGAACCTCTTTGAGATCACCGGTTGTGTAGCAGTCGATCCCCAGAATCACAGCAGTAGCACCAACAAACGCAGTCGAAAGAAGCAGTATGTGGTAGTGGAGCTTTGGAAGCGTGCACAAGATGAAACCGATGGCAGCGCAGACTACGTAGACACTGATTAGAGACAATGTATGCCGATCTTGATGATGGAGACTCACTGATGTACAAAATCCATCGCAAGCCAATCGGTGATATTAAACCACCCGCCCTGAAGCATTGAATCCACAAGGCAAACACGAAGCCACCCCAGGCACCCACAAAGTATCTCGTAGCCTGCCAGAAGAATATGGCAATTCCACCGCCTGCGATCCCTGCGACTCCGCAAGCTAGCATGAATAGACCCCGAACGGTCGTGCTCGGGGGATTAACAGCTTGTAGGACGCCAAACTTGAGTATGAGAACAAGACAGACCAGGGCAAACGTGTACAGGCCGATGACAAAGAACGACGTCCAACGATTCTTGTGACCCCAGAATACGCACGGCAAGCCCGAGAGGATGAGCAGCGCGCCAAGTACACCGAACGCTGGGTCAATCCTGGTGTCTAGCGTGATCGGCGTAGGCGTGGCCGTGGCATTAGCCGTCGCGGAAGCGATGGCTGAAGCGTTAGCTGTAACGGTGACGTTATAGACGAGGGGAAGGGTAGTAGACACAGTGATATTCTGGTTCCCGGAGCGAATGGTCGTGGCGAATGTGGTAAAGCTCGTGGTAAGCGACAAGGACGTAGGTGCAGCAGACGTCTTGGAGGCAGAAGCTGATGACGCAGTCGAGCCCGACGTCGAGGCGAGTGTGGTGGAGGATGACTGAGCGGAGACGGCGCCAAAGAAGTAGACCGCGACGAGCAGACATGGCCAGATGATCGAGGGCCAGCGTGCGCGCGCGACGGCGACCATCGTGGGGGAGAAGGTAGGGGAGGTGGGGATGGCGGTGGCGGAAAGAAAGAGAGTCAGAGAAGGGAACGAGGCATGGCAAGATGGAGGCGGCCAGAGGAAGGGCTTTCGAGGCCGCGCAGGAAGGCGGCTGGAAGACGACCACGTGGGTACGCTACTGCGCGCTTCCCCATCTCTCTCCTCCGCTCGGCTTATCGTCGCACCACCACCTCGCATTCTTGTCAGCCTACCCGCCTTCTAGCACCTCTCTCTGTGCATATCTAACATTAGACCCGCCACAGATAACGCATGCCATTACATGCCGAATGAAATACATCTCTTACATGACAGCCTCCCTGACCGCGTGTGACAGCCCCCCTACCCAATTTCATCCGTACCACACCGTTCCTCCGAGGTGTTCGCGTAGCGTCGTCGTTCCCACATTCATCATGAGGCGATCCTCACTAAGAGCACAAGGGGTACCCCGCTTCTGATAAATGAAAGCGCAAGGTCGCCGAGGTTTTTACCATTACGAGAAATGGTCCAGCTTCGTCGGCCTGACACCCATCATCTTGAAAACCTCGCGCATCTTCTTGGGTTCGTCTTTCCACCCTGGCTTTCCCCTTTTCATCGCAGTCAAATGCCGAGCCTCCAAGACGCTGACAACCTTTCCGCTCCGTCCGAACCGACCAACGCGCCCAGCGGCATGCACATAAGTATCGACCGGACGGTCCTCCGGTACGCCTAGAATAAAGACGTGTGTAAGATGGGGTAAATCAATCCCACGTGTCGACGCGAGCGTGGAGACCAGCAGAACAGGGCTGTCCGTCGGTGGGTCGGCAGAGTTATGCATCAAGAATGCGTTGCGCGTTTCGGATGCGTGTATGTTGAGTCCATGTGCGTTTACTCCAAACCCACGCAGTGCGGTAACGACCTCCAGCAATGGCGCTGATGCAGGCAAGACAAGCAGCGCGAGACTCGGTACGTCCAGAGCAAAGGCTTCTGCGATTACTTCTAGCGCATGTGAGTTGAATGGAAGATTCGGCGCCATCTCTGCCACACGAGACGCGAGGTGAGCATCTTCATGGTACATCAAACCTCGCTGACACGCACCTTCCATTAAGCCCACCGCTTCACTGTCAGGTGCAATGTCCGTTTGATGGTCGGCGCTTGGCTGGGTCTCGGACCTGTTCTCGCCAGTTGCCATTTGTATGTTGGCGGCGCTCCCGTCTGCTGAAACGACCAGTGCGTGATGCTGTATCGCCGTACCTCCGATGCGACACCGGTCATCATCCTCTGGGATCGACTTCTGGTCAACAACCTCGGGTATCTTCGCCCAGCTATGAGGCCCTTTGTTGAACCATCCACTCTTCAGAAGTGAACGCCTGTAGTCTGCGCGAAGAGTAGTGCTTGACACGATGATCTGTGGGCCGCCCCTGATAATGCCTGTCGAAATCTGCTCTTCTCCTTTTATAAAGTCAAACTTCCGCTTGATTTTCCATATCTGATCGAGGATCTGCCTCGCAGGGCTTGGGTGTTTTTTTATTTGCTGCAGCGCTTTTATTCTCGCGCGTGCATTGGTGTTGTTCGGTGTGCCTTCGATCACATAGTCCGCTTCGTCCACCACGACCGTCTTCAGCGAGTCCAGCATGAGCACCTGTGGGTCTTTCTCGAGCACGTCGAGCAGCGCCGGCGGCGTGCCGATGACCATATGCGGCGTATGTGCGTGAAGGAGAGCGAGCTGTTCCGCGAGCGGTATTTCCTTATTACGGACGATAACCTGTGCAGTCTGCGCGAGGACCTCCGGGCGACGCATGGCGCTATGAATCAGCTCTATCCAGTGTATAAACTGGTACGCCAGATCTCGATGGGGTACGATGAGCAGGGTCCCAATAGCGGGTGGTCCTGTTCTCTTCCATTGTCCGTGCTCAGGGAAGACGGACTTTTGTGTCCAGCCCTTGCTCAAAAGTGCCAGAACGAGACCAAACGACCTGTATCTGAGGTAAATATACGCAATACATTGCTGCAGCGGAGTGAATACGTACTTTCCTGTTCCAGTAGGATCCTGCAAGAAGACATCCTTCCCTCCTAATACAGCGGAAATGAGCTGCTGTTGGGTGCTTGTTGGGTGCTCTACGTTAGGAAACGCTTGCGGTAGAGCGTGTGCAATGGGCTTTGGTACCCCGACATCAACAAACGTCACACGGCCATCTTCTCCTTGAAAAGAGTCGGTCGGTTTGAGGGCTGTTACGCCGTCTTCCTCAACTACTTGAGATAATCGTGATTGGTATCGACAGCATTGAAGAACGCGTGGCGAGTAGCCCAGATATCTATAATACGATGCACAGAATGAAGGAGGCGACCACCTGAGAAGTCTCATGCAGGACGACGAAATGGAAAGCAAAGCCGACACAAGCGCCCTAACATCTTCGGCGCCTGGAATCGCAATCGTCAATTTGAATGCGTGACCGAACGGACATCAAATTCGCCGGCGGCTCGTCAGCCACCGCCTGAACGTGCGGATGCAAATATATAGAGTGAAACAGCGCGGTCATAACATGCAATTGTGAGTAAAGAGAGTGCTATTAAGATGTGGATGGTAATGTGTGGGCTGCAGGGGGTGAGGATGGACAGGCAAGAGCCAAGAAACGGGACACAGCCATCACGACATCGTCGCACATCTCCTATGAGGCATTCCTTCTGCCTTCCGTCGCATGCGAAGGGCCGTCAGGGGAAGTATCCTGATGTTCTTCAGCGGGTGCATTGTCCATCCTCGGCAGTTCCTATTCATCGCCCTGGATGGGCTGGTAGCTGGCGCGGTCGGGACGTCCGAATAGGCGGCCGAAGAAACCTGGTCCTTGCGAGTCAGGCTTTGTTCTCACGACGCCAGACCTCCTGCTACGAGATGAGCGTCTCGACACCAGAGACGCCCTTTCGGACTCTTCGTCCTCCATTCTTTCCTCTAACTCCTCTAAAGAACCGATGTGAGCGCCAATATGCGTAGGTCTTGCTGACACTCACCTTCACCGAATACTGCATCCATCTCCTCGAGAGGCACGCCTCTTGTCTCAGGGTAGACTGTGGAGTGATCAATTTTGTGAAAGTAGTATTAGATGCATAAGCTTACGGAAGTAAACTGAATATGCGAGCGGGTTAGTGAGTTGTTGTGAACCGTACTCTAGGTCGCGGGGTGACTCACCGACGATGAAACTGCACACACAGAAGAATCCGTGCATCGGATACAGCCGCCATTCAATATGTTCCTGGAGGAACGGAGTAATCTCTCCCACAAGAAAGTTGAATGCCCAGTTGGTTGCTGTCGAAAGAGAGACCCCCTTAGCGCGAACAGTGAGTGGCAGGATTTCGGGCGGACTAGAGAATAGATGGGTCAGTAGAGGTTCTCTTGAGCTAAGGAATAGCGCACAAGAGCCAAGGAATGGGCCCCCAACTAAGAGCTTGGCGTCAGCAGGGTGCAGAAGCATGTATAGTTTAAGAACATATACCTGTATCCGAACGCGGCGTTGAAAATGATCACACAGAACACAACGGCGCGCGGAGTTTCTGGCACATCTATGTACATCCACCAACCAGTGAGACCAAGAGAGATTGCCATCTACCCGCCACGGATTAGCACTGTTTATCGCACAAATATGGAGCTTCTACATACCACGATCGCTCCCGACAACAGAATAGGCCGCCGACCGAGACGATCAACCAGATACCATCTAGTTACGAGTTATCGAATCAATTGAGATTTAGGGAAGGGCGCGTCACCCACGTCGGTAGAGTACTCAAGACGTAGATAGTTGCATTGATACCGGTCATGAGGATAGCATCGCGACCCAGCCAGCCAGCCTCTGTATGATGTTAGCTACGGATCGACAGGAATGTGCGGCAGCAAACCTTCAAATACGCGGGCTGTAGCCAGATGGGACATTAGTACAATATAACAGAGTTATCGATTGCAGACTTACGAGCATAATATGAAATTACTGCAACAGAAAGGAACGTCAGTTTACGGACATAGAGAAAGTAAGTGCATTACCGTTAATGCCATTCTGAATCGCGTTGCGTCTGGTATCAACGTCTGGACATGGTAACAGACCCAGAGAACTTACTAGTTGTGCGAATGCTTGCGATGACATTGCGAGTAGTACTCGTCGCTTATATTTTTGCCACATCACGGCATACGAACGGGCTTCTCCGCTTTCACGCTGCATCAACATCAGTATAGGCAGCAATTTGAAGGCGGTCAGACAAACCTCGAACATCACTCGGTCTTTAATTTCTTGGAATTCTGCGTTGGCGATCTCATCATTGGGATCGCCACCATGGAGGTCAATTAGCACCCGTAAACCCTCGTCATCTTTGTCTGTATCTATGAGCCATCTTAAAATGCGAGTGGTACTTAGTGAGGTTAGGTAGAGTGTTACAAGGTATGCTGACCGTGGGCTCTCGGGCATCAGAAGCGATCCAGCAGCAAGGATGACCCCAATGACACATTGTATGAAAAGAGGGACTCTCCAGGAAAGATCGGAGTCCATGAAAGAGCAGAAGTAGTCGATCCACTGTGATTTGCTATCAGCCAATAGCAAAACAATGCTCAGAAGAACCTTCCGCACCACAGATGACGCGTATCCGAAGACGTTGCCGGTGAATTCCATACATGCCAATGCACCTCTCTACAACCGAAGGAATCATCAATAAGTCGACAGTGTGACCATTGCACTGTACGCACATGTGTCGGAGGAGATATTTCACTTTGGTATATAGGGACAATCGTTCTGATATACGACATAGACAATGGGCTCGGGTCGACAGCACGAACAGAGGGCTGCAGACGTACGACAACAGACCAACGCCGAAGCCGGCAATGATACGGCCCACCACCATCACCCAAAATCCAGGAGTGAAGGTTTGGACGGCACCTCCAACACCGAAAATGACCGCGCCGATGAAAAGCGTGCCACGACGACCGAGTCGATCTCCCACTTGCCCAGCAGCGAGCGAGGTAACTAAACGACGTCATGGGTATTGTAGGAGGCGATCAATACACACGATACGTACTGAAGGCGCCTATCTCCAGGACGGCGACCATGGTACCGACCTCGATCGCGCCTGGACTATTGAAGAACTTGCGGAAGTGAGGGCCTGTGATGACCCCCGACATGACTCTGTGGCTGCTTCAGATTGCGTTGAGCGTTGTAGTGCGGATATACTTACCCTTGATCATATCCGAACTGGGCCCAGGTGTCAATCATGCCAGAGACAGAAATGTATTGCGACTCACGAGAAAGACACCCAGACTAGCAAACACGGAGATGGCGTACAGGAGAGGCTGGCCGACTAGCCTGCTTCGAGAGCGAGTAGATGCGTCCATGCTGCATCTGGGGAGGAAGAGAAGGAGATTGCTGTGGAGGTATCCAGCACGGTTGCGGCGAGGGAAGCTATGACGGGGGGCAATGGGAGGCGCAGCGCCGCTCTCCGCGTGTCTGAGGTCCGGCCGGTGCCGACGGTGCGGACCCCGTTCACGGCCAACGTGACCGTAACGCGCTTCACGCTGCTCGACGCTCCTGCCGCTTCCAGCCGCGCCCGTCCACCATGCCGCACTCAGTCGCCTCCCTCGATTCCGTATCAGTCTCATCGGACGGCTCCCATGACTTTGACGACGACGAGCTTCTCATAGCCGAGCAGGAGTGGAGGGAGAGCTTGGGTCAGCTGCAGCAGGTCTTTGCCGTCGTGTTCCTTCCTATCTTCGGCCGCTGGTTGGGCAGAAAGTGGAGTTTCTGGGGTGCGCTTTTCGTGGTGTTACTGCGTCCCTAGCGAGTTCATTGTCTTCGTACAGCATATGCCCGCTACCTGAGGCTTGGCCTCAACAGCGCATTCTTCTTTGGCGAGCGCAGCCCCACTCCGTCACATTGACATTCATACGCGCTGACCATGTACGTGATTAAAAGCGATAGCGCATATTCCGTCTTGTCCGTGTTCTAATCCTCTGTATCAACTCGAAAAGAGCCTTCGCAGGTGTGAAACCACTATTGTCGAGATCGGCTACAAGCTCCTGTAGCAGCGCCCACTCCTCTCTTTTATATAGCCCGTGCAGTAGGATGAACCATGTATCGTTGGCTGGGAACACCCTCCGCTGCAGCATGTCCCTGTAGTATTGCATTGCGTCTTGGACACCTTCCGCCCCTGGGTTGTCAAAACACGCCATGATGAGAGTGTTGAATGTCGTCCGCACGGGCTTGATCCCGCGAGCATCTATCTTCTGCCATATAGTCCGTCGGTATTCCCGAGCAACCTTGCGATCAAGCCAGGTACCTCGATGGATGCCGGTGAGGATGCTTGTATATGTGATTTCGTTCGGTTGCGCCTGCGGATCAACACTTCGTTCCATCTTCTCCAGCAGCTCCATTGCCGTCTGGAGAGCCTTCTCCGACTGCTCCTTCACTTGGTGGTCGATGATGGCGGTCAAGGTGGCCGTATTCGGCTTCACGCCTTGCTTTTCCATCAAGTTAAGCACTATGCGAGGCGCGTCGTCCCGAACTTTGAGCAAGGCCGATAGGACTGTCGAAAAGGTAAAGACATCCCCGACAACACCTGCCGACTCCAGCATCTGCAGCATGCTCGCGAGCGTCTTCAACTTCCCAGCGCGGCCGTAGTATCTGATGAAGGTGTTGAATGTCACGATGTCAGGCTTCGGGCCCTTCGCTAGCATCCCATCCAAGATCTCACGCGCTTCCGAGTCTCTAAAGTGGAACAGAAGGCCGTGTATAGCTGAGTTGTACACCACGAGAACTTCAGATTCCAAAGGCGGCGGCGAGATATTTGGGAGATCCTTCTGGAAAGCGTGGAATCTTTTGAGGGCTTCGTCCATGTGACCGGAATGATACAAGGCGTAGATGATGGCACGGTATGTCATAGCATCGGGCTTGACTCCCTGAGTACGCATGATATCCCATGAATTGATAGCCTCATTGACCGCCTTCATATTCGCATACCCGTCAATGAGAGCCGTCCACATCGATATAGGTGGTCGGACACCTAATTTGAGGGCATCGTCCCACAGCTTCTCCGCGAACGTCGTATCCCGACATCGTAGGAAGCCAGTAAGGAACGAAGGCCAAATGAACTCTGGCACGACGACGGGCTTCTGTGCGCTTTTCTCATCTTCCTTCAGTGTCATCCAGGCGTCGGGACCAGTGAGGCCGGCGAGGATACCGTTGTATGTTTTCTGCAGTGATGTCAGGGCATTATCGCGGATGAGGTTTGCAATGTGCCGCGACAGAGCTGCGGGGCGGGAGACCAATCTTGCGACCTCTAGGCGACGCGCGAAGTCTTCTACTTTCCGACGCAGCTTCGGGTCGTCCTTGAGGATATTCAGGAACTCCGTGAGGGTGTCATCGCTGAAGCGAGACATAGTCTGCACAGCGAGCAGCAGTGCACCTTCAAAATTGTCCTGCATGGCGTAAGCAGTGACGGCGCAAAGCAGGACGTCGCCGCGAACGAGGTTTGCTGCAACATGCTGCGAAGAGCCTTGTCGACTACTCCCCACCCCGTTTTCATCGGCCTCAGAATTTTGCTCGGCATTCGCCCATGAGACCTTGTCCCCGAGCTGCGCTCGATACCGTTCATACAGTCGCAGCACGGCGTCAGCGTCTCCTCGCGTTATAAACGAGAACATGTAATGCTTCAAGCCCATCGTAGCCCCACTAACAGCGACGGCCACCGCTATCTCGTCCAAGGCTTCCTGCTCTTGCGGGGACCAGGATTCGCTCACAGAATGTTTCTGACAGACAACAGCAACGATGCGGCTGTACATGTCATAATGCAAGGGCCCGAGGAAGCGTAGCAGGTCCTGTTGCTTGAGCGAGTGCCAAACGGTCCGCGCCTTGCGCCAGTTGGAATGACGAGCTGCGTCTTGTAGAACAGAGACCGCTCTGTTGAACACATCGACCTGGGAGCCCGTGAGTTCTGCGACGGCTCCACCTTGGAAATGCTGCAGCTGTCGGTCCAATCTGTCAATGAGTTGCCTAGGACTCAGACGGCTATAGTGCTCGGAGCTTGCGGATAAGGGTGCTGGTGGAACAGGCGATGTATCGTTCGTGGCTAGGTGTGGGCTATCAAATTGGGGCGACTTGGAGAAGGCTGCATTGGTGCTATTCGCTCTACGGAGCACGCGGGGTGCCAGGAAGTCGAGCAGGACGATGTGCTGGGTTCCGCGAGTCGCATGGCGTGCAAGCATACGCAATAGCTCTCGAGTACGATATCGACGTACTTAAATCTGCAAGTCTGCACGTGAGAAGGAGGAGTGGTATACAGAGGACACATTGCAGCAGGACGTACCTGTTTGTGTTCTCGCGTCGGATTGTAATTAGCGAGAACAGTCTCGCACACAGCCCTCTGGGTTGGGTTGAACGTTTCGAATGGTGGGACAGAGCGAACCAGACTCGTCAAAGTAGCGACTTCCCGAAACGCGCTAAACGAGGATGCAGGCGAGGGGCCAATCAGAGTCCAGCACACACACGTGATAGCGCTCGACCGCGTCCACTGCGAACTCACACTACGTACTATCTTTGCTCTAACGTTGATCTCAGCTTTGCTTGTCGACCACTGTTTGGCCGACGCACGTAGATAATATGGGTCACGGAAACTCGGATAAGCTCTACGTGACTCACGCAGAACATGCTGGTCTTTACGGTCAACACACCGCATCTTCGGCGGGTTACAAAGCGTAAGTACGGCCAGACATTCTACACAGTCGGTGCTCATGTTCTCATACACTTAGGAAGGGCCAGGCGCCCCCTTCTAGGGCTGTAACACCCTTCGATTGCTGCGCCCTCTCATTTCAGCCCTTCACTCATCCAGTCTGCGCACGCAACGAAGATGGCACTGGCAGCGTGTTTGAATTAACCAATATCATACCTTGGTTGAAGTGTGTTACCGCATCTATACAACCTTACCTCAATACTAACGTGTACCTCACTGGTTAGGCAGCATAACAATACGAACCCCGTTACTCAAGAACCACTCGCCCCGGCTGACCTCATTACTCTCCACTATTCTCGCAAACCATCGGGAGAGATTCACGACCCCATATCATTCAAGCCATTCAGTGAGCATTCACATATTGTTGCCATTGCGACGACAGGCAACGTCTTCTTGGCGGAGAGTGTCAAAGGTGGCAGAGATCTGGTTGCGGATGTGAAGTTCAAAAAGTGCGTAGTAATATCAGTATCTGACGTCGACCTTGCTGACGACTTGCTATAGAGAGGATGTCATCACAATGCAGAATCCCCACGCTCTGCCAACAGCGGTTGTCCCAAGGGCCCAAACAGAGACCGCAAAGGCGGCGCCTACGAAGGCTGCAGCTAGCACTTCAGCAGTGTCTGTGGCAAAGTCCAAATCAGCTGTTCCATGTACGCTGTTTCTTCCTCCTACTGATGACTTAAGTTGAAACTCGTACACAAGGGAACATTTCACCATATTCCACCGGATTGCCTGGTGCCTCGTTGACGTCAACATCTATTGATCCTCAGACGAAGACATCGCAGCTTGTATGGGATGAGGTAAGTATTTTCGCTGTATTCAAAGATGTGTGCTTATCCAACATGGCGTGCAGGAGGAGCTAATGTTCGACGACTTCGCGAACCTTCCGAAAGGCAAAGGCAAGGAGAAAGACATCGGGAAAAGGCGAGCATACGTCCGCGTAGTTACAACTCTTGGCGGTGGTAGCTTGAACCTCGAGCTGTACTGCGAAAAGGTGAGGTTCTCATGTCACAGTGGGATGTCTCGACTGACCTCGAATCCAGGCTCCCAAAACATGCTATAACTTCTTGCAACTAGCCAAAGCAGGAAAATATAATAATTGTCTCTTTCACCGTCTCGTGCCCGGATTCATGGTAAATTCTCTCTACTACCAACACGATCATGCAAACTCATTACTCTGAATCTAGATTCAAACAGGAGATCCCGCAGGCACTGGCGCAGGTGGCGAGTCATGTTGGGGGACGCCCTTCCGCGACGAGCATGATATGCGAAACGTCGCAAAGCATGATTCGCGAGGCGTTGTGGCCATGGCCAACAAAGGCCCCGGGACCAATGGGTACGTACCTAGAGCAATCGATTGCACTATGAAGTGCTCCAGCTAAACAATAATGCGCAGGTCTCAATTCTATGTAACATTCCGTGAAACACCACACCTCGACAAGAAGCACACTGTATTCGGTAAATTAGTCGGAGGGGAAGATGTGCTCGACGCTCTAGAGGCACTTCCCGTCAAGCCCGGTACTGAACGACCGGCAAAGTCAGTACGTATATCGGAAGTGATCATGTATGTGGCACGCTCTCGCCGTTTAAGCAGGTGACACATCGCTGATTCGGTTTTTAGCTACCAAGATCCCTTTGAGGAGTTCAAAGAGCGCAGGCAAAAGAAGTTAGCGCGAAGAGCGGAGGCCGAGGAGAGTGCTCGTGCGGGTGCTCAGATTGAGAAGAAGGAGAGCGACGACATTAACTGGTTCGGCACGAAGGTGGGATTGGAGGCCAAGGGAAACCGCGGAGGTGCTGGTGAAGGTGTCGGAAAATATCTCACTGGTGTTGGGAACAAACGACCAGCCCTCGAACAAATAACCAGACCAGCGGACGACGTCGGCATCCTAGACGAGTCTAAGAAGAAGCGTAGGATAGGATTTGGGGACTTCTCAGGGTGGTGAACCAATCATGTACATCCGATCTATATATTACACACCTGCTGTACAGTACATATCTGTCGATAATGGTATAGCGAATGACACTCATGCCGCGACAGGAACCCGTTCTCGTTCGCGAGGACTGGCTTCTTCCTGTACCTCTACGTCCATGGTACATGTGAGCAGGGCATGTAATTATTTGGTGCGGCTTACCTTCCGGCGCCGCCACGGGCTCTCCCGTTGGTGCTGAAGGAAGCTGGATACGCCTATCTGCTTCCTTTGCGCCAGTCTGAATGGACAAATGTCAGATTCACAAGTGCGAGTCCAACGACAAGACAAAACGTACCGCCTCTGTCTGGAGAGCCTGCAGCTCTAGCTGCACTGCTTCCTCATCTTCGGAGGTCAAGTTATTGGCGAGCATCTCGTCAATTTCCTGCATCATTGTGAGGACACCAAAAATGAACACGAGCAGATGGCGGCGCACCCTCTGATATTCTCTTGCTTCCTGAGTCTCTTCGAGCAGCTTCTCCACGCTCTCGATGTTCATTTCCTTGTGGATCTGCTTGAGAACTTCGTTTCCCTGTTGCAGCCCGTGCAATACAGACACTTCGATCATAGAGAATTCGATTGTGGACACCTGCGCCAAGTTCAAGGGGCAAGGAATCAGTGCTAAATGAATAACCCGATGGTAGCCAGCAGCATACCAGCTTCTCGAGATTCTCTAGTTGTCCATCCGTCTTAGCAAGTAGACTCTCTTGGTACTTCCGCTGCCGCAGAGTAGTGAGAGCGCGCCCCTTGTTCCCGGCCGCCAATTGCTGCTTCGCTATCTCATGTTCGCGTTCGAGGACGGCTTGAATCTTCCATTCCCCTGCCCGTCAGCATTCCTGTGTATCATTGAGACGCAAGAGAGACACGAAGACGACATACCTTCTTCTGGTATTGTTTTACTTTATCGCGCTGTAGCTTTAAGCTACACAGAACTTATTGGCGTCATGCATGCGGCAGTTTACGAATGAACTGACTCTAAGATAGCACGGTCTTGCTTTGTAACTTTCGGTACTGACTGATTTCCGCCCATGAGATACAGGTGAGGGCCTTCACTACGCCAGAGTGGCTGTAGCAGCAGGCTCACGATCAATTACGTATGATGGGCTTATCACATGCCAGGCAACAATTTAGCAAACGCAAAGGTAGGTTTCAATGATGGCATAGAATGTAATTTTACAACGAGAAAGTATATGCGAGAATAATGCGTAATAAAGATATCCGACACTAGCAGATACATAGACATACAACCCGAGTGACACATTAGAAGTGTGTGCTGGGGTCCAACCGATTACATGGTAGGTACCACTTGGGAGCTGCCATAGATGATCCCATCTGGCATGGCATCTGTCATGGACATGAAGTCTAGCTGAGGTTGTGATTGAAGAGGCATGGTCGTGGTCGCGTAGATTTCACCACAGGTCTGCTCGATGAAGTCGTGCAACATATTGCCATACCGGTCTACACAGTGTGCCGATCAGTATCACTCTTTGATTGTGGTGCGCGCAAGACCTACGAGCCATAGGGACATGGTCCCCCACCCGGAAGAGTGACATCCTGTTCAATCACAAATGGCCAGGGTCAGAGGTCCGCGTCATGTACACATAGGCCTCGGACCCACTGAATATAATCAATCTCGTTTCGGAGCGTCGTGCACAACTCGTCGTTGTGGATGTCTATGGCAGCCCGCATAAATCTCGTGAGGACCCGTCCAGACATGAACCAGCACATCTGACGTCAATGTAAGCCCACCAGCGTGAACGACATGAAGGGCGAGAACGGACCATCGGGAATAATCCCAGCAACCGCAGATCATAGCTGGTTGAGCATACACTGTACAACATATCCAAGATAGTCCGGGCTGCCGTCAATATCTTGCAGGAGGAGACACAACTGTTATTCCCGACTACCGCATGTGGTTCATGCATAAGCATTTCAGCGCTGCGGACAAAACAGTGAGAAAAGAGGAATTGAGATGCAGGTATCCGTTACTGACTAGGGGATGGCATTCGTGGCGGCGAAGAGGTGGGGGTCAATCTTATCTCTCGTAGGATTCCTGAGATGTGGTGGGAACGACGACTTGAACACAGCGAGGGTTTGATCGAGTTGTCGGAAGGCTGGCGAGTCGCGGGGGTCGACCGTCTCGCTGGCCACGTCCGGCGGGACGGGGAAGATGACATTCGGATCTCCCGTGAAGAACCTGGAGCGGAAGCGGAGGTTGAAGTTCTTCACCTTCGAGAGGAGTATGGTAGACTTGATGTAGAGAATGAAGCCGTCGACTTGGTTTCCCGAGTGGACAAGCAAGACATCATTCTCGTGCGACCACTGCCGTTCTTCCGGCAGAACCAGAAGCTGACATGAATGTAAGAGAAAGGAGCATGCACATAAACGCAGACACCTACCCCTTGTTCGAACTGGTCATGCCGTACTGGAAGCAGCTGAGAAACATCGTAATCATCCAGAGCCATCGCCCATCCGTTACCGGTTCCATGTATGCGCTCATATGCATACCCTGCAGCATTTATCAATTTTTATGCTATGAACACAGTAGAAGTACGCTGACCGATCCAAAATGCATTTCGTCTTGTCTCATCTTCGATCACGGTCTTGGCCAAGGGCAGTAGCGATGGAGGCCGCAGAGTCTCAGCGATTGTGTTAAATGGCGGGCAAACATTCAAACCACAAGGGAGAGAGTACCGCAATGCATGTGATGTAGTAAGGAACGCCTGTGATAACCCAGCTACTGTCACCACAGATACTTTGCATTGAAAAGAATGATCAAACCTCGGCCCATCTAAAGAAAGCGGACGCCGTCAATAACGTTATATTTCTGGTGCATGTTGACTTACTTGGCGTTGCACCAGTACCACCAGGATAAGAGAATCAAAGCTATTTATATAACCATGCTTAGAATCCGCATCAAAGAGACCGGTGGCAGCCTACCCTGAACATTCTGGAAGAGTTCTTTCGTCACGTCCATCGCACCATCAAGTGCGACCCGAGCATACTTTGCCTGAATTTCCGAGAAGGAATCCGGTATGCCCTCGTTAGCTTTGTACTTGTCGGGAAATATATCATCTATAGAACCCTTTGATCAATGGGAATCAATGTGTAGCATTGAAGCTGACGCACAAGGGGAAAATTCGGGGGAACTCGGGTTGACCGGACGCGGTACAGCGGCCGTATACATGCTGCCCACTGCGCATATAGCGTGTAGGACAGACGTGGCGGGGAACCGCGGGTGAGTAGGAGGCAGGGTAAGCGTCGATAGGAATGTGGACTGATGGAACAGACGGTTGGCATCAGGATGATACGTGAAGAACGCATCCACTCTGTGATCCGCATGTTAGCTTGTTAGTATCGTGGTATCTTACGAGAAAAGCACAATGAACTGACAAATGTCGCAGAAACGTTGGCTCCGGTAGGTTCTTCGGCCATGTGTTATACAGCATGCCGAGACCGGGATCGGGACTGTGGATCGACGAGCTAGGGGTAGCATCATTTGTCCCTGGCGATGCGGAGTTTGCACTGGTATGAGTAGTGGATGGTGGCATAGACGGCGCGCTCATGAAAGAAGCGACGTCAGCTAGATTGCCCAACGCAGATCCAGACTGGAACTGCTGGAAGTCAAGAGTGGGATCTATGATCATTCCGGTTTGGAAGGGGTTCATGTCCACATTGCCGCCAAAGGTAGAGGACGAGGCGATGCCTGCTAGTGAGGCTGCCAGAAAGTCCTGATCCGTCTGGTTGTTAGCAGCGACATGGTCTAAACCTGCCGATTGTGACTGTGGCGGCGCCGCGGAAGCCGATGCAGGGTCTTTGTCGCGGAGTAGAGCTTCGAGCTCGTCTGGGGAACCTGGTAAGCATGGCTTGTGTAGAGCCGAAAAGGAGTACTTGCTGATTCTGTTTTCGAGCCTCTCAAAGCGGCTTTTTGGGTTATCGAATGGGTCCGAACTGTCCGCATCAGATACTGGTACCGGTGATCAAAAGGTCTGAGGATGTGTCTATTCGGGTATTAAAACAACAGTGGCGCACCTTCGTCGAAAGTGCAGACAGGATGTTCTGGAAGTTCTGCTCCTTCAGGAGCGTGCGCGACAGCATAGGAATGCGACCGTGCGCATGTAGAACATGGTCTCTTGGCGTCGCTGTGGACAAGCGAGGACTTGTGTTAGCATCGGGCTTCGGTCACCCGCCGAAGTGACGAACCATTTCTGTACAGGGGATAAATATTAAATGACCAGTCGTAACCGAAGTGGGCGAAACGTGGTAGGATGAACTACTCACCAATTTCCGTCTCCGACACTGGTGACATGCCTGGTAGTGTGCAGGAAGACAGGGGATCAGTCGGGACGAGTGACAGCACTCCGGACAGGCCGACCTGATTTCTCCTCAATACATGGGCGCCATGGAGCTGCGGGCCCGAGCCGTTTGAACTGGATGAAGAGACAACTTTGGGCATTGGTACTGTGAAGGGCGGGCGCTGAGATCAAGGATAGCGACAACGCATGATGTGTGCCCTAGGGGCTGTGGTAGCCGATAGCGCCCCGAGGGGTCGTCGGTGTGCTTACATAAAAAGAATCTACGCAACAATGGCTATGTCGAGCAGTCCGTGATTAGTTCATTACTGCTCTGCTGGACGGCGTGCTCGCTGCTGTGCATGCCATACCTGTGCTGCAGCTGGCAGTGGACAGGGAAGCCTACGCTGCTATCGAGTTGACCGTCGATCATTTCATTACCGCAACATGTGCGGATCAATGCTTGTTCCCATACTCGATCGCAGCCAAGGCCCAGCAGCGACATACACATACTTATATGTATGCACGGCCGGCCTCTTAGTTCCTGCAGTTCCTGGCGCCTGCGCATGGGATCTTGAGAGCCCATGCTGCCCCGGACACCCGTTCCCGTATATCGATAACGTTGCGTCGAGTCAATATGGAGATAAAGCAGCGTCCTCTTTCCCAGCGTGCGTACATCCACCCCTCCGTCACCGTTGACGCTCCCTCTACCGGTCTCAATCACATCAACCCCGGTTGCCGTACGCCATGAAGATTGACTGGAGCAGAGTCGATCAACCCGAGATCGCCTTCCAGCGCTTCCCCAGCCGTAGATCGCAGGTCTATGGCACCAAGGGTATGGTGGCTGCATCGCAGCCACTAGCTGTTGAAGCCGGCCTTGAGATTCTTAGGAAGGGTGGCAATGCAGGTAAGAAGCAGAATCCATTGCTGCCGGAACAGGCCTCACTGAACGTTATATTATGCATGACCAGCCGATGCTGCCGTTGCTGTCTCCGCTGCTCTCAATGTAACTGAACCGAGCTGCTGTGGCATTGGCGGGTCCGTATATTGGCAGGCTTGCATTTCCTTCGTCCAGCTCACTGGCATGCCGTTTCAGTGACGCATTCTGCCTCTTCTATGACGCCAAAACTCAGGTGGTAAAGGCCATGAATGGCTCCGGACGCTCCCCCGCCAAGTTGTCAATCGACTATGTCCGACAACAAGGTCTCACAGGGACGACTATTCCGGCCACCAACCTCAACAGTGTAACCGTCCCAGGTCGGTGCATGATGTTTCATGGGACAATCCGCATACTAATCCCACCCGCTACTCTCCTCAGGCTGCGCCGCGGCTTGGGTGGACACAGTCGCAAAATTCGGCAGCGGAAAGCTCAGCATGGCCGAAGTTCTAGACCCCGCAATCAGGCTCGCAGAAGAAGGGTACGCACTCATGAGCTTCCCTTGCCATTGTACTTATGACGAGTCGTAGAGTGCCCGTTTCGGAGATCCACGCGTTCGCTGTGCGTCCTATCCACTATGAATTCGCACACCCGGTCATAATCTGTTGAACGTACAGTGGAAGCGGTCGGAGCAGCTTATCAAGAACGCTTCTCCCAACGCCGACGAGATGCTCTTGAACGGCAAGGCGCCTCTGCCAGGGCAGATCGTCCAACTTCCAAACCTCGCGAAGACCTTCCGCTCCGTAGCGGAGAAGGGAAAGGACGGCTTCTACAAGGGCTGGGTCGCCGAGGCCATTGTCGAGCTGATCCAGAGCAAAGGAGGTGTGATGGAGCTGGATGATCTCGCGAATCACGAAACTTCGTTCGTAGACCCTATCAGCTACACGTTCCAGAACGAAGTCACTCTCTACGAAGTACGTTTTGGCTCTTCCTATATCTCCGAGCGGCGATTTCTCACTGACGGCGATCCGTTGGCAGTGTCCACCCAACGGGCAAGGTATTACTGCCCTTCTCGCGTTGGGAATCCTGGAAAACATGGAGGCGCAAGGTAAAATCAAATCATTGCTGGAGATGGAGCACAACTCTACAGAGTACTTGCACGCTCTTGTCGAGGCACTCCGGTCCGTCCTTTTTTCGCGCGTTTTTAGAGTTTAATACTGAATTAAGATTGCCCAGACTCGCGTTTGCGGGTATGTTAACTGCTCTTGGACTGCGTGCTGGTCTCATCGTGCGCTCGTAATCCTAGATAGTCAATATTACGTCACAGACCCCGACTTTGCCAAAATCCCGGTCGCTGAACTGCTCAGCAAGGTAGGTCGTGGTGGTGATAGATTGTGACGGGGCATAAAATATGGGTTTCAGGAGTATCTGGCGTCTCGGGCGAAGCTTTTCGACCCAAGCAAGACCAACCCGCAAATAGTTCACGTAGGGTCTTCATTTATCCGCCTTATCCAGGATCTAAAGGAATTACAGGGCAACCCGGTGTTCTCGTCAGACACTGTCTATTTCTCTGGTACAGTCTTTACACGTCGTAGAAGGCGTGACCAGTTGTTTATGCACCACTTATAGTGACCGATCAGTGGGGCAATGGATGCAGTTACATCCAGAGCAACTATGCAGGTGAGCCATCGCCGATTTCCTGGCAGATTTTGGGGAAGAAACTAACGTTGGGACAGGTTTCGGAACGGGAGGTATGTCGCAATAGTGTTACCATTCGCCCATTGCCCTCGACCAACATGATCCGTGCAGCTGTGCCGAAGGGATGCGGTTTCACGTTGCAGAACCGTGGTAGTAACTTCAACTTGAATCCCGAGCATCCAAATGCTCTCAAGGTATGGCGTCCTGCTGATGGGTCACACAGCATACCTACTCATGCCGTAGGGAGGGAAACGACCGTACCATACAATCATCCCAGCCATGGCTACGAGGGGCAAGGAGCTTTTCCTTTGCTACGGTGTCATGGGCGGCTTCATGCAGGTTTGTCAACTTTTCGCGCTCGACCCCCCTTTGGACGCTGATATCGCTCTCGTACAGCCCCAAGGACACTTGCAAGTCCTGTTGAACATGCTGCGCGGCTTCACGGCACAAGCGGCGCTCGACGCACCCCGCTTATGTATCTCCGCCGGCAGCCCAGATTCACTCGCGTCAGGTCAGGCAGGAGACGTGAACAGCGAAGTATACTTCGAAGAAGGGATCTCGCCGGAGGTCGTCCAGCAACTGCGATGTATGCTGTCTCCTTGAGCCTCTATCTCCATGCGTATCTCATCGCATTCTATTCATTGCAGCGATGGGCCATGACGCACGCGCTGTCACGGGGATAGGCCGCACGATGTTCGGCCGCGGACAGGTCATACAGAAAATCGTGGACCAGTCTGGGAGGCTTGTGTGGGCGGCGGGGTCGGACTTGAGGGCAGATGGCCATGCTGCCGCTCAGATTTAAGGCCACTCGCGCGTGCTGGGTAAGGTAGAAGTTAAAAACAGTGTATAAGATAAATTAACCATGATCACATTCGCCGACGAGACCGCGATAAGCATCTGGATTGCTTTGCATGATCCATGCAGCCCCGCACGCGCCGCTGTACCCGGTGCACCGATGGCTATCGTTGCAGTATTACGGTGCCGATAAGCGTTGGAAGGAAGAAGACAAAAGGAAGCTCTGGCGAATATTGATGCTTCAAGCTTCAAGCTTCAAGTGCTACAGAGGATCATGCAGTCTCAATCACGGGGCCTTCAGGGCTCCACTACTCTCAAAAGCGATTCGCTGCCACAGGTCTATTCGTCGATGTGGATTTTAAACGTGACATAGGACATGGCTTGGGAACACTGCGGTAGCCACAGTCAAATAATGTAACACCGCTTTACGGTAACAAGCCCAAATGATATATCACCGTGCCAAGTGTCGGCGACTTGGGTGTACATGCTGAAGTCTATTTCACTCACACCCTAAATCGCTATGTTTCAAGTAGCCTGAACGTGCGACAAGTATTAGCTGCCGGCGTCTGCGCGGCGAATATCAGAAGGTTCGTACTATCAATCACAAACGGCTCAGAACCTGCATAGTCCCCAACGAGATCCATCTTCTAATATGAAGGTTGTAAATTGCATCGGCGAATGTAGCTATAGTATGTGTACAATAGTGGATGGAATACATACGGCGAACAATGTCTAGACCACTTTCGGCCCCAAACTCAATAACATGATCCTCACATCCACCTCGCCTTCTGCCGCTCAGACCCCTCCATCCGCCGACGCCTGTACTCCCGGAGGTCCCGCGTTCGGTCCTCTCCGGTCATGTGTCCCCACCCGGCCAGAGGAACGACGAGCGCGGTCAGGTTGTCGTCGCTGCCCATGTCTTCTGCGAATCGCAGTATGCGCTGGGCCGCGTGCTGCGGCGTGGACGCGCCGCGCGCGAGGTCGCTGATCTCGTTGTCAGAGACGACGGACGAGATGCCGTCGGAGACGAGAGTGATGTGGGAGTACGCGGAGCCTGTGCGCCCGCAAACTGCGTGAGCAGGCTGTGAGCCACTGGAAGGGGGATGAGAGCGACTGACCGTCGAGTAGCTTCGTGCGAACCTCGGGTTCGGGGGTGACGCCAAAGCGCTTGTACTGCAGGTCTCCCAGGCTGCGTTAGAGTGTTCGAATGTTCAATCATGTTCTGACGGATACGCAGAGGAATTGATCTGACCTGCGAGTGTTAGCTAGAGCACCCATCCACCTGCGACGTACCAAAAGGTCAAGCTTGGGGGTCACGAAGCCAGAAGACGGCAGAACTTACCGAACTTCACCAAACGAATCCATGGCCTGACTAGAGCTCATCATTCGTCGGAGACGCGTAGCCTCGACCCGCGTGTCGGCGTGGTGATTCTCGGTCATAGGCAGTACCTCCCCGTTCTCCGTCTTGCTTAAGATGACCCGGGTGTCACTGGAACGGCGTCATTGCGTTTGATTCAGATTGTAAAGACACATGGCGCATACCCTACATGCGCCACAGTCAGGGCAAGCTTCCTTGATATGAAGAATGGGTGTGAGGGGTCATCAAGAGACTGTAGCAGGACGACAGAAGCCGTCGCCCCGCAGGTATGAGCAGCTTGCTCTATACTCAACGTTCTATCCACCTGCGCCACCCGCGTTAGACCGCCAATTGCATTAATTCGATGCTTGTAGAAGTTATACCTCGAAGAAGGCAAGCGTCGCCCTGGCTTCCAGATCCATCTTCGTGGCCGCTTCTGGGGCGTTGGGACGCACCCATGGGGCGAGCACGCCGCCGCGAAAGCGTTTGAAGTATCCGCCCAGTTCTGTTGCCCAAACATAAACGTCGGGGATCTGGGATTTGTTGACGTTCTCGAGCAGGCCGTGGAGTTCTTGACGAAGGAATTGGGAGACGGTTGACCCGCCGTGTCCATCGTATATTCCAACAAACAGAACCTGACGGGCGAGGATCTGCGGGATGGCTGATGGATCCCAATCGACGTGTAGGGCTTTCTTTAGTGTGAGCCGAAGTTCCTCAGGATCTAGAGAGAGCGCGACGTAGGCATAGAAGTCCTCCTGTTGTCTATTGAAGCGCAAGATGAGACGTGAGTGAGGCGTTGTTAAACGTGACGTACTGTCTTTCCCCGCGCGATGTGACCGCGCCTATGACTTTCGGACTGTTGAGAGGGATACGGGCTGTTCCGCCTAGAAGGTCGACGTGTGCGAGCGGTGAGGAACCTGTGACTGACGTATGTATTAGAGAATGCTCACCAGGAGTCGCGAAGCGGACGTAATCATGATACGCTGCTCTGCGCAGGAAGGTTCGGATACCGGACTTGTATGGGGTATATTGGAGAAGTCGTGAGGCCATGCGATTCCCACAGGGCCATCGACTTGAGCATGGAAGATGTTATGTAACGGGAACTCAAGCACTTTTCGGATGCCTGCAAGGACCGTCTGGAATCCGCCTGTGTGCACTGAACGGTATGAGTAGACGATGCGTGTTCCAGTTCCTACTTGCTGCTCCACGTGGTGTAATGATGCGATCAGAGACAAGCGCCCAAGTTGAGTAGTAGCCGTGCTATTACTGTTCGCGTTCCTTGCCATCGATATAAATAGCGTTGACATTCCAAATGGCTGTCAAGTAATTTGTTGACTTGTTCCTGCACGTTCGAGTCGAGCCTGCTATTCGTATCACTGATTGGTCCTCCCAATACTCGTGCTGTTAGCTCCGCGGGGTCGGTGTTCAGATCAGGCAAACAGAGCAGCTCATTCGCAGGTCGCGTAAAAGACATAAATACGCGTAGGATGTAGCCCTCGTCCCCAGCACCAGGACTCCCCGAGTCGGCTGTACGCACTCTATGCTTGCGGCGTGTCTCTTCCTCGGTGTCTTGCCTCTGGCAATCGCTGCCCCAGCCGAGTCGGCTTCGGCATTCGTGGGCTCTACCGTTACTGCGACGTTCCCGCTTCCTGATGCTACGTTTACGCTCAACGAAAACTACTTCCCAGACGCAGAGCAGGTAGGCTTCCCGGGCCCCACTCCCAGTAAGTCCCAGGCTCCGTGAAAAATGCATCATACTCACGTACAATTCACCAGCCGGAGCCGAGCCATTGGCGATCGCGACCGCTCCCGTCGCCGCGCTCAATTACGACACGTACCCGATCATAGCCCCTTCAGAACAGTATGCTGGTGCAGGTCCTGCGTTCAACCCCATGTACTACTGGGGGAACCTGGGACCATGGTATTCCGTCGGCGGTGCCTTTGGACTCCCGGAAACTTCGCCCCAGATCCCGGCGGGCTGCGACCTCGAGCAGGTGCACATCCTGTTCCGTCACGGAGCGAGATATCCCACTGCAGGCTCTTCACCTGGCGTATTCGCCACGGCGCTCCATGCTGCAGCGACGAACGGCAGGGGCTTCAGTGCGACCGGCCCTTTGGAATTCCTGAACACCTGGACATATAAGCTCGGTACAGATGTCCTAACTCCATTTGGCCGCGAGCAACCGTAAGCATCACGGTCAAGTAGGGATTTGCATCCCACAAAGTGATATCATTTTTGCGCATCATCTCAGATTCGACCTTGGCGTTGGCTTCCGTGTCAAGTACGGTAACCTGTTGAACAAATTTACGAGTATCCCCGTGTTCCGAACGACTTCAATGAGTGAGATGTCTGTGACCTGTGTCATTATTTCTAACTCGCCATTTTCTTTCAAGACCGTATGGTAGCGTCGCTGTATGTCACCCTGCCCAAAGTTTACAAAGTGGCAACCTGATCCTGACATCTTGACCAGCTCCAATTTCGCAGTCGGTTTCTTCGGTGTACCTGAATACCTCACGTCCTACCATGAAGAGATTATCATCGAGGCCACAGGCTACAACAACACTCTTGCGCCGTACGAGACATGCACAAACGCCAACAACGATGTCGGAGGCAACATCGGCAACTACGCATCAGGCAACTGGACCCAGATCTATTTGAAAGAGACAACGAAGCGCTTGCAGAGATACCTGAAGGGCTATAAGCTAACCCCGAACGATGTCTATGCGATGCAGGAAATGTGCTCGTACGAGACCGTCGCGCTTGGGTATTCTGAGTTCTGCGGCCTCTTCACGGAGGAGGAGTGGAGAGGGTTTGAGTACTCCATCGGTGGGTCGCTTATGCTTGCCAGGCCTCGAAGATAGGCTCAGGCAGAGCATGGGGATTCATTCTAGATCTCTCCTTCTGGTACGGCCAAGGTCCAGGTAGTCCGAATTCCGCTGCTCGCGGCGTCGGCTACGTCCAGGAGCTCGTCGCGCGTCTCACGAAGACCCCTCTCACGGTCTTCGACACGAATTTGAATGGGACGCTGGATGGCAACCCCATCACGTTCCCTCTCGATCAACCGATCTATGCTGACGCCACACACGACGTGGTGATTGCTAGTAGTATGTCTGATCCACTTTGTCAGAGCATCGCGACTCATTGATTGTTCTCCAGTCATTACGGCATTGAATTTCACGACGATGGCTGCCAATGGGCCATTGCCTTGGGACCGCATTCCCGTGGGACAGGTACGTTACCCAAACCGTTGCCTCACTCGTGTGCTCATTGGTCGTTTGCAGACCTACCACGTGCAAGACATTGCGGCCTACTCATCAAACCTTGTCGGCCAGGTGCTGTCCTGCCCAGCGTCCGAAACGCCCAAGGAGAAGGAAAAGTATATTCGCTTCCTCCTGAACGACGGCGCGGTCCCGCTCACGGGCATCTCCCACTGCGAGACGCCGAATAAGGACGGTCTGTGTCTGCTCGACAACTTCGTGCAGGGGATGAAGGAGCGCATCGCGGAGATTGACTACGCTTACGACTGCTTGGGGGATTACACGATTCCTAACCCGGACACGATTATTGACGGAAGGATGATTCGGTGAGGCGTTAGGGGGAGGGGGTCGATGCGTGCGTCGGAGTCTCTGTCGTGCGCATGTAACCTCATCTGATGACACCAGATGCAAAACGAACTGACGAATGTGCGTTATGATGATATACACAATCGAGTCTGCGAAAGTTTTTGCTGGCAGGTCGCATGTTCTGTCCAAAAGATAGCGCCTTGCGTCCGCTAGTTCTATTGGCAAGTAACTTTCCGAAGCTGCCGTGGCCATTACCGCATATCGAAGACGACCGCTCGAGTTCTTGTGCCTCTCTAAACTCACATGCTCTGCCTCGTGTCTTCGTAGGGTATATGGTCGACAACGCACGTGAGGCGAAGATAGCAATCCAGATCCTTCATGCAGGGTCGAGGAGCGACGCGGGAACATCGATTCCGACTCCGATCTCAATACGCGGCAATAACGGAGGCGTACATAGCTCCGAGTCACTTTGATGGAGTGTCACTGTTCGTCATCGTCAGCACAAAGAAAGGTATTACATCCAACAGCATAACGGTAGTAGACATCGTCACGATGCTCAGCAGGCAAATGGCTGCTCTTCGCAGAATCCGGAGGCATTTCGTGCATTGGATTTCGAAGGTCGAAGTGACGAGGAAATAGACACGGTACGTAATGCTTGGCGGGCCGAATTGAGTCGCGACGAGAAGCCGATTGAACCCAAACTGACGGCCAATATGGACCCTTGGCTGTTGAAAGTTGAGACACGACCAACGCCGACCCCGCTCGCCGATTGGTCATAGCGACGACCGTGCGTCCCAGTGCGATCAGGTACGTCGATTGTTCGACCAAAAATCTTGGTGAAACATGGGCGCCCATCAACATGGGAGCCTCAGATGCCTGCTCCCCGGAGTCCCGTAGACCGGATGCGCACGAGCGAAGGCGGCCCGACTTTCGACGTCGAGCCAAGCTTCCTCACGCTCGCAGTATAAATTCGCAAATAATCTGCTTCCAATGCCGAGGTTCCCGGCCTCACAGGTGCACGACCAGTTGACAACATGGTGCCTCTCCTGCTGCTCCTCAGCGCTCTGCCATCTGCGTTAGCTGCCCCTGCTCCGCCGGCATCCGCTGCAGCACCGTATGTGGGGTCTACCCAGTCTGCGGTCTTCCCACCGCCGGGAGCCACTATCACAGAGTATGCATCTCTCTTTCCAAATGCATCGGTGGTCGGGTTCCTTGGCCCTACTCCAAGTGAGCACACCTCGTTCGCATGCCGCCTCGCGCGTGCTGACATCCTGAATACAGCCGGAGCCGAGGCGCAGGCCATAGCAACTGCTCCAGTAGCTGCATTGAGATTCGACACGTACCCTCTCGTCGCCCCGTCTAACCAATACACGACCTCAGGGCCAGCCTTTGACCTGATGCATCATTGGGGAAACCTCGGTCCTGCCTATTCCGTTGGTGGCGCGTTTGGTCTTCCCAACACGTCTCCCCAGGTACCTGCGGGATGCGAGTTGGAACAGGTCCATCTGCTGTTTCGTCACGGAGCGAGGTACCCGACGTCTGGATCTCAGCCAAGCGAGTTCGCGGCTCTCTTGCACAGCGCGGCCACGGAACGCAACAGCAGACTCAGCTTCTCAGGCCCCCTTGAGTTCCTCAGCACTTGGACTTACAAGCTTGGGGCGGAGATTCTTACCCCCTTCGGCCGCAAACAGTGGTCAGTGCATCACGACTTACAAACGGACGCGTGACCCACGAAGCTATAGTCTAGATCTCGGTGTGGCCTTCAGAGTCAAGTATGGCGAACTATTGAACGGTTTCACCGAACTTCCCGTCTTCCGGACAACTTCGGAAGGTATGTCGATCCGTCTTTTGGATCGGTGCCTGTCGCAAAACTGATAAATGTGATATTGAAGATCGAATGCAGAAGACCTTGTAAGTCGGCACCGCTGTTGTCGAGGCGTTCGCATCAACAACTTGTTTTTAGACTGAACTTTGCCGTCGGATTCTTCGGTGCCCCTGAGTACCTGACAGCATATCACGAAGAGATCATCATCGAGTCTGGAGGCTATAACAACACGCTTGCGCCATCGAATGCCTGCCCAGACTCCGGCAATGCCGTTGGCGGTAACATTGGCGGCTGGACATCCGGGAACTGGACAGAGATCTATCTCAAAGAGACCACCGCACGACTGCAGCAGTACGTCACCGGTGTACAACTGACACCCAGCGTTGTCTATGGGATGCAGCAAATGTGCGCGTACGAGACCGTGGCATTGGGGTATTCTAGCTTCTGTGAGCTGTTCACTGAAGAGGAATGGAGGGGTTTCGAGTACTCCATTGGCGAGTACCGTGAAATGTATGATCCCCATTCGTTATCTGACACTTACCTTTCTCAGACTTGTCTTTCTGGTATGGTAATGGGCCCGGAAATCCCACTGCCGCGGCGATGGGCATCGGTTACGTCCAGGAGCTGGTCGCTCGCCTCACGAAGACGCTTCCGACAAAATTCGATACTAACATGAATGGCACGCTGGACAGTAGCACCATCACATTCCCATTGAACCAACCAATCTATGCGGATGCTACCCATGACACTGTTATCGCTAGCAGTGAGTCATGGTTATCTTGATAGATGATTCACCTGTCGTTAACGAACATCTGCCCAGTTATTACAGCGTTGAATTTCACTACATTGGCAGCGAATGGGCCTCTACCCATTGACCATATCCCTGTCTACCAGGTCTGTCGCATTGCAGTCTGCAATGAGTCGAAACATTGATGTATAGTTCATACAGACGTACCATGTCAACGAGATTGCTCCTTTCAGTTCCAATCTTGTTGCTCAGGTCTTGTCTTGCCCCGCGTCCGCGGCGGCACATGACTCAAAGACGGAGTCATACATCAGATTCCTGCTCAATGACGGGGCAGTACCCCTTACCGGAATCGCGCACTGCGAAACACCTAACGAAGATGGTCTGTGCCTGTTTGACAACTTCGTGAAGGGTATGCAGGAGCGGATTGCTGAGGTCAATTACGCCTATGACTGCTATGCGAGCTATTCGGCGCCGACTCCCGATAACATTATCGACGGCCAGGTATGAAGCTCGATGTGCTCTTGGAAATAGCAGGATGAAGGAGGTACAGACGATGATGGACCCATGAATGATTACGCCGTTACTTACCATGATGTATGAGATTACGAAATACGGGGCTTTCAGAGCAGTGTACGGATATCTGTCTTTATCCGCACGATATTGGCGACGCATATAAAGGTCAATCGGAAATCCAAGCAGACTCAATGGCCTGGGAGTTGATTCTGAACTTGTGAACGAGGTCCGAACACTCTCGGGCTGAATCGCGTCTGCCACGTGAGAGTCCAACCCTATCATAGGGTCTAAGTTAGTCATGGCCGGTCGGACGACGGGTAGGATTTCGGCGGGTCTATTGCGTGTGCGGCGGCGAGCGCATCCACCACAACTCTCTCTCTCACCTCCATCTCACATGCTCAGCCGTTCTCTTCGTGCAGCTGCTCTCCGTCGAGGGCGTATAGCTCCTGTCTCACGAACACGATGGACTCGCACATTCGCTACGCCGTCCGACCCCCCTCCTCAGCCAGAGCAGAAGCCGAACGACGACAAGAAGCCTGAGGAGAAGGAGAAAGAGCAGAGCGAGGTGGAGGGAAAGGGGAAGGCCTCCGAGGATGCGCAGAAGGATACGGACCGCCGGCAGGAGACGTTGAAGGGTCTCGAGGGCTTCTTTCAGCGATACCACCAACAGCAAAAGCAGGCTGGGGAGAAACAGGAGTCCGGGCGCGACGAGAAGCAATCAAATAAGCAAACACCTCCACCGCCGGACGGCAATCCCAATGGCTTCAATGCTAACCAGCTCGCGCTCCTTGCTACCACCGCCGCTATCTTCTACGCCCTCTCTAATACCTCGTCGACCGGCTCCAGGGAGATCACTTGGCAGGAGTTCCGCACCGCCTTCCTCGACAAGGGTCTGGTAGACAAGCTCATAGTCGTCAACCGGAGCAAAGTCCGAGTCAAACTGCACTCAAATGCGACTGGTACCATGTACCCTACTGCTGTCGTCGGAGGAGGGGACTACCATTTCTCGATCGGGTCCGTAGAGGCGTTCGAGCGTAAGCTGGACGAGGCGCAGAGGGAGCTGGGCATTCCGTCACACGAACGGATACCGGTCGCATACCACGACGAGGTATCAGCCTTCAGCTACCTTCTCAACTTCGGCCCCACACTCCTTTTCGCTGGTGTCCTCTTCTACCTCTCGCGAAGAGCCGGCGGCGGCTCCAGCTCTTCCGGCGGTATCTTCAGTATTGGCAAAAGCCGTGCTAAGATGTTCAACAAGGACACGGACGTTAAGGTCAAGTTCAAGGACGTCGCCGGAATGGACGAGGCGAAGCAGGAGATCATGGAGTTTGTCTCTTTCCTGAAAGAGCCTGCGCGATACGAGAAGCTGGGTGCCAAGATTCCTCGCGGTGCCATCCTGTCTGGGCCTCCAGGTACGGGCAAGACATTATTGGCCAAGGCTACCGCCGGCGAAGCCAATGTCCCTTTCTTCTCCGTCTCCGGCTCTGAATTCGTTGAGATGTTCGTTGGTGTGGGTTCTTCCCGTGTCCGCGACTTGTTCGCATCTGCGAAGAAGAACGCTCCGTCAATCGTCTTCATTGACGAAATCGACGCCATTGGGAAGGCTCGTGGAAAGCGTGGCAGCTTAGGCGGCAACGACGAACGAGAGAACACTCTCAATCAGCTACTCGTTGAGATGGACGGTTTCGGTACTCAGGAGCATGTCGTCGTACTCGCCGGTACCAACCGACCTGACGTTCTCGATTCTGCGCTGATGCGCCCTGGTCGCTTCGATAGGCACATTACCATCGACCGCCCTGACGTTGGCGGCCGCAAGGGTATCTTCAAGGTACATCTTGGTCCCCTCAAGCTCTCCAAGAACCTGCCAGAGACGGACACGTTCGCGGAAAAGCTTGCTGTCCTGACGCCTGGATTCTCCGGCGCTGACATTGCCAACGTTTGCAACGAGTCTGCGTTGCATGCTGCGCGTAACAGCCATGAAGCGATAGAGGAGTCAGATTTCGAGAGTGCCATTGAGCGCGTAATTGTCGGACTGGAGAGGAAAAGCCGATTGTTGAGCCCAGATGAGAAGAAGACCGTCGCGTACCATGAAGCTGGACACGCAATTTGTGGATGGTTCTTGGAGCATGCAGATCCGTTACTGAAGGTTAGCATCATCCCGCGCGGAGTCGGTGCGCTTGGGTACGCTCAGGTATGTCACATTTTCCTCCTTACTATTGTATCAATAGGCTCATTTTTCTCATAGTATCTACCGCCTGATCGGTATCTCCTATCCACCCCGCAAATGTTGGACCGGATATGCATGACACTCGGTGGTCGTGTATCGGAAGAGATATTCTTTGGTGCAGAGAACATCACTACAGGAGCACAGGACGATCTTCAAAAGATCACTCGCATGGCCTTTGAGGCGGTCGCCAACTACGGTATGAACACTGTGGTCGGTCCCGTTAGTTATGGCGGGGCGCAGGCAAGTGGGGAAAGCTGGCAGAAGCCCTTCAGTGAGAAGACCGGCGAGATGCTGGACGCAGAAGTGCGGAAGATGATTGTGTACGTGTTTGTCCTGCATACGTGTATGACATTCGCTTATTGTCTACACATTACAGAAACGCACACCAACGCACCACAGACCTCCTGACCAAGCACAAGGAGGATGTAGAGAAGGTGGCGAAACTGCTGCTTGAGAAGGAGGTCATTACACGGTATGTCTGATCGCCCCCGTGGCGCAACAGGACGTCTGATCTCAACATTTTGCAGAGAGGACATGATTGACCTTCTCGGTCACAGACCGTTCGCTAACCGCAAAGATGCGATGGACAAGTGGCTGGACGAGAACAGGAGTCGGGAGCGCAGTGCGCCTCCGCCACTTGAAGCGCCGGGTGAGCCCACACCAGCACCAGCTGCAAGCCCCCTGCCGGAGCAGCCAAGGCTATGATGCTGGCGCTCATTCTTGATGTCTGTGTTTTGTTGCTCATGATCAGTCGAATGGCTTCACGTTAGACTGGGCGCAACCGCTTGTATCACTGCATTGTATCTATCTACGTACCTTACAGCACAACTCACGCACAATGATTGCTCACGGTCCTTCCGCGTCAGATACCTCCTCGTTCGTCGTGTTTTTTGATTCGTGATCATCGCAGCATACTGTGGCCAGAGGAGCGTACACTATAATGAATACCGGAAACCGCTCCACTCATCGCCCTTGTCCATCCGCGCATGCTCTACGCTCTCGTACGTGCCATTCTTCTCGTCGGCGTGTTTGTTGTCCACACCTACGATCACCTCGTCGCGCTCACCCGCGTCTCTACGGGCATTTTCGCGCTTCAAGAAGAAATAGAATGCGAGTGAGGATAGCCAACCGATCGCGATGTAGGCGAGCACAACGCCGTGACCCATTCGGTACCATGGCTTGTCAACTGCACGGTACTAGAGAATTCCGATGCAAAAACCTGAGTTCTTGTCCAACCAGGTGGGCGAGCTACGTACGATGTTAGAGCTCACGGCGCCATTGATGTTGCCCCATCCTATGGCCATGGCCAGCGTCGCACTGCGCTTGTAGGACCCTTCCACGTTGCTGGATACCCAGGCACTGAAGCGAAATCAGCGGCGGGGAGCATCAAGACAATGAGATGATTCCTTACACCGAGTTAGCTGGGAGAGAAATCTGACATCAATGCTTGATTCACAAGAGAAGAAATGGTGAATACATACGGACTGTTGGGTATATAGAACTTGATAAAACTGTCAGCCACGCGTAATCTCATCGGGTCGGTGTCACTCACGCAACGGCCAGATATACGGCAAAGTACGAGAGCGCTGGGTTCGTGGACGCAATCAGGATGATGTACCCGACAAGACCTGTTTGCAGCCAGTCGTCAAGAATCGTGACGTGAGAGGTACTAATATATGTTAGGTATACCTGTGCCAAAGAGAATCCTGCAGAGACGGCCACACATTCAGTAAATCTGTGGGGAGCGCTCAGGTGAGACGGAACGCACAAATTGATCCCTGCTCTTTTCCCATATCGATCTCCCACAAAACCGACGATCACAGTGACGATGCATCCCCACACGTACACCGGAACGGAGAGGAGGTTGGCATCAGTGGAAGTGTATCCTGTATCCCATTGCAGGTCTGATTGTCTGCAAATTGCAGCGTTATTCACGGCTCACCTAGCTGAACCCAACATGAGTACGATTGGCTACTGAAATCTATATTAGAGCGCGTACCTCGTTGATAATTGTGGGTGTGAAAAGGGAAAATGCAAAGAGCGGGCCATCGCTGCACTATTGTCAGCGTTCCGAATTGAGACCAGCAGTGGCGACACATACAAGCCCATGTAGATACCCACTGTTCGTTGAAGCATCAGCATTCAATCACGCGTGGAGTAAACGGCACGGCAGTAGAGCGAACATACTAGCTAACCACGTCTTCCAGTCGGTCAAGCTCTGTTTGACGTACTTCCACTTAAAGCTCTCCCCTCCGGCACTGAACTTCATGTCTGCCTGCAGGCGCCGAATCACCCAGACACCTTAGCGCAACAACAGCTATATGAGCAGTAGGCTTTTCAGAGGTTTGGCTTCAACTTACGCTCTGGCTCACTAATGAACTTCGCCGTGTCGGGGAAGTCTTGCAGGATGAAGGGGGTCACGAGAGCACAAACGACGGTGAACAGACCCTCGATGATGAAGATCCATGCCCACCCGGGCTTTCCACCGATTCCGTCCATCTTGTTGATGGCGACAGCCAGGAAGCCACCTGAAGTATGCGTGCGCGACCAGTTGGCAATGTGAGTAGGCGAGAGGTGATGAACATACTGAAGGCTCCGGCGATCGTCGCGGAAGTAAAGAAGAGAGCTACTCGCGTGCCAAGCTCGGAGCGTTTATACCAGCTGCGGGCATCTCATGAGCTCCATCATAACGCGTTTGGCGATGAGTAAACGCACCAAGACAGATAGTAGACAATGCCCGGGTATAGCCCAGCCTCGGCAAGCCCTAGCAGCACGCGGAGACCTATGTATGCCCGTTAGAATAGTCAATTGACGACATTCACTGAGCCAACATACCGACGAGACCTGCATAATTCTTGATGACTCCGTGCATTGTCTGTCACATAACGGTCAAAAACAGATGAGGAAGACTTGCTAACGTTTGCCTACCATAGTGACTCCCCACACGAACATAATGAACGCGAGCCATCTTGACGGACGCAAACGTTTCAAGACGATATTGCTGGGGAGCTTCGAGTAGTACATTAGGGTGCTGCTACGCTCCCGCCGGACTTGCGCTTGTGCTCACCTCGAACACTGCGTATGGGAAGAAGAAAACCTGCTTCGACGTTAGAATGAGCGCAAATACGAATACGCATTACGGACCGTAAGTGCGATCAAATACTGGGTGTCTGTTATGTGCAGGTCCGTCGTGAAGCCATACAGCTATGCGCGGTTAGTATATATAGTCAGTGCACACTTGGATCCGCAGAGACATACCTTGGCATTGCCGACGTTGCCTCGGTCAAGGAAGTTAAGGAAGTACAGAAGCGCAAGCCATGGGACTGTACGCCAGTCCATTCGACGCATCAGCCGCTTCTCGTCTACACCCGACGTATCAACATCAGGGCGGTAGACATTCTCCGGAGCTACGGAGAGGATCTCGGCATCTGGGCAGCCCTTCTCGACCGACGCAGACTTGTCGGACATGACGAAGGCGAGCAGACAAGTAGCGCAGCTGCAGGGCGACTCATCTTAAGTATTACCTGGGCCGATAACAAACTTCGTGAACGGGTGGAGTTGTGTGGGCGATAGCGACGAGTCATGGGACACACGCGTCTGGATTGGCCTCGCTTGGCGCAAAATCGAACTACAGCTATCCCAGCGGAGACGCGGGAGGCGGATATCGTTTGCAAGGCGCCCCGATCAGATCACTCCGATCGAGTCAAATTCGCGGTAGCCGTGACACGGTGCGTCAAGTTCCCCAGGACGCGCTCCCAGTGCCAGAGAGACTCTGCGCAGATGAGGGAATGTGCACTTACAGGCATTCCGTGGCTGGGCACAGGGGCGCATATCTTGGCTCCGCTGTCGGTCACTCCGAATTCAAATACGGTGTTGGATTAGCCGAACGCCTGGTGATAGACATCGCTGCCCAATATCCGTTCAAGCGGCCTCAGCCTCTCGCCAAGCCAGTTCCTCACGTCCTCGGTCTCCTTCGCTGCTATTCGGACCACACACCCTCTCCCCTCGCGTACCAAACTGAAGGACCAAAGCAGATCCGGCGGCGTCGAGTGCTTGAAGACCGATATGTTTGCATACTCCCCAGAGATCGGCCGAATTGTGCTCTGCACCAGGGGACCATACATGAGAAGAGTCGCATAACAGGAGTACGGTGCCAGTGTGTCGGCGAGTGTGCGCTGAGACAGTGGTGGGTCGGCCGGCTCCTGCTCCTCGAGCAGCGTAATGTCTTTGGCAACGCGCTCGTCGTTGGACCAGATCTCGTTGACGCTATAGTACCGCGAGAAGTCCCATTCCTCGCCAAGAGACCGTCTCCCAGAGGTGATCCAGTCCAGCACTACGGCGTTAGCGGCGCCTTTCAGTCGGAACGTTTGTATTTGATTGTATCGCGCCGAGGCGAAGCACGTAACGGGATCTGGGAGAAGAAAAAGCATCCCCCGGTAATCGATTGTGACATCCATGATTTGGGTCGTGATGGCGTCTGACGATGTCCCTTGCGAGACGTCAGAGAGTCGCTGTCCTGGTCGACTCTTGAAGACTTTTGTCGATCCCTGAGAGCAGACTCAGTACCATCGTGCGTTCTCGATGTGAGGTTTGCGCACCTGAGACAACATGACGAGAACCGCACCCTCTTGCACCTCGACACCAAGCTCGATCCGATCTCCCCCCACCAGCCCACCACCATAACTGAGGATGTACACGACGGATACGTTCTGTTGCTCGATCCGAGGAGACAGCAGTTTCAATGGATAAGCAGAAGACATCTCAGAGAAGACCGCCTCCGAGCCGTGCAGGCCGAGGACTATGCGACCGACGCCTGCGCTCATATTGCAGTCGATGGTTAGGATACTGCGTATCTAAGAGAAGCCCATCCAGCCATGGTCGCTGTCCCGAATGCCCGCGCCATTACGCGACTGACCTGCTCGTCCGCGCGATTACCACGAAGCACGTGCCCCCGACGCGCATGTAGATGCGCGTAAGCGCCCATGTATACTGGCAGTGCGTCACGATCACTACCCCAGCAGGCAAAACACACGGCGCGTCCTCATCCTGTTGGGCATTATGTTTGACGAATGTCCGCATCTTTCATCTTCTATACCGCCACTGCGCTGATGTCTCTGTCTGATCTTCAGACGTAGAGCACGCTTCGGCTCCCGGACTCTCCTATGGAACCCTACCTCAGGTGCAGTATGAGGGATTCGAGCCATCTCCGTACGAGGAGGAGGAAGCGCAAATGAATAGTATTGGTCTCGCCGTGCGCAAACATCTCCGTTGTGCTACTGCAACCCCTGACATTAGCTATAGGACCAGCCCGATGTAGCACCGGCCGCGCCGCTGTTCGACCTGAGCCGCGTCCAATACACACTCCCGGCACCCCTCATGTCGCTTGTCGTCTCTTCAGATGTCCTCTCCATGGGCCTCTCAAACAATTTCATTGTGCAGATAGAGCTTTCGCGGTCCGAGCAGGTCGTCAAGATCCCGATCCCGCGCAAGCCCACGGAATTCTTGATTCACAAGCTCTTCTTGGATCCCTCTGGCCGACATCTCCTTGTTACATCGCTGACCGGAGAGAACTGGTACCTGTACAGAGGCTGGAAGAAGCCAAAGCAGCTGAAGAACTTCAAGATGGTCATTGAGAGCGTAGCGTGGAACAAGGCGGCGTTGCTCGCCTCCGCCCACTCTACCTCAACGCGGGAGATACTGATCGGTGCGAGGAATGGAACGATATACGAAGCCATGCTGGACGCCGAAGAGGACTTCTTCAAATCACAAGAACGGTATTGTCAGCCCGTGCTGACCCTTCCGGAGCGACAACCAGTGACCGGCTTGAAGTTCGAATTCTTCCCGCCTTCAGACCCACGGAAGGCCCTTGTGATTGTCACAACACCATCACGAATATACCAGTTTGTGGGCGCGCCAGACCGCCGCTCAGACGACAATGGCAGAGTATTCCTCGGTCTATTCGCGAGCTATCGAGACTCGCCCCAAAGTCAGTCTGCATACTGGTACACGAGCTAGTTGTACTCATATCACACAGAGTTTTCCGAGCTCCCGGGGAATGTTGACTATTCTGAGCTGCACACATACGGCTCTGATGCAGGCCAAGCCAACTCTCTTCCCAGGAGCTTGGCATGGATGACCAGTAAGCCCAACAGTATCCTGATGACACTGTAAGTCCTGACACTCTACAGCGCCTGGAATATACCACGGAATGTTGAACTTTGAGTCTACATCCGACGACCTCATCGATGGAGCGCAGCTTCTCCCATACCCTGTCCTAACCTCTCCGTCTGCATCCCCCGCGCAGGCGTCTGGGTCGTTGGACGTCCCGTTATCTATGGCCTTGACAGAGTTCCACTTCGTGCTCCTCTACCATGACCGTGTCGTCAGCCTGTCTAGCCTGAACGAGCAGATGTCATACGAGGAGATGCTGCCTGTGGTATGTCCGCCATTATTCTGTTGCGCGAAATGAGACACTGACTTCTCGTGGCTCGCACCAGAAACCAAACGAGGGTGTCAAAGGAATGGCGGCAGATCCCGTGCGCGGTACATATTGGGTGTATACCGACCAATCGCTTTTCGAGCTCGTCGTCACAAATGAGCACCGTGATGTGTGGCGAATATACCTAGACAAGGGAAACTACGATGCAGCACTGCGATATGCCAAGGTAGGAGTTTAGATACGTTAGTAGCCCATGCTTTGTTGACGTACACGTAGACCGCAAGCCAAAGAGATCACGTCATGTCTGCGCAAGCACGGGCGTTCTTTGACGAAGGAAGGTACTTCCAAGCAGCGCAATGCTACGCGCAATGTTCCGTTAGCTTCGAGGAAGTGACGCTGAAATTCCTGGACGTTGGTGAACGAGATGCGCTGCGGTCGTATCTAACATCCCGGCTTGAGCGTACCAAGAAGACTGTAAGCTCGTAATCCTGCGCAGTAATGTCAGGCATTAATGCTGACTGCCTCAACCAATAGGATATATCACAGAGAATGATGCTCGCTACTTGGCTCGTAGAGTTCTACCTGAGCAAATGCAACGAGCTCGACGACCTCATCGCCTCCGAGTCTGTCTCGCATGATGTAGATAATCTGCATGCCGAACGCACTATACTGGAGGACGACCTGCGCCAATTCCTCCAGACATACAAGGTGACACGACTAATGAGCCGACAGATTGCATGCCTGACGCCCACGATTTGTAGGCGAACCTGGATCCGAAAACAGTCTACGAACTGATTCTGGGCCATGGCCGCACCGACATGTATCTGCACTACGCGACGGTCATTAGTGACCTTGAGCGAGTCGTCGAGCATTGGATCATGGAGGAGGAATGGGCGAAAGCAATTGACGTGATTAACCGCCAGGTGCGTGCTGTTTTGGTGACACATCAATGAACATCTCTTCAACTCGGCCGTAGTCCAACCTAGAGCTCTACTACCGGTTCGGGCCTGTGCTCATACGGCAAGCACCCAAAGAGACAGTCGACTCTTGGCTGCGCCAGCAAGCATTGGTCCCACTCCGCCTTGTTCCCGCCCTCCTTCGCCTACAACATGCACCCCGAGATCCCCTCTCCCCTAATCAAGCCGTCCGGTATCTCAACCATGTTATCTTTGAGCGAGGCAACACATCACCGACTATCCACAATCTCATGATTACTTTCTACGCCTTTGTTCCCTCATCATCATCCGGATCATCTTCAGCCAGTCACTCCGACGATGATGGCCCACTGTTACGATTCTTGTCCTCAGCGCCGTCAGATCCGCTCACCGGCAAGCCGTACTATGACCTCGACTACGCTCTGAGACTGTGCAAGCAGGCGGGCCGAACCCAGCCATGTGTGCACATATACTCTAAGATGGGTCTGTACGAGTGCAGCGTAGACCTTGCGCTCGAGAAGGGCGATTTGGAGCTGGCGAAGATCAATGCCGACATGCCTGAGGACGACGAGCAGCTGCGCAAGAAGCTGTGGCTGAAGATCGCGAAGTATGTCGTGCAGGACAAGCAAGATATCAAGATGCGAGTTGCCATAGTCTTCTTGATTGACCTTGTGTGACCTAACTGACTGTTGCAGGGCCATGCGCTTCCTTGAGAATACCGATCTGCTCAAGATCGAGGATATCCTGCCGTTCTTCCCCGATTTCGTCGTCATCGACGACTTCAAGGACGAAATCTGCAATGCGCTCGAGGGATACGCTGCGCACATCGACACCCTCAAGGCGGACATGGACGAGGCGACGCGCAACGCGGAGGCTATCAAGCAGGACATCGCTGCACTCTCAAAGAGGTTCATTACGATCGACTCGACGGAGAAATGCTCCGTCTGTGGTCAGGCCCTCTTCACAAGACAGTTCTATGTGTTCCCATGCCAGCATACATTCCACGCGGACTGCTTGATCGGTTTGGTGAGTCGCGCGTCGGAATCCAAACCCTAATGCATGTTGACTAGTCCCCCAGACGAAAGAATTCCTACCCTCCCATGCCCTCCGGCGCATTCTCGCGCTACAGAATGAGCTCGTCAAGAGCTCCCAGAAGGGCCCGCTCGACCGTAGCGCGATTACGAACCCCACGCTGGGTGCTGGGACGCCCCCACCACGGCAGCCCGCCGTCCAGCGTACGCTCCTCTCTGCAAACTTTGGCATTGGGCAAGGCCACACGCGCGGCGCCAACTCGCTCGGGCGGAACCTGCTCTCCGCGGGCGACCGCCTGCGCGACCTGATCAGCCCGGACACGCTCGCGAGCGTTGTGACCGCGCCGGCGGGCTGGATACCGGGCATCGGCACGGGGGCGGGTGCAGGTGCGAAGAGAGGCGGCGGGGAGAAGGATGCGGAGAAGACGGAGCGGCTTCGGCGCGAGCTGGAGGATGTCCTCGCCGCCAGCTGTCCCCTGTGTGAGAGCGTGGTCGCAGGGCTGGACAAGCCGTTCGTGCAACCGGGAGAAGTGGACGCGAGCTGGGCGCTCTAGAGACGTTTTCTCGGACTGTCTTTCATGGGTTTGCTCGCATATTAACAATTATTTTCCGTATCCATCATGTTCATGCTCTCGGTCGTTCTCATGATCTTTGCTCCTGCTGCTCCGCAACGTCAGGCATGTGTCATCAAAAGCAACTCAGCCTTCATAAATTGGCTGCTGTAGCTCACCGGACTGTATCAGTGCCGATTTCATAATGTGACAGTCCGTCATGCGATGATGCTCTAGGTCGCACTTACCTGTGCTGCACTTAGATGTCAACTGAACCCCACGAAATGCACTTCAGTGATTTGGAAATCGGCCCTCAATGTAACCACGTCGAGAAGACATCACACCGACGATGAACACACGAGGACTTTGGATTACCAACCGGATCTAGAGTACAACGAATAGTCGAAGGCGTCAGATACTATGGGGGTAGGGAGTTTCTCAAGGCATAGAGTTGCTCAAACCACCTTGTACAGCCTTCCACATTTTCATTTTAAATCCCAAAAAATCTGTGAGAGTGTATATAGTCCCTATGGATGCACCCATGACACCGAAATGAAAAAATCTGGAATGTGGAAAGAGTAGCACGCTCGACAAGGCATTTTGACACCAGTGTACGCAAATATCGAACCAGATCTCGCCCGATTGCGATGAGAATTTCATCCCGGAAGCTTTCAATCTTCATTCTCTATTGATATATATGTATATCGATGAGCCCGATACTTTATAGCACTTGAGGTACAATGTAGACAAGCATAGTGGATGAGATCGTCTTGCTCCTGTGGCTGGATGTGACTGTGGTTTAGACTCCGCTCGGCATGTCGCACAGATGCGTCTGCAAGACCATGCTCGTCTCGCTGCTAGCGGGCGTTACCGCGTCGGAGTGTGAACTTGTCGCCGTGACATGCCGTGACGATTTGAGCAACTCTATGCCTATTACCCCCCCAAAACGAGTCGTCCTCGCGGATTTGTGCCGATACAAACACCACTTATTGTATTGCGCTGAAGATATTTACAGTGGTATAGAAGATCCCAACGCATCGATTGACGCAAGAATCATGAAAAAAGACGCAGTGGTTCGTGAACCCGAGGCTTGCGAATGCGGCCATGAGCAACTCCTTCCTAACCATAGTACAAGCGCAGCAAGGCTGTGGCATGCTCAGGTACAATGCAGTCTGGCTAGTCGGACATAAGCGATACCAAGGTCGTGATCGGGGAATATTGACCAACATGCCAATTTATACAATTTCTTGAAACGATGCCTGCTCGGGCATGTGGCGTGCTCTAGTTGGCGTATATGGGTCTCGAGACCACTCGGATTCCAAACGCAGCCCGAGATGGTAACAATATGGGGTGATATATTCGGAATTGTCATCCCGAAGGAGATGAAGGCAACCGAGACGTGAATGCCTCCTGTACCACAGTACCACAGCGTCTCAGTGGTTGATCTTCTTGGTCCGGCCAGCCCTGCGGCGGAGACGTGCAGCCTTTCGTGCGCCCATCTGTTCGGGTATACGTCAGATGGATGGGAATGGTTAAAATCAGCGGTACGCGCCTTGGCCTTGTCCTCCTCGAGCCTCCGCCGCTCTTCCGCTGCCTTTTTGCGTTCGAGGGTGATCTCTCGCCGCCTGATGTGTAACAGATTCAGCATGCTGTGATGCGCAGTCGCAGACGGGCAGTACGTACCGTGTTTTTTCGGCCTTCTTCTCCTCACTGAGCTCTGTCTGCAGCTGCTTGATCGCTTTCTGCTTTTGGGTCTTCTGCATGCGGTCCTCCCAGCTCTTGGTCTTGACACCGTCTGGTATGAGAGAGCGGCTGCCTGTAAGTGAGCATGATGTCAGTGGGAAACAGGAGTGCATGCGTACACAGTCGCTGTCTTTTGAGGTTTCCATGGTTTGCCGGACACTCGCCCACGCGATGAAGATGCTAAGGGAACGGCATCTGGTGTTTCGGAGTCAACATGGATGTGCTGTGGCGACGTATTGTCGACTTGCACGTCGGTGAGGACGATGTCGGATGCAGCCATGATGACCGTAGGAGAATAGCGCTGGACAGGATCTGGTGGGCAAAACTGCACGGGCGCTGATGCGGCGGGTTGTCTAAATCAGGATATGCGCATCTGCCACGAGGGCCCGATAGGCGACCAATTTGTTTTTCAGATGGGATCGGGAGACCTGTATCCGCTGCCTGCCTGGCCGCACCAGCCTTGGCTCACCGCCAAACCACCCTGTGCTGGCCGCCGCAGCGCCACACAAGAGATGCCAACATCCGTGCGTGGGACCTGAAAACTGGCATCTTGATACGATGCGTCAGATAATATGTACATCGTTCGGACACCCTGTATCTTGGCCAAACTGCTGCCCGAGGCATGATGTGATCTGCACCGTGTTCCCACCACAGCGCCGGCATGTCCCATCCGGGCATGCGTCAATGCCGTCTATCCAGTGCCATATGCGCTGCGCAGGGCGTTCTGGGGTAACGAGGAAAAAGAGGAGTAAGTTTGAATCGGAAGACGAGCCATCAGGACGGGGTTTCAGAAGATGGATGTGTGTTGACGTGTGTTTGCGCGGGTGCGATTCTGAAGGCTAAACCGCAAGGAGTTGGATTCAGGCGCAAGCGCGGATCGTATCCTCTTCCCTCCTCCCATCGCCCCCTCGTCGTCGGCGTCGTCCACGTCGCCCTCGACGCCGCGTCGTTCGAGCTCAGCAGGCCTTATGAACGTCATGAATCCCCCTCCAGACAGAGACGACCATGTCCGCCACCTGCTTGACCAGCGTGCCGCCCGCGCCGACCCCCATGGTCGCTTTCCTTCCCTGTCTGAGTTCTCCGATTCCCCTTCCGTGTACAGTCGCGCATACTTCTCGCCCCGGCCCGTGGACAAGCAGCTCGATGGCAATTTCGACTTCGTCGTGCCTGTACAGGCCCGCGGTCCTCCGTCCCAGCCGCGTTCGCCCATGTCTGACCGGGAGCGATTGTACTCTCTCCCCGATGAGAGCAGCCTAGATCTTGATGACGACTCTCATTCTACCTACGCATACAGTAACTCCCATGAGGATGACGACCTCTCACCCCTTGAGGAGGAACTCCCTAGAATTAGCACCTACGGTCCCAAAATGACCGTCCACTCTCGCGCGCCTTGGGAGCTTGGCGAGGACGACGACCCGGACGAAGAGGAACGAGAGCCCTCTAGTTCGAGACGGTCCAAGACCAAGAAGACTGAAACCGGCAAGAGGGTCTGGGGATTGGGCAAGAACAGTTCGGAGAAACGACCCAGTACCGAATCAAATCGCTCTCAAGGGAAGCCGAAGCAGTCGATTGAGTTTACGAACAATGGCAGCACCTTGATGTAAGTGATCCTGAGCGATATGCATCAGCTTTGTATGATGTTGAATTTCCTCACTCCAGGGCTCTCGCGCAGGCTTCCATGTCGTCAACATCCCTTGCATTGGGAGCATCTCCTCAGCCCACGTTGCGAGACAAGTTGTCAATTTCGCGCTTGCGCTCCCGCACACCCTCCAATACCAATACTTTGAGTCACAACCTGGAGGCTATTGACACGCGTCTGCCTCCACTACCCCCGCAGTCAGGAAACACGTCTCCCGTGTCACGTCTCATGCGTACCATGTCCCCTGCACAGCTCTCGCCTGTCGAGGCAACGTATTCCGACAACTCCTCACGATCGCCTACTCCCAATACCCCTCAGCACGAGTATTTCCATCCCTACGCGAATCCAGCGCTCGTGTCTCGGGCGGCGGCGCCAAAACCGATATCGCCTTTACCGTCTCCGAAACACCCGCCTTCGTCAGCATTGTCTGGGAACTCGAACGTGAATAGTAGTGACTCCAACGCCACGCTCACCGACACAACCACTACGAGTAGCATGTTCCAGTCGCGGTCAAATATGACGGTATCGTCTCTGACGCCTGTAACATCGCTCTCATCCGTCAGCCAAAGCATAGGCGACTACTCTCCCACACGCGTGCAAGGGAAAGGCATTTCGGGCCCCATCGCTTCACACAGGATCCCTCTGCCCCCTCCGCCGGTAAGCCATCCTAATGGAGCCGCGGCCGTGTCCATTGGCGTACAGGAGAAGAGCCCGAACATGCGGAGTAAAGACCAGAAGCTCGTCTCTGGGACAAATCCCGTAGCGGCGTTCCCAGGCTGGAATGAAGGCTCTGCCGCGTCCTCTATAAAGCTCATTTCCCTGGAGGAGGCACAGGCCCAGGCGCGGGAGCGGTCCCGCAGTGCGACAGCCAACCCCGTCATTTCGAGCTCGCTTGCGGCTGGCCCGTCGAAGTGTCAAGGTCAAGCTAGCGCTGATACCGAGTCGCGACTACGCTCCACTAGCGCGGGCGGCGGGAAGGCGAAGGCAGAGTTCGCCATGCGCCCGCCGATGCCTGGAGACGGCACCGGGAGTAGCGTACCCGCGCGGATGGTGCAGCGCAAGAAAAGTGGGTTTATGCGCCTGTTCAATGCGAAGGAGCGCGATCGCGCGCTGTACTCTCCTCCGCCGCCAGTCCCGTCAATGTCATCGAGCGATACCGTCGCGACGTCTTCGTCTACAACATCGCAGACGCCTAGATCGCGCAAGGGTTCGACCCCGCGTGTCCCCGTGCCGTCACTGTCTCCTTCCATTCTTGGGGAGGTCGGCTCCATTAACGCGGATTCCGGGAGTTCGTCGGATACGCGTTCGGAGGCATCCGGCTCGAAGGAGTCGGTCGTTGCAAGGGAGCGTCAGCTGAGTGCAAGACGTAACGCGCCGGGCCTGTCGATCGTCACTTCGCCGACGTCGGTCAATACGTCGAGGCTGCATCCTCCTGTGCCTTTCTCAGCTGTCAGCGAGTACTCACCTCATGGGCACACGGTGACCATTACACCCACCGCGAGTGACTCGTTCACGAGTGCCGCATCCGAGGTGCCGCATATACCCAACAGCGCGCCGCCCGGCATGTCGGACTTTGTTGCGCTCAGTCTACGGCCTGTGTCGACGCTGTTCAGCCCGAGTCTCGCAGATCAGCTTAGTCCTGGTGCGATGTCTCGCCCGTCGTTGGACGTCGATTACGGCACACCGACTACTGGTACTACGGCCATCTCGCCGCTCAGCCCTGATTTCCCTGTCAAGTCATATCCGAGCGCCTCAGATGATAAGAACGTTCCCATGATTGCTCACGATGATCAGTCCCCAGCCGTTCAGGCGCTGCAGGAGCAGATTCTGATGGCACGGCGGGCCTGGCAGCGGCAAATTTGGGAACTCGAGGGGCAGGTGCGCGACCTGAAGGCGGAAGTAGACGACCTCCGCGCAGAGGAGAACAGCGCACCATATTGCTCGACGTGCGGCAGGGGCAACGTCGGACGTCCCAATGCTGATAGCGGCAACTGTCTCGAAGACTTGAGGAAGGTCGGTGTCAAAGTCGGCGTTGTCAACAGACCAAGAGCGCGTACGGGAGTCGGCTCTCGCTTCGCAAGTGGGACCTAGGGTGCATTTCTCATCTCACCGTCGTCGTCATATCTATTCCGTTTACTGGTGCTTCTCTCGCTGCAGCTCCTGGTTTGCCGCCACCCTCCTTGATGTGTATCATCATTCTGTAGAGATTCCCGCTCCTTCATCTATTGTCATTGGCAGGAATATTGTCCTTTTACTCTTTATTGCTAATATTCCACTATTATTGCATCCTGTTGTCACTTCTCGCATGCCTATACTGTTTTCATCTTTGTAGTCCAGAACCTGTAATAATGTGTCTCACTAGCCTTGTCCCTCTCCCTGCACATCCACTCTCATTCATATCCCATCTATAGGCTATTCCACATGTGTCTCAAGCACTACGTCTACCCTCGTCAGTTACAGCTGTTCCTGTCATCTCTCCTTGGTCAAATGCATGCCTGACGTCGGGCTGTTCATCACCATGAAGATTGTCTTCGAGTGCTCGAGCTACATGGAAAACAAGACATGCTATAGGTGCGTCCATAGGTCCATCCGTACTACATGCAAACATACAGTAGCAACTTCGAGGACTCGTCGATCAGTCATCATCTGCACCGAGTAGCCAGCCGATGCCCGCCTGTAAAACCTTTGATGCCTGAGCAGAGACATCCACACCATCCACCCTACTTCTGCTCGTCTCTCTGCTCCCCCATGGGTCATGATCATCTGCCAGTGACCGCCCACGGGTACCTACAGAAAAAGGAAAGTTGGCGGCGACATGGCTGAATGCCTTGTTGGCGAATGCTGCCGCGTCAGGGGCGTGGTTGACCAGCGGTGAGTTCGTAATATCTGGCATGCGCAAATGTTGTAGACGGGCTGCGAGCGAGGCAACAGGGTCTTTTGAGGAGCCCGCACGCTGGGTTTGCGACGCGCGGGGGCCGTGGCCCGTAGATGCGAGACGTTCTCGCCGTTCTTGCACGTCTTCCTCCTCGATCCGGTGCCATATTGCCAGGATGTCCACGAGTTTCTCTGGAGGGCAGAGTTCGAGGGCGCGGCCTTGCAAGATGAGCTTCTTCTGGACATCGTCGAACTCTGGATGTCGTCCGAGTGAGAAACACGCTACCCAGCATACTTCGCTGGCTTCCTCTACCGCGGGGTCTGTCGCGGCTTGAGTTGGTGATCTCAGCTCGTGAACGGTGTCAATCATATTCTCGCATGTCTCATACGCGCGGGCGAAATCTTCTGCTTGTAGCGCCGTCTCGGCGAGCATCGCGAGTGTCTTCACCCTGGCAACGACGTCCTCCCGGAAACCAAGCTTGTTAACAAGGTCGAGGATGACTTGCGCGTGCTTGTATGCATCGTTGTTACTGGACAGAACGCGAGACACAAGGGTCAGGCGATCCTTGGTTAGCCGGATTTCCAGGGGTGTGATCGGCATGCCAGGACGCGACATCAGGTTGAACGAGCACAGCCGAGACGTTGCCTCGATGAACTCTTTCTCCTTGATGATACGCTCTGAGGGCGGAGGAATGTCGAGGCTGCAAGGGGAATGCATCAGCTTAATACAAAGAAGGACGTAGGGTGCTATAGCTCACCAGTCATAAGCCAGTTTCATGTCGCCGAAATGATAGTTGCCCGAAGTTGCGTTGTCATAGAATTCTTGCGAACATGTAAGGCATATATCTTCGATGACCCGAGGATCCAATGACAGATGTATGTTGTGCGATTGCAGCAAGTTCTTGGCGATGTCGAACTCTACGAAGGAGGGCGTCAATTACCATATTGCTTATGAACCTGTGCTACTCACTGCCTGTGCTCAAGAGGCCGCTGAAGAATATACGAATGATGTCGTCTTTTGACAAAAGACAGAAGGCGCTCCACGAGCCACTGTCGCCCTCGTCGGAGAGCTTCAGCATATCTTCCAATAGCCATTCCCAATCTTCTTGTGTGTCAAGCCTATCTTGCGACCCACCAGCACGTCTTGCCATCCTATTCGCCCAGGAACGTTGCTCCGCTATGTTACGATTGCTCTGCAGGAACCACCGCAACGGAGCCGGAACACTCCACCTTGCGAGTATCTCACCGGATTCCAGATGCACGTCCAGGACATCTAGAGCACGCGATAAAGACGAAGAAGGTAGCGGATGGAAGAATAGCATAAGATCAGCGGATGTGCATCGCGGACGGCTGGTAGAGGGTGCCACGAAGGTGCCCAGTGATGCGATCGTGGTATCCGCTTCGTCGGCGTCTTCGTCGTCCTCGGCAGTGTCCCACGCAGGGAGACATTCAAAGACGCGGCTCATAATTGGCCACTCGTTCAAGCTGTCGCTACCATACAGGCATGCGAGGGCCAAACGGGCCATGTCTTCATCGTCCCGTATGAGTCGCTGAGCTGGAGGAAGAGTTGGTTTTGAAGCCTCAAAGATGGTGGCGACAAGTTCTAGAGGAGCATTTAGGATATACTCATAGAGCAGGCGCTTCGGGAGTGTAGGGTCCGGACGCCCTGCACGCTCTGCACGCGACTCGAGAACGAACAAATATGGCATGACAAGTCTGCTTATGTCCTGCGCGATTGTCTCCGAGGTAGAATATGCCAAGTATGCGCGAACGATTTCTGAGGGATCCATTGCTTTCCAACGAGCCAACGTCCAGTCATCATCTGCGCCCTGAGGTGGTGGGTGGGTGTCGTAGACAAGGCGAGAGAGTAGACTGAGCTCCTCTCCCATTTCGTCGAGACCGGGAAGACCTTGCGATGCTGCATGTTGCACCAGAGAAAATGCAGCGTCGATCATCCCGGTGGAGGATACAATGAGGTCAATCCGGACTTGGTACCATTTTACCAACTCAGAGGACGGTAATGGCTCTGCGCGTATGAGACTGTCGTGAGGAGAGGGAGGTACCTCTGCTGTGAGAGAGGCCTCGGCGGCGGCGACAGCTGCTGTCACCTCTGGGAGCTCAGAGAAGTCGGGCTCCACCCTCCAAGGATTGGTTTCGAGAGTCTTCTCCCGGTCTTCCGCGGGGTCATACACGGGTAGTATGTCCCTGAAGTCTACCGCGAGTGCATGTTCGGGGACGCTATCGAGTATCAAGAAGCGGTAGGGACACAGACGGGTGCCATGCCGCTCCATGAGAATACGCAACGCAGTGAATTGTTCCAAGGATGCTAGAAGGCATGCCGCGTGTAGCAGGTCGGTGGTCAGGAAGGTGGATAGGGGGATGAGGGGTTCGCGAGAAGTAGCGGACGTGGATGTAGAGGGTTCCCCAGATCCCTCCGCCCAGGGATCATCCTCCCACTCGTCGTCTACCAGATCGTCCGCGTCAGGCTGGATTGATGCTTCCTTGCATACCGCGACGTATGTGTTCAACCTATCGAGGCGGTCGAGAAGCACTGAGCGTATTCGGCATAGCTGAGCATCTGCTGATTGCGCACGGAAATGCGAGAGTAGTGAAGCAGACCATCCCTGCGCCTCCGACTGGCGAGCGTCGCCATTCCTCTGCTCTGCAGCATCGTCGTCTTCCGCTTCATGTGTAGTGTCGGCGTAGACATCACGACAACGCGTGAGGGCCGACTCCGTGCGGTCTATCCCTAACTCGACGATGGACCGTTGGACTGTCGCGTCCTCGAGAATGCGATCCACGCATGCAGCTGCCACCCAGAGGTCATCCGTAACAGGCTTCAGTAGCTGTTCTATGGTGTCCTGAGTGAGATCTGCGTCCGACAAGGCCAGCCATTGCGTACAGATGTCCTCCGGAGACGTGGAAGTCGTAAGGGACGCCATTTCATGTCTTGACACGTGCATACGCGCACTCGAGGCGTGACGACAACGCGGGGCGTGCTGGGGCGTGCCTTCGATCAAACCGAGATCACAATTGCGCTCGGGCATCAAACCCGTCCTCAATGCCGCGGGGACAAGCAAGTTGTAGTGGTGGAGAATGCATGCATAGTGTACATGGATGTCCAAATTACAGACCATAAACGACCGAAATGACTAGATACGAGAATATACCACAAGTACTTTTGTGCCTTCTAGGTTGACACGGCCGAGCACTTCATAACCGTGTTAGAAACACCCGGACGACCTCGGATGAGCACAAGCGGCGTTCAAAACAATGTTTCCTGAACACCATGGATCAGAGACTGAGTAACACGAACTAGTCAAACAGACTGACCTCATCACGAAGATATTCTCCAACATCACTATAGTGTGGTCATGAGGTTCTGAGTCTCAGGCGAGAGTATAAAAGACTCACGATTGGTGGAAAACAATGATAGCAGTCGGGTCCAACTTTCTTGTGTCGACTGTCGAACGGGCTGTCACACCGAATCCCTGGCAAGGTGCAAAACGTTAGCGGTCGCCGCGCACAAAAAAACACAAGGGGACGTACTAATGGAATATCATTCATGCTGAAGACTACGACACCTTGATGTTCAGGTGTATCTTCGGTTATACGACCAAGGTGCGCTTTGAGAACGTGGTTGCCGTATAGGAAAGGCATCTCTCCATTCGGTTTGATCCAAATCTGCTTCCATTTAGCTCCTCTGCTAACGTTCCCTAAGTAGGAGCACAGGACGTACCTTGTACTTTGCATATTGCGCAAGGTAATCCAGGGCAGTGACATGTAGCTTGAACTTGCCGCTCTTAGAGAATTTGCCGAAACAAGTCCCGAGACTAATCAGGTTTGGTCGTGCGACGGAGATGCCGAGGCGCATAGACGACTCTGAGACATAGAACACTCTGTCCTTCTGCAGACGGAAGCAGTAGGGTTCGTCTGGTCGGTCAATCAAGTGGACGAGGTTCTTGCCCTGCAATACACTCGGCGTTAGGCAGACTAGCATGAACCGTCAAGAGAAGTTATCCGTACGATGTAATTAGCGAGTTTCGTGAACACGGCCTTGCTCTCATCTTCTGTCAGAGGACGCATGATGGACGGCCAACGTGTTTCGAATTGGTGGGTCCTCGTTGTGTCTGCCGGGCAGGTCTTCAGCCGCTACTCGAGATTGAGGAAAGGCAAAAAGTGGTTATGATCGGCCGCCTTCCTTTTTGGGAGGGAGATGATAGCATACCACGTGATAAGTCAATGCAGCTGCGGGCGCTTCTCCTTAGGTGCCCTGAGCTGCATCCAAGGGTGCTCCTTACAGGCAATACGCCAGTCACAGCGGGCTCCCTTATTCTGGCTTGCTGCTTAGCACACTGACGCACAAAGACGCTTACGTCTGCACACTATAGGCCAACTAGTAAGAAGATGTCGGCGCCTTCCTTCAGCTCGTTCCCTCCGTCCTTCACTTCGTTTCCTGACTTGGACCCTGGACCAAGCAAGCGTTCGTCTACTCCCAAGAATGATGCGCCCTCATCAAAGAAACCCTCTAAGCACAAGGAAAGGGACGTCGTGGACCCCAAAGACAGGAAGCGGAAACACGAGAAGCACAAGCATGACGCTCTGAGCCACTCGAAACGACATCGCAGCGAGAAGGGCTACGTGAGGCCCGATGACGATGTTTTGAAAGCTCAAGAAGACGCGTCTCTCAGGCGTGAAGAGGCATACAACATCCGGAGGCCAGGTTCGCCGCCGCTGTACTTCACTGACCGCAAGGGTGACCCACTGAACGTGCAATACGGTGGTCTGCACGCTGGGAGCGTACCACGGTACTATCTGGTTGGTTGTGAGTGCAGCCTCATATGTATCCGCAACCTCTAACGAAACGAAGGGGGAAGGTCAATTCTGGGCCTGGAGCCCGTGTGGAAAGTTGTTCACAGAGGACGGAGGGGAGTTGAGATAGCTCTCGGTGGAAAACGCAGGGTACGCCTGTACACACAAGATTTCTGCACGAATTATGAGACTCATCACTGCATGTACCTTAGATGCATTCATTGACGGATCCAAGCTCGCGTCATCTACTACATGCTCCACCAACCCGCAGACTACTTGCTTCATCAGAAAGCAAGTACAAATACGAAGAGATTGAGGGATTCTTGCGACTGACTTCTCGTAACGACCGCAAGGACGACCAATCATACCGTGCAATCACTGCGCCCAAACACGATGCTAACTCAGACGAATCCGAATCCTCTGGGGACGAGGCGGAGAGCTCGGGAAACGACAGTGATACTACACCAATGACATCCTTACAAGCTACACTGAAATCACTCGAAGAACGCCTGTCTTCAGACGCGTCGTCCATCTCGACATGGCTCTCGCTCCTTTCGTATACCCTTTCCACCATCCCCATCACCTCCAAGAACGCACCACGCGCCCGTGCTGAGATCACGCTCTCTGTGCTATCCCGTGCACTCTCCGCGCATCCGAGCAATGCATCCACACGAACGCTCCGACTGCGGTACCTCAAAGCAGGTGAGGAGATCTGGGACAACGCCAAGTTGTACGCGGAGTGGGAAGATGCACTGAAAGTAGGTGGAAGCGAGATTTGGGTAGAGTGGCTCGACTGGAGGATCAGACGGGGCAGCAACGGTATCGACGGCATCGTAGAAGATGCAAGGCGTGTGCTAGCTTCGATCGGGGATGAGGAAGTCAGTCATATGCGCGTGCTGTGGAGAGTCGGAGTTGCTTTTCGGGATGCAGGTAGGCAAGATGACTCCTGTGCGAGGATGGGCATTGATTGAGCACTCAGGTTATGTCGAACGCGCGAATGCACTCTTCCAGGCTCAAGCAGAATTGTAAGACATTCGTAATGTCATCGCGGAAGATATATTCAACTAACACATTCTTCAGAGCGTACCATACCCCTGCAAGTCTTGTGGGTCAACCATTCGACGAACAGCTGGATGCACTCGAGGAGTTCTGGGAGGCCGAGGTCCTCAGAACCGGCGAGCCAGGAGCCAAAGGTTGGGCTCATTGGCACGACACTGACCACCAGGCGGAGCCTCCGGCTGCCCGACAGATACCAGAGCCTACGACCGTAGAAGTCGACCCATACCGGCGCTGGGCGGCCCTCGAGTCGATTGCGGATCGAACGCACCACCTGCCCTCGCGCTCCTTCGACGAGTCCGCCGACGCCGACCCATATGCAACGATCCTCTTCTCAGACATTCGGCCACTTCTCTTGCCGCTGCGGAGCGTACAGGCCAAGCACACCTTCCGCCTCATCTGGCTCGCCTTCCTCGGCCTACACATCCCGGGCTACCTCCCCACTTTGTCTGCGGTGCCGAGCGAGAACGCCGATGACCGCTGGGCATACGGGCATTTCGTCTCCCCGGCGTACCTAGATTCTATTCTACCTCGTGATAATCTCTCCGCAGCCACGCGCATCACCGCGGATGCGCAGGCGGGGGTGCTTATTGGGCGTGAGCGAGAGTTCACCAGTGCGTTCGGGCCGGTGAAGAGCTGGGGATACGACGTGCTCGGCCCGCTCGAGGGCACGACCGATGCGCGGTGGAGGATGTGGATGGCGGAGGACGTTGCAGGCGTCGATCACAGCCTGGTGCGCGAGGTGTTCGCGCAGTGCCGCACGGGAGACGATGCCGAGTGGGAAATCCTGTCGCTCACGTTCGAAGCCGCTTGCAGCGCAAAAGAGTGCGTATTACACATATATTGAAACGGAGCGTGTACTGACGAGCTGTCTCAGAGCGTCGCGCTTGTCAAAGACGCTTTTGGCTTCAGCACAAGAGTCTTTGCTTCACTGGGCAGCGCATGCTCGTCTGGAGCGGATACGCGGCCGCACAGACGCTGCGCGCAAAGTGTACCAGACTGTGCTCGCTATCTCTCACTCACAGTCATCAGCTGCAACTCAGCTGTGGTGGGACTGGGCCGAGATGGAGTGGATGGCCGAGCGGCCGGACACCGCGACAGAGGTCATCCTGCGTGCTACTGGGACGCAAGGCACCGGCGGTATCGCTATCCTACGCGCAAAGCGATATATACAAGAGGTGATTGCACCGATACCCGTAAAACGGTGGAAAGAACGCGAAGCCTGGACAAAGCTATGGATCCTGCTCGAGCTTCTGTCCGGAACCCCTCAATCCGCGCTGTCTGTGCTAGACTCTCATATCCGTGCACTAGAACCTAGGTCGGCTCCGCATGAAAGCCTGACCGTTGCTTGTTTAGTGCTACTCTACCGATATGGCACCGTTCTACGCAACCCCGTCCCGCCAGCGCTGCTGCGGGAGCAAGCGGAGGCGGCGATCGAGGCATATCCTAGCAATACGATCATACTGGGTATATTTTTAGAGGCCCAGAGAGGGCAAGGTATCTGGGGACGGGTGAGGCACATGCTAGGGGAGAATGTGGCGGACGGCAGGACACGAGAAAAGGACGTAGTGCGCAGGGTAGCGGAGGTGTGGGTGGCAGGCTGGGAGAAGGGCAGGTGGGAGGCGGAGCAGGAGCGGACGCGGGGAGGGCTGTCTGCAGCCGTCGAGGACGAGCGGTACGTGCATGCCCGGCATACGTCTGTGATGAAAGCGTGCTGACAGGGCGGCCTATGGACGCAGGACACGCGGCAGTGCTATCTTGTGGCGTTTGTACGTCGAGTTCGAGATTCGGGCAGGGCAGCTGGAACGCGCGAAGAAGTTACTGTACCGGGCCGTGGGCGAGTGCTCGCTAGTGAAAGGTGCGTGGGCCAGACCGGTGCATGCTGACGGAGCTTGCTGATATGGGCGTGGGTAGAACTCTATTTACTGGCGTTCGGACCCTTGCGGGAGGTGTTCAGCGCTCGGGAGCTGAACGAGTGGGTGGAGACAATGGCGGAGCGGGGCATTCGCATGCGACGGGGGCTGGACGAGCTGCTGGCAGGGTATGTGGAGACGAGGCAAGTCAAGGCAGAGGTCAATGACGCGGATGGGGAGGACGAGATTGAGCAGAGCGCGCGGGAGCTGCGGAGACTCATGCCATACTGAGCGCAAGGATGTTTGGTCTTGTTTGTGTTTGTACACGGTGTTTGTGCGTGGGCGGATGCCACAGTGAGTTCCCATCTACGCGACCACCAGCCCCGCACAGACCCGCCCTCGACGCTGCCGCTTTGTCTCCACGCCGTCCGACCTCTTTTCTTCTGCGAGGCCTTGTCCTCCGCGATATTACTTCTGCGCGACATCTATGGTCTCGCACTAAGTCCCGCTCCGCTCCCTATCTCGCAATTCTCTCTGCACTTTAGTATCTCCTGCCCCTACTACATCTGGGCGTAATCTCTACCATTGCCTCCTATGACTGCCATTCCTGCTCCTACGATTGTTCTCTGCAAGGAGGAGTGGCCCGACGCCGATTTTGACTTTCCCGATGGCGACCCCATCCACACCTCTGATGCCGAGTCGGACAAGGAGGATGCCGACGAGGACTGGGACCTCGAGATGGACCTCGGTAAGACAGGCGGCGCAAAGGCACAATCTGTCCGCGATGCCATAGCAGCGCGCATGGATGCCTCGCGGACACCCTCCCAAATGTTCACCATTCGACCACCGCTCCCTACCACACCTGACGACGAAGACGATGAGGGCGTCTCCACCATCAAGGTCGCACAACTCCCCAAAGTTTCTACCAGACCGCCCCCACCGCCACCTATTGAAGAGGATTTCGAGGACGGATTTGCTTTGCCCTCGGATCTCACCCAACTGTCCTTACGTCCAGTCTCACACCGCTCCTCAAAGGGCTCGCTCGAATGGGGCGACAAAGACCAGACGTCCTCATCATCTCAATCCTCAGACGCATACTCCACCCTCGGGTTTGGTGACAATGCTTCATCCTCAAATTACACCTCAGCCTCCCTCCCGGAGACGGAGACGGAAGAGGAGGACGATGAAGAGCACGAACTCGACGGCCTAGTGATTCCCACTGGTCTCTTCGAGTCTGGCTCGAGCGCGAAAAAGCTCGCCAAGATTCTCGAGACGAAGAAGAAAACCGTGTTCACTGACGAACGGATCAAGGTGGCGAGCCCCGATCCGGAGGATGATTATGAGATCGGCCTCGTCATCAACCACGACGTCGAACTTAGTCCAAGCAGACTACTCCAGAATGCACAGGGCACGAAGCGATTCACCGTGTCCAGCATTCGCAGCAAGAGCGCCCCGCCACGGCCGCCGGCGGGCGTGCGCCCACCGTCGCGCCTCAAGGGCGATCGCGCGAAATCTCCAAACAACCCTCCCGTATCGTCCGCGAACCAGCTCCGCAGACTTGCGGCGCCGCCATCACCGCCCATCGCTCGTCCTGGGCCAGGGCCACGGGCACAAACCTACAGCCAGGCCGTTACCTCCATTCCCCCGCCCCCCTCTTCCCCGCCGAGCTTCCTCGCACCGAAGCCGGGAAGCCTGCGCGTGCAGAAGTCACACTCTGGCCTGAAGCCTGTGTCACCAACGACATCGACGCGCCACCTCGGCCGCAAGGCTTCACTGCCCTCGCTCTCCGAGTCGACGAACCAGGCCCAGGCGTCAGGTTCTGGGCAGAGCGTCGGCTTTGGTGTGGGTCAGGCAGGCTACGTCGCCCAGACCGCGTCGTCGCGCGCGAAGATGCACACCACTTACTCGACGAGCCGAATACATGGCTTCGAGTACAACGTGCCTCCGACTCGGCCATCGACGCCATCATCTAACCCCGCTGCGCTGCGCCTCACGATGCCGACGTCGTCGTCACGCCTCAAGTCGCGCACGCCGATCACTTCAGTTTTCCCCGCGCCCCTGAGTGCTGTGACCCCGCCGTCCATACGCTCGCAGTCGCCGTTGCCGCCGACACGTCCCCCATCCGCGACGTCAAAACCGCGGCTGGGACACGCGCAGACGCAGAGCCTCCCGCTGCCCGCGCCGAAAGTCCTCAAACGACCGAAGCGGCAGCGGACGTATGGCGACGGGACAGAGCTGGATGGCTTCGACGACCTCCCGCTTGACCGTGAGAAGGAGGGCCGCTTCCGCGTGCAGCCCAAGGGCCATGGGAACCGCATACCTGGGGCGAGCTTCTCGAAGGCCTCACTTTCCAATGCGAGTGCGGACCCGCCTGCTGGTAAGGGTACTCTGCGGCGAAAGACAAAGCGAGATGTATCGGGTGGCAGCATAGGTGAGCGTTCAGGAACCGACCCCGACAATGCGATGTCTCATTATCGCTGCGTTTAGAATTGTCAAAGGCGGCTGGTGCCCCTGCAAGGACACTCAAGCGTACGGCGCGCATAGAGTTCCCGACAAAAACTGACGCACTCCCTGCTCCTGAGCCGATGAAGTCGTCCGACGCTGAACCCAGCGCGAAACGGAAGAAGGGGGTAGCTTCACCGTTGCAGACGCGGAGAAAGCCCACTTTGATTCGGAATCCCGGCGGCGCCAGTGCACCAAAAGGTGAGGTCCATTTATTTGCAGCCATTGAAGCGCGCTCATGAGGCGTTCCAGTCGTTGGAGAAATGAAATGGAATCCCACCACGCTACGCTGGGAAGGGAACGACCAAGCGCTCCGCGACTTCGATGCAGCTGTGGGCTCGTCGACCCGACCCGCACTCATCACGCACCTCACGGGCTCATCTATGGGCTCCCCTGTCGGCTCGTTCGCTGCCGGAGCGCGTGTCGTCGGCAACATGATTTTCGATCCCTCGCGCATGTGCTGGATCTCAACCCTCCCGCCGGACGAAGAGGAGCCGGACGTCTTCGCGGACCTCGCCGACGACGAGGACGACGATTGGGAGGCAAAAGGCGGCACGATCCGAGCCAGCCAGCAGCAGCAGCAGCAGCAGCAGGGCAACATGTCTAGCACGCCAAGTGGCGATACCACGACGCGCACGGAGCCGCCAAGTCCCGCACGGAGCTGTTCGCGCACACGTTCGGGCAGCGAGAGCGACCGGTGTTCGCGCGCGTCGATGGTGTGTGACGTGGACGACTCGTTCGTGGAGAACTGCCGCCTCGCGCAGGAGCGGCATCGCGCGGAGATGAAGGGTTGGCTGTCGCTCTCGCGGGCCAACGCGAACGCGGAGCCGGATCGGTCGTACCTATACGACATCCGTGCGCTCGCAACGCGACAGTACTGAAGATTTCTCCTTTTCTTTTTCCTATGACGATTTTCCTCTGTTTCATGACGCTCATGATGGTCTCTCCTCTTGTTCGCTTGCTTATAATCTTTTTATGGGTACAAAGGTTCATTTTTCCTTTTAGTTTGATACCAGCCCACCCCATCTCCCCCACCCTTTCACCACCTGCCCCCCCATCTCTTCTCCTTCGTGTGCTGTCTTGCTTTGATTTCTTTGGCTTGGTCTCGTCTCACTCTCTACCGTATCATATCTCGATGTGTATGTTGCAGCAATGAATATGGAAAGTATGGTTCACACTCGGTTTGTATGGTTGGGTCAAGTAAGACACGCTCAAGTTTGAAGCTTCAAGACCAGATACAATTTGATTGATCGTACAGAGAACAAGTATCAGACAGAACGACACAGGCCGACTAGTATTTTACGTACACTAGCCGGTAAACAGGAGTCCGTGGAGGCATAGGTGGGAACCGCAAGAGAAACCAAATTCTGGTGAGCTACAGGTAAGACCCCATTATCTCGATACTAAAAGGGCAAGAACACCTCCTGAGAGGCAGTAGCCAACGCAGAAAGACGATACGATAAATATGGGACCGGAAGACCACGCAAGAATACTCTCGAGACTCTAAAGTAGAATGGTGTTACAGAGGTAAGGGGAGTGCATAACGAGACGACAACGATGAGGAAGGCGGTCCGTGATAATCCCACAATGGAGATCATCTGCGAGCCGCATGAGAGCGTGAGGGAAGATAGCAATGGTGGATGAGACAGGCAAATAGCAAGGACACAGAGCTCAACGACAAACGAGACGAGTAAAAATATGCGATACCTGTACGAGGACCAAAAAGGCCAGAAGGGCGTGGGGATTTGGCGCAAAACGCACAGTGGAATTCGGCTTAGGCGTGCTTAGTCGCGCCCACCGATAGTCTTCCTGCGTTTCTTGGGTTGACTGTCCGAGATATCGACGTCCCCGTCATCGCGGGACCATCCGACCATGAAGCCGCGTCGGGTCTTCTTTCCTGCCTTCACCGGTGACCCAGTCAACCGATCCGTCATCAGATCACCCTCCTCGGATGAGCCGTCGTCGTCGAAGGTGGTGTCAGGGCGCGATCTGCTGCTCAGGAAAGCGTCCATCAAACCTGCTCCAAAGGAAGAAAGGCTTGCCGTGGCTCGAACGAGACCCGCCGATCCAGACGGCTGTGTACTCCGAACGACGGGACTTTCGTCCGGAACTGTACGACGCGGACTCCCAGTAGATACACTAGAGTCCGTAGTCCCGCTCAGATCGACCCACGACTGGAATGAGCCATCTGCAAATGGGTCTTCAATCGGTTCGTTGTCCAATTCAATGGGACCCAATAAAGCTGGGACATCTGTGGATACCGACGCGAGGCTACGCTTCAGAGATCGAGCGGAGGAGCGCCCAAGAGGAGACTCAGGAATTCGGTATTCTTTGAAATCAGGTCGATCCACAATCGGAACCGGGACGGGACCGTCATAGAATAGGCGGCGCGGAGATGGTGTGGGGAAAAACGCATTATCCTTGTCCTTGCCCAGAGGCGCAAAAGGGCTGCTAAAGATGCTGCGCTTGCCCCGTTCGCTAGCAGGAACAATGACAACAGGGCTAACATCGAGCCCACTGACGACAGGGCTTGCCTCTCCGCGAATGAGCATTGAGAGGGATAATTCGTGCGCTTTGGAGTGCAATGGGTGACTCGGGCTGGGAAATCTCCATGGTTGGTCGGACGGAAGACGCGCTGGGGAGTGGCGGAACGATGGAGTGACAAGAGGATCATAGGGGGACTCTGGTATCTCCTGAATTAGGCGTTGCGATTTGGTGGGTGAGAATCCCGGAGTCATAGGAGGAGTACTGGAAGAGTTGATAGCTTGGAAAAGGTCAGGTTCGCCCTCAGGCCCCGACTGTTCGTCGGGGAGCAGCTGCGGGAGCGGAACGCCATTTGATTCCTCTTCCTCATCAGTGTCCCCGGCTTGTACGTTGTTAGAGCCAAACGACCGCTTCCAGTCGCCCACGTCCGAGAGCGACCGCTGGATTCGTGAGGATGAGGGTTCGACATCGTCGGAAGTGCGACGACTGCCACGCCCACTGGACCGGGCATTCTCCTTGTTGTCCTCTAATGGGCGCGCAGGCTTATCAGAGGAGATGAATGTACGACAACGATGCACTTACTTCGACCGCCCTTGCGATCTTGGGTGTCTCTGCGATTGGACATGGCGATACGATGTTTCTCGTACACATGCCGCCGCCACATCGACTTTGCGTTCACGCCCGCGTAGGTGCGTCTGCAGAATGTGCAGCGAAGACGTGGCTCTTCTCCTTCTGGCCAGCCATCCTTGATGTCCTTTTTCTTCGTGGGGCACCACCCACGTGGAGGTTCAAGCTGAGATGGATACCTGATTCCAGTGGGATTGCCGCCTTCAACATTATCAAAATCCGCCGGATCCAAGAACCATTCGGGATTGGCGGCCATTAGATTATAGGTCAACCCGTCCTTGTATTTCGGTGCATAGGGGAAATCAGTGAAAGGCGGATGAATAAACACAGCCCCGGGATCTGAGGGGGACGGGTCGTTATTGACGGTCGCTACGCCAAGCGTATGAGCACGAGTGAGGTTGTGCCGGCTCGACGACATTGCGGTAGCGGACTGTGAAGGCTCCGGATTGCGAGGTGGTCGAGTCGGCTGCTGAGGGGGCGGGGGATTCTGCGGCTGATAAGGCCGCGGACGGAATGTGGCAGCCGACGGAGTGAAATATGCTGGGTCGAGTGCGGATGCTGTCATCCGTCGCTTGAGCGAGCGAGAGATGAGGTCTCCAGAAGAGGAAGAGGTGCTGGGATGAAAGGGCGATTGGAGGGGTAGGCGCGAATCTGACATCACGCAAGATCACTGTTTTGTCGATGGGGTGGTGTATATAAGAAGTGAGACCCTAGGTCGAATTGCTATACCCGATACCTGATGTGAGGGGAAAGCAAGAAGCGGGGCGGCGAGAAGGGCGATGGGGAGGGCGGAAAGGGAGATATCCAAGAGGGCTTGATGCGCGGTGGCAAGAGTGAGAGTCGCCCACAAGAAAGGCTCCGCTCCTTTGCCACAGATTCAAGCGGAGATGACACGTATCGACGCGTTCACCACGTGATCGTATCGACATGTGTCAGACGTGTGTATCTGCGACGCGTCTTCGATCTCCAACGTTCGCGACAATTTCCCACCTCTGCCGCTCACCGCAGCATTGCTGGCGTCCTCTGGCAATACCCTTGCAGGTAGCACATGAGCGTAGATATGTGAACATTGGACAACTACTACAGCAAGAAGGCGGTTCAAAGCCCCCCAGCTCATTATATACATATCAGGCAACGACTGGCACTGCATTCGAAACATGACGGAAGGAGCTAGAACGCCAAGGCAATGTAGCTACATGTCTCTCAGATAAGATGCTTCCCTTGAAGTGCTACAGACGTACCCTGCAATCATAAGCGAGCCTCCTAGCGGTGTAATGGGTCCCATCCACCGGAAGCTGTACAAGAAACACTGAGCATAGTTCGTGAGCTGCACCATTATGTCTCGCGACTCACCGGTCGCGGGCCAAAATCAGGGTAACTATGCTACCCGAGAATATAAGCCCCCCAGCTGCGATTGCGGGTCCGGCAAATCTGTGGGTTGAGAAGCGGGGGTGCATGGACACCAGAAGCAGCGCAAGCCCATTGAAGACCTATCGGAAATCTAAATCAATAGCCAGTTCGCTAAATGAGAACAACGACATCCTGTCAATGGACCGAGAGGGGCGTTAGAAAACAAGGGGGAAAAGGACCGAACGGTCGCGTTCCAGTCACGTTCATGATATACTAAGTACCATGTCCGTTAGTTGCCATGTCATCAAATGGCGCTCTGATCCACGTATGATGCAAAGTCGATTATTCGCCATAGAACCACGCACCCCAAAGTGAGAAGCAGTTCCCCAAGCACGAATGTTCTCGGGAGTAACACCGGGCCTCTTCTGAAGGCCGTGCGCGCCGAACGCTCCTGCAAGCATACCCACAGCAGCTACAGTTCAGTGCCGTGCGAGGGGTCCGAGTATTCGTTGAATACGTCAGTAATATGGAGGATTAACGTTGCGGGCTGCTCAATGCAGCCTTTGGGCAATGCATTCACCTAGGATAGCTCCGGACTTCCATAGGAACTTTGCATTTGGGAAGGTGGCGGCCGCAGCACGAAGCAAAGGAGTAGATGAGTTGGGTTCAGCCATGCGAGTCGCGCGGTCCTATACACGTAGATTCAGGGGAGAGCACAGGATATAATATACGACCCGTGAGAGGACTCGTCGAGACTACACCACTAATCCAGCCCCGACTGGCGCTCAAATATTCAGCCTTACCGGCGCCCACCTGCCCTGGCCATGTGTCGTCAGTCTCCAGGCTCGATTGCGCATGATCGGCGCCCAGTCGTCCCCTTGCTAGCTCCAGACTTACATGCTGCAGCTGCCAGCGCAACACACTGACAATGACCAGAGACTCTTGATCGCGCAAGCCTGTGGTGGTATATGGCCGTTGTTAAACAAGTCAAAATCAGGTGTACCTTTCTGCTGTTCTAATGCCCACGGTGTGATGAGCTGAGTTCTCCATGGGTCCCATGCCGTGTCGTTGTCGATCACACCTGGGTGCTATCAAGGCCTCCCGAGCTGTTAGCTCCGCATCTGACAGATGCGTCAATGTTTGGGGAGATTTACAGCAAAACCAATATTGATAGACCTCCCCTCGCAAAGTATACACTTTGGCAAAGTGGGGCAGAAGCTCGCGGCAGGAGTCGGCAGTGGTGCAGACAGTGACCGGCAGCCGATCAGAGACGGGCTACTGAGTAGACGCTTGCTATGATCCCCTCGTCTACCGACCATGGTCGGTAATCGACGATATATGGATCCTGCTCAGAAACGAATCGTTGTATACACGTCTCGCTGCATGGCTAATGATCAGAAGCTACTGGTATCGCGTCACAGTAGAGTGCAGAGGTCGTCGCTGTCTGCCATTGCTTGTGGAAGCAAACGGGGTAGACCTCGACAAACGGACGAATATTGAGGCATTGATGTGGATTACTTCACATGACTGCCGCGAACAACCTCTGAGAAATGAGTGCACGTCACCCCGAGGTGCCGAGCGCCGTTATGCTCCATGCCGCCTATCTGTACTTTTTGCGAGGGAGGTCTATCGATATTAATTTTGCTGTAACGGGATTCTACTTAGCTAATGATACGAAAACAGACCGTGCGCGACTCCAAGCATCCGGAAGAACGGCAAGATGCCCGACGCAAAGAGTGGTGAGTATCTGTAATAGATCAGTATCGTCGAAGCTTACTAGAATTACAACCTTATGCCAGCGCCAGGAAGCGGCACACGAGGGATGGTACCACTTGTCAACGGCGCGCAAGGGATGGTATGGCTTGTGGAGGATGTCGGGACAGAGCCATATAGCATGCGTGAGTGGTGACTGCAGGTTGATGAATCCTGACTGATTTATTGTTAGTGAGGAGACAGGGTAAGGAAGGAGATGGATACAGACGGAGGTACATGCAAGACGGACAACGGCAGGGGCAGCATGACCAGGCAGGGGAAGAGTGCAGAAGGGAGAGCACAACACGACTTCGCTCATACAAGGTTTGCGCCAGCATGATATCGGACTCGATGCGTATTAATGGGGTTCAATTGAAAGCTAATACACGAGTACTTTTGCGTATGTGATACAATATGTGACTCTGAGCGTAAAGCGATGTGCGCGCTGCAATGCTGGGGTCCATGGAGGTGGCCCAATGGTGGGGACATTTTCATCCGCGAGTGGCTCCGATCATGGTGCCGAGCAGGCCAGGACCAGAGGGTAAACCTGGTCACATGGTCCTACCGAAATGGCTCCCAGCGCTGTGCGGATCGGGGGTGTAGGGCGCGCCGAGAGCGGGAGTACGATCAATCACGTGGACGAGTACGATGGCGGCAAAGTTCTCGATTTGGTGATCGACTTCTGAAGGTCTTGCATTCAGCGGCCGCACAAAATCTGCAACAGTACCAGCCATGGGAAAGGCGCAGAAGAAGACCGGAAAGGGTCGTCTCGATAAGTACTACAAGCTTGCAAAGTGAGTCGCAGGTACTCTCAGAGATTGCCCTATCATTGACGGAGCCGTAAAACAGAGAGCAGGGCTACCGTGCTCGGTCGGCCTTCAAGCTCATTCAGTTGAACAAGAAGTACTCCTTCCTAGAGAGTGCACGATGTTGCATAGATCTGTGTGCCGCCCCCGGCGGTTGGTTGCAGGTGGCGAGCAAGTATATGCCAGTAAATAGTGTTATAGTCGGTGCGTCTCTTCACCCCTCTACATTTTGGATGTCCTAGACGAAAGCACCGTTACTCTAGGCGTCGACTTGGTACCCATCAAACCCATTCCTCGGGTTGTTACATTTGCCTCCGACATCACCACACCGCAATGTCGCAATCTTATTCGAGCAGAGCTCAAGGACTGGAAGGCCGACGTCGTCCTCCATGATGGTGCGCCGAACGTCGGTTCAGCCTGGGTCCAGGACGCATACGGCCAGTCTGAGCTGGTGCTCATGAGTATGAAACTAGCCGTAGAGTTCCTCTTGAAGGGTGGGACGTTCGTCACCAAGGTCTTCCGAAGTGCGGACTACAACAACCTCATCTGGGTTTTCAACCAGCTCTTCGGAAAGGTCGAGGCTACGAAGCCGCCATCATCCAGGTATGCCCCTTTTCACTACTATATATTGGTATCTGTGATTCATCTGCGGGCAGAAATGTCTCCGCCGAGATCTTCGTTGTCTGTAGAGACTTCCTTGCTCCGAAGCACATCGACCCTAAGTTTTTCGACCCCAAACATGTGTTCAAGGACCTGTCTGCGATGGCTCCCGGGGAAGGGGGTGTATCGTCCAAGAACTACCACGAGAGCGTCTTCCAACCAGAGAAGAAGCGCCGCAAACGTGACGGATACGACGAGGGGGACTACATACTCTTCAAGAAAGCAGGCGCTGCTGAGTTCATTCGCTGCCAAGATGCAGTCGTATTTCTTGGGAGCATAAACAAGATTACCTTTGACACGGAAGAAGAGAAAGAGTATGTGACAAATTGGCTTGCTCTACACTAATAGTTGAATCGTCGCTTGCTAGATGGCTGAAGCTGGACATCACGACGTCTGACGTCGTTGCCAACTGCGAAGACCTCAAAGTCCTCGGCAAGGGTGACTTTAAAGCCCTCATGAGATGGCGCACTGCCCTGCGAGAGGAGGTTGGTCGATCATAGATATGTGTGGTTTCTTTCAAAAATGACATCGTTCTCAGATCGGTCTTGAAGTCAAAACCAAGCACGCTGAGGAACTGACGGAAGTTGTTGAGGTGACAGAGGAAGTCGACGAGGAGACAGCAATCCAGAACGAGGTATGCATCGAACAAATCGCCGATTGTTATTCCTGGGTCACTCATGTGTTCTCGCATACAGTTGGAACGTCTCAACGCCGAAGCCGCGGCGCGCGCGAAGCGCGACCGCCGACGTGCCAACGAGGTCAAGACACGGACTATCCAGCGCATGCAGCTCCAGATGACCGCGCCGCTCGATATCGGTTTAGAGCAGAGCGATGCTTCATTGGCATTTGGCCAAGATGATATATTCGACCTAGATGGTGCTACCAAGGCGATGAACAGCCGGGGAGGCGCCAAGAGACTCGAGGAAGAAGACGACGCGGAAGACGACGACGAAGACGAGGGTGGGAGCGACGCGGAGAACGAGGATGTCCTGGACTCCGAGGAAGAGCGCGAACGAAAAGTCGAAGGCCTCCAAGCGGATCTCGACGGCCTCTACGATGCCTACAGGGATCGTCTGCGAGAACGGGACGCAAAGTTCAAGGTGAAGGAGGCGAGGAAAAACAACAAGGCTCGAGAGGATTGGTATGGAATTGCCAAGAAGGATAGCGACGATGAAGATGAAAGCGAAGAAGAGGGTGGGTGGGACAAGATGGAGGAGACGAAGGAGCGATTAGGGGAGGATTCGAGCTCAGACGAGAGCGACAACGACGAAGGTGCCCCAGTGCGTGCAGGGCAGAAGCGTCCAATGGACTCAAATGCTCGGGGTTCTCAGCAAATTCGCAAGAAGGCGCGAACATCGGCCGCATCGGCTGCCCCTCCTTCGAATCCTCAATTAAATCGTGCCGCGCAAGTTTGGTTCAGCCAAGATTGCTTCGCGGGTCTTGACATCGATATCGAAGACGACGAGGCTGAAGAGGACGTTCAGATGGACGAGGACGAGGATGAGGATGAGGATGACGGTGCTCAAGACCAAGTAAGCATGTCCTCTCTGCTGACAGTCGTAGTTCTTACATGCCTGCAGGCGCAGACTAGCGACGATGAAGACGATTTCGAAGTGGTACCTCAGGATCCTGATGACTCCGCATACATGTGGGACGTCGAAAATGAGAACGAGGACGAGCTCAAGGAAGCGAAGATACGGAGTCAGCTCCACTCCTTTCTATTACTGTCTATCATTATCACTGACCTCCGACTTTAGAACACGGCCTTGTGACCCCCGAGGCTGTCACAATCGCGCAGAAGCTCGTAAATAGGGAGAAGACACGGACTGAACTGATCAATGACGGCTTCAACCGCTATTCGCTCAACGCGAAAGACGGGCTCCCTCCCTGGTTCCTTGATGACGAAGATAAGCACTATAAACCCAACATCCCCGTCACCAAAGAGGCCGTAGACGCATTGCGGGCAAAGATGCGCGCCCTCGACGCTCGACCGATCAAGAAGGTCGCAGAAGCGAAGGCACGGAAGAAAATGAGGGCTGCTCAACGTCTCGAAAAGGCCATGAAGAAAGCTGAAGGCGTCAACGAAACTACGGATATTACAGAGCGCGAGAAAGCTAAGCAGATCGAGAAGTTGATGCAAAAGGGCATGGCGAATAAGCAGAAGAAGGAAGTGAAGCTAGTCGTTGCAAAGGGCGCACACAAGGGCGTGAAAGGTCGACCGAAGGGCGTGAAGGGACGCTATGTCATGGTCGATTCGAGAATGAAGAAAGAGGTCAGTCAGTTTCCCAGGTTTGGACATGTCAATTGTTGACGATATGCACAGCTGAGAGCACGGAAACGAAAAGAACGAGCCACCAAAAAACGCAAGCGGACCTAATTTCACCCATGTCGGTTGTTATCATTGCACACATTTATCTGACATTCCCACTATCTCATTCGCACGATTGTACCACATTTAACACATCTCAGATCATATTATCATTATCGGGCTGTTCTACTTTTAGAGTGTTCCTGGGCTGATAAGTCATGGACGTCAGTCTGTCGCAGCTGCTGAAGAAGTGCTGCCATGCTTCCTTGGAGGTGGGATCCTCGCAAGTAATCTACGACATCCTGTGAGTAAACGTCAAGAACAGGCAACATGGGAACGCACCTCGCAAAGCGTCGACTTCTGATTACCCTCGAGGTCCAGGATACTTTCGCTGGTCACCTTGATCGCAGGCAGTTCAGGGTTTTCGGGCGACTCGCCGGGATGGTCGATGAGCTCAACACTTTGCCTGACGCTAGCGCTCGTGTGAAGAATGAAAGTGTCGCCGTCATATTGGAATGTCAACGGGGGGTCAGGCTGGCGGCCATCCATTTCCACCCGTAAGCTGGTATGAGCGTTAGCTATCAACAGATGGTGACACGTAGCAAAGACGCACAAAGCTTTGAGATCTGCCAGGTACGATTGTATCTCTGGAGGCTCGCGCCCAGGCTCAACCGCATTGCACTCCATAGCTGATAGCTGCAGATCCATCGGTCTGAACACAGGCTGTTGAGTGATACTCTCACAACAGAACACGTAAAGCTTGCTGACCTGTCCGGCAACATAAGGTCTACCTGTGATTCAAGCCCCAGCAAGTACCGTGGTGCAAAAACCAAGTCAGGCATAACCGCATCATCTTCGAGGTCTTCCCGAGATCCGGTCTCACTGTCTTCTGACGGGGTCCCCTTGATTTGTGCAGTATCGCCTCTTGATGCGGAAGTGGCTTTTCCGGCCTGAGCCAACGCAACCTCGACTCGCATTATTTTGTTAATCCTAGGAGCAGCCCTTTCAAAACTGTCTTCTGTGTGGTGGCCCGTCGGCATTGTACGGTAAGACAAGCGATGTACAATCCTCTGTTGGCTAGGTGATGTGTCCGCCAGCGGAGCAGGTAGACTAAATCAAAAATAAGTATGAGTGCAGTGGATGTAAGAACCACGCTTACTCACCTTGGTACGAATGCCGACTGCACACTTTGATCTGCCATCCATCTCAGGATCTTTCCGAAGGGATGATTGCCTCTAAGGGGCGGAACCAGGCTAGGGCGCTGACCAGAGGAAGGTGTGACAAGCATATGGCCTACCCTATGATGCACGCTGCTCGTCAATCGCACAGCGAGAAAATAAAAAATATGCACTCACACTGCCTTCACGACTCGAGTACTCGCAATACTGCCTGCAGACGGTCTGCCCAAGCCAGACAATAGAGCGCCCTTGAGATCGACAGAGTCCCTGAAGGGAGAATAAGACATGAACCCATGACATCAAATTGCAACGTACTGAGACGCCGAAATGATTCGACCATTGCCCCCCGCAAGACCGCCAGTTGCTTCGATGTTCTCAGAATTGTGACTGAGCCATTCGCCCACTCGTCGAGCTCGGAATGCCCCCCCTGTATTCATTGTCCATGGCAAGGACCGAGGCGATAGGAAGGGGTATAGTGAGTAGGTGCGAGGAAACATAGTGACAGGAGCGGAGAACACAAGTTGTGCGGAAGGTAGGTACGCTAGCCTGGACGACTGTAATTGCTGATGGGACTGCACCGAATAAGCATTTTTGCAACTGAAGTGCGAGTGAGAACGTACCTCGTGAATGGTTCGGGTCGCAAGCCGCTTCGCAACGTCTATGTTCCGCTCATACTTGGCCTGTATTCTAAGCTAACAAGATTTTCAGATTGACTCCGCGAAAATATAATAAAGACAACTCACTAGACCATCTAAGCCTACATTCTCCACGAACGCTCCAGAGAGGCGCGATATTCGTTGGATCATGTCAGAGGATAGAGATGTATTTGAGTGTAATCTGTACTCCTCGCTGACTATTCGCTATTGTCATAATCATGGGATTCAGTCGCGTGCACCTTCCATAACAACATATCTCACCTGTCTAACCGAAGCTAAATGTTCGGTCAATCTGTTCAACGCGTTATGTACACCCTCGACTCGCAATGCAAGAGGATTCGATGCGAGAGATATATGCACATTGTACGCAAGAGACATCTCCAGTAAATCGGCGCCATCTGAGACAAATGAGTCAATACTGACATTTCAACATGCTAAGGTGAGCTGTGAGCTGACCTTTTCCAAGGATGAGGAAGAGCTCGCTGGGTGAGACAGGAAACGCTGAGACAAAGGCACCGTTAGGATAGAGACACGCAATCTCGTTTGGAAGGCTCACTCTTGGTAGATATCTCCGTACGATCCCGTTGAGCGCGTGCTACTTCCTTCAAACTGGGCCAACCCCACATTTTCTCAATGATCCATTCAGCATATTGGTGCTTCCTCCGATGGTGCCGGCACCAGGCACAATTGCGATCCCATTGCTCTAAAAAATTGCGTAGCTGCTCTTTGCTGAAGGCGCGACTGAGCGTGTCTAGTAGATTATTATAATCCTTTTCAAACTGGGGAGTATCGGGATCTGCATGCCCTGGAGGGCGGCATCGTTCGAGATCCCCAAGAGTAGGCTGCAGTCCAGCAGCATGCAACGACGCGAGATAGGCTTCCGCCTTGTTGGGTTGCGAAGAAGACGAAGGGGCGGAGGAAGGAGGCTTGCTATGCTTTTGTGTACCCTTGCGTGAAGGTTCCTGAGGGTCTCTCCGTGCATGTGTAGCTCTAAAGATGAACTTGTTAAATCGCACAAAACCTTATGAAGTGGCTTGGACTGACAGCACGGCATCCTCGGTCTCGTCTGCAACGTGGCTCCAGACTTCTTCTAACGACTCCAGTTCAGTAGGCGGTTCTACTGCTGTCGGCGTTGTATCGTTTTCGGAGTGAGCTACTTGTGTCAGGGATACGGTTCCATAGTGTGCTCGTGTGCTCCGTGCGCAGCTAGCTACATAGGAGCTTGAATTGAGTAAATTCAAAGCAGAGTGATTGCGCCGAGAATAACGACAGCCCGCGGTAGCGGTCTGACATAGCGTTTGCTGTATCCTCACTTGTCGTAGTGCTCGACCCGACATTTGCAGAGGTTTCTGCGACAGCGTGCAGCGACCAAGGCAGGCCATTCACGTGCCAACCTTACAGGGTTAGGGTCAGGGCCATGGAGCCGTCGGCAAGCTTAAACTTCAAGGAACGTTTGAACGTCTGTGCTTAGCTTGAGGTCTCCTCGAGATCATGTCTGCGATACGGTATCGATGGTATAATATCACTGCGCACTAACAGGAACGACATTCACGAGTATTAGTACGCTACTAGTGTAGCAGAAGATTATCGATGCCCCACTATGAACCACAATTGTACCCGTCAGTCGGCGGTGGTGTACAACGATCCAGCCATCGATATCTGCAGGCAGTGTGTATCATGCAGATCTTTATGTCCCAGAGTGCGACTGACGCGGGAGACAGAAGTCGACTGGCACCGGCCACGGGTCCTGTGATGACTCGCGGTACCGGTTGCAATACCAAGGGCCTAGTGCTCGTTCCGGGTTGCGAAGCTTTTATTCTGTGTGCATCCATTGCGCATGGGATATAGCGAGTGTTTTGAATCTGCAAAATGGCCATTCGTGGGTCAAACCTACTTCAAAAATACGCGTAAAGTCAACGATCTTGTGAAGCACGATCGAGACGCGATCACCGATCGCTCGCTTACGCTGTGGAGGCGCTCGATGGTCTAAGCCACTCGGATTTAGTATGAGCTTCCCAGCAGACAACAAAAGAGTCGTCGGTGGCTGCTCGTCTTGCCGTTCAATGGTGCTGTGTACCCCCTCTACCCACGCAGCGCTAGCATCCGGAAGACACGCGCGGACAACCCGAGGCTACCATGACCATGGGCAGGTGAGCGACTGCCGCCGATGATACGCCCGGTGACGGATCCGAGGTTTCTTGTCGCACAATATCTCGGCACGGTGGAGACAGGCCATGAACCTTTCCAGATGACAGCGTCAACGCAAATACATAGGAATCAAGGCCCTGAGCGCGCAGACCTACCATGCACCAGCCAGCTCTAGACTGATATGATGGGCGGACGAAATTTCAACTAGAGATTACTGCAAGGGCCATTCGAATCGCCTATGTTAGAGCACACCAGTCGGGCTGACTTAAGCCCTGTCAGTTCGTATGCTTCGAGATGCGCCTCCTCTGATAGCTGACACGGACGCGTCCAGGTAAGTAGTTCACTGCAAACCATCGGAGCGGGCTCTTTCCCATAACTAGTCAAATGCCATGGGAAAGGGTACCTGTTCCATCAGTGCGACTGCTAATCGACCGTACTTCTGGCGGCGGTGCTGTGCGTCCGGACCCCATGGTGTTGTTGAAGGCCATACTAGAGTAGCAGAAACTGCTAGTAGAACGCATGCCAAGCGACGAGGACCCTGCTTCCAAGGTGAGCGCTGCCAGAAGATGTACACACACCAATGGGGAAAGCGAGGCCAGCCAATGCGGGGCGGCGGATTGACGATACTTGGCACTTGTCCCTTCTCGGGGACTGCATGTTGGTTGTATCAATATACTGATACACTCAGATCTCAGGTACGAGGTCACGGCACACATGTTTGACGCGGAGCGGGTTCTCAGAAGCACGAGGCATCAGTGTCCTTCACCACGCAACGCACATGGCTAGGCATCCTGATTTTAGTTAGCATGGCACAGAAGACCATATTGTCAGCTTTCAAACATCATGCCAATTTCAAGAAGCTCGGACCACGAGCCGGAACGGACACGACTACCCGCACAATGCGCGCAACTATTTGAGTTGGAGAGCTTCTAATGAATAAGGGCCGAACGCGTTTGAAGACGCGTGTCTTCAAAAATAGACGAGCAGACGTACTCTCAGATATTCCTGTGCCGTTTTCAGTCGCAGTAGATTGCAATGCGGTGCGCGCGCACTTAGATATGCCAGTGGCTCCAGGTTCTTTTGGTGCGCTGTCATCTAAGCCACACTATGCAGTCTGGGTTTGAAGTTGGGCGAACCTAGCCCGGATGCTTTACGACCTCCCGCTGAATTTGAAAGACAGAGGTTTAGACCGCAAGGGACAGCTGGAGCACCGAATAACGGTACCTATGCTACGATAGCACCTGATGGTAGTGATCGCCGTACTGCGGAACATGACAGCTGTGGGCGTGAATTCGACAAGTTCGGGATTTGAAGCCAACCAAGAGCTTGTGAGCTCGCTACGACAACCCTCGTAATTGAATGCAGGATCGGCTGCCCGGAGCGACTAGACATTCGGGTTCCAGACGGCCGTCACATAATTGCTTTGCCTGTCCAGATCATCGTGGTCAAGGGTCGGATTCACGCTCGATCTGGGCGTGATTGAGGAGTAGAAGCCCCGTCGGGAGAGGGCCCGATGAATGTTAGCAGAATTAGTACTAGCACCCCAAAAGCTGTACGGATGTGACTGCAGGCTTCGGGGGGATAAGAGGGTATATATACAGCCCCCCGGTGTGCGTTTTTCCGCTATATAGTATGGCGGGCTGAAGAGGAAGCCCACTTGGAAGAGCCCCAGGCAAATCACGCGATGTGGTGGCGCCAAGATCGGTCACCCGGCGTCTCCCGAGCCTGCCAGATAAAAAGAGATGCCCAGTTATCTTATCAGACCAACGGTTTCAGCGATCCTCGCCGCCGCCGTGCAGTCCCAGGGAAGCCCCTTCTCGCTATTCCTTTCCGACATACTTCCTCGTCGCGTCTTCCAAGCCGAAGCACGCAGACCTGACCACCCCCCGCCCCCCGCCAGTGTGAACAATGAGCACGACCGCCGTGTCGTCTTCTACCACCCTCTGGGCTACAGGTGACTCCTCTTAGATCGGAGTTATAGACCGCTGGGCTCAACTCAGTCTAGCGTCCAAAGAATGGGTCATTCCCGCGAAGCCCAAGCCAGGGCGCAAGCCCAAGAAGGACACCATACAGCCTGTACAAGAACCCGAGGTCGGTCACTTATTTAGGCTCTATACACCTTTGCTAACATCGCGCGGAATAGGTCGATAACAAGGGTCGTCGTGTGCAGAATAGGTACGCATTGATCGTGATCATGCAATCTAATCACACTTACACATACCGCTACAGAGCTGCTCAGCGAGCATTCCGCGAGCGCAAGCAATCGCAGCTTGCCGAGTTGCAAGCTCGTGTTCAGCAGTATGAACAAGGGGAAGTCGAACGCAATGTCGCTCTCCAGAACATCGCTAAGCGCCTCAAGGAGGAGAACGAGAAACTTCGCTCAGAGAACTCTCTCCTCAAGGAAAAGATCGGTCAGTTGGAGGTATCCCAGGACATCTCGAAGAAGCGTACTCGCGGAGACTCACTTCCGAAGTCCCCTACCCTTCCATTGAACCAATTCGCGCGAAAGAAGTCTAAGCTCACGCCGGACCCGCCTAATTTCGCTCTCTTGTCGAGTATGGCGTCGTACGAGGGTGTCTCTTCCCCATCTTCCGTGGGCTCTTCCCCTTCCCCGTCGTCTCTTCCATCGTCACACAATAGCTTCTCCCCTGCACCCATGCACTCATCGTCTCACGACACGCAAGGTGGCAACCAACTCACCAATGTCTTCGATCTCTCTGTAGATGCGAAGAGCTCTCTCTTCGAAGGCGGTCCCCTCTCGTGTGGCTTCTGCAGCGAGTCAATATCTTGCGTCTGCAAGGAGATCACTATGCAACAAGTTTCTGAACAGCTGCGAGTGTCCGATCCTGCGTCGCAGATAAATTCAGGGCAGCACGGCAACTCTGCCATGCAGCTCGACCTGCGTTCCTCGGCGTCGACTGCAAATTCGCCTCCATCTATTCTGGACAACCTGCCAGAGTACCAGGCCCCGGTACCGCTGCGCCGGCGCACCCCAGTCGGCTCCGTACGTCCCGTGTTTTCCATCTCCTCGTCCTCGAATTCCGCAAATACCGCCTCCTGTTCCGGCGACCCGTCGAACTGTCTCGCGTGTGCAGACGATGCCTTCGGCAAAGCGTTCTGCGATGCCATCGGGCGGTCGGTCGCCTCCACGTCGTCCTCGTCGTGTGGCTACTGCCCCGATCCGTCACAGCTGACAGCGAGCACTAACACCGTCAATGGTTGCTGTGGGAACCCGATGGCGTGCGGCAGCGTTGGCTGCGGGCCCGCTGCGGACTCTGCGCCTCCCGCCCAGGACACCTCGATCCTCATTAACGATTTGGCGGCCACATCCGAGACCATCTCCTGTGACACCGCGTGGCGCGAGCTCAAATTGCATCCCAACGTCGACTTTGCCGACCTGAGCCTACTCGCGGATGTTGTCGCGCGCCGCTCAAGGTGCACCGGACCGCACGTCGAGATCGTCCCTGCGCCTGGCTCGATCACCCCTGAAAGAAATATGTCACCATCTGGTGCCGCGACTTCGCCTCTCTCACCACACACGACGAGCGCCCAGCAGTCTCGGTACGACTCGAGGCAGGCTGCCAACTCGCCTCCGCCCCAGCTAGTCCCTCAGGAGGTTCTCATCAGCTGCGGACGTCAGAGAGTGCGGGAAGTCATGGCGGATGGCGTGCGGGACGCGCTACGCCTTCTAGACGCGAAGTTCCCGTTGTCGGGGCGTATGAATGATTTTCGTACGTAGTTGAAGTGACACTGTACTTGTAAATTATGTAGCACTGCTGTCGTGATCGAGAATCTTTCTCTGCTCTGTGGGTCGCTGACATCCTATGCAAAACGAGTCGACTTGCTGACCGTTACAATCCTATAAATTACATGGAGTCGTACGACTGGATTGCTCAGGCTTTTTTCCCCTCGCGGGTGCACTGTATCTCCAGCACTATTCTCCGCCCGGCCGGCGCCACCTTTGCACCAGACCACGCACTTTCCACCTGAGTATCCGCTGCTTCTTAGATGACAATCGCTCCTTGAACGTGTATCCGGTCTTGACGAGTGCCCCAAACGTTTTCATCAGGATGTGCAAGGAAGCGTCGCGGAGAGCAGCCGGGAAAGGGGCGACCTTCGGCCAGAGCTCCATCAGCACATTATGCGCGGTATTCTTCGCTCCCGCCAGGATAAAAGCACGTGTGAGAATGTGAACAGACACAACGTCCGGTTGGATCCCCGCGGCGGTCATCTCGTGGAATATGTGCAAAGCTTGTGTCGGGTTTTTCTGCTTGGCGTATCCAACGATCATCATGGAGTACATATGGACGTTAGGGTTGACGCCCATCTTCGTGGCCGCACGTATGATATCCATTGCAGCAGTCATGTCACCCTGCCGGACGTAACCCTCCACAAGCGCGGAGAAGTGGTACTCGTTCGGATGTAGACCACGGCCGACCATGGCTTCGAAGCCTTGTTTCGCCAGCCCCATGTCGCCTTTGACGACGGCGTCGTGTCGAATCCTGAGTGCGAATGTAGCCCTATCGCTTCTGACTCCGCGGTCTTGCAGTGAGCTCACCAAAGGCTCCATCAAGCGGCGGTAGGAAAGCCAAGGCGTCAGTTCGACACCTCCTGAAGGGTCAAATGATTCTGCAACACCCGAGATCTCCTTCATCGGAGGATCGCCATTTGCCCGGGACACGAAGGATACAACGTCCGTAGGAGCGCGATCTTCTGCCCGAATCACTCGGCGCCGTTCGCGTCGCAGTATAGTGCGCAGGATGACATGCAGATGCCGCAAAGTCGGCGTAATGTGCTCAGAATGAAGCTTTCTCAGTAGCCGCATGATCTCGCGAGGACGAGCGTTCTCGACCTTGTCAAGATGTGAGAGGAAGATCTCAAGCGTGTATTGATCCATGTCCGCATTGTGCAAGCGCATGAGGTGCATGACAACTCGCATGCCATTTAGACCATGACTCGTCAGGATCCCTTGCAGAAGAGCGTTAAAGATGTGAGCCGAGGGCCCGATGCCGGGAGGAATGTGTAGCCCGTCCTTTTCCATCTCGGCGGAGAATCCGATCCGAGCGAAAAGTTGACGGATTTGGGGTGTGTCCTTGCATACATCCGCAACCATGCGTAGAGCGGTGACCGAATGTCCCGTATTGAAGTGCGCTCGAATCAGCGCCGCAGCGGCCCTGCTATCTGGTCGAACACCTGCCTTTCGCATTTGCTCGAAGACCTGACAAGCACGATCGAGATCCCGAGTTTTTGCGAAGTAATTGACGAGCATTGTGTACGTCGCTGTATCCTGAACAGATCCGGGGGGAGGATGGGACCTGCGTTGAATGTCGCCGTCGACTCGGACAATACCTTCCTCGTTGACCTGAGAATCGCTTTGGGCGATGCGTGAGTCGTACATGGTGAGAAAGCGAAAGGCCGCCACCATGTCGTTGCAGTCTAGAGACATCTGAATGAGTCCATTGAGGATGACGGTGGCCTCCTTCTCGTCGGCTTTGGCCAAATGCTCGAGCGCCTTCCTTTGCACGGTGGGATCTGACCCCAGTGATCGATATGAGGAGACGATGAGAGCGTGCGTAGAGACATCTGGAGGAAAGCCAGCCTCTTCCATCAGACCCATGCAGCGCTTCGCGCGGACCAGATCTCGGTTGCGGAGTTGCCCCGAGATCAGTAAGTGGTATGTCCTGCGGTCGGGTTTCACTTTCTCCTCTGCAAAGAGTTCGAGAACACCGCTCAGAGACGCGTAAGCTTGTGTGTGGACCAAGGCTCGCGTACGCCAATTCAGCAGGCGGAGAGTCGTATGTCCAGTGTGACGCTTGCCTAGCTCTACGACGCGACGGACAAGTGGCCACCGTCCCTGCTTTGCGAAGCGATGAGCTAGCCCTTCGTACAAAAGCTGTGCGAACTTGCACCCGAGTTTGTTTGATATAATCAGCACACGAATTGCCCGCATGGGCTCGGATGAATCCGCCATGCGGATTGCCACCTTGCGAGCTTGTACAGGATCGGTCAGGAAGGCCACAACTGGGTCCGAGCTGCGCTTGAGAAGTACAGGACGACCCTTGGACACCAATTTGTCTATGGCAGGGCCCAGAGTGGGGTCGCTGAAGCGGATGCGGGATGGGACAGTTACCGCTTTCTCGTCGGACGCGCTCGGTGGAGGCTCGGGCGACGAGGTCAGAGCGGGAGACGTGTTTTCTGGCTGTGCATCCGGCCCAGTCCCTTCTGTCGGATCGCGAGTGGCAATGGGCTGTGCCCGAGGAGCCAGGGCATGAGACCATTGTAAACCGGCGGATTGATGGAGAGGGTGGCCGAGTATATACGACGGAAAGGTGGTGACAAGGGGTGCTGGGAGGAAGAGTGCTTTGGCGGGTTGCAGATGCCTAAGTGCCCGGCTGGCCCTCCAGAGCATCGACAGCCAGCTTGACGTGTCGGCGGGTGTCCCAATCGCCGTGAGCTGCACCACAAAGATTTCACATGGCGCTCTCGCACAATAGGGAAATGCTCACCTGTGCACAGGCGAATGGTGCTACGGGGCTGAAATGCTGTGAGCGAGCATGAAAAGACGAGGAGGAGAGTGCGCGCGGGGCGGACGGCGGGCGCGTCCAGCGAGCAGGCTGGCAGTTTTTGCTCTGGCCGTGTCTCGACAAGGCTCGTCATGCTCCCGGGGACAGCCGGCCAGTCTCGCGCATCGCCGGTTTAGGCAATGATTCGTGTTCCACACTCGCCGTTTCATCAAGTTCACGCCCAAGTTCACATCCACTCCTCCATTGGCCGATGCTGTTTGACAACATCGCCGTTTCACGTGTCCCAGTGCCACACACTAGTCTTGCTGCCGGGTCAACGTCACCCAGGTTGCGGTGTCTCAGCTGTCATCCGAGTCAGGTCCCCATTTCACCAATGGACGGGTCTTTATGAGGCAGTTGATGTATGTTCTGCAGAGGACAGTCCCACGCATTCGTACACAGTCTAAAGACTTGCGACGCAGACAGAATGTCCATTGGCCGTTGACTTGTTCAATCACGTGGCTGCTCTGCTCTGTCGACACGAATACATGACATTCTCATTGCTTACGTCTGTTGTCCTCATATTCTCCTATATCATTGCTAGGGGCCAAGAGTTTGGCAGCCTTAATGAGGCATGATCGCCCGAGCCGAGTAGGCTACCGTAGACGCACAAGCTAGCTTTGGGAAGGCAAACACCATCATGCTGACTCGATGGTGTGCCTGAGCGCAGGGGCAAACACCGTAACCATTCTTTGTCTTTACGAAATTGATCGGAATGAACACCCCAGTCACAATGCAAGTGAATAAGACATGTACTGCATTTGTCACCCCTCCTGTCAAGAGCGAATTCGTGGCTTTGGTTGCCTATTAAAAAAATGGCTGGTCGAGTACCGACGTGTAGCCAAATCCTTTATGCATGTTAAATTTTAAAGCCCATTCGCGACCGGTGCCTACTTGCCCGCAAGTACCTCGATGGTCTGTATGATACGACAATATGCAAACGGTATAATTAATAATAACTTGTGTGGCAATGTTACGACTCCAGCAAGCGCCCAAATTGTGATCGAGATCTCTGATGGGAAAAGAGATACATGCTGTGCCTTTGCTTGATGCATCGCTCTGACACACCCCTGCACCCACGGCTTACGCAACGTCCTGAAAATTCGGCGTCGGTGTCGGTCGTTCTTGGAAAAAATCCTGCGGCTGCTGTGCTGTTCCAGGCAGGAAGCTCGGGGGTGTACACACACCACTAGCATCGCTATAGGATCAGCCCGACAGCAAATAGTGCTTGAACAACTCTGCCGTTGAGACGACGCGTGCACAGTGCGCAAAGCGTATATACCTTCCGTGACAGTCGACAGGGGAAGTGTCCGTTATAAGCGGTATGTGACGTCACCAGAGTTTCAGATCTTGATAGTTTTCTCTTCACACGAGGTCTGCCGCCGCTTTGTGTTCATGCTTGTATTAGCACAGCGCCGGCGCGGAGGATTTTCTCAGGTATCCACAGCATAGCAACGGTCGCGTCTGTCGATGGCGTTGATCAAATGTATTTCATGAAAGTATAAGTATGCTTGAGTCTGTGCCCATGAAAGACTACCGCCCGACTTCAGTTCAGTATGTCCCACTTCCGCACACACCTCACGGTCCTCGATGAAAGCGCCGCTCTCTACCCCACGGCCAATGCCTTTTACATTCCGCTAGTCGACTCCGAGTCCAGTCTCATACGAGAATGGCAGGCTATCTCTTACCGGCAATTCCAACGAGACGTTGAGCACACCGCGAGGTTCTGGCGAAAGAAGCTTACGGCGGATGGCGTTCAGTCCCGCTCCGTCATCGGCATGTGGTCAGTTTCTTCTTATCGCGCACTCGATAACCTCTCACATGAGCTCCTCAGGCTGGGTGGATCGACATATGTGGACGCCCTCCATATATACGGCATTGCAAGAGCCGGATACGTTCCTCAGCTGATTTCCCTGCGACTGCCGAACATCGATGTCATTTTCGAACTGCTCGCTCAGTCCAAGGGCAAGGCACTCATCTACGATCATTCATTCAGCTCCATCATTCGTAGCGGCTCTGTGCCTACACACGTTGCTGTTGATGCCCGAGAGTCCGAGGTTGCAGACGTAACGCTACCGCCCTCGATACCCGAGGGTGTCCAGGCCGATGACCCGGTCATGATCTTACACACATCTGGGTCTACCTCGGGCCGACCAAAACTTGTGCCGTGTAGTTATTCCTGGTGGAACAACACCATTACAAAAGCCGAGGGAATAATGAAGCGGAAGCAGTACGTCAAGCGGCCGCAGGACGTCACCGTCTGGATGTACGTTCCATTCAACTTTTCAATTAACGTTGTGGAGACTCATATTGGCGACGGTCTCAGGGGCAGCCTGTGTCATATGGGACAATCATTCATGCTTGTCGGAGCGCTCGCAAATGGAAATTGTATGGTCCAATTCACCAAACAGGCCTTTTCCTCCGAGGAGCTGCTGGACATGGTGACTCGCTGCGGTCTTAGCCGGATCACGATCTTCCCAACATACCTCGCCACTCATTTCCGCAATTCTCGCCGCGACCCCAAAGTCCTTGCTGCGCTGCAGGGTCTCGACGAGATCCTGATCTCAGGGTTGTCGATGTCAGTAGAGGATCAGCGCTGGGCGCGTAGCAACGGGATCCGGGTACTTGACTGTTACGCCAGCACGGAAGTCGCCGTTATGATGCTCTCTCGCGGTGAGCAGCTCGAAGACAGGCTTCCGCCTCTGCAACCCATCGAGGGCGTGTCATATTCCTTCCAACCCATCGCGGCGCCTGCTTCCACATCGGAGAGCGGCTACACGAACATGCACTCACGGCTTGTGGAGCTCGTTGTGCTCGCCGACTCTCCCGATTGCCCTGACCGATCCCTTCGTGCCGCCGACGGGCATTTCCACACCGGCGATCTCTTCCTAGAGGTATCACCGCAGCGATACGTGTTCTGCGGTCGCGATGATGATTGGATCAAGACCGAGGTCTCGCTGCGCTGCGACACGCGAGCCATCGAGGACAACGTCTACAAAATTTGCGGTGACCTCATCGGCAATTGCGTTGTTGTCGGCAACGGGCGGCCATCGCCTTCGGTGTTCGTGGAACCTGCCGTGGTGGATATGACGGAGCAGAGGCTCAAGACCGAGATCATGCGTCGGATCCTCCCCTTCCACTCGAGGCGATACATACACGAGCGGGTCGCTTCCGCCGATTTCATCTTCGTGGTGCCGAAAGACACCCTCCCACGCACAGCCACCAAGGGGAATATTCGGCGGCGTGCTGTCGAGCAAACATTCCAAGCCGAGCTTGATCGTGCCTACGCGCAATCACGGTAATTTTAGAATCGTATCATATTGGCTTATAATCCTGTTTATTCAATTAACTATCTGCTCTTATTTGTTTCGCCGTCCTTTTTGTCCTTCTTACTGTATTTCCAGTCCGAGCACCCGAATCTTGCATCTTGATATACTACCATACTACGTTGTATAATAACCTACTCACACAGCCGTGCAGGCGATGTCGAGAGTCTGCTGATGTAGTTAATTAAAGGCAGACGCAATGGGATTACCATTGGATTCTATGATGAATGTACCGAAGACCCGTCAGACACCCGCGAAGCTTTCCCCTGAGATGTGATCGATCTTCGACCACCATCATTGTGATCGGCCAGTTTCTTGCCAGGGCACGTTCACTGGCATGGTCAGCGTGATTGAACCCGTCTACGGCGTATGGAAGGCGAGGAACCGGCGTTGTTGGGATAAAAGTGTTCCGAGCGGTAGCTGCGGAGGCCTTGAACAGCGGATCATAGCATGCAAGAGCAGTAATTTTACTCGAGACTTGCTTGAACATTCGAAGCGATGTTCAAATCAGGTTCACCGTTTGCGCTGACACCGGCACCATGCATTGCGTCTCCGGTTCCGAAAAGACAGACACCAGGGAATATGTCTTGACCCACTGGCTTCACTGTCCGTTCCATTTGCCTGTGCAAGCAGGAAGAGTGTGCTACGTCTACCACATGAAATTTATAGCTGGACCACCACGGACCGCCTGACCACTGCGCGTGTTAAAGATGCCCCTCCTCCAGGCATTGAGGCAACAGCGACAGCTTCTATGTATCTGCTTTCCATGCTCATCGTGGGTAGCACTATATCAAATTGTTTATGTACAGAGCAGCTCGTGACTGCACATGCTCTCGTTGTTGGAACTTGGGATCGTGGCGAGCTCACGGAGGAGCACAGAGCGGATTCGGGTGCCTGTGAGATCTCGATGTCCGATCGAATGTCACGTGCTCCGATCGTCCTGAGGTGAAGACGCGATTCCTGAGTCCGTTCGCACGAACGAGCACTCGCGCCCCGCGCCTTGCGCCTCCTCACTTCCTTGTTTGCCCCTGCCACGACAGCATGTTGCATGCCTGAGGAACACAGCCCGAACGCATTTATTGAGATGGGTCCTCTTTCAACCACGTCCCCTACGCTCCATGAGCGCTCACAATCTCGAGGGAAATCTCTATCACGTATCCTCACATCAAGAAAGAGAGACTATATAATTGGCATCGTCTTGCTCTTGATTGTCGTAGTCCTCTGGACATCCTCAAACTTCTTAACTCAGGTGCGAGACATGTGTACATCAGAGCGTCTCAGTGGGCGAACAAGGATTCCAGGATCTCTTTGAAGACGGATACGAGAAACCATTCCTGTGCGTTCTCATTTGTCAGTAGGAAACTAGCTCTTGAGAACTACCCCAGCGTAACATACCTGAACACAAGTGCATTTGCCTTTTACCTGATACCATATGCCATCAAGAAATCTGTTGCGCGATACCGGGATGAGGCCTCACCGAAGGGCAGGTGTGTTGTCGACTACCTCCTAAATCCCCTCTTGGGGGCGTTGAGCACAGCGCAGACATCAAGAGGGATACGAGCCGCTGTCAACAGGTATAGAAGACACAGGCTCGCAGGAGCCAGTAGTGAGGATTGCCACTTCCACATTCATATCCACCACGTCTTACATCCTCCATATCCTGCAGATTACTGGCGGATCAACCTCTGCTGACGACTCCAACGAACTTCTCCCACTGACCACCAAAGAGACGGCGCAATTGGCTGCTTCTTTCTGTTTCCTTTGGTTTATAGCTAATTGGACCGTCAATGCGTCCCTCGACTACACTAGTGTTGCAAGTGCAACTATTCTCAGCAGTATGAGTGGTCAGTTGTGGCCTATGCTCATTTTACCTCCTCTGTGACACCTCCATGTCAGGTTTCTTCACATTGGCGATCGGACGCGTATTTCGTGTGGAAACTCTAACGCTCGTCAAAATTGGCGCCGTTGCTACTAGGTGTGTTACTACTGCGTTGATTATGCCCACGAGTCGACATTAAATCTACAAAGCTTTATCGGTGTGGTTCTGGTGTCAGCGTCTGATTCGTCCCAAACAAATCCTGGGCCCCCTGCTCCTTCATCTTCGTTGAATCCCGATCGCATCAATTCGATGACCATGTTCGCCTACGTGCATATCTTGGGCGACGCCCTCGCCTTACTATCAGCCTTGTTCTACGCCCTTTATGTAACTCTCTTGAAGGTCCGCATTCGGTCAGAATCACGAATTGACATGCAATTATTCTTCGGGTTTGTGGGGCTGTTCAACATCCTGACGTGTTGGCCCATCGGTATCCTACTCCATATTACCGGTGTCGAGAGATTTGAGATGCCATATACCAGCAAAGCAGTCCTTGCACTCTTGATAAATGTGAGCACATCTTTGTTTGTCTACGCTGTCTCTCATGCGCGACTTGCGCGACTAGATGGGAATCACTCTTTCGAGCGACTACATATATGTGATCGCCATGCTCAAGACTACACCCTTAGTGGTTACGATCGGCCTTAGCCTAACGATGCCGCTAGCCGTACTCGGAGATTTTGTCCTGGGGAAACCTGCGAAGATCCAAGTCATCGTCGGAGCTGCCGTCGTACTATGCAGCTTCATCCTTGTCGGGTTGGAGGACGCGCACAATGCGGAGGAACCCGACCTCCTAACAGGGAGGATTATCGAGGAGGGTCAAGATGAGGGAGGCGTACGTTTGGAAGAGGAGGTTGCAGCGGAGCCCTGAGATGTTTGTTGGAATTGCTATAGGGAGTTTGATTGCTTGGTGGATTTATTTAAGTAAGCATTTGTAGACATCTTGCATGACATCACAATATTCTGTGTGTACGTCCTGGCTCGCTGGATGAAGGGTCTTAATGACTTCTTCGAGCGAAGACTCGCTGTCTTGGTGCTATCGCTTCCATCGTTGTGAACGCAGTAAGAGATTGGTCGCTCTATTCCAGTAGTCATGGCAATACCGTGCAATTCACTATGAAGCACGCGTAGTGCATACATTCAGCTTATGGGTCCACCAGTTCGGAGTTACATGAACGTCATTACAGTCACGTGAAAACGCCCACCATCAATTTGCGATCGTGATTCTCTCCAGCCTTTAGATCGCGGAGTACTAGGCTTACCAATCTGCCATCCTTAGTTTAATAGTGTCCGCATCCATATGGTGAGCGTACATGTAGCCTTATTCATCCTGCGTTATTTACTAATCTGGGCTTGCAAGGTAGCCGAAGGACAAACGCAGACGCATTGGCGGGCATGAGCCGTCTGTCAAGCTGAAACGCCAGTTTGCAGTGCAGGACAATGCTGTTGCACAGGTGGAGTCAAGTGCACATGCTGATTCATCCGTCAGTGTGTTCATGGTGTTCTATCTATTTGTCTGATCTCAAAAGATCAGGGTACGGAGATACTCCAGTCCCTAGAGCCGGAGGAGCCGCGTGTCGTCCTGAAAAAGAAGGAAAAGCAGGCACTCAAACACGAGCTGTTTCTGAAACGTACGTTCTACTGCATGAACATCGCTTTTGTATGCTGAGTGAGCCGTTAGGTCTGGAGTCGTCTCGCTCACCATACTCGAAATCCCACGAGCGACGGCTGAAGCGCAAGGCGAAAGAGCAGGTCGCTGGTGGCATGAGTGACATGCAAGCCGCCATCTCCGCAGTAGATGACGATGCGTTGGCACAAGATGCGCAGTCTTCTGAAGACCCGAGTCATGGTAATGAAACGCGACCAAAGCCGAAAGCTAAACCTGGACAGATTGGTGAGGGGAAGGGCGCACCGTTGAGCAAATCGCAACGAAAGCGCGCGTTGTAAGTAGCGTCGCACTAGCTGGCCGTGTGGGCTTGTTGACATGTCCGCCCACAGACAACTCGAGCGTATGCGTATACCCCTCATCCTGTCGAACCCAGAGTTTGCTTCAAATCCCTTCCAGACAATTCGGACGCACGCTCAGAATACGTTGTTGAAGCATGAGCCCGCGCAATAGGTCTCCTCTTCGCGCTATGACGTCGAGACTTTTGTATCCGTTGAAATGAGCGGCTTAGCCGTTTGAAGTAAACGATATAGCGCAAGTTCAGATTCTAACAAGCCACATATCTTGAATTAATACTACCTCCCGGCACTGTGTGGTTCCGTCCTCGATTGCACTTAGTGCAGATTACATCCAAGAGAAACAATAAGTACATGGGGAGGTATGTGTAATAACTGGTATAACAAAGGAATCGATAAACGAGCATAGTAAATCATGAAAATGCGAAAGCGTCATATGTGTAACCGTTGGCAACGGCAAAAACCAGTCTAACCATCATAGATGCACGCGCATGAAACCATATGAATCCTTACGATCCCCAAGATAATTCATGAGGACGATGCTTTTCAGTGTGAGCCCCGAACCTGACGACGTCAGTCATCGCCATCCTCGCCCTTACTCATACCAGCACTCCATACCGTACTAGCGCTCTCGCCGCTCTTGCGGCTGCTGCGTCTGTCGCCCGTTCTGCGGACGATTTCTGTGTAACCGCCTCCAGCGCCTTTGGCGATCTCAGCGCTCAGCTGGCGTTCATGTGCGTCCAGTGCTGCCAGCGTGTTCTCAGCTTCGGCTTGCTCTAGCGCTTCCTCAGTGAGGTTTGGGGTGCTGGCTCCAGGATGAGGGCTACCCTGTGCGGAAGAGCGCATCGACGATGTGTCAGATACGGTCATTGAGGAATTACGACGGAAGAACGAGAATCGGGATGGCGTCGGCGGTGCGGGGGAATTCGCAGCCCCCATGGTCGCATTGGGCTGCTTGATGACATTAGTGTCGAGCACGCCAAGGCCCATTGAGGCGGGATTTGAAGAGGAGGAGTAGCTCTTCTGCACCACTGGCACGACAGGCTTCTCGATACCCATCAGCTTCATTGTTGCGTTCAACCGCTCTCGCTCCTTTCTGTCTTCCTCGTCCTCTTGCGTCTCTAACTTACGCGCGCCGGTGACAACTGGGTTGGAGCCAACACGAAGCGTCAAAGGCCGCAAGTTGGGACTGGGCTCAGGTTTTTTGTCGCCTCCGCCGAACATCGAAAAGCTCTTCCAGTCAAAGGACAAAGAGCGGCGAGACGCACGAGATGACATAGGAGGCGGAAGAGCGCCAGCAGACGAATTGCGCTGTGCGCTCGGAGGGGTTGGGGAACCGAACGTCGTAAGACGCTCGGGGTTTGGCGACGCTGGGCCATTGGCCATCGCCGATGACGATGAGAATGGGAATATAGCTGATTGTGGACGGCCCTTCTTCTGTGGCTGTTGCGCGGGAGGGCTGGGAGATTTCGGAATGTTACTGAAGGTCGTGAAGTTCGTTGCAGTAGGGGGTGGAGACATTTTGTCGTAGTCGACAGCGAGGACGTGCTCGAAACCCTCTTGGGAAATGATGCGGTCAATGATTTTAGACGCATACAATGAGAGGGCCTTGTTGGCATCCTTGAGGCTTTTGACTTCGTTCCTTAATGCGTCAATGTCGGTGACAGGTGCACTGGAGTCCATCACAGGTTCTGACGCAGAGGACACTTTACGGGCTGTCTCCGAACCAGAAGTTTTCCTACCCTTCCGGTTCTTGTGCGCAGCGCGCTCGTTCTCGAGAGACGTACCCCCCACGAGGATATCCTTGTTCTCAGCGCGCCCGAGCTCGGCAGCAAGATCAAGACCAGGTCCGGTGATAGGTAGGTTGGCGAGCGACTCTCCACGGGGGGCCGGCGATCGCGAGGAGTGGGACGAATGTTTCCGCGCATGACGGCGAGGATTCCTAGAGACATCCTCGGCCTCGCGCGAATCTTGTTCTTGGTCGCCGTCCAACTCAAAGGCAGGGTCGAGCTCGTGCTCATGCTCCTCAGCGAGTTCGTCGACTGGATCAAGCATGCTCCTCCCGGTGTTGCGGCTTCGTAAGCTCTCGGAGTCCCTGCTCTCAACCTCCGCGTCGCCATCGTCGCCTGATTCGCTGACACTTGTCTCGCTCGTTCCAGCACCTGCGCCCATGCGCAGGATATCGAACTGACCGTTCAAGGTCTTCTCTCTAAGAAGAATATTATAAGACTCATTTTCTTCTTGCAACTCGTTGTTGACGCGCTTGAGGTCAACAAGCTGTGTCTGTAATAGAGCCAGCGTCGAGTGGAGAGATGTATACGAGGTGGACAATGTGGAGAGTTCGAGCTTGAGCGCGGTCATCTCGGCAGGCTCTTGCTCGGGATCGCCAACGTCCTGTTTGGGTGCTTCCTGAGGTGGTTGTGAAAGCTCTTCTTCTACTTCAGTCACTGACTCAGACATAGCGACCGATACTACGGAAGGTGACGTGAGAGGTATTGAAGGCTGCTTGCGCGCTTGTGTTAGTGTTTGTATGCGTGATTTCAGATGTTGTTCATTGTCATAAAAGGCCTGCCGTTCAGCTTCGAATGTCGCCGTCTTCTGCTGTGTGAGTAACCGCTTAGTGCACGAGTGTCGAGGAGATACATACTTGCTCATTATATCGTCGATGCATCTCGCGTTTCTCTTTCTCGAGGTCACGCACTTGAGTTCGCAGCTTGTCGATCACCTCGAAACGAGCTGCCATCTCTTCCTCCATGCGAGATTGATCTGCATATAGTTCCGCGAGTCGTGTCTCCGCAGCATTCAATGCCGAGGACAGACTGGAATTATCTGTGGTGAGGCCAGCGATTGTCTGCTCCTTGTCTTGCAGTTGAACCAGCAACTAAATACGCGCCTCAGAAGCCGAAATCTCATGCCCAGATAGTGACATACCTGCTCTTTCTTCTCCGTCTCCTCCTTGAGGGAAGCGGAAAGCGATTCGCGTGTCTCGCGCGGTTCTCCATGTGTCACTGGCGTCGGTGCTACCGCACTCTTGATTGAGCCCCGACGGCCTGCTGGTCCGTTCAAGGATGACGAGACGCGTGGAGATACCGCTGAACGGGCGGTTGCGCCTCTAGCAATTGACGGAGAAGGCGTTGACGCGGTTGGTGGTCCAACGGGTGGTGATCGTCGCGAGGCTGGCGTCGCTCTGGCGGAGGCAGTCGTTGCCATGTCTGAGCACTTCTGGGGATGGGGGAGGACGTGGAGGACGTGGCGGGGGACGTGGCGGGAGAGGGAACGGGACTACTCGCGTCTGAAGGGGAATATGGCGGTGGTCGCTATGGCATGGCAGTCCGTCCGCTGTGCATAGGCACATCACGCGTAGCGCGCAATCACTTGCCCCACGTGGCTCGACGCGTCTCGGCAGCTCGTTCAGGACCGCTCCTTTCTCGTTGACCATCTTGGTCTGCCGTCCCTCCGAGCTGTCTCATTGACCAGGGCCCACAGCTTCTCGTTGCGACCGAGTTTGAACGCCCTTTGCGACTGTCTAAGTGAACTGCTGTATGTGCAACACGCAACGGATCAGAATAGGCGGTGGAACTTGAATCGACCGTGACATCTCGACGCAAAAGCCAAGATTGTTCAACATGGAGGTACCTCCCAGCGCAGAGGCCCTTCTGAGCGACATACCCATAGAGTCTCTGCGCCAAGTAAGCCTTTCTACGTGATGACCCTGCGTGTTCGATGTGACTCTAAACATCTGACAGCTACTTACAACCGTACAACATGACAGTACGTTTGCCGCTACGTTTACTCACTTCCACTACGTGCTGAATATACCAACTCAGCTTCCCCTCCATTGATCACGCATATACCCACCTTGGACACTTACTTTTCGTCCCGCAGACCGCAGACCTCTCTCAGGATTGGTGACGTGATGGAAATTCAAGGTCCCGCCGCAAGTGGAAAATCCCATCTCTTGAGCCACATAATCATTACATGTATCACGCCGACCCAGCATGAATCCCGCGCTATTGGTGGTTGGGACAAAGCTGCCATTGTGATCGATAGCGACCACACCTTCAATTTAGAAAGATTCCATCAGCTCCTTCTCACTCGCCTTCTTCGACTGCTTGGTCATGCGGACCAGTCTGACGCTTGTGGCACGGTACCCGACATGGCTATCGTAGCGGGTATCGCTTCGCGATGTCTTTCGAGACTACATATCTTCCGACCGGATACGGGTATTCAGCTAGCAGCGACCTTGCTACGGCTCCCTCAATATCATGCATCTCTCCCCGAGCTGCAGACGACCGAAATAGGTCTCCTCGCAATTGACTCTGTAGGCGCATTCTACTGGCAAGATCGGTTCAGAATGGAGCGATTGCGGGGCACTCGAGAACCCAGCGGGGTGGGTGCCGACCCCGTAAGCTCCCTCGAGCATGTTCTATGCGCGCTACAAAGTTTCAGGGAATCGCACGGTCCTCTGATAGTCTTGACAAATTGGGGTCTCAACCCTTTGACGAAATCGTCCGTCCACGTCGGAGAAAGTCTATATCCCTTTTACAAGCAACACCTTCACCCTTTCCCCTCACCATTCGAGTCTGCGTACGTGGCTGGAAAGGCCATCGATCGTACAGACCACACCCGAGTCTCTGACTCGCTTGTCAACCCTGCTACGGCACCTCCGGCATCGCAGGGGACTGCTTCTGCTGTCACTGGTCGCAACTTGCGACGTGAACATCGGGTACTGCCTCTGACTCATCACATCACCTTGCGGCCTGCGGCAGTAGCTCCCCTCTCAACAGACTCCACTATAGCGGAAGCGCTGCAAGGCAATATCGCAAGATCGATTATTGTGAAGAAAGGAGAGGTGCAGGGTTTCGTTCGGTCGCCAGGAAGCGCCGCGGTCGGGAAGTTCTCATTTTTCATCACGTCGGAGGAATTACTGGCGCACCATCAACTTGATTGAAGTCTACTTTTGCGTGACAGTCTGCGCGAGACATGGTGCATCAGGTATCCGCCGACTCTCACAACAGTCGCGTCAAGGCTCGGGGACACGGAAAGTCTACCAGCGACATCTCGAGAAGAACAACAGTGGTTGTCATCCGTGTCGACATTCACTCACATGCAACCAGTTGATAGCACTGCAGACTGCCACAATGTCTCCGTGTCGCCGCCTTCACCGCTTATGTCAGTGCATTGGACTAGACATCCTCCTGTAAAATATCCGTGCGATGCGTTAACCGTTCAGACAGTGCTATATCCGCTCAATTTTCCCTTGCAGCCGCCGCAATTGAGTCATTGTGGCGCACACCCACTTGTAAAGCCACCGTTGGGGCAGATATGTCGATGGGTACAGCACGTCACATATGTAACGTTCTGATGGCATTTTGACCGGACGACAGGGCCTCTTCACACGTCGAAGGGCAGTATCGTCTCGATTGCTCATGCAGTCTCAGGAAGGTGTGTCCAGTATTGGTTACGACTCTGGCTAATCTAATTGGTGCACGTCAACAGTTCTTTTCCGATCATCACACTATGCAGAGCTTGACCCCATCACACAAACGGCGCGATGGAACTTGCTGCGATCTTGATCAGGATCTCATCAATCTGGTGCCAGTGGTCAGGGGACGACCTTGTTAAATGCGCAGCAGTAAAGTGACAGCTGGTTGGCAGGTGAAGACGTGAATGTTTATGATTAATAAGAATATGCAGACATCTTGACATGGTGACAATATGCGGTACAGGACTAGGCAGCTGCTACAGAGGGTATGCAAGAATATACAGGGTGGCAAGAAAAGGAGAAAACATATGATCCAAAAGTCCTATGATGCATCGTCCCAGTCGTGCGTTGGTCATGCTTTGCTGGAGACCTTGTACACGCGATCCAGCTCTGTCTTGAAGGCATCCTCGACGGCGCGCCTACGAATGTTGCCCTTGGTTGCAGTTCGGGGAAGGGTATTACGGGCTACAACGATGATGTAGTCGCTGGAAACAATCCGTTCATGGAGGTACCGCCTTGAGTGGAAGTGCCTTGTGCGGCGGATGATATCCTTCCTCAATTTGTCTCCATCGATATCACCCTTTGGCTCCACGAATAGTGCGGGCGAGGGACGCCCGTTCCCGACGACGACGCATTCCGCGACAAGGTCCGCACACGTGGCGCGGACGTTCTCCTCGATTGCCTTGGTGTCGCATCGTAGAGAGTTCTCGCTCTTGATCCAGTCGTCGTCGCGACCGCGAGAGACGTAGCGGCGTGGTGCAGCCTCGACGAACAGATCGCCGGTGTGCAAATGGCCGTCGGTTTGACGCAGCGAGGGATCTGGACAGTCAGGCGATTCGGCGAGGATGACGAGCTCTAGGAGCTGGGAATTGGCGTTGTGGTGAGTGTTCTCCTGGTGCCCAGAACCGGCCGTGATGGGAAGGAAGGCATACTTCGTCCCCTCGAGGGGCTGAAGGAGGGAGGCGTCCTGGCCTCGTCCACCGACTGAGATGAGCATTGGGCCACACTCCGTGTTCCCGAAGAGATTTCGAAGTAGAATGCCATTCTGACGACCCCACTTCTCTTCCTCGACTGGGAGGGGAAGTCCGGCGTACAGCACCTCGTCAAGCCCTTGCAACAAAGCAAGGAGCCTGGGGTTTTCGTGTGAGTTTCGGAGATGTTTAGCAACGGACGTCGCAAACTGCGTCAGGCGGTTGAGACCACAGTCGCTAATCATTCGAATCAGCTCGTCCGACGAAAATGCCAATGTCGTCGGCTGAATGACGCAGGTGCCGTGCTGCAATGCGCCCACGAGCGTTACGGTTTGGCCGATATGACACATGCTACCCCTGGGGGATTATTAGCAACTAGAATGGATCGCAAATCGCAAGCGCACTCACATCCAGACGATAACGTCTTTTCGATCCTCGTGAAAGGGTCTGCTGATGAGATCACCTTTCGCGACAATAGCGTCAAGCCACTTATAGCTACAGTGCACTAGCTTCGGCGATCCCGATGTCGACCCGGACGTATGGAAAATCATGGCCGTATCCTCTTCAGAGAGCGGTTCAGGAATGGGCGGTAATGGCACATTGTCCACAGCCGCTGCACCGAGGTCGACGGTCACAATAGCGGGAACTGGACAGTCGCGTACCACTGACGCAAAAGACGAATCGTAGATCATCGCTTGGCCCCCCGCACGGTGGAGTAACTCGTAAACGACGTCTGGATTCGGCAGACGCAAGGAGAACAATTGCGGGATATAACCAGCCCTCGCTACACCGTAGATGTGCAGGACGTCTGCGTAAGTCATACCGCCCAACCTGCCGAACGCAATATTAGTGACATGCCTCTTTATAGGCGATGAATAAGAGATACTCACCAAAGGCCGACGACAGACCGTGGTGCTATAAAGCACTTCCTCAATTTTGAAGACCACATTCGAGCAGACTGCTCGACGTCGGAGAGGAATTGTTGGTATGTAACTGTGTTCCATTTCCGGAGTCGCTCGTCGGGGCCGACAACGTCAGGGATGTAGAATGCGGGAGCCGATGAGTATGTAGAGGCGCTCCAATACAGGACTGTGAGGTGGGTTTTGAGAGTCATTGTGGTGAGGAAGAAATGCTCAGTTGTCACTAATATGCAGACGAGTTGACTCCACTCCAGTGTCAACCTTTATAGGACGAAAGGGCTATGCCAGGTATACGTCTCATGGGGAGTCATCTCTGAGGACTACATGTCACTGCTTGACTACACGCCGCTCAAGTTTCACATGCGCCCTTCGGTGCCCTGGCTGATGGATACTTGTCAGAAAGTCACAGAGCTGTTCCCGTCTCCCGTCGAGACGACACACAATCAATGCACCAATCGCTCAAAATGGAATCACTTCTTGTTTCTAAATTGACCAACTGCGCGCAAGCGGGCGGGAATTTGGCCCCAACATGAGCTCCGGTCTCGTCAGGCACCACTGTGGGTGCGAATACGACGCCAGATGGTACAGGATGTACGCGTAATGCGTGACTCACGTTTCTCCATGACTTGATTCCTGATATCATTGTACTGCTTGTTTTTGACGGCGCGCTGCGCTTTGGGGACCAAAGGACAAGAGATCCCGCCATAAACACCGCCAAGGTGTGACGAAGAGATCTGGATCAGGCAGCCGCCCATTGCTATGATGGTGCAACGCCAGCACCGACGTGAGTCCCATGTCTAGATCAGTTCTATCAACGGAGATAGGATTCCATGAATGATACGTGTACGGGCCCAATCCCCATCTTTCCCCGCGCTGCCCTCTTCGAAATGGTTCATAACGACGCTGTACTCAGCACGCTCGTGTACTACAGCTCGACTCGGTCATCTACGTCGCAAATGCGAGCGGACATTCATTCCGAATGACTCGGATATGACATGTACCGTACGGGACCGCCTTTCATAGCCGCCGTCCCCTCCTTATTGCCGTGCATAGATGTTATGAGTGTCAGTCAGGATCGCCGGACCACCTCAATCTTTTGATTGCGCGTTTGCCTCTTGAGGAGGTTGCGCGGTCTCATCTCCTGCGGAAATGCTGTCCTGGATGTGCAATCTTTGTGTCCGGGAGAACGTGTTTCAGCTCGGATGACTGCTGGCTCTTTGGGCGCACAGCGCGGGACTCTGTTCTCAGTTGGAAGAGTCTGGAGTTAACCACGTGCGATCAATGACAGGAATCCCATCGGAGCCAGGGACTCAGATCATCCGGGTGCACAGCTTTGCGTCTAAGCTGTTGATGCATGTTTCTGAAGTTAGCAGATATCATCAACACACTTCACTCACCGTACGCCCCAAGGCCGCTGGTCCACGCATAATTTCAGGCGGAGCCTCCGCAGATCCTTAGCTCCATGGATTACCATCCGCGAAATAACTGTGATTCCAGAGATACCAAACACCCTAGAGCCTGGTGGACTGATTTGCTACGCATACGCCGCTACACTTCCGACAAGGATCGGAGCTTGTGAGCGCGCTGTTGAGTGAGGCTCTTCGTGCCGTATAGACACGTTATCTTATCGCACGGGTGCTAGCGACACAGGTCAAGTTCCGTGGTTCAGTCTTTGGTGTCTTGCTGACATGTACGCAACGGGGCCGATGCGAACGCCTGCCCGGTGCCGAACGAACACTAGCACGGGAAAGACATCTTGACAACGAGTTCGACAGCAAGGACTTTGAGTAAACCAGTACGCGGAGTTGCGTTGCCGATGTGGTCGCAAACCGCGACTACTTCTCGGCACGGGAGCAGCATGGCAACATGGCATACTCTCATTGACTCCTGCCATAGAGCACCAGTAGCATAACTCAATTGAGCCGAGAGTGTACCTGCTTTAGGAACTGAGAGCATTTCGCCGTTGGACGTAGTGATGACTGTTGTCAACATCCAGCACTTTCTAGCGCTCGAAAGGAGTATATGAGGAGGCTGTCTAACAATCCAACAGTATCGCAGAAAGATTACAGACGTTGTGCGAGAAGCTGAGCTGGTTGTACCCCTAGCCCCAGATCCCCTTTTTGCTGTGGTGTGCAGGTAAGTATGGTGAGTCTGGGTACAAGACCAAGTGCAAGTTGAACCCACAGAGCGCTCAACCCGATCCCGTGATCCTGTGATCCCGATGATCAAGATACGGTGCAATAGTTCCGCTCAGCACAAGTTCTTGAACTGAGTGCAGCCTGAAGGGTTTTACCCCAGGTGGTATACATCGCAAACCACACCCAAAGCTCTAAGGTGCGATCAATGGTGGGATATATCAACCTGGTGCGTGTTCGTAGAGGCCCCCAGGAAGCAGTGTTTTTTCTGCTCTCTTGCTGGATGCTGAGCTAAAGGAGTCTCTGCTCCTTGAAAGCCTAGCTTGGCTTCCATGGCTGGTTGAGCCAGACTCTCAGTGACATCATAAAAGGTCCTGACAAGAGCCTTGACCGTGATGTTCTATTGAAGGTGCCCTAGACAATCTGGGCTTTGTTGATGTGATTGGCCAACATCATAATCGAACTTGTGAAAAGGTGTGTAGGAAGATTGATGATACAACGGTCTTTACTCCTATATCGATGCCTGACTCGTAGACGACGAGCGAGGGCTTATGGACAGTACGTCGTCCTGAAGATCGAGCGAGGAAGTCGAGAATGACCACTACCCCAAGTGAAGAGGAGCAGAGACTTGAATGAATAACTAGGTCGAACTTAGGGTTCGACCGACTAATGGTACAACTACTTATACAAGTACCATCTACGCACGGACCACTGTATCTGTGTGGTCGTGTTAGTGAAGAAAGAAATGTAGTGGTACGATACCCGATACGAAGTGCGCACGGACCCCATTATGTAAGCTACATAATGTTCAACCTGCGGGTGAGCACTAAGATGGGCACCAGTATGGGTGCTAGTAGTACAAGAAATAGAATGGAAAGATAAATGTTTCATTACCCCCCTGCCAGAGTTGAAGTCCCATTCGACTACTTACTGCTCGCCATCTCCATACAACTCCCAGTCTACGCCATCGTCCTCCTCTTCATCGAACCATTCGTTGCGTGCATTCCTTCCCACATTCTTCCATTCCTCACCAGAGAGGTGCTCCTGACGCGGCCAGGAGCTGTCCCACGTCCATGGAGTAGTGTCGGGTGTCCAGTTGGGGTCGACTTTGCGAAAGACGACGGGTGTATCGGGGCGGGGGCGTGAGGATCCCGCAATGGGACTAGCCTGGGGTTCGGGGTTAGCGCTGCGCGGTGGGGGGATGGGTACCGCCTTCGTCTGCCTCTCTTTTTCCTTCCTCTCCTTCGCCTCGTTGATGATTCCCTCGAGGAACACGTTGTCGATGACCACCCCCACGCGTCGCGCAGGTTCTTCAGGTGGTGCGGATACGTGTCGCTTCATAGGCCTGGTTCCGCACTCCCGCTCCAGGTGTCCAGGGGCTTCTTTCCCGCATCCTGCGCATCGTACGTCCGGACAGTCCCGTACCCAGTGTCGAGACGATCCTCATCACCTGCAACTTCCCTTCGGGGTCCACCCAGGGTTGGGTTGCCAGTCAGCCGGGATAGTAGTGCTCCGCGGTGTTGCTTGGAGGAAAGGGGATGGGATCGGGGGCCGCCTGAAGGCAGACATCGGTAGGGGTGCGGGTAGGGGTAGGTACGCGTTGGGGATGGCGCGCGGGATGAATTTGTTGTGTCGCGCCCGGATGCTGCATGGTAGGAGCGGTTGAAAGCGATGGGCAACTTTCAGATTGTCGAGTCGAATGAGCTTGGTGAGGACGTGGTCGTCCTGTTGACGTAGGAGCTGCTTGTGGTGGTCAATGGCCTCATCGGCTGCCTTGACAGCCTCGTCGTATTCATGGCGAGCGGAGAGATACACTTCTAGTGCAGCGTGGTCAGTGGCATTGGTTGCCTCGGGGTGATGGGTTTTGAGTTTATTGAAGACATCAGTGGGGTTACTGAGAAGTAGCGTTAGCAAAGTGTTGTCGCCGACATGGGTGTGCTTAGGGGTGTAGATCGAAATCCTCTTTCCGCCCTCGGTTGAGGGGGCATTGAACTGATCGAGGAACGGGAGGGTGGAGGACATGTTGGTACGAGTAGGGGTGTAGCGACTGGGTTGAGCTGCTGTCGACTCAGCTCAAGTTCTTCCTCTTCTTATACTCCGTTAGCACTTCGTCCGCAGTCCCTGTCAGGTTTGCTTCGGGTTCCCATGAGTCATCCGCAGTTGAGTAACCCTTCCACCTGACGCGATATTCGCGGCACCGCATCCTCTTGTTCTCTTGGTGTCCGATGATGGCTTCGACTTCGTAGTTATCTTCGCCTTCGATAAGGTCAGGGGGTGGCCTTGTGTAGTTCGGACCATGGATCTCCGTTTCCGAGTAGGGAAATAGAAGCCATTCGTGGAAAACGGGGTGGACTCGCCAGGTGCTAGACAAGTCTAGCTTGTATGCGACCGTTCCGATCTTGTCTAGGACTTTGAACGGCCCTTCTCGCCTCGGGGCTAGTTTCCTGGACGGGTACGGCAGCTTCAAGTTCCGGGAATCTAGCCATACCAGCTGACCTTTACGGAAGGAACCCCCCTTCCTTTTTACTCTCTTGGCCAGGACGTTCTGGGCCATCTCCATTGCCGCATGTGCTTCTTCGCAGATGTTTTGCAAGTCCTTGAGGCGATAAGCTGCTTGGGGCGTGTTTGATCCGGGGTGCACGGTGGGTATTCCACGAGGTTCGTATCCCATCATGAGTTTGAACGGGGACGCCTTCGTCGTGGAGTGCTCGCGGGAGTTGTGAGCAAATTGCGCGGTGTGAAGATGGTCAGCCCACTTATCCGGGTCATTGGCAGTGAAGCAGCGGAGGTAGATCTCCAGCTCTTGGTTCACTCATTCTGTCTCGCCGTCGGTTTGCGGATGGAATGCTGTACTCATGGCTGATTGGACCCCAGTCATTTTGCAAAGTTCTTGGAAGACTTTGGACGCAAATTGCGGTCCTCGGTCGCTGATGATCTTGTCTGGGAGTCCAAACCACTTGTAGACCTCTCGGTACATTGCGTCTGCCGTTCCAAGAGCATCAATTGTTTTGTTGCATGGGATGAAAATTACCCCCTTCGTAAGGTTGTGGTCCACTACGACCAAAATGGAATCAAAGCCGTTGGACGGTGGCAAGTCGGTGATGTAATCGCACGAGAATGTGCTGAAGGGCTTGGCATTTGTGCGGGGTCGAATGGGGGTGATGGGCAGTCGGGCTGGATGCGTGTTAACCTTCATTTGCTGGCAGATGCCACAGCCGTTAACATAGCAAGCAACAAACTGGGCCATGCTCGGCCACCAGTAGTCACGGCGTAAGCCGAGGAGGGTTTTCTGAACACCGGGGTGTCCTGTGAAGGGGAGGTCGTGATAGTGGGAGACGAGACATTTGCGAAGAGACTCATCTGGGGGTATGAAACATTTGTCTTTCCGTTCTATTCCTTGTACTACTAGCGCCCATACTGGTGCCTGTCTTAGCGCTCACCCGCAGGTTGAACATTATGTAGCTTACATAATGGGGTCCGTGTGCACTTCATGCCTGGTATCGTACCACTACATTTCTTCCTTCACTAACACGACCACATAGACACGATGGTCCGTGCGCAGTCGGTACTTGTATAAGTAGTTGTAACATTAGTCGGTCGAACCCTAAGTTCGACCTGGTTATTCATTCAAGTCTCTGCTCCTCTTCGCTTGGGGTAGTGGTCATTCTCGACTTCCTCGCTCGATCTTCAGGACGACGCACTGTCCATAAGTCCTCGCTCGTCGTCTACGAGTCAGGCATCAATATAGGAGTATAGACCGTTGTATCAAAAGGTCGAACTTTCTAAGCTACGTTCCTAGTTTCACCTAGTCGAACAACTCATCCACCATCACGTCGAACAACGCAGTAAACCCGGTTCCCTTGGGACTACCAACCCTCGCAGGATCTCCCCTTCTCCAGTACGACCGAGCAGACCGTTGCTTCGTCACCACCACAAGAAGGACTCCCATCTATCCTCGAGGCGGCTCCTGGGTTCGCGCAGAAGGTTCCAACCCGCAGATCGTCGCCCATCAACAGCTCGTCAGCTATTACCAGAGACACCCTCCCGCTCACCCAGAAGACGTATTCGCCATCCTACGAATCAACGTCGAACCAGCACAAACAACAGAGAACCTACAGTCACCTGTTAACGAACAACTGTTTGAGCTCCCGGACGTTCAGTACGTTCCCATCGAGGCTCCAGAACTACCACC